GCAGCAGAAAAAGGTGTACAGGAGATTCCCACCGTGGATAACAGCAATGAACCCCGTTCAAGAACCCTGCCCACTGACAAAACTCTAGCAGTGACATCTGGCAGGGGGACAATCAGGATCAACATCACTCTGTCGAGGGCAGATGATAGTGCAGGGAACATAGGAGGAGCAGCTGAGCCTGAGAACAATGGGGACCCCTCCCACTGTGCAGGCACAGGAATGCAGAATGCACCAGACATCAGTGCAGAGCTCCATCCAGAGGCAACATGTATGTGCTGGCAACAAGCAACTGGCTGCCCTCATTGTGGAACAGAGCCACAAGAGGGAGTGCAACTCTCCAGCAAGCCATTAGCTGACCTGCAAGAAGCAGTCAAGACAAACAGGCCAGAGTCTTCATATCAGGTGCGCCTACCTCCTTCTACACATAATGGCACTGAGGGCTCATGTTTCTCAGTGGGTGGGTTGGTGGGACCATTATGTGTACCAAACAATAAAAACGTTGTAACCATCAAAGAAGTACTGGATGAGGAAGACAACTACAGTTATCGAAACCAAAAAGGGGAAGACCCTGTGCAACACAAAGTGGAGTACCCAGATGACTATGAAGTGGCAGAACTAGAAGAAGAATTCTACGATGACAAGTGGGACTGAGAGTGGCTAAAACCCCACAGTGCTGAGTGGGTAAGACAAAAAATACAACAAGAAAAGACAATGGACAGGAAACTAGCCATCCTGCACATGTGAGTACACCCGTGACACCTCATCGAAGTCAACAAAGACCTAGTCCTGGATCTGCAAGGATCTTCCAAAGAATCATACTGACAACAGGAGCAATGCCTGCAGAACATGCAAGACTTATGGGTCCCTCCACAGTACATCAGGGGAGGAAGAGGAAGAAGCATAAACATCTGTGTCCAGCTCAAAACCCTGGACACCAGTGACATGAAAGCCATTGATGCTCTCATAGACAGCAGGTGCACCAGGAGTTGTATCAATCAGGCCTTTGTCCAACAACATGGACTCAATACCATCAAACTACCCAAGGCCTAGGCAGTGTACAACATGGATGGAAGTAGAAACAAAGGGGGAGACATCATAGAAGTAGTGGAACTCCGCATGACCATCAGAGATCACCATGAGAAGATCAATTTTGCTGTTATAGACTTAGGAAACATGCCCGTGTTTCTAGGCCACGATTGGCTCAAGAAGCATAATCTGATCATTGACTGGAAGACAGGAGCCATATCACTGGTATGATGTTCCTGCCAGAAAATACTATTCACACTTCCCGATGAGGATCCAGAACAACAATGGGGAACCGAGGTAGAAGAAGGAGACACCATTCTTCTAATAGACTTTGAAGAAGCATTTCACATGCAAGTGATGGGAAGTAAAGCAAACAAGCTAGCCATGAAGGCCCATCAAGCAAAGAAAGCCAAAATGTTCAAGGAAATCATACCCAAAGAGTACCGAGATTTCTATGACATATTCGCTAAAGAAAACTTCAACAAGTTACCACCCCAAAAACCCTGAGACCATGCCATTGAATTGATCCCCAATGCACAGGCAAGTCTAGACTGCAAGGTCTACCCCCTGAACACCACAGAACAAGAGGAGCTAGACCGGTTCTTGGATGAGAACCTGGAGTCTGGCTGCATCAGGCCATCAAAGTTGCCTATGGCGTCTCCCTTCTTTTTCGTCAAGAAGAAGGATGGCAAACTGTGACCCATACAGGACTACTGAAAACTCAACAAGATGACCATAAAAAACTGATACCCACTTCCCTTGATCGGGGAACTGATGGATCAGCTCAAAGATGCAAAGTACTTCACCAAGCTAGACATCCAATGGGGATACAATAATGTCTGGATCAAACAGGGAGATGAGTGGAAGGCTGCTTTCTGAACCAACTGGGGTTTGTTTGAACCTATAGTTATGTTCTTTGGCCTCACTAACTCCCCTGCAACTTTTCAATGGATGATGAATGACTTGTTCAAGGAGCAAATAGCCTGAGGAGACATCACGGTATACTTGGATGACATCCTAATTTGCACCAAGGACCAAGAATGGCATCACCAGGTGGTCAGGGAGGTGCTAGCTGTGCTGCACGCAAACAACCTATTCCTAAAAGCAGAAAAATGCAAATTCGAAGTACTAGAGACAGAGTACCTTGGAGTGATCATAAGTCAAGGATCAATTCGCATGGATCCTGTGAAAGTGAAAGGGATAACGGAATGGCCACAACCAACCAAGAAGAGAGAACTACAGTCCTTCCTAGGTTTCACCAACTTCTATTGGTGTTTCATCAGAGACTACAGCAAACATGTCAGGCCACTAACCCAGCTCACCAGGAAGATGGACTGGTGATGGGGAACCTGAGCAGGAGAAGGCATTTCAAGAAATCAAAAGGAGGCTAGCAGAAGAAGTGGTACTAGCCATTCTCAGTAGGACTGAGAGGTTCAGAGTGGAGGCAGATGCAAGCAAAGGCACCATAGGAGCAGTGTTATCACAAGAACAAGAAGGAAGATGGAGACTGGTGGCATTCCTGTCCAAAGCTCTCACAGTAATGGAACAAAACTATGAGATCTACGACAAAAAGCTGCTGGCCATAATGTTGGCCCTAGAAGATTGGCAACATTACCTCATGGGAGCTCACCAGGAATTCGAAATCTGGACAGATCACCAAAACCTGCAGTACTTCCACAAGCCCCAGAAACTCAACCGAAGACAAGCATGATGGGTATCGGAACTTGCCGAGTACCATTTCTCCCTACATCACAAACCTGGTACAGCCAACAAGAAGGCAGACCTATTAAGCCGACAGGCAGACCATGATCAGGAAAAGGAGGACAATGAGGAAGTAACGCTACTTAAACCAGAAATGTTCTGAGCCTTGATTATGCTGGGGGAGGAGGAGGTTCATCAGAAAATCTGAACCGCCCTTAGAGACATTACAAGGTGGGACAAGGGAATCGAGGCCTCTCTTCATCATCCTTGGGGAATAATGCAAGAAGATGGGCTCATGTACTACAATGGGAGGCTGTACATCCCCCAAGATACTGCACTTTGGGGAGAACTTATTGCTATACATCATGATCACATCACTGCAGGACACCCAGGCATCAAAAAAACCAAGGAACCCATCCAAAGGGAGTACTGGTGGCCCAAGCTCAAAAATGACATGGAATGATATGTAAAGGGATGCAAGGCATGTCAACGCACCAAAACCAGCACATAGCATCAAAGGGCCCTGTTACATCCAAATGCAGTACTCTCCAGACCATGGGAACACATAACGGTAGATATGATTGGTGAACTACTGGACTCCAATGGGTACAATGCCATCCTCATGATCAGTAGACTGGTTCTTGAAGAAAGTCATCCCCGTTCCCTGCTCGACCAATTTAACCTCCCTTGGTTGGGCCTGCCTTCTCCAAGATCACATATGGGCCAAACATGAGATGCCTCAAAAGGTCATCTCAGACCGTGGACCCCAGCTCATCTCCAAGTTCATGAAGGAGCTCTACAATATGTTGCAAATCTAAGGAAACCTGTTTACCACCTATCACTCTCAAACAGATGGACAAACTGAACAAGCCAATCAGGAGATCAAAAAGTATCTCTGGATCTTCATCAATCACTGCCAAAACAACTGGAGTGAATGGTTACCACTTGCAGCCTTCCAGCATAACAACCAAAAACATTCTGCAATGGGGTATTCCCCCTTCGAAGTAAATCATGGACAGCGACTGCATCTAGTTCCCATGATGATTAAGGAAGGCAGTAACCCGGCCACCAGGGAGTTCATTGCTGACATACAGAAAGTACATGAGCAGACAGCAAAAGCTCTGGAAAAGGCAGCAGAAACCATGAAGCAACAATACGATAAACACCAACAGCCAGCAGTGGAGTACCGACCAGGGGACAAGGTCTGGTTAGACTCCACCAATCTACACCTTCCTCACCCAATGAAGAAGTTAGGGGACAAATGAGTTGGGCCTTTCAAGGTCTTATCAAAACATAGCGCATCTGCCTACAAGCTAAAACTACCACCCTCGTGCAAGATCCATGACTGGTTCAATAAAGTGCTCCTAACTCCCTATCAACTGCTGGAGTTTCCAATCCAAATACAGCCCATGGCACCACCCCCAGACCTAATAGACAGACAAGAAGAATATGAGGTTGAAGAAGTGGTAGATCGACAGGAATGCATGACAGGAAGAGGATGTCGATGATGTACTGAAACAGAGTACCTCATCAAATGGAAAGGATACCCCAGAGAGAAGAATTCATGGGTAAATGAAGCTGAACTAGACAATGCAAGGGGGGCAATTGAAGACTTCAAACAAGTCTCATTCATCACTCAACCCTCAGCAGACTGGTGGGAGGACTCAGATGAATCTGACAGCTAGTTGAAAACAGAATTCCATAATGGAATCTGAAATTGACCACCCCCTCATACAAGCCCTCAAAAAATACATGCAACTACCAAGATTATTGCAGTCAGGATGACTGCCTTAACAGGGGGGGTAATATCACAATCTCACTGGATATCTTATCTTATTGCTCCCATTATAATCCTGCTATGCTAATATTCCAACCTTGATCGCATCATGCTATGCTGGTACCATGTGTTGTCCACACCGCTACAGACTCTTGTACTATACATAGCATGACCCAAACTGTATATAAGTAGCTCAACTGCAGGTCCTAAACCTCAGTCTCAAACTAAAGTTTATTCACCCGATAACTTGGCTAGAACTCACTCTCAAATACTAAGCATGCATGCTCCCTGAGAACAAACCTATGAGCAACTCATATGTGCCTGACCAAAGTGCGAGTCACATGTAGTTGTTTGATCTTGTTTGTTCAATCAGTCACTAACACCTTAGGCTGCACATTATTCAGCAAGCTTTTACTCAGAAGACCTTGTTTTGACTAAATCTCACTGTCAGCTACTTACCAGTGTTTTTTACTTATATATATTCTTGCTTTATTGTATTCTTTCTTATAATAAATATAATAGCAAATTTCTAGACTATTCACCTGGCAGATATATCAGTAGATGTTGGATTTATAATACAATTTTTACATTTTCACTATATTATATAGTGAGTAATAGATTTAATAGCTACTTAACTTGAAAATAGTACTTTAAAGCTACTACACAATGTATGTTCACCTCAAATAAAAACAATATCACAGTCTTTAGTAACATTCAGATGTTTTAATCTCCATGCTTCTTTATCAGCCATTTTAAATACTGACACTTTCTCAAACTGTTTAGTAGATGGCACTCTATGTCCAATAGCCCAATGTTGCACTGAACACTCAAGATCCAGCTCATGATTCAGCCGAGTACCAAGTAGTACATATGTGTTTTCAGGTATAAGATAATTGTGAGATGCAATGATTTTAAATGTATGTTCTTTCTCTTTTTTATCTTTAACAATCAGCTTTCCATATCGATTAACTATTTCCTCATCTTGCACAGCTAACCCCTGCACAAACCCCTTTTCAATACAGGGTCCATAGCGCCAGTCCACATCCCATTTTTCATCCCACCAAACACACATCTCATTTGAGACATCTGCAGGTGGAAAATATGTCATAATCTGGTCCCATGTTGGTCTTCCATTTTACATCTGAATTTCCTGGCTCAGGATACCAGAAGAACAATTCTCCTCAGCTTTTCCATAGCCATTACATTGACTAGTGCTGTCCATGCATCTTCCACAGACTGATTTTCATAGTATGCTGGTATTTTCTCTGACCAACAAAGGAATGATAGTCCTGCAATTTTATCTATAGAATTTGTTGATTTTCGCTTTTGCATCTCAGCAAGAATTGTGAAAAGATTACCCCATGATCTTCCTGTTGGTGACCACATGATATTATGCACTAACTCAAGCTCTTTTTGAAACTGCATCAGTATTTCTCCTTTATAGTCTTGGCTCCCATGCACTGGACACACATGTAGAGGTCCAGAAGGCATATCTCCAGCAATAATCCTTTTTAATCCAATCTCCTGTAGTGTCCATGCACGCTGAAACCAACACCGCTCACTTTCAAAGTCACCCTCCTTCAAACTGAAAGGCAGCCCAAGCCCACTCAGGTAAATTACCACTATTGTGTAATCATACACATTTCCAATAGTTGGTACATCCAGCTTCCACTCATCTGTACGCAGCTTCTCTTTCAGCTGATCTAAGCTACTGTTCTGCCTTAAGCAGAGCACATCCAACCACACATACTCAGCTTCCAGGTTTAACATCTCAATGCGAATGAGATGAAGATCAGCACTCTTTGGCATTGGCACAGGCCACTCCTTCCCATTAATAGGAGTATACACTGCAATCCGATTCTCCTCATCCAACCATGCATGTGATATGGGCAGAGGTCTTTTTTTAGCAATCCATGATGGCACTACACGATTGCTGTAAAGATCCCAGACACATCGAGGTGGCATGTATGGATCAACAATTTTGCCATCAACAACTGCCTTTTGTCTTCTTTCTTTATCCTTCTCTTCCTGCATGTGTAGTGTATCTTGAATAGTGCTCCAGTCATTGGTAAACCACACTGAGCGAAGATAGCTATATGCAGTCCCAAAGTCATAGTTATTTGAGATATACTCTTCAAGGATAGAAGAGAGAGATGGAATGTTCAAAGTGTATGTTGTTCCAAGAGTGGCATTGATTTTATCTAAGATGCCCTGAGTACCAAGGATAGCACAGGGAGTGTCAGCAAGGGAGGATGATATCACAGGTTTTCCACCAGCATAAGCCAACTGCAATGGAACCTTGATTGATGATTCATCCTTGTCAGTCTCAGTCAAAGCAGTGATGATGGTATCATTGGGCTGGCTCTTTTTAGGAGCAGGTCCTATTAGAGCACGAGGTGCTGACTTAGGATCTTCATTTGGCAGGCCATAAGCTGCCCGTCGAAATGACCCAGTCATATTAGGCACAAACAATGGCTTTGTGATGAGCAAGGGTTCTCTCAGTGGAGCATTGTGAGGTCCTAAAAATGATAATTATGAGAAGGATTCTGGATGCCAGCTGGTTGGCACATCTGACATTGTTAGGACAGGACACATACCTTTTAAAACAGATCTGGAATTCAGCTCTATCCCATCCTGATCAGCACCAGATTCTTGTTCACAAGATAGATCTTTTGCCAAAAAAACAGATTTCAAGCCATTCCAAATCAACTTCATACTCTTCAAAGGCGATTGGAAGAGAAATTTGGATATTCCTAATGTGGCTGGACTGAGGAATTGCCACAAAGGTAGATGAAAGATACATACTGTTTCCCATGTTCACCTAGTTAAGTGTCAGTAAGATGTAGATGTGCAGCACAACAGGTAGATGATTCCAAAAGACAAGTTCCAATGCTCCTTGCTCTGGCAAAGTCGTCGAGGTGTGTAATCAAGAGGGTAAGAAGCAGATGACAGCCTCTATGGTCTGGCTTAAATACATGGGCATCTGCGAGTGCCAAGAACAACACATGAGGTGATCGGCCACAGCTGAATTACATACAGCGGCATAGCCCGATCAACTTGAACTTAGATGTGTCGATATTTTTCAATAAGGACAGTGAATGTGTTGAATGCATATGGAATGAATCGATTTCCCAGCTCCAACGCTCGATACACAGTTGTGCACCGAGATATAGTAGTATTCGCCCACTACACATCTCATTTCCTCTCCATCTTAAGCGCCAATGCTGTCGTACATGTGATGGGGAGGTGGTCGTAATGATGGAGGTATTTAATGTTACACATCAGCAGACATAGAACATCAAAGCGCATCGATGATCTCACCTCTCAAAACCGTTCACTCGGAATAAAACAGCCCACAGGTTTTGCCTACCCTTTACATTATCAACAGAAGATGAACTAACCCACCAACGGTCCAAGCACAAGCACAAAGATTCCGCGGCTGATAACGACTCAGTTAGACCATTCTCCAATCATCTCATAGTTAGCTAATGATGGAGACTCACAAATAGCCGCTTGTTCAATTCACTTCCCTGTTTCCAGATGTGAATGATAGGACAACGAATGGACGAGCTTTGACCCGTCCTGCAGACAGCTCTTGTTCTATCAACCGAGACCGAGTACGAACTCTGAGAGCTTTGAATGACCTGTACCAGTGATGGCCAACATCGGAGTATGGCAGTACATCACTTAAGATGCTATGAAAGAGAGGTTATTAATAAATACCAATGGCAGAAATACGCAGTGCAGAAGCTGTGTGACAAAGATCAATATCATCGACAGCGACAGCGACATCAATCGACACCCTCACCCTTTCACAATCTCACAGGCAAAACATCCAGGGTTCAGAAAGATCCGAGCTTTGCGACAGCAGTGCTGCGAACGACGCTAGTTCTGAATGCTTTGTTCCCGGTCATAGTTGTTCGGAGACAAATGCAAGAGTGAGGATGGAGGTCACAGAGAAGGCAACCATGCTATATGACCATGGCTTCGTTGACCCGTTCTCTTGGTTTGTGTGAAAGGAAGCGATATGTTCGCTGGCGCCTATCAGCGAAGTCCCATATCCTGGTATGAAGATTGTGAAGGGATAATACACCATGGTGAGGAGCGTCAAGGTAGAAAAGGGCTGTCGTAAAGTTCTTCTCAATCAATACATAACTTTTGAATTTCGTAAAAGAATTTCTTAGCTACAGTAAGAAGCCGCAATACCCGGCTGGCATATATTGCATGAATGACGATGAGCCATGAAAGCAAGAAAAACGACGCACTTAGCAAGCCCCGGTTTCCTTCGAAATGAAGATGACAGCCAAGAGCATCCCCTGGAAAGTTTACACTCTCGGAAAATATGCTAGACACTGGTAGATGCTAGGCAAATTGCGAGTCTTTTGGCAACTAGGAGGGTCTTATCAGTAATAAATAAAATGTGACGTACTGAGCCTGGGAATGTTCTTCGCTTGACACTTTCCCTCTCCATCCATCTACAACTTCACCTTCAAGCAACGTCCAACAATATGCTTTACCACCATGGATAGCATCCAAGATTTCGAGACCGTCCTTTAATAGGTTCACCGACCTGAGGCCCTCTCCCAGCCTCTTATTTTCTTCGCGTTCAACACCAAGTTCCAATCGCAGACAGCGGAATGTTGCGTTGTGTTGCGGCACGTACAGTTGATATGTAGCGGCACACGGTGCGTATCAGGCTCTTGTTGCGCCTTCGACCACGTACTGACGCCAGACCATTATCTAAAGAATACAGACCTGAAGGTCACCCATCGTTCGCTTTTGTCACTGCTCGTCTTTACTATGCGTCATTTTGGAAAGGCAGACAAGACCCAGTGACGAGCCTAGTGGACCATTGGGCTCATCTACAAATCTTCTTTTTTTTTCCCGTTAAGCATATGGCCCAGTTCCAGACCGCTTCTCTGATTGCGAAGCTCAAATCGTACCCTGTGGCCCCACACGGAACGGACTAAGTTTGGCCCTCACCAACATGATAATCCATCGATGAGCGACTTCAAGCCGACTATCGAGACCTCTGAGTATCATGTCGAAGAGCGTCGTCCTGGATTCCTTGGAAAGATTTTGAAGGCAAAACCTGAGCACGCGTTGTTGGATGACCTGGCACGTATGAACGAGACTGTGTTAGATCCGGTGGTCGTTAAGAGGATTGAGCGAAGGGTTGACTTGCTGGTCATTCCTGCATTGGCTGTTTGTTACGTGGTGAGTCCGCCTAATTGTTTATTCTCAGTCATTCAAACATTTGGCGCTCTAGTTTTACTATATGTATGCGGTGTATACGATTGTGAAATTCCACCACTGACCAGGTTTACGCAGGGATAAGACGACGGTTTCATACGCTGCGATCTTCGGGAGTGAGTCGCCGTTGTTCACTTCGTTATAATCCTCTCATTTTCGTCGACTACAGTCAAGGAAGATCTAGCCCTAGGGAAAACGGAATACGTACGCGTGTTCGTTCCGCGTTGTTTAACTGGTCTCACCGCGCAGTAAATGCCAACAGCAATGGCTTTCAAGTATCTTCTACTGTGCGCATGAACCTTCTATATTCTTCTCCGTGAACTCATCGATCCTTTAGTTGGTTGGTTGTTCTGGGCTTTCCCGACCAATCTGCTCATGCAGAAATTTCCTATCGCAAAATACCTCGCTGTCAACGTGGGTTCACTACTGCCTTGTCTTTTAGAACTCACTGTGACGTTGAGATTCCTGGCAGATTTTCTTCTGGGGCGTGCTTCTTATGGCGCAAGCAGCAGCGAAGGACTTCAAAGACATGATGATCCTGCGCATTCTCTCCGGTGCGGCAGGGTCTACCGCTGACCCTGCCTTCGTTCTGATCACCGGGCTGTGGTACACGCGTAGCCAGCAACCCATCCGAATCGGACTCTGGTATAGCGCGAATGGTATTGGTATCGCCCTCGGTGGGTTATTGGGATATGCCATTGGACATGTACGTGGGTTCTCGATCCTCCAGAATCATAGGATGGTTGTCTTGATGCGCTTCTCCTCAGATCAAGGGTGCTCTTCCATCGTGGCGCTACGAATTTCTTATCATCGGAGCGCTCTGCTCGTTTTGGGCGATCGTCATGTTCACGTTTGTTCCTGATTCTCCGTATTACAAGTCGCGGTGGTTCAAGGATGAGGATCGGCTCGTAGTCCTGAGTCGTAAGAGGCATGATCAAGCTGGTGCTGATACTCACAGGTCCGTACTTTATTGATAATGCTGGTGATAACGGTCTGAGCGCACTTTAGAGTGAAGCCTGATCAAATCGTCGAAGCGTTCTGCGATCCCAAGATCTATCTCTTCTTCCTGCTCGGGTTTTCTTCAAACATCCCGAACGTATGTCTCTTGATTGTGCCGGGACTTCATGGAAGCTAATGGTACCCTCTAGGGCGGAATTTCGAACTTGTAAGACTCACGTGGGCTTAGATAGTCCATCCGATTCTTATCTTCCTCTCCCAGTGGAACGCTCATCATACAAGGTTTCGGTTTTGACATACTCGAGACGACTTTGATGCAGATCCCTTACGGTTTCTTCATCTGCTTTTGGTACGTTCATCGGTGATATTCCATATCGAGTGCTCAAACACGCACAGTATCCTATTTGCTGTGTGGCTTAACACCAAAGCACCGAAGAATAGCAGAACCCTCCTTATGATCGTTTTTCTCTTGCCTAATATAATTGGGAGCTGTGTAAGGTCATCAAACCAGCGTAAGCTAGTCTGCTGATCTGATCCTTGGATTTAGATGATGGCTTGGGGTCCCGCGACCTCAAAGCCTACGCGCCTGATTGGTTACTGGTTAACTGGGTCGTATAACGCTACGTTCGTCCTCGGACTGTCACTCGTGTCCGGAAACGTCGGCGGTCAAACGAAGAAAGGTGGAACTCTATGATGTATGCGGGCTTTGGTTCTTTCTCACTTTGTTTATTCTAGCTATCGCCAATGCGGCTGTCTTCCTAGGTCTATGTACAGGGTATGTAGACAACACCGTTAAAGGCATATATGTGGCTAAACCACCGGTGATACCTAGAAACATTGTCGGACCCTTTCTCTTCAAGACTTCAGAGGCACCAAAATACACTACCGGCATTGTAGGTATGCTCGTCGCCAACATCGTTGAAGTCTTCGTTATTCTAGCTTTGGGGACCCTGTTCTTGACGTCGAATAAGCGGAGAGACCGAGAGATGGCGGAAGGAGGAGTCAAGTGCACAGCGATGGTGGATGATATAACGGATTTTGCGAATCCTGCGTTTAGGTATGTAGCGTAGGGTTGTAGGTTCTTTCTTTTTCAAGTGTTGGAAATTGACTGATGATGTTACAGTGAGATGGATGTAGGCTATCATTGCTGTGTGGTTATGGGTACAGTACGTTCTATACAATCTTAATCCTTTTGGGTGAATGCCGACACATTGCTGTAAAGTTTTGGGCACTGACGCTTAGGAACGTCTTAGCTCGCACTGAAACAGCTCCGCGACCACCCAGCCTCTGTCGCGCCACGGTCCGTCGACACCCTCAAATACCATTCTGCGATAAGCGTGAATCTTCAACACCATGCGACCTACTTAGTAAGTAGGGGGTGTGGTGTGGTGTACGTGTTCGGGATTCGGCCCGACGACCGGGTCCAGCGTAACACGCTTTCAGCTACTAACGGCAACAGGACTACAACCATATGAGTCTAACGAGACCGTCCTCTGTTATCGATCGCTTTCCCTACTTACCAATTGAAATCGTCGCGCTCATTATCGAGGAGATATGGGCTCTTCCTTTGAGTAAAAAGGAGCGTCATTTCTTCATGAGGGCCTCACTTCGCGTCTGTCGAATATGGATGCTCACTTTCCTGCGGATCTCATTAACATATCTGCATATCATCTCATATGCTTACTACAAGTACATCGTACTCCTTCAAACCGATCCCACTTGCACTTCTAGCACCGTCACGGATTCAGACGGTGCACAGCTGTCTCTGGGCGCTTATTTCTGTCGATACTGTCGTTCCCTCACTGTCTCCGTCCAAGACACTCTATTCTACGGCTTCCCTCTAATATTCACAAATCTATCCCATATCCGACATATAACACTCCTCTACCACAATGTCAGCCAACAAATGCCTTTCGCCTACATCAGCCGGTTCAACACCCTCTTCCCCCCTAGAACTATCGATTCCCTAGAAATGCGATTCACATACGACGTCCAAGACGCCGATTACTCTGCCCGTTTCCGGTATCTCTACCACTCGAAAGAGTTCTACTACCCCCCAATGTTCTACTCCCCAGCAGTCAACCACGGAGGTGTTTTACAATCCAAATCCCTCATCTTGCCGTATATCCGCCATTTGACTATCAACGGCGCCAACCCGGCGTTGGTGCTCCTGGTCAAGTGTATATGCCCAGCTCTAGAGAGCTTCGAGACGGATGGAGACCCGGTGGTGCTTGAATTGGGATTCGACGCTGCGAACGTCCGTCCGCCGCCTGAAACACCTGAAGAGCAGTTCTGGGCCGATAACAAGTATACGAGCTGGGACGAACTGCCGGAGTGGATAAAGGAACTGGAACCGCAACATGTGGAGGAGGAAGTGGTAACGGAGTACGTAGATTCCGACAGTGACACGCCGCTTCCGTGGCCAGGGCCGGTTCGCAGAGAACCAATTAATCTCTGGGCCGATGCGATCAACTTGTGGAGGCTCATTTGGGATGTAAGATGTCTAGCCGGGGTGTGGTGAGAGAGAGAAGGGTTATCGTGTTCGAATTCTCAGGATCTGGCTGAACCATTGCCTCCGGTGCGAAGGGAAGCCCTTCTCCCACAAATCCCGGTCAATGAGATGGTGCCTCCACGGAGCGTTCCTCTTCCGTCGCAGCATAGCGAGCTCGTAGGCGAGATACGGAGGGAGAGGCAGTCGTGGTGGCGCCTGGACGTGGTGGGCCTTGAGTGCAAAGACGCGGCAGAACCAGCACATGTTGAAATGTGGGGCCATGGTCACCCTAGCTTAGGCTAGTAATAAAGCGCGTCGGAAAGGAGACACAGACCACCTGATAAGATGAAAATGTCAATTATCTTGTCCCAAACGTCGACGAGTTGGTAACGCACTCGATCACGGATGGCCGCGTTCCCGAATCCTTCCGTGGCTCCACTTTCCTGGTCTTCCATCCTCCGTGTGAACTGTATTGCTGTCTTCGGGGGTGCGCAGAGGTGTGAAGATTGGACTTCTTCAAGTAGGAGGGGTGTTAACTCTGATATCAAATCCCCTGAGGCGCTGGAACATTTGTTATATTGTAGCGCCACATGACATGAATTTGAGAATGGGAGGTACAGCGTCCAGGAACGCTGAGAAGGACCAGGGTAAAGAGACAACGAGTAATTGGTATAACGAGTCGGAGTCGAGGAGGTGGTTTTGAGGAGAGAGAGCCATTGTGTGACTGGAGTGTCACAACTGGCCCTAAATTGGAATTGGCCCGAAAGCCGAAAATACTGGCGAATACCGAGTTAATGCATATTTCGTCTCAGGGATTCGATGAAATTAGAGATGTAACAGATGCTCGTAATATGAACATGGAATCGAATTAGAAGAGTAATACACACAGTACGAATAAATCGGGTGCGACTCTGAAACGGTACGTGGTAGCCAGGCTGGCTCAAAGAGTAGCGTAGCTTGTAATGAATGCCTATCAGACGTAATAGTCCTGCACCGTCAGGTTCTTGACCTGGAACATCGCATCCGGGTTATTCTCAGCAATACGTGTCGCCTTCCGGTCATGCACATTCTTCACTCTCGCACGAACATACTCTAAAGACACACCCATGAGTACTTTGCCAACAAAACTTGTGCAGACGCATCATGCACCATACCCACTGACCGAATCCTCAGTGACCTTTGTTTCATTTTCAGTCATCAACTCTTCGCGGAAGAGCACAGGACTCGGAGCGGGGACCATCGGTACGTCATTACCCGGTCGTGCAAAGTAGAAGAGCCCGAGACGTTCAAGATGCGTTTGGTCGGGAGGTGGACGGACGACACGGTGGATGGTACTCTTTATGTATCCCTAAATCGATGCAATGATGAGTTTATAGATCATGGGAGTGAAATTGTTCCACCGTTCACCTTGGTTAGGAATGACAGTGTGTCGGCAGCGTTGCAGGTTATGCCCCCTGGGACATACTTGACCCATTTCCACTCGTTATTGGGATCCTTGACTTGGAGGCTGAGAATGGAGTCAATACATATAGGCACTAACAAAGAGTTGAACTTACGCTGCAACGGGCTGCGAGAAGAGAAGGGTAAGAGAGCCTGTTATGAACTTTAAATTCCGCTTTCATGGTCATAAAACAGAGAAAATATACCAAAGTCTATATTGTCCATATCAGCATAGTACGAAGCGGCCTACGAAACCAGCCTACCTGTATGTCCAGCAGTCCATTGGTCTGAAATCTTCTTATCATCTTCAACTGTCCGAGGATAGTAAATCATCTACCCAGATATGTTACCAGTGAACAAGCCACTGAAGAACCAACATAGCGAAGATGATCTTCTGACGGCGCCTCATAACTATGACGATCGACAAAGTAATTCTCCGGCAGTTCCAATATTATCGCGAACAGGACAAACAGTTTCCGGATGACGTCGTCCCATACTCTCCGATGGAACTTGGCAATCTCGTCGTGATAAGATTTGATGAGCTGATGCTGAGGGATGCTAGCATAGTCTGACGTGAACTTGGGCACATTCAGCTGAAGTAGAGCATAACGTGAATGGTCAAAACAAGATGAGGAACGAGAAACCCACCATTTCCATATTCTCTTTAACATCCGTACGACTGATGAACCGCGTTGGCTCTCTGTACCCAAAGTAGCTAACCGAACAATCAATAAATAAAACCATGAGATAACAACAATAGAGGACTCACTTCCCAACCGAGAAATCACAAGCGAACTTCCTCTTCTCCTCAAGCGGGAGCTTGAAGAACGTATTCCCAATAGCAAGCTGGCGGTCCAGCTCCTCCTGGGTGAAACCACTACCCACTATGGTCCAAAAACCCCAGTGTTTCACTGCATCTTTGAGTTCAGCCGCGAGGTCGTGTTTACCGTTGGGTTCTTCGAATTTGGAGAGGTCGATGATGGCGAGCGGGGCCCAGTCGAGGGATGCTTGTGTTGGTGGGGGAATTGGGTATGGTTCTAGTGGGGGTTTCTGGTGGATTGGAGCAGGCATTGGGAGATGGGCTACCAAGCTGGTTCGTGTACATTTTTAAATGGGTGAGAAAAAGACGATAGTCTCGTGCTCAGAAGGGACCTGAGGCAAGCCCGAGAAACGAGATGAGGTGATAGTTGCACCATTTTCCTGCCGTTTTAGTTATCGTCCAGGAATAGCTGCACCCAGTGGTCACTGGCCATGGGATGACGATGGCGCAAAAGGAATCGTCGATGATGTTAGGTTTCCATGGAGAAGCTCGTTGAGACCTGCTGATAAGACTCGAGAAAATTTAACGGAGATGCAATATGTAGACGCTGAGAGTCTTTGTAGACTCATCGTGGCGGTAAGAGACTGAGTGAGGAGGAACCGGATGAGGAAGGATAGCAATCACGTGGATCTGACGCGCAAGGTTCAAATTGAAATTGAAACTGAGACTTCAGCTTCTTTTATCCTGACCGGCGCTGTTACGGAAACTAAGGCAATGTTCCTTCCTTGGCCGCGGCCCCCCATTATCCTGCTATCCCACTGGGAATTCCGACATCTACTTACATTTCTTGTCGACATGAAAAGCATCCCAAATAAGGCCAACGTCTTTTCATCAGAAGCTTCTTCGCGGCGAAGCCATACACTTACCCCCAGCAATTTCTCCACTCCGCATTTCATAATGGGTTTCGACATGAGCTCGTCTTCTGAGCTCCAAATGATGAGGCGTATAAAAGTCCTTCCTTGCGGGAACAGATCCCTTTGAGGTGTACCCTCGTTTATCATTTTCCTGGGAATGGATCCTGCAGAAGGGAATATCGATAGCGAAAAAGTATCCCATGGGCCTGATGCGCCTTTGTCCTTATCTGATGAAGAACTCAAGAAAGTCCAACGGCGGATTGGTACGTATCTACTCAACTTGAAATCACCCTCGCCTTGGCTGACCTCTTCAATGATAATAGACATTCGCATCATCCCATGGTTATGCATAACCTATCTAGTCATGCGCATCGACATCAACAATATCTCCAACGCTGCTATCATCAACATTGAACAAGGACATGGGATCAAGAAACAACTGCACCTGAGTACGCAAGATTGGAATTGGGTCGTTTCGTGTTTCTTCTATCCCTATGCTGCTTTTGAGCCGGTATCCACGCTCCTGATGAAACGGACGACGTGGGTGTCTTCACCTAGTGAGGATACGTCGTCTGACAGCCTTGCTAATAGACCGAGCTTCTGGATCGGGCGAATCATGATAACATGGGGTATCATCGTCATGTGCATCGCGTCCGTGCAAACCTACGATGGTCTCATAACTTGCCGAGTCCGTACGTGCGTTTCTTGTTTCACCCGAGTATCATTCTGAGCACTTCCAGTCTTGGGTGCCGCCGAAGCGGGGTACTACCCCTGCGTGATATACTACCTCGCTTTCTGGTTTAGACCAGAAGAGCTGGCTCTCCGAGTCGCTGCGTTCTACTCGTTCGGCCAGGTCAGCGGTTTTGTGGGAGGTTTCCTAGCATTTGCGATTTCGTATGCGGATGGGGTTCTAGCGGGATGGAGGTGGCTCTTTATTATCGGCAAGTGTGCGTTCATTTCCCTTTTACCTTTTTCCTGACGCTGAGCAGAGGGTATACCGGCCATCCTAATGGGGGTGACGACTCTCTTCATACTCCCCGATTTTCCGCAGACAGCTACATTCTTGACTGAGCGCGAACGAGCGACGGTAATCGATCGGTTGTCTAGAGATGCTCCTTCGAAGGAGGGAAAGACTTGGGATAAGGGTGAGGTGTGGAGGCTCTTTGCGGACCCGACGTTCTGGACGTTCTCTGCGGTGTGGTTTTGCCATGCTGTGGGAGGATTCGGGTTGTCGTATGTCCTGCCTACAGTGATATACGAGCTTGGTAGGTGTTCTGTTGTTCCCGGCAGCGAAGTATTGGAATCTGTTGTAGGGTTTACAACGACGGCGCTGAGCAACGTCCTCTCTATGCCCCCATCTCTGAGCACATTCGTGTTGCTGAATACGCTGGGATGGCTCATCCAGAAACGTTTTTGGAACCCCTTCCGGATAGCTATAGGACGTGCGCAGTTGGTTCTCTGTCCATATGTAACCGACTGACCACCTGGCGGTGCTAGTGGAATTTACTAATATCATCTGCTGTATAATACTTCTCACCGTAAAAGTGAGTCGCTCTCAACGGCCACGATAACCTTTTCTAACCGGACTCTAGGTAGCTGTGGTGCGTTACCTGGCACTGTTGGTAGCAACAGCGACTGCTGGGTCGGTATATGCCGTGCTCTGGCCAAACCGTGTTGAAGCTGCGCGGGGAACATCAGCCGCTGGGATGGCAATAGGGATTACCAACGCCATTGCACAGTTCTCTGGTATCCTTGGGCCGCAGGTCTTTTCTGGTTAGTCGCGTCTTTTGATTCTGAAGGTACCCTCCAAGTTGACATGCTGCTGCCTAGGTATATACGGACCGTCGTACAGGGTCTCGTTTTCTGTCTGTGTGGGCCTTTTGGCGGGTGCAGTGGTGTCGATTGGGGCGTCTGCTGTGTTGTTGCGCCGATTGTGGGGAGATGGGAGGACTGGCAGTGGTAGTATCTCATCAAAGGGGAATATTGACGAAGTGAAGTAAATCAAATTCCTATATTTGGTGCAGAACTCGAATTCTCTAGAGGCAAAAATGTCGAGAAGGATGTTTTTTGCGAGGCAAAAGATAGCTTGAGGCATCTTTACCAGACTTGTGCACGGGAAGTAACAGCGGGAAGGACCTTGAAATCGAAACGCGAAATTTCAATAAGATATACTAAAGCCTCGAAGACGAGGCTCTTCCACCACAATACCGATGAGAACCGCCTCGAAGACGCCCGAGCCCCTCCAATGTGCCCAGTTCCGGTGCCTCGACGTTTTCCACCACAGGGTGACCATCCTATTCTTGCATTCTCTTGCGACAACAGCAGTTTCTACAAAGATTCGGACCGAACATGGCTGTCAAGATGCCGACGGCTTAGTACAAGTAATTTGCTTCTTCGGAGATGGCCTATCGGTCAAGTTCACCTTCCACCACCACCATGTACCCACAAGAGTTGATCGACGAGATACTCGACAACCTACACGACTCGCCCTCTGCGCTAAAAGCATGCTCCCTCGTCTCTCACCAATTCTACCCACGCACACGTGACTATCTTTTCCGCTGCGTTGATTGTCCCCACCCAGACGTAGCGCGAATCTTTGACATCGCGCGCGACTCACCCGAGCTGCTCCGGTGCATCAAGCGGGTCCAGTTCCGATACCCCGATTTTTTCTTACCCCAGTACCAGACAGCCACTTGCGAGATCTTACACTCACTTCCATCCCCGATGACACTCTCCTTCTGGGCCGACAGAGTTGAGGTCAGTCACTCGACAGAAGAATGCGAATGGCCGCAAATTTTGCCTGCGCTCATGTCCTCAGCTCCGTATCTCGCCGTCACCAGACTCGAGCTCAAAGGACCCCAATGGTGTACTTTCCTAGAGTTCCACCACATCATTCTCTCTTTTCCCAACTTGACGGAGTTGTACATATTGGGAATGAGACATTTGATTGTGTACGGCGGCTCCGTTATCATGCCAGCGTCTCCTGCTCCTCGCATCAAGAAGATGTGTATGGGCGGTTGTATTTCAATCCCCGCATTCTGGGAAGGTTTGCGTTCGTATCGGTCTGTGTACCTTGATCACCTGGAGGAATTCTACGCTATAAACTTTAGTCCGGATGAATTTTGTGCGATTGTCCAGGCTGCCAATATAGTGTCAAACGGTCTAAAAGTCGTGGAGATTACTTGTAGTTGTATTCCGAGTAAGTATCCCTTCATATCTCATTGAGCCCATGCTGACCAGTCATATCAAATAGTCTGGAACTTCCCGGGACTCTCTCCCAATGTCTCTCCTCTTCACTTGAATGCTACCGCCGATCTACGACTCGGTGGTCATCTGAACGACAGGATGTTGCCGTTCATCAATTGGTGGATCAAGTGCTTCCAAGCATTTGAGAAAGAGTCTACCATCATGGAGCGACTGACTATCAAGTTGGGAGACTGGGGGTCTCCTGTCCCTCCGGGACAGCTCGAGCCACTGAAGAGAGCATTCGAGGAGCTAAGCGACCTTCTCTCAAGGCTCGTCCGGAACGTGGATCTGGTATTCCAGTTAAAGGATTACCACGCTCATCCGGATCTGTCTGTGGATTGTTTGAGAGGGGCCATCGTAGATGCGTGCAAGGTGCTCAAGAAGACAAACTCGAGGGCTTTCGATATGACGGAGCGGACACCTGATGTGCCTGTGTTCCCATTCCCGGCTAGCACGCGTATCTTTTGACATTAGGTCTACTTACATTGCAGGAACTCAATAGGTCAGCTCATATTCAGAGTAATTGAAGAGATATGGAGGACTAATAAGCTTCAGACGCCCGGAATATTGTACGACTGTAGGTTCATACCCAAGATGAAACTTCAAGAACTATTGTAGCTACTGAGGCCTATGTTGGATCCGTACATCAGTACAACCAAGGCGTACGTATGTCAGAAAATAGCCGATCCTATTGTACAGATTTTCAGCGTACAGTTTTCCAACGAAATTCCCTGCGAACACGTCGATATCTTTTCCGGCGTGCCGTTCTACAGAATAGTGAGTCCTGTCATATATTTGCACCAAGTACTGTACGGCATGCCAAACGTGGGCAGAAGCAAAAGAAAAGAAAAGGCACGAGAGCGAAGGGCTTTCGAAGACCGGAATGTAGGAGGCCTTCGTCGCATCAGTACTTGAGACCCCGTTCTAAGTTATAAAGTTTCCGTCGTGAAAAAAATGAGTTCTGCTAATACATAGCAGAAGCAGAATTGCCATCGCATCGACTTTCTACATCGCACATCCCGTAATAAGCATTCGAATGTCTCGAAATACAAGACTGTGGTATGCACTATATGACTTTGACCAAAAGTTTACCCTTTGCTGCAAGTCGGGGGAGCTGCGTTTTAAGATCCTCCGCCCTGACTTCGAGGCTCTGCCAAGGCTCACATGGAAAGTTGTCCAACGACCAAGGCAACCGACCTTGATCCCATTGATTCTCCTCTTCGTCTCACAACCTCTTGTGAACCTTTATGGTTAGCATTTGAAACGCGTCGTCGAATGGCAGGCTGGCGAGTATCATGTCAAACTTGTTCCGCTCTGGGTGCAACGCGGGGTGCACCAAACTGAAAGAATGGCCTAATTCGATGTCCATTATCCGCAAGGCTGGCTTTCCGTCGGAAGCTATCACTCTCTTCAGACTTTGGATCCACCATCGCAGGTAGTAAAACCCATAGAGCCCATGTGTGATCACGAAAGTAATCTTTCGTAAATGCCCCATTCTGACGATAGAAAGTCTGTCCAGTGGATGAGAGTGCAGTGCGTTTGCTACCATATCTCTGATGAGAATAATATACACCAAAAAAAGGCTCATACAAATACTCACGGCAATTGAATGTCAGCGACGGAACACGAAGCGTGTCTGATGTCAAGGCGAGCATTTTGTCAAGATGCTGGAAGTCGATAATGTCGCTAAGACTAAATGCAAACTGATGCAGTTCGTTGATAGATATAGGACAGGTTTTTGTCTCCAGTATCGCTTCGATGAAGGCAGGACACCTGTATGAAGGTCTACTCATGACACTCAAGTTTTGGATAAGAGGTCCACGACGCGTAACGTGTATGTGTTCCAGTCTCGACTGGCTAGTTTCATCACCTCCAAACATAGGTAACACATACGGGCCAGTATGATGCACAACTAGCCGTTCCAACTTTGGAGACCCTTGTAACATAGCACACATCTGGTCCAGCCTATTCTTGACAAAGAAGATGTCATAAAGATGTACTTCACGGAATGAGTGAGAAGAGAACCGCGCCAAAGATCCATCGCAGAAGTCGACGAAGCTAGTGCCATTGTAAAATTTGATGACCTCGAGATTCTGCATTAATCTGAGAAGAGAGTTGACGATGTCGGATTTGGGTCGATCACTGAGAGCGGAGCCACGATAATACTCGTGGATGCAGAGTATCCGCACAAGGGGAGGAATATGTGAGGATTCAATACACAGGTCGTGGAATCTCTGGAACGCATCGAGATGGAATTTCCCGTTAAGGTTGAGCTTTTGAAAGAGCAGGGAGTGGCTACGTGAGGAGAAATTGCGACAGGTGAGCGAGCAAGCTTTGAGATCAGCGAAGTCGTGAACCTCGTCAATTATTGCATCGACGAGCTCTTGAGGAAAGAACTCCGTCATGATTGTAACCTGGATAAGCGTGAGGTAGGGAAGAGAACAGTAATTTGAGACAGCTCCACCTTGGTTTCCGAAACTTTGACAGTCAGGCGGCACGGTTTCAAGATCCAACGTGGTCCGCAGAAGATACCTGAAATACACAAAGGTACCGTCAGTGTCGAAGTAATATCGATGAGAAATATGCCAAGTACCTATCGCAACCGATAAATAGGTACTTCACCCCAGGAAATCTTGGAGTACATACACTGCTAGTATTCGGCTCAAGGTTTGGGAACGTGTATGTACCTTGGTCCCTCCACTTACGCGGAGAATCATTTGGCACCAGTTCCAATAGGTTTATATGCCGGTTCGACGCTACCAATGTTCGCGAACCGAACGTTCATCGTCGTAGATATCTTGAGAATGAGATCTGCACGCCACACTGTTGATGAGTGTAGATGGAAAAGGAGTCGTGAGAAATGTCGGCCCGAAAGCTCCGATCCCGAAGTCCAGAGTCAAGACGCTTTTCGGACGAAGATGGAGAAACAAAAAGAGGAGCAATGGCGTGCTAGGATTGCGGCTGCTGATGGTGGGGAAAACCAAAAGCCATTGACTTTGAATCGGTTCAAACGGAATGCGTGATGTATATTTGTTCTCTCCGAGTTATTCTATACGCCCCACGTTGCATGCTTAGCATGAATCTATCTAGGAATTCGGTAAACTGGTTATGTGAGCCTGTTAGTCGTAAGGTTGGCCTTCCTCCTTTTGTTGCTAGGTTCGGTTCACCATTCTTCTCGGTGAGCCACAGGGGAAAAGCTGAGTATTATCCCCCTGCATGATATACTATTTTGCATTTTCATTGCCATTCTGGCTCAGACCAGAGGAACTATTAACTTTCTAAGTCGCCGCATTTTGTAGGCTGTGAGATGAGTCATTGGTAGGCAAGAGAACGAGGAGCAAGACAACAATCAAGGTGACACTGACAGGCGCGGTATTTGAGTCGCGGATGCGCACGTGCAGTACGCGTCTGTGGCTGTCAGTGAGGTCGGAGTTTGAAACGACTAGAACCACATCCATCATGTTCTCTACTGCTGCATCAAGGTTATTCCACCTACCTACCCTACCTACCTTTCCTCTAGGCACCGTACTCAAGCACCTCCTGTACCTTGTACTCTTCAAGAGCTATCTGTACATCGATTCGATATTCTGGTTCCCGATTCTTCGCATACTTGAGTGGACTGCCAACATCGCTTCCGAGTCCGAGTCGTGGTGGGTACCTAGTGTTGCTGGGAGTAAGCCACCTATTGATTCAAATCTATATCTGTATCTCCCCTGGAACCACTACGTTCTACTCGTCGCGCTAAACTATCATTCTGCTACGTATAAGATTCGCTTGCCTTTGGAGGACCAGATTGGGAGGGAGGGGCGGCGGTCTAAACACTGAATCCTGCTGTTGGTCTACTTTTTCGCTTAGAATGGACCTGCATACTCGTCGTCTCTGCGTGGCTTGAACACCCGGAGCAAAAAGATCATCTAGCTAGTAAGATTGTGTTTCCCTCACTTATGGTCAAGTACTAACGTGATGAAGGGCTCCTACATTCCGGTCTTCGAAGGTCCTTCGCTCTCGCACATGTTTTTTTTTCTCTCTTTCTTTTCTGTTCCTTCGACCCACATTTGGCATGTCATACAATACTTTGTGCAAATATATGACAGAACTCAATATTCTCTGTGGAACATCTGATCATTTTCCTAAACCCTCAAATGTCTCATGCAGGGATAGCGATAACCGGATCAAGTTTAGCGCGCGGTTGACTAGAATTCTGCGCCGGCTCTGAAAGAACATCGCTTAGCTCTCTCCAGCGGCTTGTGTTAATATGCCAGCTGAAGATTCGCTCTGGGGTGAGAGACTCCTTTGCTGCACTGAACATCTGCTGATGTCGTCGTTCAGTTCATTACCGAGTCGCAGATCAGCGGTACTGCTTGCGGGATGCAACTAGGCCACCCGGGATGGTATTTTACTTCGACGACTAAGACTTTTAGGCCAATCACCACCCAAAGTTCAAACTTACAACGCGGATTTTTTCCATTGATATTTGGGAAGACACAACCCATCCCATGGATATCCTATCGCATTCGAGATACGGGTACGAGGGATGTCGTTCCTGGACACTCTTTGACACATTGAGAAGGGCCCGTAGAACGATGCTCCGGGAACGTTGGTCACGGCACAATAAGGCAAAACATTTCCATTCGCAATACAATTGTACAATGTCGCCGAGGTGGCGAGTGAATGCAGTAACTCGATGGTGGCTTGGGGTAAGAAAAAAACGAGACAGCGCTCGCGCTGACTAGGGGCCGGCGCCCTGGAAATGATGGAGACGTGTTCGGAAAACTGTTCACCGAAGATTTGTCTTGCTGGCAATAGGTGAGCTATTTTCTATCATACATTTTGGTTTGTGCTAATATACGGACTTAACGTAGCACTCAATGGCCGAAGTGGTTCTTGGGTATGAACCCACAGTCGTACAATATTACATACGTCCGAAGCTTGTCAGTCCTCCGTATCTCTTTCGACTACATGAGCTGACTTGTTGAGTACATTCAGTGCAAGTAGACCTAATTTCAAAAAATACGCATGCTAGCCGGGAATGGGAACACAGGCACATCAAGTGTCCGCTCCGCCATATCAAAAGCCTTCGAGTTTGTCTTCCTCAGCACCTTGCACGCATCTACGATGGCCCCTCTCAAACAATCTGTAGACAGATCCGGGTGAGCCTCGTAATCCTTTAACTGGAATACCAGATCCACGTTCCGGACGAGCCTTGAGAGAAGGTCGCTCAACTCCTCGAACGCTCTCTTTATTGGCTCGAGTTGTCCGGGGGTGACAGGACGTTCCTGGCCTACCATCCTGATGGTCAGTCGCTCCATGACGATAGCCTCCTTCTCAACTACTTGGAAGCACTTGATCCACCACTTGATGAACGGCAGCATGTCGTCGTTCAGCTCACTACCGAGTCGTAGATCAGTAGTAGCATTCAAGTGAAGAAGGGGGACATTGGCCCAGACTATTTGATGTGGACTAGTTAGCATGGGATAAATGAGATATGAAGAGATGAATATTTACAAGGAGCACAATTACAAGTGATCTCCAAAACTTTTAGACCCTTTGGTGCTGAATTTGCAGCCTGGACAATTGCATCAGGGCCTTCCGAAAAGTAGCTTATAGTATAGAACTCCTCCAGGTGATCAAGGTACACAGACCGATACGAATGCAACCCTTCCCAAAATGCAGGGATCATGCCAAAGCTGTCCACATGCAGAATCTTGATGCGAGGAGCAGGAGATACTGGCACAGCGGGGTTGCCTAACATATCAAACTGCCATGACATGATCCATATGTGCAACTCTGTCACATTGGGAAAACAGAGAACGATGTGGTGGAACTCTAGGAAAGTGCTCCAGTTGGCACCTTTGAGCTTGAGTCTAGTGACGGCGAGATACGGAGCCGAGGATATGAGCGCAGGCAAAATTTGCCGCCATTCACATTGTTCCTTCAAGCGCTGGACCGGAAGGCTGTCGTCCCAGAGGGACAATGTCATCGGGGATCGAAGTGAGTGCAAGAACTCGCAAGTGGCTGTCTGGTACTGGGGTAAAAAAATTGAGGCATTGGAACTGGACGTGCTTGATGCACTGGAGCAGTTTGGGTGAGTCGCGCACGATGTCAAAGATTTGCGCTTTGTCTGGGTGGGGACAATCAACGTAGCGAAAAAGATAGTCACGTGTGCGCGGGTAGAATTGGTGAGAGACGAGGGAGCATGCTTTTAACGCAGAGGGCGAGTCATGTAGGTTGTCGAGTATCTCGTCAATCAACTCTTGTGGGTACATGGTGGTGGAAGGTGAACTGGATTGATAGGCCATCTCCGAAGAATCAAACTACTTTTACTAAGCGGTAGGCATCTTGATGGCGCGTCTAACCGCATTCGTCCTCAGTCGACGCGAAAGAATGAACGAAATCGGGAATGATCACTAGAAGGGAAAAAAGCCGCCCCTTTTATTCCCAGATAATATGGACAGTGGGGAACCCACAGGAGCGAGCGTTAACGTTTGTTATATGAGAGGTTCTTGTGGGATCGACTGTTGTGCTCTTGTGATATCAAACAGTAGCAGAAACAGCGACAAACTTGAAAACACTTGTCAAGACACCGCACAGCAATAGATAATCCATTTCGCCACCTGCAACTCGCGCTTATAGGGATTCGCTCAAGAATTGAAGAAGAGGCGAGCAAAAAAAGATGATTCCAGGGGAGGCGGGCAAAGAGGCGAGTAGAAGCAGGAGTAGTGGGATTCAGAGACGGGACGCAGGCCTTAATCGAGCTCAGTATGAAGCTGGGGTAGAAAGCAGAGGTCTATGATGGGGAGATGGCAGCCCTCGCGATGGGAGCAACGAAAACAACGAACCATGCCAAAGAAGATGAGGAAGTGAAGCACTTACACTTCTTCGCAGACAACGCATCAGCAGTCGACGCGATACTCGACACCATACATACCCAAAACCGGACAAGAATTCTCTATAGTCTTTCACCGTCGCATATGACAATTCCTCGACAGCAACCCTTTACATACAGTCGAAAGCTCTTGGTGCCCAGGCCACAAGGACATCGCAGGGAGTGAGGGAGCAGACTACCTAGCGAAGAGAGGAGTAGAAAAGTCAGTAGAGACGACGGGCAGAACAAGAGCTAATGCCAAAAGAGAAGCGAAAGTAAAGACGTTGGAGGAATGGAAGAAATTCTGGGAGGCTAGACCAAAACACGGGCGATATGCAACGGCAAATAGACTCCCGCCATAGTTAGTGTACTTGTGGCGGTTAATGAAATGCCTGCAGAGTCAAAAAAAATGTATCCTTGCTAACGCTCGCAATCAAACCTTACATAAATAATATTATTGTAAGATTATTCCAGGATTACATTGCGATTTCCCAAAGACCCGTAGTAGTAGTACAAGTACTATAGACATTTAGCGACAAAATTATTTGATTTATTGCACTAAAACCTTACGGGAAGTGTACGCGAGTTTTTTTCGTCTGGAAAACTTCCTTTTCGGGTCCTATGCTGCGACTTATTTCGCGCCCTCGCGCCTCCCACCTACGTATACGATCTTTCGCAAGCACCTCCATCGCTATGGGCAAGAACAACAAGAAAAAGAGCTCCCTCCCTCCTCACGACCTAATGACCTCTGGCTTCCCCCAGCACGCCTCGACCTCACAGTGCACGATAATCGACACCCATACGCATCTTCTCTCCACGTTCGCGTTGTATCGCTCAAAGTACCCTGAAGGGCAGTATGAGACAGCGTTTGACTTTGTCAAGGGCGTGTATGCAGGTAAGGGGGTGGAGACGATAGTCGATGTGTGGTGCGAGCCGGAGGTTTTCATGCGGGGGACGTGGAAGGAGTTGGCAGATGGGAAATGGGAAGGTATTCAGTATCGGTTCGTCATCGGTGCGTTCCTTGCTTTTTTCCCCTCTGAATTTTCACACTAACCTTTACAGATAGGTGTTCACCCGTACGTCCTTTGAAAACCAAACCTGGGCTCTCGTCGCGATAATTTTTCCCATTTAGACACGAAGCGAAATCGTATACCCCTGCTGTGGAATCTGAGATTCTCACTGCGCTAGAGCATTCGGCTTGTGTTGGTCTGGGTGAGATTGGGTTGGATTATCATTATACGCTCTCGCCGCCGGATGTCCAACAGCGGGTGTTCGCCCAGCAGCTACGGATAGCCGTGGATCGTGGTATCCCGATAACTGTGCATACACGAGAAGCTGAAGAAGACACGGAGAGAATTATGAAGGAGATCGTACCCAAGGACCACCGAGTACGTCAACCTTGACCGTCCATCTGCCCTCTTTCCAAGCTAACATCTATTTCCAGGTCCACATTCACTGCTTCACCGACACCGCCGCATTCGGCCTGCGCCTCCTCGAGTACTTCCCGAACCTCCATATCGGCGTGACGGGCGTCGTCTGCTACGCATCGAACCTCAACACCTCTGATCTCCTCAAGCAGATGGCAGCCTCGGGTAACAAGCGGATACTGCTGGAAACCGACGCGCCGTATATGGTCCCGGCGAATGTGTATGGTGCGTTGGAGCCGAAGCAGTCGAGGTTGCCGTTTTCGCATTCGTTGATGATTCCATGGACGGCGGAGTTTGTGGCGGAGGTTATGGGTGAGGGCTGGGATGCGGAGAGGGTGTTGAATGTGGCGAGGGAAGGCGCTAGGAGGGTCTATGGGGTGTGATGTGAGGAATTCTCATTAAATGCTGATTATGCCCGGGAACTAATCTTAGTGGGGAGCTAGATAGACGCGACATGATATATAATACGTTTAGTGGCAAAACAATCTGACGACGAAAGTGACTTTAAATGGTGCACATCCAACGCGGCGGGTATCGATTAACTTTAATACCGGAGACTGGAACCAGTCTGCCATGTCAGAGATGTTGTCGGCAAGCGAGAAATATCCGAACCCAAAGGGACGAGAAGTTTCGAATCTCGATGCATTGACTAGGGATCGGTACCCCAGAAACGATGGTGACATGTTCGGACTGAACTTCGTTGGAAAACTGTACATCGAAGATTCGTCTTGTTAGAAATAGGTGAGTTATTTTCTATCATACGTTTTGGTTTATGCTAATGTACGGGCTTAACGTAGCATTCAAGAGCCGATTCCCGAAGTGGTTCTCGGGTATGAACCCACAGTTGTACATACGTCCGAAGCTTGTCAGTCCTCCATATCTCTTTCGACTACACAAGCTGACTTGTTAGCAGACCTAAATTCAAAAAATACGCATGCTAGCCGGGAATGGGAACACAGCCACATCAAGTGTCTGTTCCGTCATATCAAAATCCTCGAGTTTGTCTTCCCCAGCACCTTGCACGCATCTATGATGGCGCCTCTCAAACAATCCGTGGACAGATCCGGGTGAGCCTCGTAATCCTTTAACTGGAATACCAGGTCCACGTTCCGGACGAGCCTTGAGAGAAGGTCGCTCAACTCCTCGAACGCTCTCTTTATTGGCTCGAGTTGTCCGGGGGTGACAGGAGGTCCCTTGCCTACCATCCTGATGGTCAGTCGGTCCATAACGATAGACTCCTTCTCAACTACTTGGAAGCACTCGATCCACCAGTTGATGAATGGTAGCATGTTGTTGTTCAGATCACCACCGAGGCGTAGATCGGTAGTAGCGTTCAAGCGAAGAAGGGAGGCATTGTCCCAGACTATTTGTTGTGATTAGTCAGCATGGGCTAAATGAGATATGAAGGGATATTTACTAGTACAAAGAGTACAATTACAAGTGATCTCCAAAACTTTTAGACCCTTTGATACCGAATTTGCAGCTTGGACAATTGCACCAGGGTCTTTCGGGAAGTCGCTTATAGTATAGAACTCCTCCAGGTGATCAAGGTACACAGACCGATACGAATGCAAACCTTCCCAGAATGCGGAGATTGGGCCAAAGCTGTCCACATGCAGAATCTTGATGCGAGGAGCAGGAGATACTGGCATAGCGGGGTCGTCGGGCTCATACAACTCCGTCAAGTCTGATATGTACAACTCCGTCACATTGGGAAAAGAGAGAACGATGTGGTGGAACTCTAGGAAAGTGCTCCATCGGGGACGTTTGAACTCGAGTCTGGTGACGGCGAGATACGGAGCTGAGGATATGAGCCCAGGCAAAATTTGCCACCATTCACATTCTTCCGTCAAGAAATTGACCCGGGCGCCGTCGTTCCGGAGGGACAGTGTCATCGGGGATGGAAGTGAGTGCAAGACCTCGAAAGTGGCTGTCCGGTATGGGGGTAAGAAAAAATTGAGGCATTGGAACTGGACGTGTTTGATGCACTGGAGCAGCTCGGGTGAGTCGCGCGCGATGTCAAAGATTCGTGCTTCATCTGGGTAGGTCGGACAATCGACGAAGCTGAAAAGATGGTCACGTGTGCGGGGGTAGAATTGGTGAGAGACGAGGGAGCATGCTTTTAGCGCAGAGGGCGAGTCGTGTAGGTTGTCGAGTATCTCGTCAATCAATTCTTGCGGATACATGGTGGTGGAAGGTGAACTAAATCGATAGGCCATCTCCGAAGAAGCAAACTACTTATACTAAGCCGTAGGCATCTTGATAGCGTGTCTAACCGCATGTTCGGTCCGGATCTTTATAGAGACTGTGGTCGTCCTCGGTCATCGCGAAAGAATGCACGAACCGGGATGGTCACGACTCACTAGAAGGGAAAAAAGCCGCCTCCTTTTATTGCCGGATACCAAACCTTAAATTGTAATAATTTTTTCCGGAGATCCGCTTGGGACATTTTTCATCGATCGCGTCAAAATGACGAAAGCTCTTTACGACCATGGCCGAAAAACCCCCCTCCTCCTCACTTATTACTGATCTCCTGCGATGGCTACGAACATCACCTTCCACCCTGGTACGCCCGGTCACCAAACATGATTAAGAGGTGACCATTATCCCTCAGTGAAGGCTCTGTCTCCTCGGAAGAACGAACGACCTTACTCGGGCAGAAGGGCGTAACGATTTGGTTGACGGGGCTGAGCGCGAGTGGGAAGGTGCCGTTGATGCATAGCCGTCCTGCGTGAAAGAGCTGACGGAGCCGCCCTAGTCAACCATTGCATGTGCACTGGAACAACATCTCCTCCACCTACACAAAACCTCCTACCGCTTGGACGGCGACAATGTCCGATTCGGCTTGAATAAAGATCTGGGATTTGACGAAAAGTCGAGAAACGAGAATATCCGTCGGATAAGCGAGGTGCGTTGCCGTTACCAGCTATTCATTGATTGATCGCGCTCATGCTCACTGCTGGGTAGGTCTCCAAGCTATTCGCCGACTCCGCATCTATCGCCATCACAGCCTTCATCTCGCCGTACCGTGTAGACCGGGTATTCGCCAGGGAGATTCACGAAAAGGCATCGCTTCCCTTTGTCGAGGTGTTCGTTGATGCGCCTCTCCATGTCGTCGAACAGCGAGATCCAAAGGGGCTGTACAAGAAAGCCCGTGCGGGAGAAATTATGGGTGCGTTGCTCTGGTAATTTGCGCCGATGCCTCGTTGACACTCGACGATAGAGTTTACGGGCATTTCCGCCCCATACGAGGCTCCAGAAAACCCAGAAATTCACATCGATACGTCGGTTACGGATGTTACGGAGAGTGTTCGGATAATCACTGATTTTTTGACGAGTAAAGGCTATATTTCCGTGTAGAACGAGAAAGGCTTCTATAAAATTACATAGACAAGTGTGTATTATTGAGCCGGTGGACAAAAAGTCACTAGAGTATGGGTCAGTAATGTTGAAGCCATGGATACATTAAAATAACCTGTATAATCCGCTTGCGTAGCCCCTGGGCACGTCCAAAGAGAAGTGTTATCATCATAGGCATATGCATACGTAGTCGGACAAGGACCCTCTGCGTGCACAGACATAAGAACACTTGAAAAAGGGATGAATGAATAGCTTACTAAAATAATTATAGTAGGACACCCCGGAAGAAGGACAAGTCGCCGCCACGTTATGAGAGCCCGTGCAACAATTGGGCGAGTCCTCTGAAGAGAGAAAATTTAGCCAACACCGACGACATAGTAGGAAAAAACTACTACATACTCTTCTGCTCGTCGTTCTCAATCAAGCACGCAGATTTACACCCGACAGTCTTGCCATCTGGTCCTGCCAGTACGAGTTCCTGCGGACCTAAAAAGAACAACACCGTAAGCCTGAGAATCCATTCTGAATGGAGACACCCACAATTAGTGTTGAGGTCAGCAGCACAGACGGGTGCTTTACATCCACCAGTGGGCGTGACGAGCATCGGAACGCTGAAACCGTCTACAACGGAGACTACGACAGTTCAGCTTCGAGGTAAAACGTCTACGAGTCACTCACGATCGTAGTTGTCCTCTCCCTTTTCATCAGCTGCTAACGTCCATTCCGCTACCGTCACCGGCGGGACACCCTATCGAGAATCAGAGTCAACATACCAACATCAACAAACCTGAACTGTCGTACCGTCCCGGTATGAGGATCACACAGTAACCCTCCATTACAGCCACCCGTAACACAAGAAAGCGGTCCTTGTTTCGAAAAATCGCATTGTGTGCGTCCCTAACCGCAACCCCAGTCACGTAAATGCAAACAAAAGTCATCTGAGCAATACTAACCCAGATGCGCCCAGAAGTCCAGTTGCCTGGGACGTCGAATGACACTGAGCTGCCTGCAGGGGCTTCCCAGCTATATTTGCAAACTCAGCACCAAGAATGCTAGAGTAGTATATCACGCTCACCCAGTATCATGATTAGGCACCGCCTGGCCGACGTTTAGATCTGTGAAGATCTGAAAATGGCAGGATAAGCAATTCATGAGGCAGGGTACGAGAAAAGAGGGAGACGAACCGCAGGCCTAGGAAATGTAAAGCAATAAGTACGCGATTGATGAAGCCTGAAGGCTCACTCGGGTGAACACCTACCAGATAGTGTACGAACACGAATTCTTCACCGTGAACGTACGAGCCGAGACACCAGTGAGAGCGAAGAGAAGAGCAAAGATGGCCTGCATGGAAGTGAGATGCGCTGCACCGAAGGAAGGAAGATTGAGGATAAGTAGTGCTTGGAGACTTTACTTATACCCACCAAGTGAAGACCGTTGATGGCTATGTATTTGAGAATAGTAACCGTGTCGTAGAAATACATCAGACTTAGTTCACCGATGATTGCATGGATGATCCAATGTTTCACCCAGAAAAGAGTCGGGCACTGCAAAAGACGGGTTGCAAGCACATCGTCCGGGCAACCAGTTCGATGCCAAGGATGGGGCATTCATATGATGCCTGTATTATTGCTTCGCCATAATCAAGAGATTTCGACTTCTGGACGAAGAGCCTAGGTCGATACTTATTGAGTATTGAAGCGCGGTAGTTTGAAACCAAGGCATAGTTTGATGGCCGTGAGCCGGTATTCGGCAAATTTCGGGTTACCGGCGGCAAGTTGGACATGCCGATTTCAAGCCGTGCAGGGCCTTGCAGCGCGTTTCGACGTGTTTTCCACTTTTCCCGTCACAATCATTTTATTTTAGGTGACAATGCACTTATTTTCTTAGGTATAATTCTTCTCCTAATCTTTAAATGTGTCTGAAATACAATATTTATTCGTTGTCGTGTCAAAGTCCTAAAAAATGAACGATGATAATATTTACCAAGTACGGTACTATTGACAAAACCGACTAAGTATATATCTGATATCACAATGGGCATGCGTCCTATCTGGTCTTAATACAAAGAGTAAAGGCTCATCAGAGACAAATCAACGGTAAAACTCGTAAATACATATCATGCATAACTTCGCCCTACACCATATCCTCCGGTCGCTTTTTAGAGCCGCTCCTTCAAGAAATTTCAACCAGGGGTCTACAACTCCATAGAAGATTCGTACCGTCTGTTGACTATACTTTCGGGGCCTTGGAACAGGAATACATCATAAAACATTGTTGCAACCTGAGCACCAAGAATCGGTGCTATGAGAGGGCACCAGATCCAATATTGACTGAAAGAAATATATATTGTTCAGAGATACCTTCACGGCAGAGGAAGGGAAAACTTACTTTCGGAAAGTGTAAACCTGCCTTCCATAGCCAACCATTGATGTAACGATCCTTGGACCCAGATCACGAGCAGGATTAAGCGCGAACGCTGACCAAGTGGGAATTAGCAGTGCCGGAGGAAGTGAGGAGCGAATGGGTACACATACAAGTCTCCATGCCCAAGGAGGCCGATATACCAAGCAACGCAACGAAAAGCACAATGGGGAAAAGCCCGCTCGGGGGCGGTATATTTCCTGGATCAATAGTAGCAAGAATGACAAGTACAAGCATTGCAGTGCCTAGAAATTCTGAGAAGAAGCAAGAGACATTCGTCATATATTCCAACTGGAATTGAAGTGAGTGAACTTCGCAAAGAGAAGGTCTCGAGAGGAAAACTCACCGGGTAGGTCCCGAGGACTCCTGCTGTAGTTAATGTCCTGAGCCCACGTTCGCCTTCGACAATATCGATGGCATGAAGGTAGTTGGCGTAAACGATAGCGCCACCGACAATGCTCCCTAGTAGTTGAGCGAGAAGATAACCTATTGGGCATACGAATAAGAGAAATATTCCGTGAAATACGCGAGAAGTCTGACCGGGGACTTTCTTCCAGGGAAACCCACGCCATGTAGCGAGAGCTAGAGTCACCTGAAAAGTACTGAGTCTGATTTAATAAGAGAATACGAAGACACATACTGCAGGATTTATATGAGCACCAGAGATTCCCGCGCTCACCCATGCGCCAAGTGCAACGGCTGCACCAAAAGTGAGGAAAGAGAATGCTGCATAGCATTCAGCACTGACCGGCAGACCAGCCAAAGCAAACCGAGAGGTAATCCTACAAGTAGTCAAAACGCCTTTGCCTAAAATCTGCCAGAAGCCACTTACGCCTTTAGGCGAGGACGCCACGCTTGCATTCGCAGACAAACTGACCTGGCAGTTAACGCCCGTCCCAAAAATGACGAGTACCATGACACCAGCAAACTCGGCGGCAGGCTCTCGGAGAGACTGACTGTAGATAAATCGCACTGAATATCAAGGCGTGGCGAATCGATTCTAGCGTACCGATATTTCCACCACCAATTGGGCTCGGAGACGATTTCTGGTGAGGATACGAGTTCGATATGGTCGCCTACGCTCGAGATCTCTATCGGCCCAAAAGGCGATTCGTCTTTCTCGTCAGAACCACTGGCAGTAGACATTGCGCCAGAGGAATCGAGGAGTGAACAGAGGAGAGACCGCTCCAACGCGAAGTCCCAATATATCTATCCGGGCCGGGTCATGTCCACTCCGCAACTACAAACGCCGGAAGTGCTTCTATCTCTTGACTATAGGCCCTTGTGATATGCCATTGGTCATAATTTTCCGTTGTCCTTTTTCAGGGGAGATGTCGGTAGGCGTTGAGCACGGTAAAACCCCGATGAGAAGCTTGAGGGAGAGATAGAAGACACCATATGCTAGAGATATACTGCTTTAAGCCCCGAGATTTACCAAGCATTATTGAGAGAGGGAAAACGGATCAAGGTTGAGCCTGCCAATACAGTCGCTAGCATTTTTCATGCAAAACCGAAGTGTCGTAACCCAGTAGATATGGTGTAATCCATAAGGCTAGTGACGGACGAGGCCTGTTGAAATAATCCTAGCGGGTATGGAAGCACACGAGGGATCAGGACACGAATACGGGATTGACGCAGTACATGAGCAGTGAGTACGTAGTCAATCGAGTAAAGAAGAGGAAAGCGTAGCTACGAAAATTTACCGGTACGTACACGTGACTGATTACCAATAAACACGCGAGCCACGAGCTCGATATCCAACAAGGCCCTGATGATTTCTGAGCGATAGGCAGTTTTCATGGCCAAGTCGAACGTCTCCACATGGTAGGCAGAAAAATTCTCATGAGATTCTGCGTAGAATCGCGCAGAAAGCATGGCTTGGAATGCAAGGACCAACATCTATATCAACTTGATAAACACAGCAAGATCCATAGTTTCGATCAGATGCAGCAGGCAAGAAAAGATAGCGGCGATTTTTACAGGCAACGTTCAACTTCAAGCGCTGCACAATTTTGACTGGATCCGAAGGTGAAATAGACCTTCGAAAAGCAGCAAGTTCCGTTAAATGTATATCTTGCCGATGAATGCCGACTCGGAATGGTTCTTGCAAAACTCAAGTTCGATTGAATACTCTTCGGTCAACTTGGATGCATAGCAAACATAGCAACGCTTTCGCACGACAGTGCAAGGATTCGCTTCATCACTGTTGAAGCTTATTCTGGAAATTCAAGAAAGAGTTTTATTAAATAATATCGTGTATTCCATGATGGAAGCATCTAATTGGTTGGGAGTAGGAAAGATAAATCCAAGGAAACAAGTCCATAGGACTACGCTTAGAGTCCGACATTGATGGGGGTACAGCCGAGGGCAACGAGACCGTTCTATTTTTCGACATTAGTAAACATCGCATCCGATTGCTCTCCAGTGGCACTTACGAAGTTGTTCTTCTCACAGCAAACTGGCTGGTTAGCGCACTGAGTGGTACCAAGACCAATGACGGTAATGGGGTCACAAGTGAGGCCCCTTGAAAGCAGATCAGTAAAACTCAGAAGAGTCAACTGGAGAACACCTACACTCCGGCGGTGATCTCGCCAATGGGAATTCCCAGAAAACCGAGAGCATTCTGAACCGCTGAATCCTTCGGCTATTTGGATTAAGGGTGAGTTAATTTTCCATGCTCTGCCCATAAGATCAAAGAGACTTACATCTTGAACAGACTTGCAACATTGAGCGGAACCAGTATTGCATTGGCCTCCGGTGACAGTTGTGTTCGTGGATTCCCTTGGTACCACGCTAGCGGCAGCGAGAAGAGGCAAGGCCAAGATGGCGAGAGAGAAAGCAGATACGCGAGCAAACATGGTAAGATAAGTTGTTCGACTTGAGATACATTGCTCGACTACGAACATCTTTTATACGCCTCAAGATACCATGTCGGGACCGAAAGCGGAGATAATTCAAGAAAAAGAAAACCACAGATCGTCGGCTGCCAGTGGGTGACCGCCGAAATGTTGAAGTAACGCTTTGATAACTATAACGACACGACCAGGCATAATTTCGGACAGTCCAATGGCAATTAAGACTCTAGATTGATTGCGTGTTTGACTAGCCTTTGAGTCTTTGACATTGATATTCCATTTGTGAAGTCCTCGTCAGCATTCAGACTTTCAGAGATCTGTCAACAGAGTTACTCTCAGGGAAATTTGGAATTTTCGTGTCATGTATGGAGCAAAGACACCGAGTCACTGGCAGAGGGAATAATGAGGCAGGGCTGGTATATCGTTCCAAATGTCACTTCAATGATAGCATGGATCGGAGGGTACACATAACGTAGTTCACAAAAATCGTAAGCAATGTGAGGCTGTAGAAGGTTTCGGGGAGCCTTTCCTCTCCGACCTCAGGACTGGAGAGGATGAGCGTGTTGGCTAACCAGCAACGGTGACAGAAAAGGAAAGAGCGGCAAAATTCCCACGCAAGCTTGACATCGTGACGACCACGACATCGACTTTCGTTTTGCACTGGCATGCCAGTCAAGGGCCAAAAAATATCAACGAATCCTTTCGTCCGGCTCACGGAGGCAGAAAACTCAACTTGCACAACTACCACTCACAGCAGTAAATACCTTGCCGTATCTTCCCAAATCTTCAAGTTTCCCTTCCTTATTATTCTCCGGTCCCGAATGCAGAAATAACTCTACAACATCTAACTGGACAAAATATCCTCTGTTTGATATTTAGTGGCTTCTTGAACGATCTGAAGCGCGACATTGTAACGAGAGCGATACAGTTATCATTCAAATACGTCAGTATCTGGACTTTCTATGTATAGGCTACTCGAGCTTACTTGCTTGGCGTCAGGGAGTTTCCGCTGTATTTATTTTCCAGGATAAAATGGCACTATATACTAACAGGCCCTCTCTTCTTTCCTGACGGTTGCCCATTGAATACAAGCATGATATGAACTCGGTAACACTTTCCGGAACAACAAGTCTCCGTTAACCCTCGGTTGTAATAGTCATGGCCAACATAATGCTACCTTGGCAATTGCAACGGGAGCAATATAACGACCTTGATAATTCTTCTGTTTCGAACAACTCCTGGTATAGACTCGTGGTATCAGCTGGTCTCGGCTTGAGGACTTGAGTTAACCGCTTTGGATTTTCTTTCTACTTTTGACCTACATTGTGTCACCTGGAATGAGCAGTATGATGAGTGCCTGGAGCTATCTTTACGCACTAGCAGATGGTTTCCCTTGTAAGTCCTTTCATCAGCATTTTTTCAGAAAGATAATCAGAATAATTACACTTCTTTGCAGGCAAGACAGTTCGGAGCCTCTCATCAGATTTCTGCGTCATATGCCTTCTATACCGCAGCGTCCTTGGCAAGCAATTGGCATCTTGAACACGCTGGGCAACTTCCACATGTGACTCATTGCCGGACTACTTTTCTCCCTTGGAATCGGATATCATGATGAAGCTATGACCTAATCTGCTATTTGTACTGAGACGTTCTCTTTTCATCTACCATTTCCTATCAAATTCATCCACGATGCGCGCTGTTGTATACGAAAGTCCATTCCGCGTCACAGTGCAGGACGTTCCAAAGCCCACCATCGAGCATGCCGATGATGTCATCGTCAAAGGCGCGCCTTCATTCCTATCAGTAGGACGAGATATTAACATATCCTTTCAGTGACTACTAGTTGCATCTGCGGAAGGTAAGAACGCGTTATCATATTCGCACACAGGACACTAACGAGCGTCGTTACAGTGATCTGCATATGTACGAAGGACGTACCGGAGCGCAGGCTGGTATAGTCTTCGGCCATGAGAAGTATGGCCATTCTATAGTCATAATATTGCGTCTGATTTTTATGATCCAAGCATGGGCATCGTCGAGGTGTGTGTTCGGTATATGCGAAGATCTGTTGTATATTAACATAGGCATCATCTAGGAAACTGGAAGCGGGGTCGCCGTATGTCCCTCCCTCAACTCTTTCTCTCATTGATACTGACACGATCAGTAGCTCTTGAAGAAAGGTGACCGAGTGGTCATGCCATTTAACGTTGCTTGTGGGCGTTGCCTCAACTGCGAAGAGGGTCGTTCGGCTTTCTGCACCCACGTTAATCCAGGTTTCGTGAGTGTCGTTATCACAACGTTACAGCCCCACTACTGACACCACATATTACTGTACACAGGCGGGCGGGTACGCGTCTTATAATTTACTTCGGGATCCTAACAACATCTGACCATGATTTAGGGCCTATGGGTGAGTCGACCACTTATGGCATCAGGTTCACTGTTGAAGATACACTTAGTTATGTTGCAATGGGACCATATCAAGGCGGGCAAGCCGTACGTGACAATGTTATCAATGACGGGGACTGTATAACACTACGTGTAGGAATATGTCCGGGTTCCCTTCGCCGACTTCAATGCACTCAAATTACCACCTGGTACCGAGCACGAAGGGGACTTTGCACTCCTGGCTGATATCTTTCCGACGGTATGCCTGCTTAATTTTTGTTTGTCTCAATACTCAGTGACTGCTAGGGATGGCATGGTGTTGAAATCTCGGTTCGTTCTCTCCGGAGTCTTGGCCTTCAGCAGAATTTACGCCTTTAATAACAGGGCTTCCGTCCGGGAGAGTCGGTTGCCGTCTTTGGCGCTGGACCAGTCGGTCTGATGGCAGCCTACTCTGCTTTGATTCGCGGTGCCGCTGAGATATATGTCGTTGATCGTGTTCCGGAACGCCTGGCCAAGGCAAAAGAAATTGGTTGCATCCCGATCAACTTTACTGAAAGTGACCCTGCCGATCAAATTATCAAGCTGAGAGGAGGGTGAGAAGTGTTGTCCACGATTATTTTTATGCCTAATTCACGGCTTCGTCATGTTGCAGGAAGGAAGTTGACCGCGGAGTGGACGGTGAGCGCGTTTATTTCGTCGTTGGCGCGAATATTAACGTTCTGTTGCTCCTCTAGCTGTCGGCTATCAAGCTACGTCTAGCGATGGAAAGACCGAGCAACCCAATGCTGTGCTCGAGGCACTCATCAAGGTTGTCCGACCTACCGGAGGATTAGGTATTCCTGGGTTATATGTACCAACAGATCCTGGTGCGCCTGACTCTGCTGCTGCCAAGTGCGTACATCTGGATCTCTATACAATGGACAGGTACTAATGGATATATAGGGGATACATATCTTTCCCATTTGGTATGTCGTTCCTCTAGCTTAAACTCCACTGTCTGAGTGCCCTTTCCAGGCAAGCTCTTTGAGAAAGGCCTGACCGTTCGAACTGGGCAATGTAACGTCAAGGTCAGTTTTGCTGAATCCCGCCAATACGAGCTATGGTTTTTATATGACTTTGATAGTCCTACAATCGCTACCTTCGTGACTTGATCATCGCTGGTCGAGCGAAGCCTTCCTTCGTCGTATCGCATAACTTGCCGCTTGAAGATGCTACATCGGCATACGAGAAATTCGACAAGCGAATTGACGGGTACACGAAGGTCTTATTGCACCCCTGTGCTTAGATAAATCATCATGAATGTTTAACCTGTACCACTTGTACCCGTGTATGTAATAACGTCTTTACGTTGAATGTAAGAAAGATAAAGGTATATGTTCGAAAAATGGGGAGACCAGTGATAAAAATCTCAGGTATTGAAAGTGGGCTTAAACACCCAAGTTAACAGGCGTGCATCCGAGAGCAACGACACCGTTCTATAAGGGAAGATAAGTGTGCGGCCATTATGCATATATGAGAGAAAACTATTCACGTAGTTGTTATTATCGCAGCAAGCGGGTTGGTTAGCACACTGGGTGGTTCCCAGACCGACGACGGTGATGGGGTCGCAGGTAAGACCGCTGCAAACCATAAAATTAAGCATGCGAATCGCAGATATAAGTAAGATGACGTACACATCGGCGGTGACAGTGCCAATAGGAATATTGAGGACCCCCAAGGCGCTCTGAACGGCGCTGCTGCTAGGCTGCATAAAGTACATAAATAAGGATTCAGAGGGAAAGACACCTTGGACTCACGTCCTGAACAGACTTGCAGCACTGGAGAGAACCAGAGTTGCACTTTCCACCGGTGACGGTGGTAGTGGTTTTAGCGGCAGCTGCGTATGCAACCAAGGCGGCGATGGTGAAAGTAGAGATGCGAGAGAACATTGTGAGATTGAGAGTGATGATATTACTCAATGATGTTTACAGTCTCTTTTATACGACTTGAGAAAGTCTTGTGATCATGCGGAAATAAGACTTGAAGAGACTGCCTGCATTCTGTGGAGTGCGCCGCTTACGGTGCGCGTATGTATGTTGCATTGACTTCGGACAGTAGGAATGATTGTCATGATCATATGGTGTTGGTACCGAAGGACAGAGAGACTGCATCTGAATTTGCTATTCTTGGTACAAAGTCAAAAACTTTGACTGAGTATTCTGGGAGTAAGGTCCTACAAACCCACCGTTACTTGAAGCACATAACAACGAAGAGCGAGACCTCGCTGGGCGATAATTGGATTTATCCCCCTATTAAGAAGTGCAGTGCCACCGAGCCGCCGCCTTCTCCTGATCAACGCGGATGCGGGAGAGCTAGACGTCACCGATTCAATTAATCCGTCCCGTCATTATTAAGAAGTGCAGCGCCACCAAGCCGCTTTCTTCTTGCTCCATCAGGTCAAGACGCGAATTTATACTTAGATAGATAGAAAACGGTGTCGTGATTGAATTTCCAAAACATTAGTGCTGTTCCCCGAATAAATAGAAGCAATAATTAACATAGATCATCGTCACCACTACGGAACATTCCTCGTCAGCCAATGAACAGCAAACACGCAACATTCTGTCACTCACCGGATGACACTCTCCACCGTCCCAGGTCCAGATCTTCTTCGCATCCCCTACCACCATCTTCGCCAGGTGCATCATGCTCCCGTTCTCCACATTCTCTATCCACCACTTCACCATCCAGTGTCTGAGTACCCACTTGTACCAGACGTAGAACTTCCATTCGTAGCTGACGATCACTCGCGGATTAAGGTATATGTTGTTCATCTCGAATTGACGACGCATGTCATAAGGCATAAGGAACGATTCTGATGAGAAGCACTCGCCCTCCACTGACGCGCGGAACGACAGAGGTGGTGTCTGGGCGGGTGACAGATCGGCAGGCTGACCGAACGATGGGTGGGACGAGGGAAGAGGATTCGAGAGAGGTGCTGTTGAAAGGCGACCAGAGGTACGTAGGCTGACGGGGAGGAATGGGTCGGGACGGAAAGATACGATGCCATTCCAGCAGGTAAAGACAGGCGCCGGCTCGTCTTTCATGACCGCTTGCATGCCAGCGTCCTCGAGGAAGTAGGGCCATAGCGATGACACTAAGCGCCCAAGCCGGTCTCGGAGGACCCAGGCATCGTACATTCTGGTGCGTTGTCAGAGTCGGTGGGAATTATACAAGGCGAATTCTCACCCCCAATAAGACAGATCAATCCCACACGCCATATCGTAGTCCCCGTCGCGAGTCTTAAGGAGCTCAAGGATCGTCTCGGACTCGACAAAGACATCATTACTGAAAATAACGCGATCGTATCCGCCATTTTCCACCAAGGGCTCCAAGACCTTGTTCCTGACCGCAGCAAGAAATCGTATTCGCGGCGGTTTGGTATCCATACTTTCCGGACGCGTGATTGATGTGTCGTGATTGAGTATTCGGTGCTGGACCTTGAGCGCAGTTAGTCTAGTGCCGAATTCTTCCAGCAAGGCTGGGGTCTTGTCGCCGCTGTTGGATTCGACTGTGGAGACAAAAACATTGTCCTGAGAGAGCTGAGTGTATAATATGGGTCACTGGGGTGGAACTCACCGTGCCAAGGTACTTGATGAGTTTGATCACTTCATCACACCAGTATGGTACGACCCGCTCGTTGTTATAGAACATGGCACCGATAAAGACCTTTTCTGCAACTGGATTTAGACATTGCAAGGCAAATTGGCTATCGACGTACCTCCGTTTCCATGCCCTTCCGGTCTCGGAGATTTTATCGCAGCCTGGATATCAGCCTTGAAGCGCACGTCTCCGAGAAGTTCACGAGTCAATAACATGAACAGTCCACATATAAAGAGCGATAGATAGACCAGCACAGTCAAGTGCCATCTGTACTGGACATATCCGCGATGAAAATTTCGACTGCTGCGCGGGTCCGGGTCCAACTCGATAGCCTCATAGTACTCTCCTCGGGATGTCCTCCTGGCCCACACGCTCTTGAGAACGGTGAATCCAACGGTCCATATAAGCATAACGAGGCTCCATGTCGGTATAGACACCATTAAAAAGACGAGGCGAGTCCTGTTTGCTGGCCAAGCCGGCGCCCATGATCCCATACCCACGGTCGCGAGCCAGTAGAGATAGGCCTGGTTATAGATAAAGGCGAAGAGAAATGTGGGTATCGCATAAGGGGAGATCTGGCGGAGGGTAGAGAAGAACGTCCAGAATGCCCATGACAGCCTCATGGTGGAACGGTGAACCGCAGCAACCACTTTCCCGCCCATCCTGCCAAGTTCGTGCCAAGACCGAAAACGTTTCGGCGTTTAAACAGTTTACCGGCGTCGTCGACATCATTTAATGGGGGCGTCATTAATTAGTCATACCGACGGTTAGGCACCCGGGCAGATTCTGTCATTGGTGGCACACGACTCATGTGTCACTGTTTACAGCGCTTTCACTAGGTGCACGAATTTTTTTCAGGCGTAATCGAGTTGTCACTGCCTAGGAAAGAAGGAAGTTGGTTTTGGAAAGTTAAAGTTTGCCATTCAAGTTGGCGCTTTGCCGCAGTCCCGTACAAGCACTGCGTGTATGTGAAACCGTGAAACCCATTGTTACCGGTGCCAATCTGATGGAAACCCAACAACGCATAATTGACTCTCGGAACACACTTGGCAAGTAGAAAAGTGCATGTACTTTCTGGTGACAGAGAATGGATTTATTGTAAAGGGGAAAGAGGAGCTCGAGACGGAATACCCGGCTTGTAATCGGCGTGCTAAACTCTCGGAACCATGTGGGCCACTGCAACGTTTGCTGTGCAATCACACTGTTAAGCAATTCAGATGTTCCTGAACAATGAACAGATTGGAATCCGGAAACGCGCATCTTTTATGAATTTACGGGTCCTGTTATAGAGTAGTCTCTGGTCACGGAAATGAATTCATTAGAGAGGGAAAAATAGAATATGCTCTGCCCGGCTTCACATCGGCACACTAAGTTTGCCGTCGACAGCGATTGCCGTGGGGCAATGCCGGTTTGCGGCAATCAAATTTTCGGTTGGTCCCGAAACTCTGAAGCCCCCATGTTGCGCAGAACAATAGACTACGCTTGCCTTGTCTCCAAGGTCTCTTAAATTGGACTGTTCCATTCACTACGGGATTCAATCAAGCTTGGCAACTTGTTCTGTGCCTTGATATTGTTTTGAGTAAGTACAAAAGAGGAACAAATCTGTGACTGAAACTGATTTTAACTGGCAGCCTGAGGTTGTTCTTCTGTGCATCAACTGATCTCCACGTCGCTCGCACACAGGATGTCAATAAAAACCACGATGTCATGCTGGGGATACTCTAATTCGTGTATGGATCACCTAAGTAACTCCGGCGGCGAAAGTGACCAGGTCGTAGTCTCGTCTGTTCGATTGTATCCACTGTCAGCCGCTCTCAGTGTAACTTTCAATACACAGCCTGGAACTCTGGACGAATGGTTGACGTTTTTGTATCCAGAAATACTGCGCCGCCGACTAGCATCTTCCTCCTCCGACGTTGAGTGTTCTCACGTCAGTCGCTCAATAGAAACCGCCCTGGCACATAAAACAGCCTACCATGTACCGTTGACGTCGCTTGAATGCGATCTGTCGTCTATCTGTCTTGACCGCAAGGACTTCTATACACCAGTTCCGAAATATCGCTGTTCAATTCCGAATACAGTGTTCTGGATTGACTTCTCTGAACGACAAGTGTGTGATAGATTTCCTGATTGGATTTTCTCCGGGATGCATTCGCATGGGTGAATAGAGGACATGCATGGGGGAACTTGGTAGATCATCCATCAAATCATCAGGAATAGCATGCCGTGAGGAGTAGTCAAGGGATTAGTGATAAGTGGTACCGGAATGAGGCATTTAGCGACGTTAGTAATAATCGTTTCTAATACTGCTTCGGCCTCAACAGCAAGACAGTACGTCGTCTATCTTTACTATCGCCAAGTTACAGGGTGCGAGATTTTTTGCAACGCTTTGTGGATCAGAGAAGAGGCCGGGCGAAGCAGCGGACTAGCCCTGAGACCGGCGTAACTGACTAATGGCCGCCGCCTTTCCCGAATAATCGTTTCGAACATTTCTCATCGACTGCAGGACCATGCTCACCTTTTATATGCATGGGGTCCTCTGGAATTCGCTATACGGTCAGATTGAACTTCCCTTACTCATCTTGTGGACGCTATCTTCCAATCCCTGATAAATCCGCTTGAGCCCGGCGATTTGCCTGCTTACTCATTCAATAATACGGTACAGTCAGCAAGGGATCTTGGCAGCTGCGAACTCGAAGCACTTCTTATTTGTTGAGGTTCGCCTACTTCTCTTTCTCACTTAGGCTAAAGTATTGAACGGAGGATTACTTTCAGCCTGCTCCAACTTCAGCTTGGGCGAGTAAGGGCTTACCTGCTTTGTTCTCTTGCCTGCATCATATGGATGCATTCCTCAATTGAGCCTACCAAATCAAGTGTTGTAGCAATGAAAAGGTTCGTACGTCCTTTGAATTCTATACATCGGGTACAGGACATTCGCCCAAAGTCAAACGTTGCCTAGTTTCAGATTATTGTTTGGTCGTGAAATATCTTCACTGTTCACGGCAATAGTGCTCGAGATGCCACGCGTTGAAGAGCGCCCATCTATTTTCATCCATATTCCGGCATAAATACCGCCTCTAGTAGCCTAGACTGACCGTTTTCTTCTAGTAACATACCAAATGGTGTCATATGTTGCAATTGCGGCCATACCCTCCGGACAAATCCCTCCCTACAAATCCCACCGTCGCCACAGCTGTCCCAGCTTCTCCACACGAACGACCCCCCCTCCGACGTGCAGGCTACCTGGTTCCGCAATGTCGGGATACCAGGTATTCGAGACGACGTCTCCCAGCTTGACGACAGGATCCGTAGTGTTGGAGCGTTGCTACACCAACTCGAGCAAGAGCGGGCTCTTCTCCAAACCCGAGCCGACGCGTTTGCGTCTGTCCTGTCCTCCGTCCGGCGTATTCCAAAAGAGGTCCTTACTCGCGTATTCATCTTCGCTACGGCAGACGACACATGCGATGCTTTGAATATCAAGGCCGGTCCTTGGGTATTCATGCACGTCAGTCGCTTCTGGCGTAAGACCGCCTCTTCCTGCCCGTCTCTCTGGTCTAGACTGCGAATTAATGGCATCTTTAGCCATAGAGACCCGTCGTCCCTTCTATCCACAGTCCTCCGCCTCTCTGACCAGAATATACAGCACTTTACGTTTACTTGCGATGACGACGACGAAGGAGTGGGCGACGCCGATCATGAAAAGATGCTAGCGGATGTTCTTCGAGTGCTTTTGGAACATTCCAGACGCTGGGAACGTATCTCATGTGTCCTTCCCACTAACGTGCTTGCGCTGCTTTCAGCTGCGCGAGAGCGTTTCGATTCTCTCATATCCGTCTCACTGCGGTGCTCAGATTCCGGAGAGCTCGAGACGCTCGACGCCTTTGAGGTTGCACCCAAGCTAGTAGAGGCATCTTTCGATGGCTTTCATTGGAGGACGAAGATTCGGTTACCAGGCCATCTTACCACTTACAGCGACACGCGGCCTCAGGGAGATACCACACTTACTCCATGCTACCTCGATATGGTTCAGCGGAGCCCTCGGCTGGAGACATTCAGGGTCAATCACTGTGACACCGAAGGTGTATCCTACCAGCTTCCACGACTATCCCGCGTCACGCATAAATCCCTAAGGCGCCTAACAGCATGTGATGACCTCTTCTTAGACAACCTTGTGCTTCCCGCCCTTGATACCATGAACATCGAACCAGGAGATCGCCGCGAGTGCCCTCCCAGTGCTTGCATATCCGTCCCAGACCTTATCGTCCGCTCCCAATGTTCACTCACCTCGCTATCCCTAACAAACGCTGCTCCAGACAGCAATTTTATCCACATCCTACAGTTGACGCCTCACCTCCAATCTCTACAACTCCGATTCCCGCTCTGGATAGACAGGACCTGGCTCTACGAATCGCATATGAAGACGCTGATAACGCGTCTGGCTGAACACTCCAAGTTGGGTGCAGTGCACGTTCTGGTGCCTCAGCTACGGGAGATACACATCGAAATTGGGAGAAGGAACGAGCTTATTGACGAGCTCGTCTTTTTGGATCGGTCCTTCGTCAATCTGATCCATACGCGGTGGAATTTGGGTTCATTCTCGTTGGTGCGCTTTGAAGGATGGGCGAGGTGGACGAGGTTGGATGAGCATCATTTTCAGGAATTGAAGCGGATGAAAGGGGAGGGACTCGAGGTTGTTTTCAGGACGCTGAGCAAGGGTGTGATGGTGGACCGTGTTTGATTTGTTTTGCTAGTTTTGTTTGTATTCGCTTTGTCGTCGAGATTTTTGCTGAACGCTTTCCTTTCGTTGGATGAGATCTCTCCCGGAAGTTGACGTAATTCTGCTATACCTCTACGGATGCCAAAGATAAGAGCTATAGTGGTCTGTCAAATTAAATAAATAATGAGGCTCATGGAATAGTTATTTCGCTATCTAATGCACATCTCAACCACGATGCTATCCCGTTGTAACTCAATGATGTATGTAAGAAATCCGTTCAGCGCTGATGCTCCTTGACGGAAATTGTAACCCTTCCTACCAGCCGAGGAAACCGGGCTTCAAATTTCCTCACCACATCTTCGGTGCTTTCCGAGTCCTCGTACAACACACTCTGAGTCCTCTGCGACAACGACTGACGCGCCGCGTTCTCTTTCCACGAGCTCTTGACAGTCAGTCTCTTCTGAATCTTTATCGTCAACATTCGGAACCTTTCGTCGAACGGCGGGCTCGAGAGGATCTGGTCGAACTCGCTCCACTCTGGCGAAGCAGGATCCCAGCATTCTCTTGGAATGCCTAGTCCGATGACCATGACCTGCAACGCGGGAGATTGATCGGACTGTACTACTCCCCTCAGGCATTGGATCCACCAATGCAAATACTGAAGCCCATAGGTGGGGGATGGGACCGTGAAAGTAACTTCTCTCAAATGTCCAATTCTGAAGAGAGGAAGCCCGCCCAAAAGAAAAGAACTCTGTGCAGCTGCCACAATAACACAGATAAGAATAGAAAGTAAAGAGACACACATAAAAATACTCACCGACGTTGAGCAAGAGAACTCGAAGAGAGCTCAAGGTCAGTTTGAGGATTCTAGCGAGATGCTGGACGTCGGCGGCCTTGTAAAGAGTGAATTCAAACGATCGTAGTTCTTCAATAGACACGGGGCAGGTTTTCGTCTCCAAGATCGTTTCGATAAAACTGTATAAATGTTTGCTTATGACGCTCAAGTCTCGGATACGAGGTCTGCGATGCGCACTGGGCAAGTGGTCCAATTTTAGATGGGTGGTTGTGCCGCCCCCAATCATCGAGACACTATGAGTGTGATGTACAAGTAGCCGTTCCAAGCCCGGTGATCTCTGTAGCACGGCGCACAACTGCTCGAACCCATTCTCGTGAAAGATGACGTTAATAAGGTGTATTTCACGGAAAGAGTGGGTTGAGAGCTGCGCTAGCGATTCGTCGCAGAAATTGCCGATAGTGACGTGGTCGAATTTGAGAACTTTGAGATTCTGCATGAACTGGAGGATACAGCTGATGATGTCGAACACAGCAAGGAAGGTGGAGCTACCGCGGTGGCCGTTGACGCAGAGGGTCTGTACAAGCGGAGGGATATGTGGAAATGCCATACACAGTTCGTGTAATTTCTGGACCCCGTCCGAGTTGAGTTGCGATCCCTTCAGTTTGATATGGCGGAAGAGAATTGCACGGGTGCGCGAGGAGAAAGCGCGAGATGTGAGCGAGCATGCTCTGAGATCACTGGGGCTGTGGACTTCGTCGATTATCGCATCAATGAGCTCCTGCGGAAGGGACTCTGCCATGATTGGGCGCCCTGGATACTGTATGTGAGAGGAATAAGAACAGTGATTCGAACCAGTCCCACCTTGATTTCCGAGATATACGGGACTTCGGCAATCCTGGTATCGGGGCTTTTCAAGACCCAACGATGTCTGCAAGAAATGCGTGGAATACACAAGTATAGTTGGTGTCGAAAGGATAACGATGAAAATAAGCCAAATACCTATCGTGATGGATGGCGCTTCACCCCAAGAAATCTAAGAGTACATATACTGCCAATATTCGGCTCAAACATACAAGCCATAGGGAACGTGTATGAGTCGTGGTCCCTTCATTCATAACTGTCCATCATTTATGCGATATATTTAGTGCGAGGTACCTGGTACCGCGCCAATGGGTATAGATAGCAGCGCTGGTTTCTCAAATAATCGCAAACTAAACGCTCGTAGTCGTAGCTTGAGAATCAACTTGGCCAACGTCGATTACCGGTGGTTTAGACTACGTTGTCCATTAAATACGTTACTTCGTAATTTTAAAAGTGAATTTACTGATTCGTATGTAGAACGAGAGTTGGCATCAGACTCAATGCCTGTATCGCACGATCCGCAATGAGCTTTCAGGTTCATCAAAAGTAAGAACACAGTACGCACTTTGTCACTTTGACGGAAACCCTACTCTTTCCTACCAGCCGAGGAAACTGAGCTTTGAGTTGCTTGGCCCTATCTTCGGCGGTTTCCCGAGACCCCATTCCCAGGATCTCTCCGAACAGAGGCAATCTATTTTCTGCCTGCACACCGCCGTCGAACGACTTCTTCTGAATCTTTATCGTCAGCAGGCGGAACCCTTCGTCAAACGGTGAGCTTGAGAGAATTTGGTCAAACTCGCCCCATAGAGGCTGCGAGGTGGGGTTTCCCGAGAATGAAGCACCCAGTTCGATGTCCATGGTTCGCAACGCAGGGGATTGATTGAGGTGTATCACTTTCCTCAGGCTTTGGATCCACCATTACAGATAATGAAGCCCATCGTGCCCGGATGTGATCATGAAAGCAACCTTTCGCAAATGTCCAATTCTGACGATTGGAAGACTGCTCAAAGGAAGAGAATCCCGTGAGCCTGATGCTATAGTTCTGGTGGTAAGAATATAAGGTAACGAGACACGCATACAAATACTCACGGCAGTTGAATGTCAGCAAGAGAACTCGAAGGGAGCCCGACGTCAGTTTGAGGATTCTAGCGAGATGCTGGAAGTCGACGGTTTTGCTAAGACTAAATGCAAACCGCCGCAGCTTTTCAGCAGACAGTGGGCAGATTTTCGTCTCCAGGATCGCTTCGATAAAGGCAGGACAACTGTATGAATGTCTGCTCACGACGCTCAAGTCCCGGATACGAGGGCCACGACGAGTAACGTGCGTATGGTCCAGTCTCGGTTGACTAGTTTCATCACCACCAAACATCGACGCTGTCATCGGGCCAGTATGATGTACAAAAAGCCGTTCCAAGTCTGGTGATCCTTGTAAGACGGCGCACATCTGGTCAAACCCGTTCCCGTGGAAGACGACATCATAAAGATGTATCTCACAGAAAGAGTGGGACGAGAGCCGTGCTAGCGACCCGTCGCAGAAATCGCTGATAGTGACGTCGTAGAATTTAATGACCTTAAGATTCTGCATGAATTGAAGGATAGAGTTAACGGTGTCGGACGTTGGACGTTGGACGTTGGAGGGTGGAGCCGCGATGGTAGCCATGGATGCAGAGAGTCTGCACAAGTGAAGGAATATGTAGAGAGGTCACACATAATTCGTGAAATCTCTGGAATGCATTGAGTTGCGATCGGCCGCTCAGCTTTACCTGCTGGAAGAGAATGGCACGAGTGCGAGACGAAATGCGTGAGATGTGAGCGAGCACGCTTTGAGATCGCTGAAACTGTGGACTTCGTCGATTATTGCGTCGACAAGCTCCTGTAGAAGGGACTCTGCCATGATCAGGCAGCCTGGATACGGATGAGAAAGGGACGGGAACAGTAATCTGAGTCAGTCCCACCTTGATTTCCGAGATATTGAGGAGTTCGAGGATCCTAGTCTTAGAGTTTTCCAAGATCCAATGATCTCCGCAGAAATGCCTGGAATACATGCGACTAAGGTCAGTGCCGAAACGGTAACGATGAAAAATAAGCGAAATACCTATCACTACCACAACTGATGACGCTTCACCCAGGAAATCTTGAAGTATATATACCGCTAATATTCGGCTCAAGCATACCAGTCGTGGGGAACGTGGATCAGTCCCTTCATTCCTATGAAGCACTAGTGTATCTGTCCATCATTTATGCGAAATATTCAGTGCAAGGTACCGTACCAATGGGAATGGATAGTGGTAGCTCTGACGACTCCAATAATCTGACTGACGGCAGGTGTAGTAACTACAGTCGATATCTCATGGTGCCCAGGCCACAAGGACATCGCAGGGAATGAGCGAGCAGATTACCTAGCGAAGAGAGGAGCAGAAAAGTCAGTGGCGACGACGGGAAAAACAAGAGCTAACGTCGGAAGAGTAGCAAAAGCAAAGACAACGGAGGAAAATGCAGTGGGAGGCTAACCCTAAACCGTGGGCGATACGCGACGGCAAATAGACTCCCACCGTCGCTAAAGCCAACACGTCACTTCCTGGACCTCGCAGGGAAAAGGAAGACGTACGGCCGAGTCCTTCAATGCAGAACTGACCATGGACACATAGCCGAGTTCTACTCACAGTTTGTGCCAAGCGAGGACGTTGACTGCCCTTGTGGCGAGCTCTTCCAGACACGCAAACACTTCATTCACGAATGCCGATTCAACGAGACAGAACGGGTCACACTTCGAAAAGTGTCGAGGTCCCTGTACCTGCCGGACATCCAGGGCACCAAAGTCCATTGAGAAGACGGGTGCATTCACTCGATCAGGGGAGCCACGGGACCCTAGGCCGGCGGGTCTTCTGTCACGGTCTCGCTAGATAAGTCTTCCTGTAGTAGCAAAATCTGTGTCGGTAATGAGGCGCCGGGTCTCTTGCTGACTGGAGGAACAATGGTATAAATGGACTGCGAGTTAAAGCCGACAACTGGAAGCCGACATTACCGAAACACGTGGCCCCCTGGCCCGTAAACGTTGACCACGTGTCATTTGCTTGTCTAGTAGTTCTAGTACCAACTTCAAGTTCGTCTTTGTCTTTACTTATCTTTGTCTCGTCTGTATCATATGTCTGCTTATCGAGGACAACGATAGGTTCTTGCATCGCGCAGCTCGGTAATTCGCGTTTTGTGGCCCGTTTCAACTTACGATTTTACGTATCGCCCAACACGTGTAACTTTATCCCATTGAACCTGGCTTGCTGCGTCTCACCCTCCGAAAGTCACTGTGAACTACGATTGCGAATAAATTTTCGAACCTGAGTATCGTTAAACGCCCTTGAATATACGAGTAATTCCCTGTTCGTATACGATATTCTGATCCTGCCAGGTTGTACATCTCAAGGGGATCTAAGCGCCATGATCGAAGCGGCCAGGTCATACACGCATTAGGGACTTGACGTCTCCGCAGCCGCTCTCTGCTCTCCGGACACAGCCACTGCAGCCGCTCCGGACACAGCCACTTCCAACTGGTGACTTCGAGATGGGACATTTTCCAAGAGGGTTTGGGACATTTTTGGGTTGTGTTCAGGACATTTGAAGAAGGGCTGGGGACGTTTTGAGGTGGGGAGATGGGGACGTTTTCTGAGACTGTTCGGGACTTTTTTTTTTTTTTTCATTGGCTTCAGGACATTTTGAGATGGGAGGATGGGGACGTTTTCTAGGGTTGTGTTCAGGACATTTGAAGAAGGGCTGGGGACGTTTTGAGGTGGGGAGATGGGGACGTTTTCTGAGACTGTTCAGGACTTTTTTTTTTTTTTTCATTGGCTTCAGGACTTTTTGAGATGGGAGGATGGGGACGTTTTCTAGGGTTGTGTTCAGGACATTTGAAGAAGGGCTGGGGACGTTTTGAGATCGGGAGATCGGGAGATTTTTAGGTTGGGTTCAGGACATTTTTAGAAGGGGCTTGGGACGTTTTGAAATGGGGGGATGGGGATGTTTTCTGAGACTGTTCAGGACATTTTTTTTTCATTGGCTTCAGGACATTTTGTGATGACAAGAGACATTTTCATAAAGGATTGGGGAAGTTAAACTTTGAGACCTAAGTAACCATATGCTGAAAGGGTCTTATGAGGGACGTTCATCCATGGGTTTGTCCCCAGTGAGGTCTGTAAAATGGCAGATGAATAAACATTTTACCTCCAGTTCTCGCATGGTGTGTTCTCAGATATTGAGCAATGCATGGAACTTGAAGGTCCTGAGCACCAGATTAAAATGTTTTGATCCCTCACCATTGAAAACGTCCGGATTACCCTCTCTCAAATGCCCCAACTCCTTGTAGCAGGCTCATGTGTGGTACTGACTCTGGTTGGTCTCCTTTTTATGGACATAAGAACCAGAATCAATATCCCTCCCTCAAAATGTCCTGATCCCTTGTCTCGAAATGTCCCTACCCCGTCACCTTTGAAAATGTCCTGATCCCTTTGTGTCAGCACCTTTTAAAATGTCCCGATCCCTCCTTTGAAATGTCCTGACCCCCGGCTTTGAAAACGTCCCGATCTCTCCTCTCAAATGTCCTGACAGTCAGTGTTGAGAATGTCCTGGTCTCTTTTCCGAAATGTCCCATACTCCCCCTAAAACGTCCCAACCCCTCACCTTTGAAAACGTCCCGATCTCTTCCCTCAAATGTCCTGATGTCTTTCCCAAAATGTCCCATAGTCCCCTCTAAAATGTCCCGAACCCTCACCTTTGAAAACGTCCCAATCTCTCCTCTCAAACGTCCTGACCTGAACTGTTGAGAACAGAATCAGGAGCCGCATCCCCGGTGTCGGGCGGCGATCGGTGCTCAAAATGGTTCAGGATCATGTGATAGACCTGCTGTCCACAATTCTCGTATACTCTCCGAAGCGGGGGCATTTGCGTGAGATCGGCCACTTTACGCGATTCTGGTGCTTACTTGGTTTCTTCCCAGCACTGATGCCTCCTCGAGCCAAACGAGCCGCATCCTCCGGTACGCCCCCACGGCGCAAAAAAAAGGACCAGTACCACCACGCTATCCCAAGGTTCATATTGCGACGTTTTCAACCTTCCAGTGGTCCTCCCAAGTAAGTAAGCGCCCGTGCCTCGGGTATTCGATTTTTCACGCATTACCACAGAAGCAGAGCACAGCGCCAAGAAGAATACAAACAGACCCGTGGTAATTCTGAGAATGTCCTCTACTATGACTTGGCCTCAGGGAGCCTCGATGTTCGTCCCATCGGGAAAGTTTATGGGCTCATGAACCTCTACAGGGACGCAAGCAACCCTAGCAACGTCAACGAGCTGGAGGAAAAGCTTGGCGTCCTTGAAGATGGTGCCTCAGTGGTCATCCAAACCCTCCATTCCAACCTTGCCAGTGGCAAGGTCCCCCTCAAACGCCGCGATGTTGGGCGGCTACGGAAATTCTTGTTCGTGATGCATTACCGCAATCTGGGAGGGTCGTACTTCGATCCTGATCATCCTCATGGAGGCTCGACAATTCGGCAGTGGGTCGAGCGCTATAAAACCAAGCATCCATCATGTCAAACACACACCGATGTATGGCTGTCTGTCCTCCGCTACTACTTGGATACTCCCCATTCCCAGATCGTCAATGATGCCACTGCGATATATAAAGAACACGGAATGGAGAAGGTTCATCTTCAGATGTTGACCGACACAGTCGATCCCAACATGGAGCACTACCCGGCTCTTGCGTATCAAAAGCAGGCCGGCATGAGTTTCCTTTGTATATGGGAAGCTCATGACACATCAGAGTTTATTCTGAGCAATAACAGTTTTGGACTGTGGGAGGGCGTAGCTCCATCGGGCGACCAGATTCATCGTGTCTTTGTCGTCAGTCCTCAGATTGCAGTCGTGTTACGGTCCAACTTGCTTCCCATGTTCGAAAAGATGGGGCCAATGAACAGCGACCTGATTCAGATCCCCCAAGAACGACCTGTATCGAAACTCGTCAACGGGGAAGCTGGATTCCGCATTCCCGAAGGCTCCGATCCTTCGTCAGTCGATTTCAATCGTCTCAGATCACCTAGCGACCTCTTCACATTCACCATAACCAAACTGTCCCTCGTTCAAACTGACGCTCTTAACGCTGTAGTTTTGAAGAATGTTCACCAGGATGGCGCAATGACATTCTTGGGGAAGGAACGTATGTTCAGGACCGTCCGCTCATTCTGTCACGATCAGATGAACAAGCATGATCGACCAAAGTTCGCATCATTAATGCGGCACCTATCGGTCATCCCGACATTGATGGGGCAGGCACCACAGTCGAACGATCCTGTCGATGCTGAGCTTTATGCGACTCTTATGAATATACTGCTCGATGAGAAACGCTTTCCCTCTCACTATGACCGCGCCCTATCTGTCTTCCGACTAATTGAAGACACGTCCCTGCGCATGATTTGTCCTTTCATGACGGAACACATCTTCAATCTCTCTGCTGCCATGCAGAAATGTCAGACTCGTTTTGGTGGGGATGTCTACAAAGCTGTAGGAGACACCATTACCTTGGAATCGTCTCTGTCGGAGGAGGTTTCGTCGAGAGTATTTCAAGGGCTGGATCAGTTCATATCGGATAAACTAGGTGTGCGACTGGCCTATGATTCTAGTGATGTTCTTGGGCAGGTGGGCAAGGAGGTCGTCCTCGTTGCATTTCTTGACTGGGTCATTGACGAATCAGGTCATGTTTTGGATAAGATGCCTGATGTAACGATGCAAGCGGTGCAGATACAAGAGTTTTGACATTTTCATTCTCCTTTGGCTATAGTCCTCGTTCATAACAACTGTAGTGTTGAGGACTTTGTATTTTACCCCTTGCGGGAGGCGTAGGATGGAGCAAGTGTTTCCTTTCTTGTGTATGTATTGGTTGATTGTACATGTACCCGGTCGATTTCGCTCTTACAGAATATATGCTCTCAGCACCATCGAAGTTTCACGTCCCGGACTCATGACAATCACAAAATATCAATATTAATTATAACTTGAACTCGAAATAAATCATGTAGTACACGTTTAGGCCGCCACATTGAGGGGAGTGCAGCCTAGAGCAACAAGATCATTCTTCAAGTTCAACATTAGTCTCTATCCAATTCTCCGAGGACCCAGATACTCACGAAGTTGTTCTTAAGCCTTGGGGCCAGGGAATACAAAGAGAACATCTAAAAACATGAATTAGTGAGAGATATGAGCAGAAGATACCTTGTCAGAATCATTTGGGGGCAGTTACGACCCTGATGGGCAGACGACGATGGTGGGATGGAGAAAAGGACAGGAAAAAATCAGTCTACTGGTGGATAGTCGGGCCAAACAACATATGAGAGTGAGCGTTTCAAATTTGAGTAATCCAGGATAGTGATGGGATAGCAAAAAGATACAGTGTGAAAGCAGAAGTCGTTGGGGAAGGTCAGAGAGACGGCAGTCGCGGTAAGAAGTGGTATGTAGGAGAGAACCGGAGAAAGCAGTTGGAGGGAAACGGGACTGAATAGAAAAAATCCCACGCTAAGCCGGGGACAGTAGGTCGGTAAATGCCGTGATGAATTGATTCCCCAAATAGATTTCTTCCCACGGTAAGTTCAGGTCTGATACAAAGGACTCGGAACCGCGAGAAACATTTTCCAGGTTGTCTTCCTTACCTTAAAAGAATGGAAATGATCTTATCTTTCAGCTTCTCGTTCTGAACTCATTTTACCATTAGAAGATCAAAGGAAATGTCACAACATTTTGAGGTCTCGTTTTTCCGATGAGAAAATGTACCGGCCCCCGCAGTGTCAAGGGGATCTAAGCACCGTGATCGAAGCGGGGCGTATGTGTGTGATCGGTTTACCACTTCACACGATTCTGGCGCTTACCTGGTCTCCTCCTAGCACTGATGCCTCCTCGAGCTAAACCAGCCGCATCCTCTGGCGAACCACCACCGCACAAACAAGACCAGTTCCATCACGCCATCCCGAGATTCATATTGCGACGTTTTCAAGTCGGTCGTCGCAAGTAAGTAAGCGTTCGCGCCTTGTTTGGTCGATTTTTAACGGATTGCTACAGAAAGAAAGCAGAGCGCCAAAAAGAATACAGACGTACCAGTGTTGATCCTGAATATGTCCTCTACTATGACTTGGCCTCAGGGAGCCTCGGTGATCGTCCCATCGGGAAAGTTTATGGGCTCATGAACCTCTACAGGGATGCAAGTAACCCTCGGAACGTCAACGAGCTGGAGAAAAATCTTGGCGACCTTGAAGCAGGTGCCGCGGTGATCATCCAAACCCTCCATTCCAACCTTACCAGCGGCAAGGTCACCCTTAAACGCCTCGGTGTTGAACGGCTGCGGAAATTCTTATTCGTGATGCACTACCGCAACCTGGGAGGATCATACTTCGATCCTGATCATCCCCATGGAGGCTCGACAATTCGGCAGTGGGTCGAGCGCTATAAAACCAAGCATCCATCATGTCAAACACACACCGATGTATGGCTGTCTGTCCTCCGCTACTACTTGGATACTCCCCATTCCCAGATCGTCAATGATGCCACTGCGATATATAAAGAACACGGAATGGAGAAGGTTCATCTTCAGATGTTGACCGACACAGTCGATCCCAACATGGAGCACTACCCGGCTCTTGCGTATCAAAAGCAGGCCGGCATGAGTTTCCTTTGTATATGGGAAGCTCATGACACATCAGAGTTTATTCTGAGCAACAGTGGTTTTGGACTGTGGGAGGGCCTAGCTGCATCGGGCGACTACATTCATCGTGTCTTTGTCGTCAGTCCTCGGATTGCAGTCGTTTTACGGTCCAACTTACTATTCATGTTCGAAACGATGGGGCCAGTGAACAGCGACCTGCTTCAGATTCCCCAAGAACGACCTGTATCGAAACTCGTCGATGGGGAAGCTGCATTCCCCGAAGGCTCCGATCCTTCGTCCGTCGATTTCACTCTTCTCAGATCACCTGACGACCTCTTCACATTCACCATAACCAAATTGTCCCTCGCTCAAACCGACGCTCTTAACGCCGTCGTTTTGAAGAATGTTAGCCAGGATGGGGCCATCACATTCTTTGGGAAGGAACGTATGTTCAGAACCGTCCGCTCATTCTGTCACGATCCAAAGAACAAGTATGATCGACTAAAGTTTCTGTCATTAATGCGGCACCTATCGGACATCCCGACAATGATGGTGCAGGCACCACAGTCGAACGATCCTGTCGATGCTGAGCTTTATGCCGCTCTCATGAACATATTGCTCGATGAGAAACGTTTTCCCTCTCACTATGACCGCGCCCTATCTGTCTTCTCACTAGTGAAAGACACTTCCCTGCGCATGATTTGTCCTTTCATGACGGAACACATCTTCAATCTCTCTGCTGCCATGCAGAAATGTCAGACTCATTTCGGTGGGGATGTCTACAAAGCGGTAGGAGGCTCTATTACCTTGGAATCGTCTCTGTCGGAGGAGGTTTCGTCGAGAGTATTTCAAGGGCTGGATCAGTTCATATCAGGTAAACTAGGTGTGCGATTGGCCTATGATCCCAGTGATGTTCTTGGGCAGGTGGGCAAGGAGGTCGTCCTCGTTGCATTTCTTGACTGGATTATTGACGAGTCAGCTCATGTTTTGGATAAGATGCCTGGTGTGGCAATGCAGGCGTTGCAGATACACAAGTTTTAACATTTTCATTCTCCTTTGGCTATAATCTTCGTTCGTAGCAGCTGTAGCGTTGAGGACTTTGTATTTTACCCCTTGTGGGAAGCGTAGGATGGAGCCAGCGTTTCCTTTCTTGTGTATGTATTGGTTGATTGTACATGTACCTGGTCGAATATATGCCCTCAGCACCATCGAAGTTTCACGTTTCGGACTGATGAAAATCACAAAATATCAATATTAATTATAGCTTGAACTCGAAACAAATCATGTAGTACACGTTTAGGCCACCACATTAAGAGGAGTGCAGCCTAGAGCAACAAGACCATTCTTCAAGTTCAACGTTAGTCTCTATCCAATTCTCCGACGACGCAAGTACTCACGAAGTTGTTCTTCTCGCAACACACAGGCTGGTTAGCACAAGAAGTGGTGCCGAGACCAATGACAGTGATGGGGTCACAAGTAAGACCACTGTAGAAGCAAATCAATAAAGTCCATGACTCGAAAGTAGAACTTACACGTTGGCGGTGATATCACCAATGGGAATCCCCAGAAGACCAAGGGCGTTCTGGACAGCGGAGGACTTGGGCTATTAATTGACATCGTGAGTATTATCCTTCAAGACGATATTTTAGAAAAACTTACATCCTGAACCGACTTGCAGCACTGGGCTGAACCGGTGTTGCACTTGCCACCGGTAACGGTGGTATTGGTGTCTTGTCTTGGGACGGCACTGCTAGCCACGAGGAGAGGCAGAGCCAAGATGGCGAGAGAGAAGGCTGAGATACGAGCGAACATTATTGTGAAGCTGGAAGCTGAGGGTAAATTCCTCGACTTGTTGTGTCTTTTATACAGTCTCCTTCATGCGGACATAGTGGATTTTGCTTGTGAAATTACGCGTATGCGACAGACTGCTTGATTGAATTAATTAGATGGAGAAATTTACGGAAGAAGAAGGCTTCTATTGTTCTCATATTTTGTGGAGATACTTTTCATGACCGATCTGCAATTGGATACATAAAACATGACGGTGAAAATTGATAGATAATTCGGTCCGGCGTTGGTAGGTATTTTGATTGTGGATACTATTTCTCCATATGAGTGACTTGGTTAGTGGGCAGGATGGTGGGAAAGACCAGGAGGTACAGTGTTGAACGTTGAATTGTGAACTTCACAATTCCGTTGAGAGGCTTTCTGTCGAAATGCCGGTGGTTCGGCACTTCGGCACTAAGCCGACGATCAATCCCACGTTGGTCCTCTTTCCTTCTAGTTCGTGATTGCCATTGATCTAGCAGCGCGTCAGCATGATGTTCAAATTCTATTCTACGGCAGCTTTAGGTAAGCGCACCTAGCGTTATCGCTCGCCTTTACAATTGTACTCATTTATCAGGTATCGGTGTGTCTATTGCGCTGTACTTATCAACCCGGTATGGGGTCTTCCAGCCAGTCAAAGGTGTTCCATTCGTACCTTCCGAGCCTCCAGTCCTTCCCATGGATTTTCCACGTACCCTTGTGGAATGGAGAAACAATGTTGTAGTTACTGATGATGAGGTTCCTTACTACGATATGTGGAAACTTCCTTTTCTCATCCAGTTCTTTCATGATCATGGTCTTGATTTCAAGTTGTGGATCCCCGTTAATGACTGCGAGCTTTCCCCGCCAAACAATAATCCTCGTCTTCACGATTACACCTATCTTTCTGACTACCCTGGACCACCAACTAGATTTTACGGATTAGAGGTCTGCAGAAATCGCGTTGTATTTTCGCCAAGGCTAATTCGTCATAGCGAGCCATCCATTGTCCGGCTCGCACCTGCTGGAACCAGGATGTGATTCTACGCCTTATATCTATTGACGGGGATATCTCTGGAGTCGAGCACCACCTAGCTCTGAAGCGTCTCTCCACGGGTGAAGACTCATTTCGAGGAAGAAATCATGCCCTTCCCGTCTTGCAGGAACTGAAGTATGAAGGCCTCACATTTGTCGTATTCCCGATGATGTGGTCAGCCCACAGGCTTTGGTGGTTCTATGACTTGGGAGAGATTCTTGATTTCGTTCTCCAGGTTACCGAGGTGTGTCCTAAATATCGAGACATCGAGTCGTGCGACAAACAACTGACGGAATATATAGGGCTTGAATTTTTGCCACGAAAGGCTTGTCGCTCATCTGGTCGGTATTATGCCCTATTTTCTATTTTCACCTGAGAACTAATGCGAATATTTCAGGACATCTCTTATGACAACATACTTGTTAACTTTGCTGGAGGCGCACAATTCCCCAAGGACTTTCGCTGTTGGGAGCAAGTAGCACCTCTCAGGTCTCATTTTCCCGTCCGCTATTATATCAACGATTTTGAGCACGCTGCCGTCTTCTCCGAGGATTCCGAGCCGTCCGACAGGGTAATATCAGGACTACCAAATGCGCGCTGGGGCGGCACAAAGGAAAAATTTTTACGTCGTGTTCCACCGGAAATGGAGAAAACAGAGCCATATTGCCCTTTCCGAGCTGACGTTTGGTCCCTCGGTGGCCTCTTCCAAAGGTACCTTGGAGTGCATCTCCTGCAATTTTCGAAGAAGGTATAGAAAATTTGGCAGGTACCCAATATCTCTACCACTCAATATCTTCTAGCATATGATCGAGTTGGGTCTATGGGATGATGAGGCGGAGGTAGGGGATCCCTGTCAGTCCGTCCGTTCTCTAGCTTATCCAAGCCTACTTTCCAGCTGGACAGCATAGTATGTCGTGAACAGTCTTTGTGCCTACATGACTTGACACTGTGATAGCTTCTGGTATTAAAAGACGCAGACCAGGTTTCGAAAGAATTCCTCGAACATTCGAGTGGTTATAACGTGCTGATTTGGAACTTCGCAGACTGTCCAAACGAAAGCCGCCAATACAACTCTTCGTCTTCTCGTCCTATTCAAAGAAATGCAACTGGAGAACTCTACTAACCGTCCACTGATGGCAGAAATATATGGAACGTTACAAACCATGATTCGGCACGCTGACCGCGCTGTTCAAGAGGTCTACATTAGCATCTACCTTACACGAGACGATACCCCTGCATCATGATTGAATATACTTATTACTACACCCTGCTGTAAGTATTCAACTCAATCAATCAGATCCACCGTCGACTTGGTGCCCAGCGCGAAAGGAAAACGTTTGGGATTGTATCGTAACGGTTGCAGTTCGTGGAATACGCCGTAGCTTGGGTGGCTTTATTCGACGATAGCTCCCTTGTACGTACTAATAAGTGTACAGTAGAGGTGGGTCATCGACTCCAGTCTCCTTATATAATACACGAACGGTTCGTTGTGACGGATATCACTCAGGTTGTCAGACAATGTTTTTCGTGTTCGACCTTCTTGGATGACAGGAATACTGTAGCCCATACCTCTATCAAAAGGGTTGTTAAGACCGCTCGATTTTCCGTTTCTATCTTTGTCGCACGGAATTTGCACAAAATCACAATTATCAAAAATTATCAAGAATCTCGAACAAGAAAACACTGAGAATGCTACATGGTAGGTAGACTAGGATAACGCTTAAAGAACCACGTTGATGGGGGTGCAGCCCAGAGCAACAACTCCGTTCTTCAGAGTGCATGATTAGTTTCCATCAAAATTTCCGAGAACGATAGTACTCACGAAGTTGTTATTGTCACAGCACACGGGCTGGTTAACGCACGAAGTAGTGCCGAGGCCAAGAACGGTGATGGGGGTGCAGGTGAGACCGCTGTCGAACCCAATTCAATAAATTTTTTTGTTATAACACGAAAGAATAACTTACACATTGGCGGTGATTTCACCGATAGGAATCCCCAAAACGCCGAGGGCGTTCTGGACAGCGTCGGACTTGGGCTATGATACGACATCGTGAGTATCTTCCTTAAAGACGACAATATAGAAAACCTTACGTCCTGAACTGACTTGCAGCACTGGGCCGAGCCGGTGTTGCACTTGCCGCCGGTAACGGTGGTATTGGTGTCTTGCCTTGGGACGGCACTGCTGGCCACAAGGAGAGGCAGAGCCAAGATGGCGAGAGAGAAGGCTGAGATACGAGCGAACATTGTTGTAGAGCTGTGAATGGATAATATGTTTCCTCGGAAATGTACGTCTTTTATAACATTTCTGTTCTATGGAGGTAAACGTCGGTACCGACCCACGACAGACTGCTTGAATAATTCTCTGCATGTTACGAGAACATAGGAACATTGGTCCTGTTACTTGTGGCGGAATTGAGGAATGTTTTTGATAAAATTAATCGATCGTTGAAGGGAAAAACGAAAGGACATCCAATTTACAAGTGGCGATATCTTCGTCTCCACCTATAGACAACCCTGACAATCGGCAAACGAAAATATGTCAGGACATCTGCCTATGCTTCTATAGTGCCTCTTAGTACTGTGTATATTGACCTAGACTTGAGATTACATCTTCCAAGACATGCCTCTATAAGTGAGCTGAGTAATTACTAAACAGCGAAAATGAGTACAATTCCAATATCCAAATTAAACTTCCGCTAGTATCTGCACCAGTATGCTCTTGACAGTCGGCTTCTCATCATTATTCGCAGACATAAACACCGCCCCGGACATGACACCATAGAATATTTCATCATCCATATCCCTGACCCTCAGCCGATGAGTCATCACTCGGGGCACAATCCTCGCAATATCGGCTTCAGACACATCGAGCACAGGAATAGGTTTTTCTGTCTCTTCCAAGCGATCCAGATCTATGGCGCCGTCCCAGGATATCTCATCCATCACATCAAAGAATTTGTCTTCTTCCCCTTCATCTGCGTGTGTAGAAGTTTCCCCCAAGGCGGCAGTCTCACGAACAAGTTCCATACCCGTGGGATCGCAGCCTAATACACGACTTGCCCGAGCCAGATCCTCAGCGTCCCGCATAGAGCGGGCTGTCAACCACATCCCGTCGAGCTCGTGGTGGTGTCTTGCGGTTGTGAACAAGTCAGAGAGATACAGCTTCAGACGCGCGGGAAAGTGAGTGTGATGGTAATATGCATGGAGATCATGGATGAGGGACTGGGGTATTGGCGTGGGACCGAGTACGGGAGTGAGGTGCGGGTGCTTGCAAAGTGCGCGAACGTCAGCTGTCAGACTGACTGTTGCACTCATGGCAAAGTGGTCTAACTATGTAAGGCGTGAGATGAAGACGCATAGCATTGGGATGGGCCATGCTTACCAGATTCTTGTGAATCGCGGGCCGTTCTCTGGTATTCATCGGACACACGTAGATTAGCATGAATCCATCCGGGAGGTTCCATACGCCGTCCATCTCCTCGTCCTCAAGATCATCATATGAGGAATCCGCGCCTATTGGCTGTTTCATTTCCCTCCCATGGGTCGAAGACCTCTCCACTTCGGTTTCCTGGGAATCAAGCACCACGCGCTTCTCTGCCAAGACTTTTATTAGCGCTCTTTGAGAAGGAAGGCTGGCATTCTCCAGTCCTGAAAGCACAACAGCATTGGGAATTTGCGAGAACTTCAAGTCTCTTGATTCCTGAAAAGGCGCCGAGTCAAGGAACGAATGGACGAATGTGGGAGAGTGAGGTGAATGTCCGGGAGCGAAAGGATTTGATGCCGCTGTAGCTTCTTTGCCACTGATGGTGGAAGGGACAGAAAGGACTTTGTCTTCATGTACATCAGAGTTGGTGGAGGTTGGTGACAATGATTGAGCATTAACCAAGTCGTTTGCAAAGGAAGAAGAACGGGAATAGCGCTTAGATCTACGTTTTGTGGTACTGCGCGAGCCGGAACGACATTTCTCTGTCTTACAGGCTGATCCTCCTGAGATACCGGTATCATCTATAGAACTCAGAGTCGAACTAGACGATGGCGTTCCTGGTAGGAATAATGACCGGAGAAATGAGCTCGCGATTGTCTGCCGGAAAGCGGGATGTCGGGGCTCAGGATCTGATCTACGTATGCGCAGTTTGTGGGTCACAATACCAAAAAGAGAGGAGAGGATCTAATAACAATGCGTAGCAGCTGGTTGGTTAGTACCGTTATCGTATTGCCACTGACGAAAGAGGGAAAGAGATGGTCATGGATACCATATATCACTGATGGCGGTTGGATGAAATTAAAGAGAGCGTATTTGACCAGGGTCGAAGCAACATGAGGCGATGGGCGGTTGCTCACTACTGTTCCGACCATCCCGCAAGAATGAGTATGAAATAAATAGGCACTTACCGTCGCAGCAATTCTCTGGACATGAGGTATGTCTTCCTCAGAAGCACGAAGGATAAGGTGTTTATCCCCCGAAATGAAACAGAGAAGAATCGATTGCAAGATGACGATGTCCACAGGTATCCCAGCGCCAAATGTGGCTTCCTGGATGTTGGCCAATAAGCGGGGAAAGAAAGCCGGAGTGCCGATGGCTGTAGGCAGGTTGCTTGGGCCAGCAAAAGACATGTGTGCTGACTAAAAGGAAATCCAAGTGTTTCAGAATCGGAGACTAGCGTCTTGTGGATCTGATTGTGGCTGAATCCGTGAAAAAGGCACGGGAATCAGAGTCATATGAAGGTGAACAGCAGAGAATCGATATTTTGTGGCCCGTCAGCCTGGGTGTGGTATTAATGACTGTGTACTTTGCATCAGAATGACCTACGTGATCCCCTGGCGTCGCTAGGGAACCCCACGGGCTCCGAGTATTACGCTGTGGAGGTGGACCTCTAGACCTGCTGGTGTTGACCGATCAAGGCAGAGGCTAAGAATACCAAAAATGTGGTATTTTTGGAGGGGTCATCACCCCTTTGGGATCGGGGTCCTGGACGCTGATTGGATAATGGGCTGATAAGATTAGATCCAAGGCTAGATCGGCTCCGGGTGCATTCTTGGCGGTCGAGATGGTGATAAGGACATTTGGCATGGTCGCGGGCCAAACTGGCACCAAGGCCGACTTAATTGCAAACGATTACTTACACATGGCAAAACTTGCGACCCGTTTGGCTCTTAACTGTCACAGACGTGCTCCCTGCTCATTATACAGGGTCAGCCTTCGTTTGTCTCAGCCATCGTCGTTTTTCCACCTGGAGTCCTGGAATTCCCCTTCTGGTTTATTTATCTCCAGGAACTCGGTCCTTACTTCTCCCGGTCTTCGTTCAATGCTCACGGTGTTCCCATCCACATCTCCATTGTAACGTGCTCCAACTTTCTCTGCCCATGAGTCGATGGCAGAAACCTTGGAATTTGAGGTAGACGATACCTCACCCGCCATATCCTACTATCCTTTTCGCGACACCTTTTCCACGCCAAATCTCACCGCTGGCTGGAACCCTTATTTTAGCGGATCTGGTTTTTTAACATCCTCGGGAGAGACGGGCGAGGGGACCAGTCTTCACATCTCATCACTGAACGGTGCTTCGCTTTCCATACAATGGCATGGTGAGGTTAGCATTCATTCTGTGGGAATAATGTGCTCATCGACCCATGCACTGCTAGGAACTGGCATTCAATTATATGGAAATGTTACGAATGCTTCCTATGTCCTTACTCTGGATGAGACAACGATCGATATTTCTTCACTGGAACGGTCTGATACAATGCTCGCCAGCATTAGTGGCCTGTCCAGCATAAGCCACAATATTACATTAACTGCGCAAATCACGACCCCAGAAACAACCGGATCTATGCTCGTTTTCGATAAAGCTGTAATTACAGCAACGTCCCCGACAAACGTATCTAGCAAGTGAGGTCTATCTCACCGTCTTGTTTCGCGCCCCGAATTGAAACCTTTAGCAGCTTAAATTTTACATTGCAGACCATAACGGACAGCAGGATTAACTTTAATGGGGAATGGTCGTTTAACAATGGGTTGGGCCAGGCGTTTCGAGAGTCAAACAAAGCCGGCGACACCGCTCGAGTATCCTTCTTCGGTTCGTTTCCGCGCGCGTTTCATGACAAACAGTAATTCATTGCGTCCCAGGTACATCCTTTCTGGTCTTGGGAACGACATCACCCGCTGCAGGAAATTATTCTGTTACAGTGGATAATATTCAGACATTTCTTTCAGCGAAATCGTCATTTACTCAAGATAGTTCCTTACTGTATTACGCCACCGGCTTAGACCCGGATCTCGTCCACGACTTCGAAATCTCGAATGAAGATGGTTCGTCATTGAAACTTCCCGTGGGAGGATTGCGTTCTTTCTCCACCGTAGACCCCCAAGTAAGTGATCCCCAGGTTGTAACGTGGCGCATATTCAACGCTACTTTATAATATTTTTAGTCCTACTGCCTCCGCGACTCCAGCAGGCGAATCCATAGCATCAGGTTATCCACCAGGCACAATTGCAGCCCTCGCATTGGCAGGAGTCCTCGCTTTCATTCTATTAACCGGTCTGTTCTTCTTTCTGTTTGTTTATCGGCCGAGAAGGCGCAGGAGCCTTCAACATCAGAGGCAGCAAAAAGATGAACAATGGAAGAAGGAATCCGAAGCCGGAGGTGTCCTGGATATTGCACCTTTACCGAAGACGCATTCCCGGGAACGCCGCAGAGATAGCGACTGGTCTCGGTGGAAGCGGGATATCGAAGGTACTGATGGTCTGGGAATTGACATTGTTTTCCGGCACTCGGACTCGATCAAAGAGGAGGGTGATGTGGACCATATCGAAAGCCCTAACAACCCTCAACGGTCACCTGAGCCTACCTCTTTGGCGCAGAGAAATAACAAGGGAAAAGGCAGGTGGTTTGGAAAGACCGACAAGGAGAGATCATCGCCTAGCTTCACGATTGATCTTCCCCTCCCTCCAATCCTTAGATCACGATCCGCTTCCCGCCAAGGTTCCGAGAATGGGAACGCGGCCCGTCAGCGTTCCCGCTCGAACTCTGCCATTTCCTACCTTACTTCGTTCTCTTCGGCTTCTTTCGCTTCGCGAAAATCCTCGAATGCGTCGTCCCGATCTCGCGACCGTCTGCCAGTCCCACGACCCAAGTCACATCTTCGAACGTCGAGTCAAAGGCCGCTGCTGCAATATGAAATCACCGCACCAGAAGCACCTCCGCGTCCGACAAGGCTCCGTCCTCTACCCCAGCCCCCTCGTCCTATTTCTGACGGTAGCGGCCAAGATTATATCGATGATGCAGTTACGGTACTGGGTCCGTCGACATCTCAGACGGCCTTGAGGCACCTCAGTCCTCGACCAAGCGAGACCTTTACTCTCCAGGCACGCCCGACCCATGAAGAACAGCAGCCGCTCGCGAGCACTAGTGAGCCCGTGGACTATACTCGAGGCCGGCTAGACACCAGACCGAGTCTATTGGATGTTCGCGAAACTAGCCCATTCCGTATCGAGTTTCACAATTCCGAACCAGTGCCAGTGCAGCCACGTAAACGGCGGCTTCCTAGCGGCGTGGCGAGTGCTGTCGGTCATGGAGAGAGGTCAAGCCACCGTGCTTCGGGTTGCGTCTCGCGTCAGGTTTGAGGAAAGCGAAGCTGCATCCACAAACGATACCAGCGAGAGTGACTACCCTGATAGTCATAGGTTGACTGTCGATAATGTCTCTCAGGACGACCCTACTCCGTCTGGCCGCTCAGCCTTCCGACTTACACCCCTACATCCCATGGCTCCAGCTCCCAGAGTCACTTCATTCCTCGACCTGAGCGGCTCGTCGGACGCCTCGATACGCACCCGCTCCAACGACAACGAAAACGAAACACTTGCTTCATCACACCGCATCTCCTCCGAGAGACAGCCTGCATCGCGCTGGAGCAGCACTACTGCACCCAGTTCTCATGGCCACGCTCTAGAGTCTTCATCACCCTCAAGCACAACGTTTCCCTTCCCTGTATCATTACCTGCATCTTCCCACCATCCTACCGGACATCGACTATCTCCACCACCTACTTTGCCTACTGTCCCTGACGACCAGCTTGAATCGACTGCGCGTATTCACAGGCATCCATTGTCCGAGCTAGCTCCCCTTTCCCCCGCGGATAGCGTCCCTCTTTCTGTATCAGACCTGCATTTCAGACAAAGCGTCTCGGATGAAGCCGGAGAACGCAGACCGCGTTCGAATGGTTCGTTGCCTGCTCTCCCTATGAACATGTCACTGCTGCCGCGACACCCACCTCTTCCCGGTCATGGAACCGGCACTGAAAGAATGTAGACGGACTTCGTTTCGTCATAATGACACACGATACTACATATGAATGAGGCTATGATTTTAATGAATTTCTTCTTTCTTATCAGGACATTGCACTGGGACAATGGTCGCTTTGTATTTGATTCTCGCAGTTTTCGAATCTATTTCATCACTGCACGTTGTTCCTACACATTCCCTTCTTGCCGTCGTTCATCTTCACCTCTCTATCATGTATTATACGTCAGATTTACTCATGCGATGTCGAACTTCTATACAGTAGTCACTGCTAGTTCAATTGATGCATCCATTCCGAAGTATGAGGATAAGTTACATATGGTTTCCTATTATGGTGCCTGAGAGTCCCTGCGTAGTCCAAAGCTAACGAATCGTCTGAAGTCTGAGAAGACTTCGCGACGTTCTCCAGGACGATTAGCCGAACCACTATCGCCAAGGCTGGACCCAGTTGGTGGCCCACTAATTGGCGGGGATGTTAACCCGAAGATTCCATCGCTGGCTGGAGTGATGATCAGAGGACTGATCAAACCGCCGACAATCTGTGCGGAGTTGGGCTCCATATCCAAAGAGGTCAAAAATGATGTGCTGTCGAGATCGTGCTTTGTACTTGTGATGGTCACAAATAGATCCAGCAGATTGTTTTGTTCGGTCTTTGGGGTACCTTTGAGGTCTAAGATCTAGACGCAGTGGTTCAACATACGAATCACATCAATCATTACAAGTCCTTACTTTCTGGAAATTGGAAAATGATGCATCCCCAATTAAGAGGGTATAATTAAGTATGAACCCTTCAGGAGGATCCTAGACAATCCAGCTGGTCAAAGGCCAATTCTCGGCTGTAGGAAAGAAGACACTAACAACAGGTGTGACGATAACTTTTAATAGAGACTCCAGCCTTGACGTGATCTTTGAAAGTCCACGAGTGTACCTGAACGACACATTAAAGATAATTGAAGAAGCAAGCATCTGAAGCGTACGTCGTCGTTGTCAAGGCATCTCCAGGCATCTTGGACAAATAAGCCTTGATTGTTTGAAGGTCTATCAATAGCTGTCCAGAGGGAAGGCCAGAGTTACCGTACGGGTGCTGTTAGCTCGTAAAGGACATACCTGTTCCGCTCCGATCTCCCCCAGTGGCCTACTCTTAACCAGAGATGTAGTAAACTTCGTGAGAATAAGGCTGGATGGAAGTTGAGAATGCCGACAGAGTGGTAGTATGTTTTTAACACACTTGTAAGCTTTGTCGAACAGATTCCTGAGATACTTCTTCTGCTCTATCCGCGGTTTAACAGCTTCGATAACCTGTTCCGCCGCTCTAACCAATCGGAGGTATAGGTCGAGGGACCAACAACCTGAGCTAATGATGTCCACGATGTCCGCACCATAGTCGTAAAGGCAGGATCACACGCGACCTCGAGTTCCCGGAGCTGAACGGAGATAGCAGAAGAGACAGCACTAGAATATCGTCGTCAGTGACAATGATATGTATAATTGTGATATAGCATACCTGACGAATAGATCACATTCTTTCTGGAGAGACACCCTGTCCTTGAATTCGGTATTGATTTTCTCTCGAATCTTTTGCTCTAGCTTGCGGATTGATATCAGAATCACGCGTCGTAAGCGAAACAGAAAATAGTACTTCAAGTGCGGTAGCTTGACAGTAGTCCGCGGTGTTGATCACTAATGATGCCTGATACATGGCATTAGCGTCGTAGCGAGACTCCATAGATCTGCGACCCTGGGAAGTAAACGGGGGCCTAAGGCAAACGTCAGATGTTCTGACGGGTCAATCTAGGCAGGAACTCACCTCTTAAGACTAGCAATCAGAACATCCTCTGCAGGACGTGTTACAACGACGTCTAAAGTACAGATTAACACAACGCACCCGCATAGATCTTCAACCACTTCTTGTGTAACGAACAGAGATCGAAAAGAGGTTGCCCTGCTGATAGCTTCGCACACTGTTCTAAGCTTTGACCATAGAAATAGAACAATTCTGTCGACGACGGAAGAACTGCCAAAGGAGAACCGTTATCGTCAGCATCAATAGGTGTAGAAGTCGCTTCCAGAGAACCACGAGGCTGAGAGTTCGCGGTTCTACCCTTCCTGTGGGGAGCTAACATATCTGCTAGTGCCCTTGAAAGGCATAGTTAGAATACGCCGTGAAGACACCAACAGCACTCACCTGTCCTGAGCGTCAACGAAAACGCCCATGTGCGGCTCGAAGGCAGTGGTGATAGGCTTGATAGATCCGGTAGGTAGATCGCTCACAGCCAGAAGATCAGGAAACTAAGGACCAGATGAACAAGCACGAAAGACACGTCTGGAGATTACGCACGGGCGTTGCCCACTTCTTAGACATCGATGCCTCAAAATCTGCAGTGAGCTGCAGATTATCGAGAAGTGTCTTAACGTTGAGAGATTTCCCAGCTTTTGACAGCAAAGTGGAAAAGTCTTCTCTACGACCAAAGGTTGGTGAGTGGACGCTTGAAACATGAGACATGCTCACCGAGTTATCTCGACAAATTTGCATAATAACCGCCAGCCAACTCTCCATTCACTTGGAAATATTCTTCCTTGGTGCATTTCATGGGACTGTAGCAGTCTATGAAACCATGAAAAGCGTCTCGAGATATTGTCCAGTTGGCCAGCTTCGTCAGTGGTTCGGAAGATTTGTCGATACTCTTTAAGCTCTATGGACACATATCTATCGATGAGAGTTGATCGCACGTCACTGCCTAGAACATCCACTACTAAGCAAGCATCCGATATTATTGAGGCTTTGAGTTGCTTGTTTGGATCTTCTAAATAGCTAATACCAAGGCTTTAGAGCCAAGCAGAAAGTGTTAGTGGAGGCACGTACAATTTATCGAAGTCCGCCTCAACAACTGTCCGGATGGCTCCTTGTACTTGCTGTATCTGGCGCCAGACTTGCGATACGCGTGGAACAGAAATCATAGGCTTGAAGGCCACCGCAATTTCTTTCAACGGCCTGTGCTTAAAAATTCTCAGGATGTCAATGAAGAACAAAAATGTGACCTTACAGAAAGCGTTTGCGCCATTTCGCTGTACTTTCTCTCCTTTAGAAGATCCTCCAACTGTGTCAAAGCATTCACTAAATCGTGTCAAATGCACGAGTCCATTATCAGGAGACTGATGACGCACCAAGCATTTGTAGCCTCTTCAGAGTAGTCATACTCAAGATCAAATTCTTCTTCGCTAGATCCAGGACCTGGATATCCTTGGTAATATTCCGGACGACGGCCTCTGATTCCGTGGCCTTTTCGCGTATACGAGACATTTGACCCAGCAGTTCCTAAAGTCTTGTCAGGAAACGGAATGTAACGTCCAAATCAAGGCCAACCGAAATGAGTTCTTGAATGAGCTGCATTTTATTGGAATCCTGGTTTTGCTTCAATTGCGCCTGCAATGCATTGATTTCTTTCTGTAGTTCTCGCTGGTCATCATGGATTCTACGCTGCAGCGCGTCCGTCTCTGCCAAAGATGCCTCTATTGGATGCCTTTAGCGTGGTTCTAGTCGTATGTGCTTGAGCTCACCATCAGGAAAATGTGTGTTCAAGATGTCCACTAGATTGAAGCCATTCCCTAGGTCCACAACAAATGAGGGATTTCCATCTATCGTTTTCTCAGCCTCTTCAGCATTCCTGACAGGCTTCGCTGGAGCTCATCGGCGTTGAGCATGGGAGAGAGACGGAGACAAAAGTTGTAGTCAAAGGCTCCAGCCAAACATTCCTTTTCTGGTCACCACCGCTTCGATGTTACAACTCCTGTCTAAATTGTGACCACTATCAACTTTGCTTAATTCTTTGGCGCCTATTGCCTCTGGGTGTATCCACATGTCTTCGACAATGAATTCTGATACTAAAACTCAAGTAATTCAAACATACGATGGGCACCCCCACGTACTCCTGCGCGAAATGTTCTGCTGTGATAGTTCGTTGCACATGATACGGAGTATGCATCGTAACACGTCTAACCACAAAATTAGGCTCTCCAGGACGAACTTATTAGCAAGTCTTTCTCTGGGCGTGATGGACGAGGATAGTCAGTTTCCTTCTTCTGTGGCGACTACGCTTAATCTCTCAGAGATTACAGTCTCATGTATTCAGCCACCAATGTCAAGCTCGGTAAGAAGGAGGATCGGCCGCTTCTGTGAGTCCGAATACTCTGTGGTAATTTATCATATGTCTTACCAGTGAGTTGTAGGACCGGCGTACATACCGTTGCCGACGTGCATTGCCTAGGCTGCAATGATAGGCTTGGTTGGTATTATCACAAAGCATCAGATTACTCTCAAAAATACAAGGAGGGTGAGTTCAATTCGTTTAACTTCTACATCCTCGCCATATACCTGTAATACTAGGTAAATATCTGCTTGAGCGAGAGAAGCTGGTCAAAGAGAACAACTGGACGTTAGATTCGGAGGAAGAGGTATAATAATACGATCAATGTTCCAAATTTCCTAAGTAACAGCGCTAACTGTATCCTTTACTTATTTACGCGACAACACCAATAATGGGACTCAACCAACTTTCATAGTCGCTTGCCACTGAGGGGTCTCCTGTGACCTTGAGTGCGCGCAAAAGTAATTTATAACTGCCATTGGGAATCGTAGTACCGTTGGCAAATGTTGGGGTGGTAAGGTCCAGCAAGTAGTAGGGATTATCCTGTTCCGACAGTTGTCAGATGAATCACTTGATGATCGGGGCCGCTTCATTACCGAGTCATCATTACGAGGATAATAATCCAGCTCAGCGATAGATCCAACAACATCTGGAGCCGCCAATGCCGCCAGACTACCTTTAATAAATGTCAAGGTTGGTTCATCGCGACGTTCCAGAGTCGCATCAGCGGTCACAAGGTCGATGAGAACAGTGGAGGAACCAAAAGCAAGTCTTTATCCGGATCAGCAACTTGGACACTTCTCAATGTTTTTGGATGCTTACCTGAACAGTAGCGAGGGATAATCAGAGGTGGAAAACGTATAATTTGTCGGGTTAGTTTGCACAGATCCATCTGCGTCCAAAATGACCGGTAAGTCTACACCAAAGAAGAAATCCGTATCATCGATGACTTGTTTGTCATAAAGTGAAGCAGCAAGGCCAAGGTATGTAGCATGAACAATTTCACTGCCACTGATCACTTGAATAAATCCACCGTAAACTGGGAATGTAGATGCATCAACGCCACTGGGAGGCGAAATTGTTACAGTGATATCAATGGACTCTTGGGGTTGAAGCGTGAAGCTGTCATGACTGAAGCTTGCGGTTGCATAATCTGTGGACAATGGAACAGGTCCATCGGCAACAAGGATGGATCCCTTCATTTTCAAATATCAGTAAGAGTTTCAGCAGCTACAAGCTGGATCTACCTCAGTGACAGTGACTGCCGTTCCGGCGGGTACGTTTGTTACGGTGTAATCTTTCGAAGTCGATCCTGTATTCGTGACAGTGAACGTCTGACTGTTGTAAAGAATGTACTAAGTCAATATCTTCAACAGCATTTGTATCCTATACTCACCTGCCTTGGAAATGAGCCGTGTCATTCAAGATTAATTCTCCCGAGTCGAGTGTTGTCGCGAAATGTATCGCGTCATAAATATTTATCAATCCAGCTCCTTGCTGTGTCACTGTCTGGTACGGATCTCCGTCCCTGTGGCTGGAAGAGATTGCTTTTGCAGTGGATTCGAAGAGACTTCTAGCGGACAGTCCAACTTCAGAGCTTGTGCCCTTGGCGGAGAAGAGAAGAGCAGCGCATCCCGCAACAAAAGGTGTAGCCATCGAGGTCCCCGACGCAAGTCCATAGGAATTCAGAGGTAAAGTTGATAGAATGTTACCGCCAGGAGCGGCAACGGCTGGTTTGAAGTAGAAGTCATTGGAAGGACCATAGCTACAAGACGTGAATACCCATGCGGGGAAAATTAGGCAATACAACCAACCTAGTGAACGTAGAGATGAGTCCACCATCAGGATCTGGATAATCGTATGAAGCTCCGGTCTGGGGGAATGTGAGCGTCACTGCGGCACCAGCTGCGTATGCCTCGACCAGCTGCATTGGGCTTGTCGTGAGCAAAGTTACAATGCTCAAAAATGGGTCCATACGAATTCTCCGTCAGCCGACTGTATGAGAGAGGCATTGAAGTCGCCGACTGCGATGGCACCAAATCCACTGCCATTGCTAGGAAGAAAGGAGAATTTTAGAGGTATCGCACGTAGCTCACAGCAATATGACTGACTCGTATATCAAAGCTACTGTTGCTCCTTTGTCGGCAACGTTAGCCAATTTGGTAACCTGTTCAAAGTATGGTCAGAATGATGTAACTTTACGAATGCAAGAGCGTATACAAAAGTGCAAGTGGCCACGTCGGATTATAACCACGTGTGATGAAAGATCATGCGTATCATCAGGAAGTGCATCACAGGCGTCATCTGCGATTGTTGTATCATTTGAGGTAACATAAATCAGTCGGGTTTCAAGGACAGGCAATGGAGCCGTTTGATAGTACGTGATGGGGTCGTGCTCGACGCCGCCAACGGTGGCGTTCTGTAACGGTACTGCGGTACTACAAGCGATATTAGACATGAGTTCACGGATAATTCAGAATATCGCACTTGTCTAAGCTTGCAACAGAAATGACGTTAATACCATTCCCAGGGCCAGAAGTAAACCAGCCGCCAGAAGCACCCTATTCAAAGGATCAGCTTCATGTCGAGTCACTGTGATTAGTCGAACATACAGAATTACCAGCGGCAATAGTGACAACCTTTCCAGTGGCAGCGATTCTGCTAGAAACAACGGAACTCGTGCCCTCTGTCCAGCCGTCAGTGCCACCTATCGATAGCGTGAGAATGTCATTGCCGTCCTCGTATCCTCGGAGCAGGGCATCGACCAGCACTGGAATGATGGATCAAATATGTTTTCCAATGTATATACGAGGAACTTGCCGTCGTCTCCCACCGAACCTTCACAGCCAAAGACTCTGTAGGCATTAATGGACGCCTGATAGGCAACACCGCTGATGTTATACGGGTTATCTGGATCAGCTCCAAATATGCCCTGTAAGCCCAGCGGTTGAGCACTTTAGATCAAATGGTTCAACGCCTTGAGCTTACAGCAACATGCGTTCCATGACCCTCACATTGGTCCAATGGGTCGTCATCCGGTACAGGATCATTGAAACCTGTCAGGGATCGATTGAATGTCTATTCCAGACAGAGTTAAGAATTATACCAGTGTAATTATCGCCAACAAAGTCATAGCCACCGACAACTTTGTGGCTTGGACCAAATCCAGCCCCAAGAGCCGGATGGGTATAATCAACGCCTATGTCCCGACATCAATTCGCTACTAGTAAAAAGCTAGACTGATAGAATAGTACCAGTGTCTATTCTGCAAGATGTCGGAGATACGCGGGAAAACCTAGGAGATATGGGCTCACATTCCGACAAGTATCCCAGCGCCAAAGTTACCCTCGGCATGAACCTTGTCCACTCCCTTGAACATATTTAGCATCAGATGATACGAATAAAATTAAGGAAGCCTGACCGTTAGGACGTGAGTGGTTTGGATGTCCGGCGTATCATCTTCTGTCACGACATCCCACCGCGGAAGCCTAGCCCAGTGGGGAACGTATTTAAAGTTGGAAACCGATAGGGTTAAACAAGACTGACTTTGGAGGAGGGTATACTCGGACAGGTCGAATCGCTTTGATACCTTCGGTAGCACCAAGTTCAGCTGCATCCTGAAATTGACACGCAGCTCTATTAGTCGCGTCATTGTACCATGCTGGAGCATACCTGAGCGCCCTACAATGCATCATATTGGTTTTGTGAGCATCCGACATCCAAGGAACGCGCTCACAGCGAGTGTCACTGCGGCCCCGACAAATATGTCTGCCGTATTATACTCTTTGTCGACTTCATAGCTAACATCCCGTTCCTCGAGATAGGCGTACAATATTTCATGAGGCTGTACAACAAGGTGAGGTTATAATGCCATCAAGGCAGAAATCCAATAAGCATACCGAAGCTCCTTTCAGCGATCGTTTGGTGGGAATTTGCGAAGCATCATCTACCTCGATAATGAACTTGTTAGTTTGCGTGAGCAGAGTGGTAGTTTTGGCAATGCCGGAAAGAGAAGCCACTTGGGCATTGACCGAGCCTGCGTACAGGGCCAAGACGGCAGCAACGAGGGAAGTTGAGACCATAACAACCGCGAATGAACCTAGAGGTCAAGTGCACTTCATCGAAGATGGCATTTATATATCCAGAGTTGTGATACCCGCGATCATGCGCAAGAGTTGCGATGTGTAGCGACCGACATGAATTCATACACCAAGAAAGAACCAAGCAAATGGAATAAGTTGAGGAAGCAAGGGTTTTTTCTGATCAGCGATAACGGTAGAACTCCTTGCATATGGTCATACTGTGAACTCATGGTTGTCAATCATTGTACCTTACAGAAAGGAAGTTTCCCACCAGATCTTCCCATGTACGAGCCTACGATAAGCCGGAAGTCATTTGAAGACAATAACTGAATTCTTGAGACAGATATTACAAAACGACGCCAAGATGTGGAATTTTCAACCTGCCTGAAAAAACATCATTTCTCAACCTTCACATCCAACCAAAATTGAAGCGTTATCACGATTATGAAGATGGAAGCAACACGGGTGTAACGGTCTTATCTTGCACATGAAGTAGACATTGCACGTGTGAGACGGCACTATTAATCGGCAAAATAAGATGTTGCATCTTTTGAAGACAGCTGCAGAAAGACGAACGAGAAACAAGAGACTACGCTACAATTCCTATGATGGGACTCAGCCAGCTCTCGAAATCCTCCTCCTTTGTCGGATCACCCGTCACCTTCAGTGCACGTAGAAGAAATTTGTACGAGCCATTAGGTATAGCAGTACCATTGGCGAAAACCGGTGATCTCATTGCGATCGTATTGTATCCGAAATTATCAGGATCCTGACGACTTATCAGTAAAATGTGGTGAGCGAAAACGTATACTTTACCTCATCATTTCGACTGAAGAAGTCCAATTCAGCCAATGGTCCAACGATCTTCACGCGTGCAAAGCTCCCGCCATTATGTGTATGAGGGAATGTAAAGAAATGGCCCGAGTCCAGCGCGCGAGTATTGAGAGTCGGCTGGAAATCGATATCGGACTCAACCAGATCTACGCGAAGGAGTGGCGTGCCGAAAGCCAGGCTGAGGTCCCCATCAGTCAATGACTGCGGCAAGAAAACAAATTGAACAATATACCGGAAAAGCAAACTGGGGTAGTTGCTGTTGGCAAATGTATAATTGATTGGACCTGTCTGTACGTTTCCATTGGTGTCCAAGATAAGGGGTAGAGGTACGCCGAATAAGAAATCTGTGTTGTCAACGACTTGCTGGTCCCTCAGAGAGGCTGCCAAGCCCATATATGACACATGGGTGATTTCACTGCCGCTTGAAACCTGTATGAACCCACTATAAACAGGAAGCAAAGAGGAATCGAGCCCCGAAGGCGCCATGAAAGATGCGACTATCGTCTTCTTTTGACCAGGTCGCAGCGTGAATTTCGTTTGACTCAGCCACACTTTGGCTTGGTCTGATGTCAATGGAACAGGGCCTAGGGCCGGGAAGAAGGTACCCTGGCAACATACGAGTCAAGAGGAGCGTCAAGGACATCACAATGGACTATCTTACCGGTCTGATAGTTATGGCAGTACCTGCCGGGACATGGCTTAGTTGATACGATTTAGCACTCTTCCCCGTGTTCTGGACCGTAAATTGTTGACTACGACAAAGATAAGCTGTCGGCGCCCGAATTGACGAAATCAAACACTTACAGTCCTTGAAAGTTTGCCGTATCGTTCAATATGAGTTCTCCGGGAGACACAATCGTAGTGGTATGGATAGCGTTATAGACATTGATCAAACCAGCACCTTGCTGTGTAACTGTTTGCCACGGATCGCCATCGGTATGACTCGATGAGACCAAAGTCGCCGTCGTTTCGAACAAGGTACGGGCCGTCTTACCGATAGACCGGTCTTTTCCTTTGACGTTTAACAATAGAGCAGCACAGCCCGCTACGAAGGGAGTAGCCATTGATGTCCCAGACTCGACACCAAAAGAACCGAAGTTTACAGGCAAAGTCGACAAGATGTTTCCACCGGGTGCAGCAATAGCGGGCTTGAAGAAGAAATCGTTTGTAGGGCCATAACTGGGACATATAAGTATACGCTGATACACGTGGATAAAAAAAAGTACCTAGTGAAAGACGAGATCAAACCTCCTGCAGGATTAGGATAGCTATATGATCCTCCGGATTGCGGGAAAGAAATTGTAACGGGTACACCTGCGGCGAACTGGGATACAAGCTGGGATGTGATATCTTAGGATTGAAGCGTTAAATCAGTGAAAGTAACCTACAAATTCGCCATCCACTGCCTGTATGAGGGTGGCGGTAAAATCACCAACGGAAATACCCGCGAATCCATTACCATTACTGAAACGATGGAAGTAAGTAAGATAAAGAAAATAACACGGAGCCTTTCTCACTCATAAATGAACGCAACAGTGGCCCCTTTGGCTGCGATGTTTGCAAGTTTTTGCGTCTAAGAGGAAATGTTAATTATGTGACTCGAAAAAAGCAGAGGACATACAAAAGGACAGGTCCCTCTTCTGACAATAACCAAAAAACTTGAAAGGTCTGGCGTAGAATCAGACAAGGCTGAACAGGCGTCATCCACAACACTCGTATCGTTAGAAATGGCATAGATAGGAAGCGCCTTGGTTATAGGGAACGGAAACGTTTCAAAATATGTGATCGGGTCATGCACCACTCCGCCCACAGTAGCATTTTGCAGGGGTATCGCTGTGCTGTACAAGGCATAAAAATCCGCGTCTGGTCAAATAAGAAGAATCTCATACTTGTCTAAACTTGCGACTGAAATGACGTCGATACCATTACCTGGGCCGGAGGAAAACCAGGAACCAGAGGATCCCTTAAAACAAGTTTATAGAGAGAGCACAGTAAGAAAGGAAAAGTTCCTACATCGTTACCAGCAGCGATAGTGACAATCTTTCCAGTAGCCGCAATTCTACTCGCCACGACTGAACTCGCAGATTCCGTCCACCCAGAGGCACCGCCCAGCGATAAAGTCAGGATATCTTGACCATCGTTATATCCCATGATTAAGGCGTCGATGATCACTGTAGATGAAATGAGCAGTCAAACCAAAGTCTTTGAATCTTGATCGAGACAGACCATCGTCCGTGACGTAGCCTTTACACCCAAAGATCCTGTAAGCGGATATCGAAGATGAGTAGGCAACTCCACTAATGTTGTATGCATTGATAGGATCCGCAGCGATGATTCCCTGTGAAGATCACGTTTCGCGTTGGTACGTATCCTGTCACAGAAGAATTGAAGAGACCCACAGCGACATGGGTTCCGTGGCCTGATCTGTGCATGAGGGTCACCCGTGATATTTCAGACTTTCATGATCATACCTTGACACTGATCTAACGGATCTGGGTCCGGAACGGGGGAATTCGTGCCTAAAATGCAGTTGAGATGATGATGCCCCGCGAGCTGGCTGACCTTACCGTCAAAATTGTCACCAACAAGGTCGTATCCTCCCACTACCTTGAAGCCTGGGCCGAACCCGCCACCAAGTAGAGGGTGTGTGTAATCAATCCCTGTAAAACTGTTCTAGAGATGCAGAACACTGAAGAAACGTGATCTAACCCGTGTCAAGTCTACGAATCCGTAGGCTTATTCAGCCTAAATAATGATCAGAACACCACTCACATTCCGATTTTGATCCCAGATCCTGTAATTCCAGCCGCATGTAGTTTGTCAACACCCTGTACTGTACTCATTAATATGAAACTTGAAACGATCCTGCAACATGACGTACCGTCAGAATATGTGTTGATTGAGAATCGGGTGGTATAGCTGCATCATTGATGCCGGTGACGACATGAGTAAAGACGGGTCTGATAGTTGCTCGGATGAAAGGTATCGTTTCACGTAGTTAAACAGCTTACGCTGGACGATTGAATGTTTGGACAGGACGGACGGATTTGACGCCTTCCACTGCGCTTGAGAGGTGGACAACATCCTGAAAAGAATGATGTTAGATGCACGGGCCAGATGATCCGAGCTATAGCTGACAGCGGGGTTCTAAATAATGGAATGCTAAGCCGAATGTCTCAGAAGCTTGATAGAACCCGCCTCTAAAGTCAGAGCAGCTCCCACAAAGATTTCGGGAGCATCGAACTCTTTGTCGATGTGAAAGCCGACTGCTCTTTCGTTCAACGACGCGTAAAAGCTTGTATGGACCTTCATAATTCATCAGGACCTGTCGCCAAAACTGAAAATAGAAGAACTCGAGTACCGAGATGCCAGATCTTTTACCCGTGATATCAACAACACTGTCCAACTCTACAATGAATTTGTTGGCCGCGAAAGGCAGATTAGTTTCCTTCCGAACCGAGCTGAGAGGAAAGGATGCCAAAGAGCACCATGCAAAGAGAATAGGGATGGATGGCTTGAGAAACGACGTCCTCATTATGAACGCCCGACCTTGCAGCCCTCAATACATTGCAGTATTATATATCATGCTTGACACATCTGGACATATTTTCCTGTCCAGCCAAGGCGAGAAGAGGGCGGAGAAGAGGGCGAGGAAGACGTCGAAAACTGATGATCATAGAAAATGGTGTGTTTCTGAGTCGAAAGAGCGACAGATGACAGGAAGAGAATGAACAATCGTGGCACTAATTTTATTGCGGCGTCGAACGTGGAGAGAGAGCGAAGTTCATCATACTGAGGTCCACTGGCATATTATCGATACAATAAGAATTGGAAGCTAACCAAAGCCTACGGCTGTTCAAGATGGCAAAAGGTCGTTGGTCATGCTGCACGAAAAAAAAAACATAGAAGACGCACTATATGCCCCGAGTAATCTTTAATTACACTGGGAAATGTCCAATCGAATAAAACGTCAGCCGAGAACATCGATAACCATTTGGTGGACCTTCGACAATGCACCAAGGTGGCGGTCGGAGGCAAGAAGCGATGGCTGACATAATTCAAGCCTCAAGGCCTGCATCTACTCGCCTTGCAACCGCCAAGGTATTCCCTCGCTTATTATGCCATTCATTGACATCAATTTACTCGTCGAAGAAACCGGATTTCCTGCGTGATGAAGGTACAGGTGAGTGTCAGAATTTCCTGTAGCCTCGTCCTGCTGACTTTACTGGAAGTTACCACCATAGCGTCATGCAAATCACTTGAAAACATGCGATAAATACATGCCTACGCCTCTATCTTTGGCGAGCCCTGTGGCACGTATAAAGACGAACTCTTGAGGATAGTATCATTGGCAGAATACCTTTCTCGGCGCGCGTTTTACTATTAGCTATCCACCCAAAACTTAGAACATTGCGCGCCCGGGTCGACACCATCCAATCCAGACGCGACTCTGGAAAAACGGCGTTCCAGTGTCCTGAAATCGGGAAAATATTGCGCGCGACAAGTCAGATCCACGTTACTGCAGTACCCTTTTCAGCGTACGAAAGATCTCTCTAATCCTACTAGACTGGCCCGAAGGAAACGCGCTGGGGGTCTGAGTGAAACAATTTGATATCTAGGCGTTCACCGTCTCGCTTCCTGAGTCTATATCCGCTGTCTCTGCCCAGGTTATATCCCTTCGTGTCTCCGCCCAGAACCAGCATCATTACTTGTAGAAATAGAGACAGCGTCTCTTGCAGTGTACGGCATTCTATAACGAAAGGGACGCTTCATATTGCCGAAAAGTAGTCATGAAGATATATAGTGTCGCCAACCAAGTGAGTTCATTAACTAACAATTCGTCTACGAGCTAACGACACGTTTAGAGCGGCTGCCAGTGATATACCCTGGTTTGGTGGATCTAACCCCCCATGCAGAGTTCTTCCTGCCAGGCTTTTGGCTTCAAGAACGGAAAGGGAGTGTCGGATAGTCTAAGTCTGAACCTAAGGCAGGCCCACGAGCCAGCGCTGGCAGCATCCCAACTATTCCGTGTCATGTCACGTCTCTGAAGGAGAATTGCGGAGTGGAAAGGTAGGCAACAGCAACATTGGACCAGCCCCGTAAGGATTGTGTATTCATTCGTATTATCTCTCAAGTCGTTCATGCAATTATTCCTAGGTAGGACCACTCAGAAAGAAATCGTTAGACCAATGACGGCTTCTTTGGGTCCCTGCATACTCGACAATCCTCCCTTAACAATGCTCTTTCAATCTCCACCAGGGATATCTCAGGTCATACATTGAAATGCATCAAAGATTTCCGCTTTATATGCTCTCGTCAAGTCGTCTGTCGTCAAGCATTGCAACCGTGACTATATGACCAACGATCCGATGTTGTCTGTATAGGTCTGTATCATGCCCTGGTTGAATCACATCATAAATCTACAACATACGAACTCTAGCTGGCCGGCGCCAAGGATCTTCGCGGAAGAAAAGATCGCAGTGGCGCCAGAAGTATTTTAACAATCCGAACAAGATATATGGAATCCTAGGCGAGCACCAATAGTTGGTGATTCCGCTGTAGATTTTCAAGTCAAGCGGGGCAAGGACGCCTACCAGAGACGTGTCTGCCACTGAATGTTTGCTGTGGACCTTGCGGGGACGTATGTACGTCGTATCATTGACGTAAAATGCTACTTAGCTGACGATTTATTAGTAGACTGACCGTGGCCATTGGGCAGTCGGGGTTGGTATGCTTTGCGCCGTCGGTGGAGGTGCATCCGACCATGATATGTCTATCATGTTCTAGCCACTCTACAGATAAAGGCCAAGTACGTGCGATAAACTGAGCGAGTCACACATCTTTGATGACCAGTCAACCTGACTGAACGGTGCATTGTGCACAATCTACCGTTGTGTGCGCCGCTCTCTAAGTGCCTTACTGCGACGGCAAGATTTCCCCGTCTGTGAGCGAACCGCCCACGACTACATATGCAAAATTGAATCATTATCCCTCGGTTAGCAGAGTTTTTCCGCAATCACAGTCAGGGGACGTCTTGATTACTACCTCTCTTGCCGCAAAACCATACGTATCCTCACAACTGGCGTCGAACCATGTGTATCTGGTACGTTTTTACTTAGATGGCCGCAGAAATCACTCAAATCCATTTCTCAACGTCCAGATATCATATCTCAAAGCACCTCGATACAGATCCATTATGTCTCCTAACAACCACTCAATAAAGTCACCCCCTCATCATGATGCTCTTTCATATGTCACCTCCGCTCACGGAAGTCATCTACGCGCAGATATCTTTCCCTAGCTCCGCGCATCTGTGTTGAACTCTCAGAAGATAGTTTTTTGTCGAGGAACCAGTATTCTTTCCGGCGGAGCCGCTCGACTGGCACATCTTTGTGACGCGACAGACCCGTTAAGCTAGAGTGGCGATATGCCCGTTAGAGCCTACACCATATGCAGTCTACAACTGCCCATTTACGAGAACGTATGTTCTCACACGGCTCCCTTGGAAACGATCTCGCGATCTGATTTTCCAAACACAAGCCCTTGGACACATCCTGAAGCACTGCCAACTCCTCGATTAGCAATTCCTATCGGCGCTCGTGGAACACCGAGGACGTACAAACCAAGGCTTCATTCTAAAGAGCAGGTGGTCATTATGAGGTGGCTTATCCATAATGTTGTGATTGGATGATATTCAAGTCCGACATGGGAATTTCCACCGCGCTCTGGACAGTGGGACTTTGATGTGGTGCAAGCTGAACAACAGCCTATCTGATGACAAGCCGTTGTCCATGCTTGACTTTCTATCTCAGTATCTCAGTAACGTTACCAGCATCATCCACTTGCCGCTTGTGACATGTGTGGACAGGCACTCTGGTCGATGATCGGCCTACATGTCCATCAAGGAATAACACAGCACAATCCAATAGTATGTCGTTCAGTTTAAAACATAGTCTATGCGCTACTATGCTTATTTTCAACCTTACTTAGGTCAATTGTCACCGCCGAAGATCTCCAGCGCAGTCGAGCTCTATTTCTTCTGCCGGCCCCCGCGCCGCTTTTGAGACGAAAGTTATAGTACACTCATTATACTTATTTTCAGTCTTGATCCCAGGTCGACTGCCGCCGCCGAAGGTCTCTGGCGCAGTCTCTTATTCCACTGCTCCGGCCTCCGCGCTGCTTTTGAGACGAAGGTAACATAGGACGCTCATCTGCCGCTGTCCAATGAGAAATAACTCCGTCCCTGGTTTCAGGGTCGGTTGGTAGGTGATGATATCTGCCACGGGTATGTGGATTGTGATGACTTTGGAGAAGTGACCACAATACCATTTGGCCGCGTATGTTTATCGCAGCAAAGGTGGCGTATTTTTCCACTCCTGGGAACCATCTGGCAGTGCGGCTCGTTTTCCAATCACTTTTACGAGGTGCTCATTAGCTGTTGACTAGTTGTCCGCCCATCATGATGGAGATGACATCTTTTGCCTGAGTAAAACTTGGTGGAGGATACAATCTTTGACCAGATATTGGACTTCCCTCAACAACTAACAGACAAGACTCGGTTTATTGTTACATTATGCGGTCTTCATGTTCATGTACGGGAAACGTTGATAACTCTAGCAGAAAGAACGCGGATGCCTGAGTTCCTGGTAGTTCTTGGTGAAATAATTTGCGAGGGACCCCGGTCAGATCTTACTCCTCTTGCCTGTGTCCTGGTATGGCCACCGGAAACTAGATGCCAGCGATTGAAGTATTCGGGGCTAGACATTCCATCGTGCTGCTTTTTCTTGGATGTATGTCGCCTCCATACCCTCTCCTTCTAGTCAGCTCTGTTCATAAACGTATCGGCCCCTGCGCAAACTAAGCCTTATATGGTGATTCATTTCCACTTGGCCCGCCGATGGCCCCCCAACCGCCCATTCGAAATGTCATTGTTATCTTGGCCCGTCACTGGCACTCACCGATGGGTGTAAAGGAGGAACTCTGGGTCGCGTTGTCATCCTTTACGAACAATTTAAACAATACGCGGTACGCGCGGTACCCTGGGATCATGATAACAACCATTCGACTTCCCTGAGGAGCCTGACCGAGTCATAGAGGGTATTACAAGGCGTCCGTACTGTAGGAACATATCTTCCATTAAAGTTCCTAAACTTCAAACTCCTACCTAACTTGTGATATAGGGAGTACGCGTAGGAGTAACACCCATTTTCTTGGAACGACTTGACTGAAGACTTATCGCGAGATAGATCCTTCCGCGACAGAACACAATCCAGTCGGTATGGACGCTGAGGTCCACGTATTTCGCTGCCTATTGCCGTAACTTGGCAACTTGATCCATAGAATATTTGCTTGCAGCATCCCGCATCATTCAAGCTGAGATCAATAAGCTGCAGTCTGTGAACATAAGCAATCCTGCGGTAAATTGTATTATGTTCCTACCACTATGATATACAAAGATCAGATACAGTGTATAGGCCAAAGCGGGTTTAAGGGTCTTTATCAGATAGTAGACGGCATCACCAATCCTTCAAGATGATCGGATGTGTGGAAAGAGGGTGAAAAGCTCATACCTTAGTCATCCTATGAGCGTGTAAAGCATCAACGGAATACGTCGGTGACTTCGCACGACTAATAATGTCGCCCTTCAAGAAAGGGTTTTCACTTGGACCTCGAGGAACGTAAGGAACACTTCTGTGTACAAAAAAAAAATCGATGAGTTCCTACCAAGTACGCCAATGTTACAAAACATCGCGCATGTCGGTGGAGTTACTTCTAAACATAGATTCGTGCACTGGCAATACCACTGACCCTTTCAGCATAAAGGGCAATTGAACGCCAAGTAAACGGGCGAACAAATCGTAAACGGGGTGCTTAAACTTGGCGCGCTTGGATTCGCGTTGAAGTTGGTGGACCTAACACGTCGGTGTATGGGCAGTACACCTTTAGAATACTACCAAAAAATTCCGACTCCCGAGAATGAATCCGTGACGGTAACAACTCCATTCTTTGAAAACAGACTCGAAAGGGTCCTTCGGCACGACCCGGCATGGGTGGCAGGCGGCATATACCGAACCAGTATAGCGACTCAGGGGGATTGGTGCCTGAGTGACATCATATAGGAAAGGCAGGCAAGAAGGAAGGAAGGAAGTTGGTTGAACATGCGTTTATCGAGAACTACGGAAATGACATAAAAAACAAGGTTTAGCAAGGCCTTTCTCGTCCTCCCAGCTACTCGACTTGATGAACTGAAGTGATGATAAATGGTGCCTTACATCATCGGGCCAGTGTACTAACTGCCGAGGAACATGCGCTAGAAGCAAACACTTTAGCTCGTGTATACCTTCCCAGATTCAGCGGTCGCCCCGCGCCACACTTGGGTTTGAAAGGCGGAATACAGTCATGTGGAGGTAGAACGACGAGGTAACTTGAAGCCTCCTTGAAGTTCCACTGCGGGTCTGTTCTGTTTTTAATTTGGCCTAGCGATGTTAGCCACGGCATCTTTCACGAAATGATTGGAGCGATAGCGCTAGGTACATGCGAATGTGGTGTCCGCATAGTCCGACTTCATTTTTAAATCATGAGAAAGCGGCGATTCCAAGTAGAGTGAGGGAGCACTATTACAGTCCGGGTCTTATGGCGTATGGAAGCTAGGTACAAGATTTGTTATACTTATGAAATAGGCTGTTGCAGATGCCTATAATAAACATACCTGACGGGTTCGAATGTATTACATATCACTTGGGTGAGGCTGAAGGCGAACCTCGTTGGGCTTGGCTTTCGGAAAGGGAAGGGGGGACTGCCAGAAAGACAACAGAGTTCGAAGGTGCCGATAATGAACGCCTCGATCAAAATGATGAGTCGGTGAACTATTGCCTTGAGAAACGCCAGGATAGAATTCAATAGAGAGAGACCATCTCCGGAAGCCTTCATGGGCATACCAAACTCCATTTACATAGCTGTAAACTGAAAGTATCATCAGAGTCTGATCACCAGACGAGAAGTTCAATTGAAAGGATGACTTCCTTTTGTAATCCCCAATCGAGACAATCAGTATTCAGAGATTGAAAAGCATCACAGTGGCGCAAGTTTCCGCATGAGTAGCCCCATTTTGGCGAAGTGGGGCACCGGGAATAAAGACGGCTGCACCTAGAGGCACCGTAAACTAGGTAACCATGATCAATTGCATACCAATAACAAGCGGCCGAACCTGATTCCAGTAAGGCAAGAAGTGTTATTTATGTACCGAAGTAGGATAACGGAACAATGCTAGTCAAAGCAAGGAGCAGCACAAGGTCGGGACCGACCTTCGCCATTCCTCTGTTTAGCACTTTCTCACGCCACTTCGTTTCGAACCACTTTGTACACCAGAAAAAGCAATTTACGCCATGAGCTCGGGATTCAAAAATGCGCATCCTCATAACTTTTGGAGAAGACTTGGAATTTCTACTGTCCAATTATTTGCATGTAAAGGAGCCAACGCCGATGATAATGATCTTGGCGTTGGTAGGGTCATGTGTCCAGCTTGAATCTCACCACAAATCTCTCTCCAGATGCCGCGGTGACGAAAAAAAAAAGGAAAATCTAATATTTTTCTCATCCAATGTTATTCCAACTACTCGTTGCTCCTGCCGGATCACAGCGTGCACATAAAAGATCAGGTCCCGTGAAGGCGAAGCACGCAGTGATCTGGCATCCGTGTGTTTTTTGGCTGTTGGGATCTTGGGCACCTTACTCACGTTGATGTACCCATACTCTTGTTTCGAATCTAGATGAGAGCTTCAAGATACTCTGCTTGACTCAAGCGACCTAGTCGATGTCCCCCCAATGCTCTGTCCGACCATTTCAGCTTTGGATTCAAATTTGTCGATCTCGAACGTTGAATTTATTGACAGAAAATAATGTTTCTCATTGAAAGGCAATGCCCATGTATAGGGGAATGGTGCGTTCGGAGTCCTCGTCCACGCAATAATACCTTTGACATAGTCTTTCCACATCTCCAGATATGGAACACGACGAAACTGATCAAGACAAATACCCTTTGATGGAAGGTAACCAACGCTGCACCCTGTCGATTCACACACGTCCAGATTCTGGCTTCGATCTGATCAGCGCCGCAGAGCCACGCCGTTACATGCCCCCCGAGCTTTACGACAGTTAATAACGTCGCCGGTAAGTTGCTAACCAAACACACGATGCTCCTAAACATCATCGTAAGAGTTCCCGGCTCGGAATATCGTGACATTATGCAACACTTCTACTCCCAGATTGTATTGAACGAACCGAAAACGCAAAGCCATAAAAGTGTTGTGATATGGCAGGGTGTATGATGAGGTCGGACCGCATATTTGGAATAGCCGGAAGGTATTCTTGCGTTCGAATGCTTTACGAAGTTGGTACATTGCCTTGCGTGACCCTGTTTTACGGAGATACGTGGCTATGGTCCCATACTTATTTGAGGACTTGTTATCATGTCGGCACGTACATGAACCGAGGCGCTCAATACTATAAAGCATACGCGGAAGGGCCTATATGTGCATATATAACTTCTGGTTTTCAGTTTTCCGATGAACTAATTCGTATCTGATTCTAGCAAGCTCAATCCTGTTGACTCCTACCGTCACTTGCACACCACAGTATGTGCCTGCCGATCACCGTAATTTCCATTTTACTGCGGAAGCTGAACTTCAGTTGGGCATCTAATTCTGGCGTAAGATGATTCTTTTCCCGCGGTGCTTACTTTGTGGCCTTTCAACGTAAGCGGCACGATTGTGGATGTTGAATGATGATGATGGTCCTTTAAATGTCGAGCATCAAGGCATGTAATCCCTGGAGAGCCCATGGGTAGCGGACCTATATTCTCTCCTCAAACCGCTTCTTCCACTCCGCACCCATGAGCCACTCACCTAATCCCAGCGCCTCTATCGAGCTCAAAGCAAACGGAGAAGTCTCCAGAATTCGTTCTCATAGAGGGAACGCTCCTACACTTCCGCAGACGAAATACTGCCCTCTCTGTCCCGCCAAGTTTACAAGGACGACTCACTTAAGCAGACATATCCGTTCACGTAAGTCCCAGTGTCTCTAAATCGTCAGCGCAGTTAGTGATCTAAAAGCGGCGGTCAGATACCAACGAACGGGCTCACAGGTGTAAAGTGGGTGGCGTTACAGTTCATCTTCAATTATGCTTAGCTTTTCTATTCTAGCTGTGCGGTGCCGAGTTCACCAGAAGCGATCTGTTGACCCGACACAAGAAGACATGCGGTGACCCGTAAGCAAGATTATCTTTGGCGGACAATAGAACTGACGCTTGACCACAGGCTCAAGGCCCATCGATCGAGAAGAAAATCCTGCCAGGTACGTCCAAAATTAACTGATATAATTTTTTTGCTAATTCCTCGATAGGCATGTGTTGAATCCAAGGTCAAGTGCGATCTTCAGTGTCCATGTTCGAAATGCATATCTCGCGGCAAGAAATGTGTCTTTATCAACGACCCGGCCGTGACCCGTTATAAACAATCGTGTGCCAAGAAGCGGGTATCACAGACTCGAGACGGCAACCGGGGAATCAATGATGTCTCTGTCGAAGGCGTTGCCGGTCCCCATTACTCACCCACTTGCTCTCTTAATTCTCTCTCATCTCCTAGTGAGATTGATGATGCCTCTCCTACCTTGCCACATACAGCTGCACCTTTAGATTTTAGCAAGTCGGGGATGGCGTCTTCCCATACTTCGTCCCAGGCAGCTATTTTTGATCCCGCCACAGATGTCGACAACGACGGCCAGATATTTGGTTCAGAACACTTCATCGAAAAGATGTTTTCTAGCAACGTGTTAGACTCTCTCCTCGAACAGTTCTCTTTCTCTGATCACGATTCAACGCACCCAGTCCAAATACCTTCGGGTTTTTCGTGGTTGGGAGGCGACGGGTTGGGATCAGAAGATGCCTGTCCATATTCGCTCATACAAACCACGCCTGGCGTTTCCACGGTCTCCTCGTCGCCGGATTTTGATTCTCCTGTAGACGCTGCTTCCAGCAGCTCCCCTATCCCATCCGAAGAATACCCGCCTTCGACTGCCGTCTCAACCGGTATGAAAATACTAGATACTGAGAAGGAACAATATCGTGCGTCTTCAAGCGTTGACGTTGGGATCGTCATCTAAACTCTTCTTCAGTGTACCTTTTCTTCTCTGCGTTCTGCACACAGCTCCCTTTAGTTCATCCGGAAACATGGGTGGCGGAAGACAAGCCTTCTGTTCTAGTTCGTGCGATGCAGGCATGCGGTGCACTCTTTGTGACGACACGAAGTGCTGTCAACTTCATCAATGAAACCCTGTCCTCAACACGGGACGTCCTGGTTCAACAATTTGTAAGTACATTCCTTTATTGAAAATGTCTAGATGCTCATACTACATACTCCAGACGAAAGCAGCGTTCAACCCTAAAGAGCAAGATTACTTGATACTTGCTGTCGTGTTGCTCCAGACTATCGGTTTGTTCCACCAGCGCGCCGAAAATCGGGTCTCATCTAACGTGTATCATGGAATGTTGGTCATGGTATGTCGATATGCGGTGCATAAACCATCATATAGCGGATTAATATCGGTCTAGATGATCCGCAAGACAGGTTCTATCACTCGTTCACGTTCTTGGGCTGTCCCTGACTTGAACGACTCCGTCGCACTGGAACAAACGTGGCGTGAATGGGCTCAACACGAGACTGTTAAACGGTATGTCCGATGTATGCCATCCTGAATCAACATTTCTGACACTCCATTTAGGGCTTTACTACTCTCCTATCTTCATGATTGTTGTCATTCTGTGTTCTTCTCGATACGTCCTTCTTTCCAGATCGCAGAATTCGACCTCAATCTGCCTTGTGACGATGCATTGTGGAAAGCCCGGTCTGCCCGAGAATGGTACGAGCTTCTACAGAAGCCCTCTGCGTACGGAATCGGGGCAGATAGATTGTACGGTGTCGGCATGCAACAAGCCTTGACCAATCTTGGAGAGATACGTCTTGGTACTTCCCACACCCCTCTAAATCCGTTCTCCCAATTCATCCTCATCCACACGATTCTCCAAAGCATCTACGAATGTTATTCCTCTTCTGAGGCTCCAACGTCGTCACTGACCCCAACCTCTGACGGCGAAGGCCGCCAAGGAAGCCACTTTATAACACAGTGTACTCTGCACAACTGGCTTCAGATGTGGCATCACTCTCCAGATGCTGTGAAACGCGAGTGTGACTCCGATGAGCCTCCTTTTGCGTTCAATGCATTGCCATTTTACTGGCTAGCGCAGGTCTCACTGTTGGTCATACAAGAGGGTGGTTCAGAATGGATCGAAGCGACGACAGCTGAGAATAGATTCCATCTCATAAAGGAGTGGCTGGATCGTATACGATTCTTTTTGCGCCAGAATCACGAGATCCCGCCTAACTTATGGGAGGAACTGATGGCTATTCGCCGTCAGGTTTCTCAGGTCGAGATGCATCGATCGGCAGACCACCCAAATGGTTTACTTGCTTTCTTCCCGGAGCATTGACGTCTTTGCTTTGCCCGCGCCACTTGGACTATGTACACTGGTAGCTGTGTCTATACGTATTGCTATTGTTTGTATAACAGGAGTATGTAGCATATCTCTATTTAGATGGCCGTGAGTAGTATCTTTTCAGTATTATATGTTGGTTCTTAGACTGTATGAGGGCTTGAAGTTTCTGCTTTCGAAATTTATCATAGACAGTGTGATGAGCCATCCTTGGATATTCGGGCAGTCAGCAAGCAGCACGATGTATGCTTACTCCAGGCATCTGTAAAAGATCGTGATCGTTGATGAGGCTTAGTCTTGAGATCTTAGAGTTGGTAGCTTGCACTGTTCCGCATTCCTTGAAGTCGGAGTGAAGTTGAAAGTAAAGGCGGAGGTAACGGACACAATACTCGAATGCTTGTCCAAGTCGGCACCATCAAATCCCTGTTTTTGTTGACAGCTTCAAGCCCAAAGTCCGACTGCGGACCCAAGCTGACCCACGATCAAGAACTTGAATGCGTCGGACTCAAGACTAAATCACCAGTGGGTGCAAAACGCGGGTGGTAAGCCGCGACAGCTGGTATGGTCAGTGGTTCGAACGTTATTGTCGTGCGGGACCGCTTACGAGAGCCTTACATGTTTTCAAGTGTTCTGCCAGACGGCGCTAACCGAATTTTACACCGTCGGCTACTGGAGGCTGGGCAGTGAGTCCGGGTTCAATAATCGAGATGAATCTTACGGTCTTAATTGTTGCAACGGCAGGTTGATGTTAAACCAAGTTTCCTGGTAGCTCGCAATGTATCTGTATCTCTGGTCATATCAAGAACTTACCTACCGCCGATTTGAGCTGAAATAGGTGGTAGCGCTGAAGAGAACCCGACGAAAAGACTAGCTAGAGATTCATGAGATATTTGCTAGTTTTTTCGATGAACAGAATGCCCAGTTACCTTCATAATGTCTCAGCATTCGATACCTCAACTTCTGGGCGAATACAGAGTGCATGTCCCATGCAGTCTGTCGGTCTTCCGAGTCAAAAAAATCTACCCCCGCATACTGACAATTGGATAACGAGAAACCAAAGTTTATAAAAGACGCGGCCAATCGCTCTATTATTTCTCAGTTCCCAGTTTCACGACGTTCGCTCGTATTTCCACCTTCATTATAGCCATTTTGGCTTTGCCTCTCTTGGTGGCCAGTAGTGCCGTTCCAAGACAAGAAACAAACACCACCGTCACCGCGGGCCAGTGCAACACCGGTTCGGCGCAGTGTTGCAAGTCTGTTCAGGACGTGAGTTCGTCAAGCCTATCAACATCAAGAAATGATACTAACCAGTAGCCTGCTCTTAAAGCCTAAGTCCGATGCCGTCCAGAACGCCCTTGGACTTTTAGGGATTCCTATCGGTGATATCACTGCTCAAGTGTAGGTTTCCTAAGTGCCGTTGAACTTTCTTGACGGTTATTGCGCTTATTAGTGGTCTCACTTGTGCCCCCATTACGGTCCTCGGCCTTGGTACGACCCAATGCGCCAACCAACCTGTCTGCTGCAGTAATAACAACTTCGTGAGTATTCACAATGGTCACCATTCGGTTAAGAACTGATTTTGACTCGTCTCGTTAGAATGGCCTAGTTGCTCTTGGCTGCACACCGATTAATATTGTACTTTGAGTGTCGAAAGTCAGCCAGTGACCGGGATATATGTAGCTGTCGTTTTAACTTCCTTCGTTATAATAGTGCATTCGGTTTTCGAATCCTGAGCACGACATGCTTGGCACCGCGATACGGTGGGAAAGGAACAAAACTTGATGTCCACCATCGGTAGTACATGCGAAAAATTCTAAGGCCCGGGGGCTACTGGTATCCGAGTACCCCAATGGCTATGATGTCCCAAAAACATGCTGACCAAATCAATAAACTGAGATTACGCACCGACAGCGATGAGAGGCGCTGACTCGACGATGTCCTCCATCGACCGACGATGCTTTTTATGTCCCTTTTCCCTCTTCTCCTCCTTGCTTTTCTTCTCCTTTTTACTCTTTTTCCCCTTCTTCTCGAGAACGGGCTGACTCCCCTCCTCCTCGTTGATATCGCGCTTCCGTTTCCTCGACTCAGTTGCAGCGTCGACATTTACGGTGTTGACCTCTGCATCATTTCCCGCCTGCTCCTTCGAGCCGCGCGTCTGTTCCTTCAACTTTTTCTTCTCTTCTTTCCCGACTACTTTGTGTTTCCGTTTTTCCTTCTTCGACTTGCTTCCTGACTCGTCCTCGGCTGAAGGTGCGTTTTCATCCTCTCCGTTGCCTTTTGATAACTCGTCTTCCGTTTTCGTCCTATGTTTCTTCTCCTTTTTTTCCTTCCTTTCTTTTTGCTTTCTGTCGCTCCCGGCCTCTACATCTGTCGACTCCCTTTCCTTGACTGCGTCCTTCTCCTTCTTCTTTTCCTTCTTGGATTTGAGTTCCTCAACGCCCGTCTCCTCGCCGTCTTTGAGTTTGCTCTTCTTTTTCGTCTTATTGTCCTCCGCTGGTAGCGCCGCTACCTCCTCTTTCTTCTTCTTCTCCTTCTTGGACTTTTTCACGAGCTTCAAATCGGTGTCATTCGACGATGTTGTAATTGACTTCCCAACGTTAGCTTTGATCTCAACCTGATTTACGAATTAGCGCTTCTTGACGTCAAAAAGACACTGCAATACCTTATCTTGCTCGATCTCATCTGCTTTCCTTTTTTGCGGTAGCGAGACGGTCTCCACTGGCGGTGGAGAGCCTTTTGGGGTGCCCAAAGGCGTACCGTTCGCTCCTGTCCCCGGAACTTGGGATCTGCCCCACCCATTATTGTAGCCTCCTCGACCCCGGCCACGGAAAGAACCTCTCGACGACTGGGGGGAGGGCGCGGGGGCACTATCTTGTGGAGGGTAATGGTTCTTAGGTCCCTGGCGGTGATTTAGATAGATGAATGTCGAGACGAGGATTGACACACAGTTTTGGGTCCTTTGTACACACTTTTCTCATATTTCTCTGCCTCGCTCACACATGATGTGTGACTTTTAAACTCCCCGGGGTTGTTAAATGTCTTGCTACAATCTAAGCAGTCAACTTGGGCATAACATCTGTTCCAGTGCGCCATGAGCTTGGGCTTAGTTACAACATCGTCACATCCTAAGAGAGAAAATGAACATGATGCGTCATTATTGGTCGATTTTCATACCATTGCAACTACACGATTCGCCGGTCAATCTGACATGCACAACCTAGTGAAAGGATTCAGACGTACTGGAAAGAGACCATTTTGAACCGTATACAAAGTGTATGAAGTGCGAGCCTATCGTAGATGAGAATAGACTCTGCTATGTAGTACAAGTCGGCAGGAAGGTCCAAGCTGGTACAAAACAGTTGTGGGAGGAATTTTTTCTCCGAGCCACGTGCGCTCGATCAACCGAAATCTCACCGGCCCGTGATCCCGACGACTAGCCCCTTGAAGATCGGCTTGTACAAGTTTGACTAAGACTTAACAGTGTAAGGACTCAGTGTACGTACGATTATGTTTCTACTGCAGACAAAAGTATATGCCTAAAAGAGAGTGTGGTATGCATAGGGCCTTAAGGTTCTCATTTCAATTTTCGCCAGGCGGCCAATGTGCAGCTTGCAGCCTTTTTAAGACCTCAAGATGGACGAACCAAAAGACATGACATAGAGAAATCGGTGATACAATTACATGATTTGGATCCTTATGCAAGCCTACAAGTTGGCGCGCGCCAATGGGTACTCCATGCTCACATCCGACTTCATGGTAGCAAGTTCCACAACATTAATCAAGTGCAATATATCAATTGCACACCCCACGGAGAAAGAGAAGCCTGACCCTCCTTGTCCATATGAATGAACTATACGGCTAATTCCGCCATTCAATTTGTTCTGCCGGAGCTCTTGCTCAACACGTACGTTCCCGACGCGCGTCGGTCGAAGGCCTTGCACGAAAGGCGCTTCCGGATCGTACTCTGCATGTTCAAGCCCGGGAACGCTGGGAAATCGGCAGTCAGTCAACGGCAGCGGCCCTAGGTAGTCAGCAGATAACTCACAATTTATTGCATCGTTCACGCATGCGCTTAATTTCGGGAGAATCTAGACTGAGGTTAAGCTCCGACTTGTGAGGTTGAGCAATACCGCCGAGGATAAGAATCTAGAAGCAAGAGATGGTCAGTAGGTAGTGGTCAAAGATTGGAAGGGACACATACGTTGTCATTTCGGGGAACAATAAATACTATATCTTCATGGTCAGCACTGAGCTCGTTGTCGTGGGTTACGGCCAAGGCTTCGTTGACTTTGGGAAACCTCTTGCCGTCGTTGACTACACGAATCAAAGCACCGCGCAAAGGATAACAGGCCTTGTCACTGGCGGCTTCTAGGGAGTTGAGACCTGTGGCGTTGACAATAGCCACGGCACCGTAGGTCCGAAGTAACTCGTGCTCGGAATTTAGCAGGTCTCCATTGATACGTCGGGTGATCAGCTTGGCACCCTTTGCCGCCACTAGGTTACGGAGCCAAACCTGGTTAATGATGTTAATATGTTTCATAAAATAATTCTAGAAGTGCTTACCATGTATGCATCTGTGTCGATAACAGGGGCCAAATGCGAGTATGCATCAACAACACCAGCGTGCTGGTTGACAGCATGCTTCGAGATCAAGTCGGGGTCCCTGACGAATCCTTTGATACATGAGGCCTCAATTTCTCGCATCTTGTTCAACTGGTCCGGCATGTCCTCAATCGCTTTGCCGAAGAAGAAATTGGCGGTACGCATTTTGACGGCAGGCAGAAATTTGCTCAGCTGGTCAAAAATGCGATATGATGTCAGTGACCAGCCCTTGGACAAAGCCAAAGAAGTTGCGTCGGTGTGTTGCCCTGGATGATGATGCAGTGAGCGCCATCAGAATAAAAGATATGATTATGCCTACCACAGACGGCTGGAGGATACTCCCATCTAGCATGCGTAAACAACTGCACTTAAGCCATCATAACTATGAAAGATGAACTTACAGCGCTCCAGCTAGTCGTAAGTTACAATCAGTCAAGAGAAAACTGTATATGCAAACATGTCACCAACCGATCTGAGACGGGATACGTGGCGTTGCCGGCGCCCATTGCTCTGCTACAACAGTGACATCGTAACCCGCATCTAGCAAGACCCAGGCAGTGCTGAGGAGGCATGTGGTGAGAACTAGTCATTAACGTGAAGAGTAATCTCACGTCAATCCAGTGACACCACCGCCAACAATGAGAACACGCCTTCCATTACGAGGGGTCCTAATAGCATTCGGAGACGCGTCGAGAGTAACCATGCCCTTCTTAAGGGCTAGGACAGGTGTAGAGGAGGAAGCAGCCATTGTTAAAAGACTGTCAGGAGGATAAAGTGACGATGATAATGTTGGTTCAAACTAGGAGGGTTCTTATAGCTCTGCGGAATACCGTATGTCCATTTTCGAAGACGCTGGGTCCTACATGATCGACATACTGTTGCGGACACGACCGCAGGAATCTGATTGATCCTAGATGGATTATGTCCTTGGAAGAAGTTCGTTACTAAGATGGTTTTGCCGCGTGTCTCTTGAAGAGTGCCTAGCCTTTGGGGGTACCGCATACGTGACAAAAAGTCCGAGTCCTGCGCTCTTGGTTCAGTGGCTGTTTACTATTCATAGTCAACCTTACCTGTAGTCTTATTCAATCCCTCAACTGCATATAATGAATTCAAAACCAGCACCGTCCGGAGCAGACTTCAAATCGACCTTGGATCCAGCTGGAAAAATCCGCCCGATGTTTCAGAAAAGCGTCCGAACAAAATTCGACTTCAACCCTTGTGCCGTTTGCAAACGACATACAATGTCGAAATCGCGTAGACGACGCACAATTTTGAAATAATATATGCTTGGCCAAGCTGCAATATTTCCGAATCCCCGACAATATCTGCAGGCCTGTGTAGTCTGAAACGATGGTTTGCACAAAGAAAGGAGCGTACTTTGGAACCGTCTGTTCTGTTTATAATCGGCTCTGTCTCATTCGCCGCTGCTTTTGTAACGAAAGTGATCGGCCATGGCACGAAGAGAGTTCTGAAGAAAGGCATATAGTTCCCTTCCTGAGAGGGAAGCGACCTAATTGGCAATGAACGTCGGGGGGCGGACAAAAGTCGGCATCCATAGAACGCATCCATAGACCACCATAGACCTTCCCCAAACGTTCTGGATCCACAGTCCACAACTATCCTTCGTCATCGGCCTAGGAATTCAAGGAGAAACACATGGACAAGGGAAATAAATCGAGAATAAGGAAAAAGTGAAACGCTCCTCTCATCACCCACTGATTTCGAATCGTCCGATGTGTCGCGTCTGGTGTACTGAGAGCGCTGACTGCCAAGACTACATGCACGAGTTATCCCCTTCCTCTGTTAAGAGTCAGAAAACGTGGACAGAGCGGTCAGTTGACTGACGCTGAATGAGTCTAAACGGTGAAAAATCTCCAAGAAAATGGCTTTCGGAAAGATCACCCTGGCATGGAAAGCCAGGGATGCACTAACACATCATGAAGGACGGGGATCAGCCCGAAGAAGCGCTCGTTCACATTTCTTCCTTTTTGAGATAAAGATGAGAAGAAACCTATGACCAGTTCACTCTCGCCGATTCTACACTTGAATTTCCGAGGTAGGGTTTCCCTGCATCGCTACAGAAGGTGACCTCGTACTCGCATGGAGTCCGCCTTTCCCGGGGCCGTTGCTAATGTTGGGGCTGTCTCGACGCGAAAACGGAACTTGGGAACGGTGCCGAAGAACCATACGCGCTGTCTTCAAGCGCTGAATGAAACATACCCGAGCCCAACATGGTACGGCAGACAGTATATAGAAGAAATAACATCAAAGAGTGAGATGAACTCATACCTAGGCCCAAGTTTTGATGAAGTTGCACTTGGGACTATTATATCATCTCCTATGACACTTCATCGGTCTTCGTAACTGAAATATATTCGAAATGGCCGAGCCTCCGCAAGACTGATGCCATAGACTGCGCCGCGATTCCTGGTGCAACGCAGTAGGGCGATATCCACGGTTATTAGGGGTTCGTATCCTCAACAGCCTCAGAGATTGCACGCGTCCGGCAGGCCACACAACCTACAAATATCGGGGTGTAATAATGAGCGTCATGATGCTGATTGACAGCGTCAAGTACGTACTGAGTTCTAGAAGTCGAAAAGGGGAGACACTTATTAATATCATAGCTGTACTGATAGTCAGGATAGAAAGACCGTAGGAGACAGAAGTGACGTTGAAGACGAAGTTCACAACCATTTTTGGCGAGCCACGTGCTTCGGATCACATATGGGTCATCATGCATCATGCATCGTGCGTCATGATCAGGTCTTATTCAACATGCGAAAATTCACAAAAAAGATGGAAATTATGGCGCTGAGTAACTTGAACAACAGCAAGAAGTATTTCTGATGTACGTATGCGACTCCGGTTTTCATGGGGAATGAACAGGGAATAGTAGGGTACTCGGATCTTCGGTCCGGATGCGGTCTCGGAGTGTTTCCTCCGAGCCGCGACTCAAAGAATACAACCCACCATCTCAGTTGAGACTCGAAAAAAGTAGCATAAAGCGGATGGTAAACTTGCGGCAATAACCACGTATAGTCTTATTTACAGAAAGGTTTAGCGAGTAAAAACCGCAAAGAAATGCAATACGAATTTAACGCGAATCCGACATGTGAGAACGGCGGCGACTGGAGAGGACACAATCGCCGCCGCCATCTGGTACGTGGACCTCTAACCTCTATGGCATCTCAGTTGCGAAGCCATGCTCTTGACTTGGCAAGTCTTAGGGTACAGCAGGGAAAAACTGCAAATCACTGTTTTTCCTTCTTTCTGCGGACCATTTCATAGCCTCTTAACCACCAGTGCTTTGGTCAGTCTGGGATTCATTGAAGCGATATATTCGTGTGAGATAGTGTTGCTTGGTGCTCAGTGCACTTCGCGCTACCAGATCTTCTCAGCCTGAGACGACTTACTGGCATGTCACTCCAGGGCTAGACTTTCGCAGAACCCACCGCGCTCCGAGCTCGTTGGCAGGTCTCCATCCAAAAGTTCGAATGACTACTTCTGCCAACAGGTTCTAGTCCCTCAGTATGAACATCTCGTATTTCAAATTTGCTGCGTTGTTCTCTGGCATATCCGACATCGTTCAATGTAGAGTACGAGTTTTGACAGATCGTCCCCTTGAATCAGAAAGATCTTAACTCACAGCCATGGCTTAGCCTTTCGCTAACTCCTGTTGACCTCCGCAGTCGGACTAGACAGTTGAATAACCCATATGGATGAGCTGCTCGGTGACAAGCTCCTGCGACGTCGGGGGTGAAAAAAGAAATAGAATGCGGGTGTCTGACTACGTATCGCTTTGATGATCCTAAGGTCATTGACCACTCTGTGGGAGAGCAACTGTTGAGATGAGAGTTTGTTGTCTTTTTAGCGGGGGCACTTGACCCTTCTCCCATCATAACGACGGGTATAGTGTGTGTGATTTCTACTCAGTTGCGGCATCCTGTGACCATGATTTACCTTTGCCTTTTCTCAAGGTTGTGGTTCTCTATTCATTCAGACGCCCTCACATGACTTATATACGAGACCGAATGCGGCAGCCTGGGTTACACTTTCAGTGAGACATCCAGCAACCACAGAGGCCTTCAAAAATGCAATGAAAAGCATAAGTCGGCTCTCGGTAAGTACAAATCCGGTACAGGGTCATGAGTAACTAACTGCTCGCATGCGATTGGCTGGCGCCAATTACAAATTTCCCCAGAATGGTTACTAGCAAGGTCACGACCTTGCTTACATTGGCAAGGCGAAAGCAAGTCGCTGATTACCTTACCTCGGCTTGATTTCCTACCATGGCCTTCAACGCATTTTTCAGAGCTCGCGCGCCGCTGGCACTGGCAGCTGCGAGGCCAGCGAGAGCAAATTGTCGCTCTGCTTTCCGTCGTTTCAATTCGACACAGGCGCCCACCCCAAAGTCCAACACCGGTCTCTATGTCGGCTTAGCTGCGCTGGCAATTGGCGGTGGTGCCGGCTACTACTACTTGTCTGATGTCTTGGCTGCTCCTGCTCAGACTAAGACTTTTACTCCTACGAAGGAGGATTACCAGAAGGTATGCATTGTGTTGATACAACTATCGGGGTTCACGTTGACGCAACGAGGTTTTAGGTATACAACAAGATTGCAGATATCCTAGAAGATGGAGCAGAGAACTACGATGGTGTGTTGTATTCTAAGTATTACTCAGAAAGCTAATATCGTCCTCAATAGATGGCTCGTACGGACCTGTCCTTGTTCGTCTAGCTTGGCACTCGTCTGGTACATATGACAAGGAAACCAAAACTGGCGGCAGGTGAACCTAATGTGTTCACGATCCAGTATCCGTGACTTACAATGTCCCCAGCAACTACGCTACAATGCGTTTTGCACCAGAATCCCTTCACGGCGCTAATGCTGGATTACATGTAGCACGTGACATCATGGAAAAGGTTAAAGCGGAATTCCCTTGGATTAGCTATGGTGACTTGTGGACTCTGGGTGGTGTTTGTGCCATTCAGGAAATGGCAGGCCCTAAGATTCCTTGGCGTCCTGGAAGGGTGGACGGTATCCAGGCTCAGGCTACTCCTGATGGTCGTCTTCCGGATGCTACTGAAGGCGCGGACCATCTCCGACATGTAAGTACTGTTAGGAAAGTTTGCAATCAATGTCTAATTAACCTATAGATCTTCTACCGTATGGGGTATGGATGTTTATGTGGAGCTAGACTGTCATTTACCTTTCTATCTAGATTCAATGACCAGGAAATCGTTGCTCTGTCCGGTGCTCATGCCCTTGGACGCTGTCACACCGATCGGTGGGTGAATATTACTACCAAAGCTTCGTTTTGATTAAATGACAGTCTCATAGCTCTGGATTCGATGGCCCATGGACGTTCTCGCCAACCACATTGACTAATGACTTCTACAAACTGCTTTTCGAAGAGACGTACGTAGTCCGGAATAATTTCCGAAGTCTTTTTTCTCACATTTCTTCAGATGGGTGTGGAGAAAATGGAACGGCCCGAAACAACTGCAGGATAAGAAGACGAGGAGTCTCATGATGCTGCCGTACGTTTTACACGTGTTGTCCTGATTTCCTTCGGCCGATCAAGGAATTTCTGTAGCACCGACTACGTACTGACGCAAGACAAGAGCTTCAAGAAATACGCCAAAGCCTACGCTGATGACCAGGATCTCTTCTTCAAGGAGTGAGTTTGTGAATGCGTTTTTTAATCAATTTTTGCTTATACTTTCCCTCCCTAGCTTCGCAGCCGCTGTATCGCGCTTATTCGAACTTGGAGTACCCACAGAACAGTTCGCCACGGCAGAACCTTGGATCATGAAGTCATCTGATGAGAAGTAAACACTCCTTCGACACCAATAATACCATCTACAGAAACACTAGACGCCCTGATCCTTTAGAGTAGATCTAGATGTCTCTCGAGTTCTGATGTATGTATATTTAGCTACAATCTATCTTTTGAATTTCCCGTTCTCGTCTAAAAATTCCGGGATACAGAGTTTGCAGTACGCATGCCAAAGTCTACGAAGCCTATGCAAGAATGATACAAGATGGATGGAGAGGGGAATAATGCGACCGGTAAAATTAACGTGAGAGCGACTGTCCGACGTTGGAGATGTAAAAAAAAACCCATTACAGCATAACAACAGCGAACATACAGATTGAAGTCTAAGGAGGTAAGTCTATGGTGGTGATGATACAACATATTGACAAAATAAAGAAAGAAAACGCGCCGCGAGCGCCAAGGTTATGACGAGGAACTAGCACGAGTCATCATCATCGTCGGACTATTCGCCACGTCCAATCGCGGAAACCTCGCAGCCAGCTCAGAGTCACCCTGCGAGCGCTCGACGTCCTCATACGACGGCAGACCCCGCATACTCGTCAACGGCGGAACACCCCCAATAAATCCCCTCGCAGCAATCCTGTAATCCGGCACTTCCGTAAACGCCCGATGCAACAATGCCGTACCAGAATTGGGATCACTCAGGTGCACCGGGGGACGTGCTGGCATCGTTGCCTGCCGTTGTTGTTCGATATTCGAGTGGGAACTCGAACGGGAAGAGAGCCAGTGTGGGTGGGCGAGTGACGAGAAGGGTTTCATCGAGGCTTTGAACAATCCGTGGATGTTCCGACTGGCGTTTCCGCTGTGCACGTAAGTTTCGTGAGGGCCTGCGACGTGGAGACCGCGGTCAGGACTTGCGGAACGACTGGAGAGCCGGCTAGGGCGATGACTGCTTGGTCTTGTAGCGGGGTTGGAATCCGTGTGATCCGATGGTGAATGGGGAGGCGGTTGACGTGAGTTCACACTTAACGTAGGCGGGTCTTCCTCCGAAAGGGAAAGTAGAAGCTCGGAATTTACCCAGTCCAGTGGCGTACTATCACCTGAACCTGGCGCGTGAGGGAGGTGTGCTAAGAGATGAGCTTCGAGAGGTGTCGAGTTTCCAGACGTGGACCGGGGCCATGGTGAGGAGAGGGCTTCGGCACCTGCGTTGCTGACAACGGTAGGACTGATACCACCGTGAACCCACGGGTTGGTAACCCGCATTGTGGCGCTCTCAGGAAGGAACATGTTCGCTACGCGATCCCGGACGTGCGCTGTGTAACTCGGAAGCTCCATATCATCTTGAAGTACTTCTGGTGGGACTTCAGGACCGCCAAGGAGAAGACGCCGAGTGGCAGACGTATGCGAACGAGCTTCCTCCAGCAGCCGATAATCAAGAAGGTGGAGAGGAAGAGAACAGCGCAGCTCTGACGTGTGACCATCGAGATTAAGGATGAGGATACTCCATCGTATTCTATGACTGACATTAATGGGTTCGAGGGCATGAGTTGGCGTAATGCAGAGGGGTATTGGAAACGTAAGGTAAGTCACGATGTCGTCGTTGCTCATCTCAAGGTTCTCGGTGTGATCAGTGGAAGTAGATGGTGATGTCGTAACGTTCGAAGGTCCGGCTTCTGCCAATGACGCAGATGACGCGTGATGAGGATTGAAGGAAAAATATCCACCGCTGCTGCCAGAGTGCGTGCTGTTCCGAGGACTTGATGATAAGGAATGTGTCGGGTTCGGTGTAGTAGGCACTGAATGTCCTGGCGTGGTTGGCGATGGCTTCCAACGATGCTCCTTGACTTCGACAGCTTTCCCCCCGACAATCTCGTGTCGAACCGTCGCGACGGTACGAGAAGATTCTTGAGCACCCGTCCGTGCATAAATCTTCGTCGTCTCCTGCACGGTGGTAGTTATGCTCAAGACTCCAACGCCCTTTGACAGCGGCGAAAACTTGACCAGAGCCGTCAAGATGTCGCCGGCAGCCCATGCTTTGTGAGGAATCATGATGGAATACATGAGCTTCTCCGGCCAGGTGTTTTCTATTTCCAAGGTCTGCTGATACTCCAAGGCTTCTGGCGCGAATGAGCGAATTAACGTCACCGGCGCGAAGGTCTGGAGGTTGTGACTAAGACCCGGACGTACGGCGTGAGCACGTAGTTTGTACGCGACAAAGGCGCCTCCATTAACCCCCGTTGCGATGCTAGATGGAAGAGAGCCACCTAGTTGCAGTTGGAAGGGGAAAAAGTGGCGGCCGGGTTTCAGTGTATGACTATGTTTCTTTTCTCCTTCCAGGAAAGACCATTCGTGGTTGCAAACGATATACGTCAAAGGCTGAGGAGTTGAGTGACATCCTGTTACCTGCTGTCAGCGAGGACGTCATGGATGAGTCACGGAATACATACGATTCATTAGTGGGCACTGGTAAGCGTGCCTTTCCTCTGAACTGAAGCGTGATTTCCTTGATGGACGTCGACTCTGCGAGATACAGAGCTAACATGCCCCGAGAGACGAGCAGGCTCCACATCGACCCCGGTACCCTTGAGAAAGATACAATCCTTGTCAAGAAGGATCTCAAGGCGCGGTCGCTCCTTGTCTCGCATGTCGCTCTCTGGAAAGAGGGAGTTGGGAGAATAAGCAGGGTGGGAATGGAATTCATCGTCAGGTTCGAGGTTATTAGGAAAAGCTTCCCTCGGAGGGGGAGAAGAGGGTCTTGTGTAGAGAAAGGCCATAGTACTATATCAGAAGAAGACAGGTCAAAGCTAAACCGGGAAGAATAAGCCTCTGCTACCAAGAGAAACAGGGGTCAACCCACGGGACAATAAACGGCGGCTCCAAATGGAAAGTCCGAGATGGAAGGGACACGAATCGGGGGTCCTCTAACGATTCGCGATATGATAATGGGAGCACCAAAGAGCCCGCAAGGCAAGGGCTGCCTGCAAATGCCCTTCCAGGCTATATAACGGAGTCAGTATCAAAGGGGAGTTTTTCTATTTACACCAATTATTTTTGTGCCGTTATGTATTTCCGAAAAACTCCGGTCTGATAACGATAATCACCGGAGACATAGATTGCAATCGGTCCGAACGGTGCGCGTGCCTAGACCTCCTTCAGCCTTTCACATTCCATGGTCCATTCAACCACGACGACCCACGTTAGCTCGGGCGAGGTCTGCACTTTACGTTTGCAGAAACTCCCCGGGCAAATCACGGGTAATAGGCCAATGGTCTCCCAAGGCACCGCCCATTACTATCAATAATGCATCATCTTTCTGCCATCTCCACCAGGTCATGTATCATGATTTATTCTTAGCCACCGTTTGGCGATTTTTCCCGTCTCTCAATTGAGCGGATCGCAGATCATCCCAGTTTAAGACTCAGAAATGATCACTCCAATGGCAATTGGGAGGCTTCCTCGAGTTCGTGATCAGACAGTTCGAGGCATCTTACTGATCCCACAAGCGAGAGTCGAGAACCGCATCGTGTACTTTGGCTGGCCTTCACCCTCGTGAAAATCTTAGATACCGTTATCTGTTCGTTATCCAACCCTCCATTCCAAGAAGCCATCTGTCTCATGCGTTCTCTCGGAAAGTCTCAACGGGTGCTTCGGCAAGACGGCAGGCAGTGCATGGGTACTGCATATACATGCGGGAATTTGTCGGTATTTCTCTTCTCCGCTCATTTAATTTTGGCGCAAGTCGGGGTTGAAATTTTTTGGGCAGGTCTCAGTGTATTAGCAAGCTAGTAAAATTGTCTCCAAAGCAAATGCCAGCAAAAACCAAAACATACAATCCCGATACGTCCCCCCACCGCCCGTCGCTCCCGGCCAGACTGGAGGCCCATCGCGACGCGAGTACGGCCACCGCACCCGCAGTACTACGCCTTGTACATGGCGTCCAAGAACGCCGTGGCCAGCTGTCTAACCATGGACGGTCCGACAGCGCTAGAGTTTCCTAATCCTGTGAAAAAAGGGTATTCAGTAAAGTTTTGAACTCACGGTGGGGAGTAACCGAAAAGAAAGACACCCCAGAACGAAGCTCAACAACTAGGGCAAAGGGTATCTTCGAGAGGGGTACGAACGCACCATACAGCGCCACCATGGTCCCTTTCCCAGAAGGACTTAGCTTCGCTTCTTTGATAGAATCTTTTAAATCAGCGATGAATGTGTCTGCCATTGGAACCGTTAATCTCTACAGAAAAAAACAGAAGGTCCTCATCAGCGGCTTTGTTGTCATCACAAAATCGAAATGAACGCGTACCGTGCAAGCGATGTGCACACCTGGGGTTCCATTCAACGCATTCAAGTGCCACCCCCTCGCGGACATATTGTCGCCAACCTCCATGATATTCACCTTCGGGTGCTTGGAACCGAAGGCAACAACCGACGAGGGTGGGTTTCCCAGGATATAAAGTTCCGGCACCGAAGAACTGATGGTGTCTGCGATGAAACGTGCGCATTTCACAATTGAGCGGCACGATTCGAGATAACCACTGAAAAGAAGTATTCGTGAGATCCGGACGCAGGCGAAATGTTAGTTAAGACGTGCCTCGAACCCATGTAATGCATCGCCGCCCACGTTCCAGCGATCACCGCACCAGGTCTGTGTACCATGCCAGTTGTCAGCTAAGGTGACCGTATCTAAGCCCCAAAATCCGTACCGAGAGCCTGAGAAACTCGGACTTCCGTACACGCCACCTAATATCAGAGGAGATAACATTCAAACGCGTTCACAAACAGCAAGAAGTGCTTACCCATCCAATCAGGATAGACGTAATATTGGTACTCTCTCAGTACAGTATCTCGATACATGATGACCGAGGTGCCCTGGAGAGATCTTAGAGGAGAAGATAACGGTGACACTAGCGAAACATACTTTGGGTGCAAATCCGTACTAGGGAGTATTAGAACTCGAAGCAGTTATAGACCTCTCTATGCTCACCTTGTGCGTGTCACAGCTGATACTAGTGACACCATTCACACGGAAATCGAACGGAATCATCTTGTATTTGCCGTTTACACCGTCGGCCAGGCCAGCTTTCTCAAGGTAAGGCATGATAAAACTGCCGAGACAGCAGTCTACATGAAGACCAATGTTGTACGTAGCTGCTAGAGCGCCCAAGGCTACAATATCATCCTGATTACCATCAGGAAAGTTAACGCTAGATCCTACAAGCTACGAGACGTCAGATACACATATACGGATCAACGGGTTATGTTGCGTTTACCATGATCGTGTTTGCGTTTCTGTTATCACAACATGAGCCAGAGTAAGACAAAGTTAGAGAAGACGACTAACATAGCACGTTTGACATGCTTGATATCGACCTGTCGTGTATATCTACCCACTGGTATTAGATGAACCTTGATATTGAGATATGCTGCGCCCTTATCGAATGCCGCATGAGCAGAAGCCGGCACAATCCTATAAACAAGTGGTTAAATTTAGAATCTAATAAGCAGTACATGCAATGCACTCCTGGCTCATGAATGGTTTATGCCGTACAAATGAAAAGATTCTAAAAGGAATATACTTTCATTCTAGCATTCTGACCACAGCAAAACGCGTCCAAATTGGCCTGTCATGGCAATGCAGAACGGTTATTGCTGCATGCAAAATACCAGAAGAGAAGTATATCTCTTCTCGACACTTTTCCCACTCATTTTGCCTGGCTTAGCAAAGCTGCGATCCAGGCGCGCGCGCATAGAGATACGATAACGCACATTTCAGGCTCAGTGATCCCTTTGACGGCCTTCGCCCAATCCCGGTAAGTCTTAATGGCCATGATGATAGATTCCGTGCCACCAGAAGTCATCGTTCCGGCACCATCGGGATTATTGAAAAGTCGAAGGCACATTGCCACGATCTCTGCCTCCATCTTGCGAACAGCTGGGAATACGTCGGGGTGAATCGGATTCGACACGCAATATCGCTGATACGCAGCCACGATGACCTTCTCCATGTCGTCACCACCATCTGGCAAAGAAGTGAATGAGTAGAAGTGCAATGATGAATGATAGCTCGTACGATAGACAGCCCCGGATAGCTTGCCATGACGCCAGTCGCCTCTGTGTTCAAGCTCAGTATCCATCTTTTCCATTTCGGCGAGGATCCATTCGAGCGATTTGCCTTCCTCCGGTAGGGATAGGTGCCGGATTACTTCGGCTCCCTTGGGAACCAACTTGTTCTCAATGTCTAGCTTGGCTTGATTCATCTGTTGGGTGACCTTGGATCTCATGCTAGGCAGACGTAAAACCGTCATAATCACAGCCTAAGCGCCTGATTCAGTCTGGGCGCTTCGTGAAGGCGACGAAACGACGTACTTGAGCTATCCAAGCGTAGATCTCCTTTACCGAGGTCACGATGCCTCTCGCACGTACATGACGGTGAGCTTTGAGGTAATGCGTAAGCAAGAAGTACACAAAGAACACGGTCTTTGCCTTGTCGAATGCTGTCCGAGCCCAGAAGGCCTGGTTCCAAGCCAGAAGGCGCTGCGACGACAATGACAAAGGGAGGGACATGATACAGCCAACAAACGTGAACGTCGCCGAGAGAAAGGAACCTTTGGCCGCTACAGCACTCGCCTTGTGCTCGTTCCTTGTATGGTGGTCATATTAAAGCCCGGCAACCGGGTCCACGGCAGATGAACAAATGAACGATTACGTCACGCGCCCTTTCTCGTCCAACATCTACAAAAGCGATGAGCAGCCTGCGAATGGTAGGTAGTCTATCGTTTCCCCCCTCAGTGAATTCTATTCTCATTTCCTGAAGATACCTAAGGACGACGAAAACGATGATGCTGCAGAGGTTACCTGGGGTTCGTCCGTCATGATATGGAACTTTTGTAACAGAGAATCGATGATTGATGGCTGCATTAGAAGACCAGCAACGTATCAACACATTTTCGAAACTGAATACACGAATGCGTAGTATTGATGAAAAACTGGAAGAACTAAAGGTATGCTTACTCAGTAATTTTAAGCTACGACCCACCTATTTGGTTTCAGCAAGAGAAAGAAGCCTTAGACGATCTCTCTACTGAACTAGAGCTTGCGGATGAAGATGACCCTGTCTTGTAGGTCACTCAGTCTTACCTTATTACAGATGGGACGGTTTACACGGTTTCAGGTACAAGGTCGGCGAGACCTTTCTGCACATGCCTCATCCACGCGCTATGAAACGACTCGAAAGGGACCAAGCCGCAATTGACTCTCAAGTGTCAATGCTTGCTGCCAAATCTGAGGCGTGCCAAAAAGAAATGAACGAGCTAAAGGTCGTTTTGTACGCAAAATTCGGACGCGCCATTAATCTCGATGAGTAACGACCGCGTGTATCATCTTCTAGCACTGTTCAATTATCAGCGATGTAGCATTATCCGATTCCTTTACCGGTGGTACCTTTTTTTCAGGTGCTAGTGCCCACAAGAGGACATGTGAAAGAATATGTAGAATGGTCCACACATGTCCATGGATGTTCCATGCTGGCGACGTTGCCCGTGTGCACATCAAACAGACATTCTCAGGACTGCTGTGTCCCTCACCAGTAGCGGGCCTTCTAACCCGAGGGCAGTGAAGCGGTCCGGCGCTGATCAGAACCATGATGGTGAAGATCCGGTGGCCAAATTGCAATGGGAGCAAGTACACGATCTTGGACTAGAACACGCGGATATTGGCTAGCTGGCATCAGAATCCAAGAATTGAAGCGATCAGACCGCGCCTGTGGGAGCCGTCCTGTTTTTGACTGTCGTCTTCTATACCACAAGTAGCGTTCATGGCAGCTTGATCATGATACATTTCCAGATCCGACAAATCTCCTTTGTGTAGAGACGTGGCTTGACATCTACACTGCCCTGGACTCATTGACTTTCTTCCATTTCTCCTCTTTTGTGTTCCCCTTCCCTAGCCCCAATACTATGTCCCTTTCAGTCTGGCAAAGATCTTTGCTCTGTTGGAATAGCTTGGAATAGCTCGCTCTCACGACTGCCAACGCTCCCCATCTGTCTCTGTCTTCACCTGGGAGAGCATGATTGACATGTTCTTATTCTTCATCACCACGGAGAGGCTAGCGAGATAGTATACAGTGCCTTTTCCAAACGGTCAGATAGCAGGTGCCGATTACCTCGTAGGAAATTGTGGTCCAATGCCTTGAGATGCGTGGGGACTACCCAGGCCAATGAAATGCTGGAGATACAGTGCGATCACAATGTTAGAGAGATGACAACAGGACCTATGAGATGACTACCGGTCTGAATACAATCTGTTACTTACGAGGTTACTGCAATCCAAACAGGGGTTTCATATTGTGTACCTTTTGAAGAATACCATACAGCCGTTATTGGTCTTTCCGACGCTCTCCATCGAAAGTAACATCTGCCTCTACCAATAACTTTCGAGGCAAGGTTGTCACCAAGCCACCCTCTTCCACTATCCACGTCTTTTCAGCTAGTTCCGTCAGAAATAACGGTAAATGTTCCACTACGCTGGCGTAGGACACACAGAGCGCCGTGGTCGGATCTGTGGTTTCTGGATATTCTGCCAGAAGCTTCCCTACTTCATATGCGTGGACCCACGCCTTCAAATGATCCAAAGCCCCATGTCCCTTCTTCAAAACAATGTACATGTGCAGAACACTGCCCCTCAGTTCTTTACCCGAGTTGCTTGTGCAGGTACGATCGAACCATAGGACATACTGCTCAGTTTTGAAAAGATCGAAGGGCGGAATTCCATGACCGGTCGCGAGAATGTGTCCGAAGCCATTGGACGCAAATGTGCATGATCCCAAAACCCGTTCAGTCGTGACATCCTTCAAAATACTTGAGTTCGCAAAGATGTCTTCGTTTTTCGAGACTTCTGTAGGAGACGGGACATTCTTGGTCTGCCGGAACGTAGACCACAAGAAGCTAGCTCTTTGACGGTTCAAGGTCCTAAGCGCAAGTCCCCGAACGCCGTAATAATTGAGTGCGAGATGTAGGGAGACCAAAGTGAAGAGCATCGTATACGTTGACGTAGGCGTCGTAATGTGAGGGACTATCAAAGTGCCGATCTATTCAACACATTAATAGAGCAATTCCTGCCTGAGAAAGGAACACGTACCAGCATACCCATAAGGGCCAAAACAGTTTCTTTGCTCGCGTCCTTAGCATTCAAATCTCCCAGGTCACCTTTGCCGCTTACAGGAGTGGCAAAGTGAAGGCTGATAGCGGCTTTGGAGCCTCCCGCAGCTACTCCACACAAGGACCGAAGTGACGCGCTTAAACATAGAGCTGGAACGCGTAGTGAGGGCAGACCATGTTTCGAGGCTGCTACGAAGATAGGTATCAGGGTCTCCAAGACGATTGCACCATCATTCAGAATGTCCGCGAGGAATCGGTAGGTCTTTGATTCGGGAACCAAGGAGGTACCGATAAAATAGGCAGATACAATGGCTTTGAATGGTGATGAGATGCGCCGTAATTGGCCCAAAAAAATGACACTCACTGGTCATTCGACTGAAGAAGTCCAGAACGACACTGAGAAGGAGAGCATTCGTAGCGGAAGCTGATGGGTCTCCAACGCCAAAACCTGACAGAATTTCATGAGACAGACGCGAAGGACATCAGACAAATAGAATACCCTCCAACACCGCTCTGGATGACAGTAAACTGGCGAGCGAGCTGCAAAACGCTTGAAGCGCATTGAACACTTGATACCTGCAAACAACTCTTCGTCAGAGTTACTTCGAAAATTTGAATGCAAGTGAAGAGACCGAAAGTAATCTTGGGAAATAGCATTTCATTTCCCGCTGAGGTTTGTCGGTAAGGACGTACCAGGAGTGACACTGTCGGGGTATCCAGCGGGCAAAAAGACCTTTGAGAGTATTGCGGCGAATGGCAGCGGCTTGCTGCCACCAGAATCCGCCTTTACTGTTATCTTTACCGGGCTTAGACCCGAGAGCAGGAGAAGTAAAGAAACTCGTACCTCGTCATCGATAATGTCAATATAGTGAAGCCGCCCTCCGTCATCTCTCTCTACAATCCGGATTGCCATGATTTTGCTGCTATATTGATGTCGAGAGTACCGAGAGAGGATGTAGGTGAAGGGTGAAGGTAAGACGACAAGAATGACACGTGGGGCATGTTACCTTCTTACCACCACAATCCCAGGGACCTTTGCATCCTTCTTCTGCTTGATATGTACCTCCCGACTCTCAAGAAATTCATTGGGACGATTCTTGACGAACAATAATCGGTCAACGCCCCAGGGCTACGAAAATTAGTGGCCGACCATTGATCACGCTATCTGCGTTTCACTCTGAAGAAGGAAAGGGGATCCACTGTATCGTGTATTGGGAGAAGAAACTTTCAAAGTTATATTGGGCAGGAGGACGCGTCAAGGTTTGCCTCAAAAATTTGAATGTATGCTCTGATATCGTTGACATTTTTCTCAAAGGTCAAACGAGAGAGTCAAGCAAGGCTACCGTTTCTTTGCCTCGTTCTCTCCAAGTCTCTACCTCCTCCTCCTGTAGCCTGACCAGCCCGTCGTGTCAGACGCGTCCCATGAACCGGTGGCTGTTTTCGGTTTAATTCCCAGGCTGCGTCTTACAAATGACGTATCAGTAACTTGACTTTACGAAACCTCGACCCGGGCTTTCACGCTGAAAGGATGGCGTTTCCTGCGAAAATTATCTACGGGACGGCTTGGTATATCCTTTCTGTCAGCTGCATCCTGCAAGCCCCTCACGTCCATTATTTAGGAAGATGGAGAGAACCACTGACCTAGTCGTCTCGGCTGTTCTGAACGGGTTCAAAGCCATTGATACAGGTGTGTGATACTCCAGTTTGTGATCTCAGCTGTTCGAGACTATCGTCGTTAGCGTGCCAACCCAAGCATTATCGGTTAGTGCAATGCTTCGACAGCTACTACCACAGGCCCAGTGCTTAACGTGCTTACCAGGGAGGATCTTGTTGGCAATGCACTGCAAGTGCTGAAAGAAGTACATGGAATCGAACGCGATCAGCTTTTCATCCAAACAAAGTATGTCTTTACTTTACCGCTATGTACGATGAGGGAAGAACCGACACTCCTCAGATTCACATCTATTGATGGCCAAGACCGTTCTAAGCCACTCCCGTATAATCCCGCTGCCACCATTCCGGAGCAGGTCAGGACCTCTTTTGAGAAATCCTTGGCCAACCTGCGTACGGCCTACGTTGACAGCTACTTATTGCACTCGCCGCTCCGAACAGTACGACAAACGTTGGAGGCTTGGAAGGTGCTGATCAAACTTCAGGACGAAGGCAAAGTACGCATGATTGGTGTTAGCAACACTTATGACGTTGGGATACTTAGAACTCTGGGACAAGAGAGACAAGTCCAGGTGGTACAAAATAGGTGGTACGAAGGAAATGCATGGGATCAAGATGTGGTGCGGTATTGTAAGACGAACGGGGTGATGTATCAGTACGTATCTTTTCTGATAGTATTCTTCGGCTAAAGACTTCCTTTATTCAGATCATTCTGGACGCTGACGGGTTCACCTTCTCTCTTGTCGCACCCGTCCATTCTGGCTCTTTCTGCAGCCTCAGCTATGACACCTGCGCAGGTCCTATATGGTATAGTGCAGAAGGGTGGTATTTTGCCGCTTTCTGGTACCACAAGTGAGATACATATGAAGGAAGACGTAGCGGTGGAGAGCTCGGACCTTGTTAGTGATGACAAGCTCCGAAGTCACGTCGACGTTATCAAGCGATTGGTGGGGCTGGAGTTGTGAATGATAGCCGGCAGTTGTAAGGTATGCTTAATGACGTCTTGTCTAATGCGATGCTCAATAAAGTCCCATTCCAGATCAGTGAATGCGAGGGAAGATAACATCTACTTTAAGTTTCTGTCATTAGGCAGTTTTCATTCCAATTGTTTCCACCTTGTTACGGTCCTACGATCCCTTTTGCACCCCGTAACCAAGGGCGACGTCATAACCTCAGCTCCAACGTAGGATCCTCCTTTTTATAAAGTTCAGATGATGCCAAACACTGCAATTTCCCCTCTTTCACCTGTTCAGGCTGTGACCTTTTACTAATGACTTACGCGTTGACTACGCTGATTCTTACACCATTAGCCATATGCTTCTCCCGTCCACGCACTGAAGCCATGTCTCCTTCTAAAGCCGGCCTAGCTTGGGGTGGTAACAGTCACGAAATAGCGCAGTTCACCTCCACGGGCAAGGTATTTTGGTGCATAGTATCCTTGTTATTAGCACCTTCACTGACATTTCTTCTACTCAGGTATTATACATGGTCCCCAAAGTCTTATATTCCAGGCACAAACATTGAATTTGTACCTATGCTATGGGGAAGTAAAGAAACGGAAGAGTTTTCCTCTACTATCAATGACACGTTAGCAGGGGGTGGTGTTACCGCGGTTCTTGGAATGAACGAGTATGTCGCTCATTCCCGAGGACTCATTCCTTTACGTTGACTAATTTATTCAGATCGCAAGAAACGCAACAATCTAACCTCACCTGTAGCGAGGGTGCAGACATGTGGAAGACATACATTGAGCCCTTACGCTCTCATTCTGAGGGTGTTAAACTAGGGAGTTCAGCACCCTCCGGTGCGCCATCGGGAAAGATATGGCTAGAGCAATTCCTTACAGTGTAATGGAGGCACTATAGACTTCATAGCATTACGTAGGTTTTGTGATACTCTGTCGGTTCTACAAGCTAACTGCTTTGTCACAGACTGGTTCGACATCAACAGTACCCAATTCGTCTCGCATCTTCAGAATTTCCACGGAACTTTTGACAGGCCGATATGGGTTACAGAATGGGTATGTCAGAATTTCAACGATGCGGATAATAACCAATGCTCTGAGGAAGAGATAAAGGTGTTCCTGAATGCCACGCAGTCGTTCATGGATAATACAGACTGGGTGGAGCGATATACCTGGTTTGGGGCGATGACAGATTTGCAGGGCGTCAACCAGGTAGGGCAAGCTGACATCCGCCTGCGGCCGCGATGCTGATTGATATGATATCAGGGTAATGCGCTAATGAATTCTGACAGAGATATCAACTCCCTCGGTAAACAGTATACAGGTGAAGAAGATAATATGCACTTAATAACGTCTGGTGGTGCTTGTTCGAGTTCCCCATCAGTGACTTCAGTACGATGGCTGCTCTGGACCTTTTTCTTCCTGTGTTTTGCGATATTGGTGATATGACCACTATATTGTATGTCTCAGGTGTATGTCCATTTCGGATACCCAATACGTCTGCCTGTTTGACTCAAAATTTCTCCGTTATCTACTAAGATCTCTTGGCTAGACCCTCTGGGAAGGGAGGTCACCAGACATCTCACGCAATTTCCGTTTCGCAGAACGACATCCTTAGAACATTTTTTACCTTCTGTTCGCAGAAAAGTTCATAGCATCATCTTATACCTGGATGAGGTGATAGGAGTCTTACCTAATACGAGTCTTCAGAGACATCGTTATAAAGCACAGGAGCCACCGCTGTTCCAGAGTCATTCAATCCTGCCTGTCATGCCAGTCGCTGTTCCTCAACTCGGTTCTTACCAGTACGTCGCGGAAACAAAGGTAAGTTGTGCCATCGAATCTATTACTTCAAGTGTCAAACATATATTCATAGGAGAACCTTGACTGGGCCGACCTTGTGACGGTCGACCTAAGCTTGTATAACACGCCTGAGGGCAAGAAACAGCTGGCGAAGACTCTTATCGAAGCTGTACGCGAGAAAGGGTTCTTCTATGTCAAGAACTTTGGTATATCACAAGAACGCGTCAGCAGACAATTTGCCTTGGGTAATCAGTTTTATGAGCTTCCATTGGAGGAAAAGTCCAAATATATCCCAGCGGGACTAGGTGCGTCTCCTTGGTGTCGATATCACTTCCTGAGAACTGACCCGGCCGTGTGCAACAGATCAAGGGATATTTAACGGTTATGTTCCAGCTGGCCGTAGAATGTTTGTTCCTCACGCGCGAATTTGAACTCTCGCTCATGTTCAAATAGCATCGATCCTGCGACTAATCTGAGGGACCATGTCGAGGTCTACAACATTCCTAGTATGGCGTCATAGTGATCTTTTATTCCGTATCACTAATACTGGTGCAGAATTTAACGGGTTTTTCCCTCAACAGCATCCCGCAGTCATCAATGATAATCTAAAGGAGATCGAAGAATTCGCACTGGTAAGATCTCTTTCATGATGATTATTTCCTTATCCAACGACATTCCTAGTCCCTGCACACAGAGGTTTTGGACCCGTTATTCGTATTGCTGGCCATTGCTCTTGAACTCCCTGAAGATTACTTCACCAAAATTCACAAATACGAGGTCAAGAGTGAGGTGCGTGTCTAGTAATAGTTCTCAGACCTGAATTCTGAGTTCTGAGAATGTGCTTTCCGTAGGATCATCTGAGATACATGAAATACTCAAAGTATACGCCTGAAGAAAACCTCAAACTGGAGAACTGGGTTCCCGGCCACACTGGTAAGCTTGTGACTCTTCAGGGTACCCATTCTTTAACGCTATTCTTTCCTAGATCTCGGCAGTTTCACGCTCTTGTTCCGGCAGCCTGTTGCAGCACTTCAGATCCGATACCACACCAACAATGAATGGAAATGGGTCAAACCCCAAGATGGGACCCTTACCGTCAACGCATGCGACGCCTTACAATTCCTGACCGGGAATTATGTTAAAAGCACCATCCATAGGTCCGTTAGTCTCGGATAATTTATTCTCGTCATTTCCGACTGTGCTCCATAGGGTCACGACTCCCCCGAAGGATCAGCAACACGTAGACCGGCTCGGTTTGCTGTACTTCTCTCGGTAGCTTATAGTTTCATGATGATTGTTTAGGACCTTGGCTAATTAGTACTCTCTAGGCCTCACAACGATGTCACTCTGGCGACGATCAAAGATTCCCCCGTCTTACAGCGAGAAGGATATACTCAGAACCAATTCGAGAGCAGTGGGAACAATGTGCCAACGATGGAAGGTCAGTCCTGTATCTATCACACTGGCGCCGAGCAGTCCTCTGATTCTAGAGCTCTAGAGTGGACGTTTGCGAAACAGAAGTGGCAACGGTCCAAAGGCTATCGCGAGAATGTCGAGCATCGTACAGCGACGATTCTGCCGGGTTTCAGAGAGCAGATTTATGCCTAAATGGGATTAAACGTTCACCAAACTTTGCATCAACTTCATATATCAGTGTAGCAAACTTGAAGTATCTATTATCTGAAGACAATGGTCGGTGTCCGTCTTACGCCTGTATGCTGTAATTCTATTCGGTAGAATCTTGCCCCTGCAGCCGCGGACCAAGCACTTGTACTTGGTTTGCCCACGCTTTTCCGCAGCTGTGACGAGACACGGGTATATGAGAATTTCTACAGTATCGTAAAGACATCAGCGCTCAGCCCTAGATGCAGCGGTCGTCTTCTCCCGAACTGTGAGAAGCTCTTGGGTTGAGTCTGACTCTCCAAGCCTTGGAATTGATACAAGAGTTGTTTATTGCAAGATAAAGATAGTGATTTATGCTGAGGAAAGTCTAGTCAATCTAAAAGAATACGTGCTACAAGAGAATAATGCTGAACGGACAGGCGCTATCAAGAAGGGATCATGTTGCAATTAGAAGATAAATCGAAAATCCAATTATCCACCACCTCCATAGCAACGTATCATTGGACAGGGCGGAATTGTCACTGTCATCTCCATCATCACTGCCCCCGTCGCCCGATTGACTTTCTTGGACCCCTCCAATATTGGAGCCGTTGACGAATCGTCCAAAGACGGTCTGCGCCACCTTGGGTTGGTACGCAGGCATAGTATGTCCTGCTTCGAAGACCCGACTGTGAAATCTCATCAACACCTCGAAGGTAGAAAAGAGCTGAAAGGACTTACACAAACTTAACTCCACCATCAGGGACGATCTTGTATTCTCCTACATACTCCCCGTCAAGCACCAAGGTTGTGTAATTCAGGTTGCTGAACGTCGTGTTTCCCCACCAGTCCATTTGCGCGATACAATCATGGACTCCGATCCAATTTGCCTTCATATCCGAATCACCCGCCTGCAGTGCTCGGTATTTCAATCACATCGCAACGGGAAACCAAAGCGAAACACCCACCCATATCAATATGTCAACCTCCTTCGCGTCGGCCAATTCTGCCAGGTTCGACAGGAAAGACCGCCCGGTCTCCCCACCGTTAGAGAATCGATACTTGAGGCTAGAGTCGCATTGATCAAAGTCTCCCTTCGCACCGATGGCTTTTTTGACGCGTGAAGACCGGATGTAGCTTGAGTAGTACTTCGGCGGGAAAACTTCGCTGTAATCATCTTCCTCTTCCTCCTCTGTAAGCTGCGCTGTGTAATTCTGCCTCAAGTCATCCGGATTCCGGTCGCCGATCGTGGGTGCAAAAACTTCCTGGGTACAAAGAACCAATGCATCGTGGCATACGGTGTCGTTCCCACCGGCGTAACAATTATTCAGCCCAGTCGAACAATTCCCATTATAGGCTTCTTGGATATCTGCCAAGACGGTGTCGTTGGCAAGGGGTCCATATCCCGGGGCGTCTTGTGCAAATGTTATAGAGGACTTCATCTGAATCAAAGGGTCGTGTTTGCCGCTGACGAGCAGAACAGAATTAAGAGAGAGAACCTTGGTTTAAAAAAGAACGGCGCTCACTTGCTTATAATCAACTTTGAAACGACAATTTTCTCTGCGTCGAGATCTCCACTATCAATTTTCGCATTTTGAGACTGGAAATATTGCGTGAACACGGGTCCAAAGCGAGCCCCGTAGGATTCTGTAGCAATAATGAACCTAAGGAATGGAAACCATCAGTTTAAAAGGAGATGATTACAAAACATTTCGCACTCATTGTCCTTGTACGCGCTAAATGTGCTGTCGGCAAAGAAAATCTGAAACGCTTTCCAAAAGTATGTAGCGGCCTGATCCGTGGAATTCACTAATGTTGTCCCCGTCGAGTATCCCGCTCCGAACGGCTGGTCGATGTATATCACTTTGCACAAGGAAAGGTGAGAACCTAGGGAGACTTCAGAGAAATTCGAGGCGCTCACTGTTTGTGTGATTATTCCAACTATAAGGATTATATGTCGTCGAGTTCGAGTCCTCGTTGACCGTGCATGGGCCATGCTCTAAAATTTTCCATTCAAGTCAGCGCGTCACCCTTCAATGATATCAATGGAATGCCCACGGTTAAGACGTACCCTGGAAAAGCCCAATCAACGATGAACAACCTGGCCCTCCATTCAACCACACGGTCAGCGGCTTATTATCGGGGTCGCTTCTCGCTTGAAAGAACCAAAACCACATTGCATCCTCTTCATCGTCATCGAAATAGATATAGCCGCTGTATTGCGATACTCCCGGCGTCGTTTCACATATTCCTGAGTTTGTCGTGTAGTTCACTGACTGTGAACGGGCAAAAGAAAGAAAGAGAGGATTAAGAATGAAAAGAAGGGAGAAGAGAAAAACGGAGGACATCGAGGTGGAGATTAAGAAACATTCTTACACGGGGAACGGGAGGCTATATACTTAGCAACTTACGTGGTGAATCTGAAATCAGCGTATCATTCGCCTCGGACAAATTAGAGTGTTCGCCGGAGTCCTGCGCCGGAAGAAGACGCTTGTCGATCGGAGCAAGATCGGCGATTATTATGACTTTCCCACAAAGATAAGTACTCAAGGTAAACTCCAGATTCCAATGATTCCTGTAGGAGCCAAGAAAGATGATACAGGAATTCTCTCACCTTGGCTGGTAGCATTTCAGAAGCCAGATACTCACACCGGAATTTTTTTCATACCGTTGCCGTTGCCGGATCACCAGCACCACACGGTTGCACGAGGCCGCGCCAAGGTCAAGTATCAAAACTTGGCGGATACGAGCTGAAGAACATACGTATGACCTTGGTGTCGACTGCGTCGGTAATGCGTTCAGACAGCCATGGAGGGTCGCGCAGTAACCAGGAAATCAAACGACAGTGAGAGCCAAGCGGCTTAGTTATCTGCTTAGAAGAAGAATATCTGCAAGAACTCCGGTCAGAATTTCACCGAGGAAAAACGGAAAGAAAGATGAAGAAGTCCATCCTCACGGATATATAGGATTCCCCACTCGATCAGCGATTGATTACTAAGTGCACTATCCCATTTACGATCTTGCCTCATTATTAAAAGATAAACGCAGTTCAATTCAGGGTGCCCCAGCTACTTAACGGATAGCCATGGCAACCACGTGTCCAAAATAAAAACGTTGTAAATAATAAAAACCGCTCAAGGCATTCAACAGAAGGAATGTGCGAAGGAGTGTCTATGCACGAGCCATATTAACCTTAAACTCCGTGCAACTAGATGAAAGCCAGCAGAACGGACACATAAACAAGATTCTACCGCCCCCACAACTAATCCGTCGCAGAAGCTACGTCAGCAGTAGAGGTTGAGAATTGCCTACGATAATAATGCCAATTGAGCCCTAAAAACCCACCCACGCGGGAGAAGCGCAGCAAAAAAAAAAAAGGACGCACGTAAAAGTAACCTCAGTCGTAACAGTCGACCAAGTACGGACTAGTAGTTGACTAGAGCGTGCTCGATCCTGCTCGCAGTAAAAGTCGACATAGGGACCACGGTGACCTTCAGCAGCGGGGGCCTACACAACGCATGCATGAGTGTTCATGAGACAATCGAGCGAAAGGAACGCTCAAGTACCGCATTGACGAACGCCAAAGCAAGCGCAAGCACGACAGAGGTTCGCAGGAGGAATGCCATTTATAAGATTCGTTTATAATTCAAAGAGAGCGTTCGAAGTGTTATGGTGGTTGTGGTTAAAAAGTTCTTGATGGCGCTCAGGTATAAATAGTCAGCAGTACGTGCGACCTTCGTGGTTTGCATCTGCCGTCATCCGCTAAATAATGAATAAGCTGCAGGAACCCGTCAACAAATTGAACGCGCAGCTCCGGGCCCTGCGTCCATCGGATTCAGCGCTAACCGGGAATGATCATTTTGGGAGACTTACATGCAGGGTGTCGCTTCATAAGTTTATTGGCGCGGCTGGTGTATTGAGGAGAACCAATCGTTTAAGTTGCCCGTGAGCGCGCGAAGAGAGGCCCGAAGGATAAGAAGGTGAGGCTTTTCTAAAAGAAATGCCTCGTATCGACGTCAGACTCATCAGCATTTACATCTCATCACGAAATGCGCAGCAGAGGTACTTATGCCTCTTGCGAAGACCGCTTCGTTGCTGTGGAGTGATGTATGATGTGCAAATACGCAGGCGGGCGCAGCTCTCTGATGACATACAGCACTGTTCTAAACGAACTTGCATGCCTGAAAAGCGACAGATCATGAGAAGATACAACCTATATCAATCGATATGAATGCCTACCGCTTAAACCTGCGCGCCGTGTGGAAGGACGATGGTCGGAACGTACCTCATGTGATGACGGTCCGTACAGCCTCACACTGCACAGGGATGCAGCTTTCATCTTTTTCTCTTGATCGTCACGATGGTACATACAACAGAGAGACAGACAGTGCAGGGAAATGAGAGGATGAGATGACCGGACACAGGAAGAAATAAAGAAAGTGTGAGGAAATAAAGCAACGATATGTACGTAGGTAAGAAACCGTATAGTAATGTATGTACAAGACAACGGAAATAAACAAACAGTGAACGAGTAAACGAATGGATATGCAAATAATCCTACGGTGTAGGTGGTATCGTCGGTGTCATTTTGGAGCCTGACTTCACTCTGAACTCGCTCATGAGACATATGTGACTAGGAAGTTCATCAGTCAGCGAATCACGATTCAAGCCAAGAAACATCAAGACTTACTCTGATGGGAAGTGCGCATTTGGAAATCCTACCACCTTGTCTAAATACTCCCTGTCCACCTCACCCAGCACCGCATTCACCGCCAGTGTTGCCGTCGAGTACCACACATAATCGATGACCCCCCTAAAGCTGGGCGTGTAGTTCGTCATCGGTAGAATCTCTTCACCCTGCCCTGTGCTGTATGCGCTCTTCAGTCCTAATCGGTGTCTCAGCCCTTCCTCCGTGTACCGTCCATAGACATGCTTCATGAAGTCCTGGTGGTCTGCACTCAACACGCCGTTTTGCAGGAACTCGTAAACACCGCTCTCCGGCACCGAATTGAAATCACCGCAGATAATAACCGGTATCTTGCTCCCATCGGTATACTTTGTTGCCATTCCTGCTGGTGGGGGGTACCGAGCGAAGGCCGACGCCACCTTCTCGATCTCTTCCACCAATAGGGCTACCTGCACGAGCTTGACATCCCGGTACGCTGGATCCCAATGTATGTGTGCGTTTGCAATCACATACCGTGTCCCTGTCTGCTTATCCTCCAGGAGACACACCACAGCGATGTGGTCCTTGCCCAAGACCCGGTTGAACATATCATCCGTCTTCTTGAAGTCTTGTCTCTGCATCGCAACGGCGCTGAATTCGATGAGAACTTTCTCTACGAGCTTGAAGCGTGCGGCGTTATAGAACGTTGCGCATCCATCCACCATCCGTCGATCCGCTTCAGGGCATTGTCTTTGCACGAGATTTGGGCCAGAATACACCCTCGTAATCCCGCGTCTGTAGGTTCTTGACAAAGTAATCTTCGTACTGCGCGATGTCCACCTCCTGGAGACATAGGAAGTCGGCCGAGTGGGAGACGACCTCTGAGAGGATGATCTCTTTTCTGTACTCCCAAGCCGAGGGCCCATGACGGTGTGTAACCATACAGACGTTCCGTAGCATACTTTTCGCACAAAATATTGTAGCAGAGGACGCTGAACGTCTCACCGCTAGCACCGGCCGCCTGACGAGGGATCAAGGTGCTTCCACTGCCGTTCCGGAGGAGGCGGGAAAGACGGGGCATGAGTCGCGCAGATAGGAAATGAGTGCCTGGGGTGCCATCTTTTTGAACCATGGCCTTTAGTGACGGTTCCATCGGGTTGCCTTCGATGCCGAGGGTCTGTAGTTGGTGGAGCGTGCCTAGCTCATGGGGGATAGTGGTAACCTGGTTGTCGAAGAAATAGAGTTCCTTGAGCTGGGTGAGCATACCGAGCTCTGGCGGTAGATGTTGGAGGTTGTTCCCTGAAATGTCGAGCAATTCGAGGTGCCGTAGGGCAGATATTTGTGGTGGTATCACCTCAAGGGCGTTGTGGTTTAGGTAGAGATTAAGTAGGAATGTGAATGAAAACAAGCCTGATGACGGAGGCAAGTTCTTGAGACCGACACCACCCATGTCCAGCGAACCCCAGTTGTTTTGCGGTGGAGCGACCGCTGTCGGTCTCGGTGCCTCCGCTATGGGTGCGACGGTCGACGACGGATGGTTTTCGTCGTCAACAGGCTCCTCCGGCTTGTTTGGATTTGTGATTGGAATGGCAGACTTTGCTACGGTCCGTGACGCAAGAGCATTTGCCCTTGCCCGGAAATGGGGTGAGCGTGACGACCGAACTGTTTCGCATTTAAAGAGCTGCTGCTGCCAGTGCTGTGTGATGAGCTGACCGGCTGGCGAGCCCATCTGGGGCGGGGAAGGATAGTGGGATAGACCATTGTGGGAGAGCGAATTCTGGTGGTGATGGTGATGAGGCAAGGGTAATGGATGTGGATGGGCAAACAAGGCGTATCCCGGCGGCTGCTGACCTGATGGAGTCTGTCGTGGCCATGCATGGTCCGCCAATTTGTGAGGCACCCCAGGAGAGTGCTGAGCGTAGTACATGGTAGAAAGTCCCTGTGACGTGTGACTCAAAGTGACCGAGGCTGGCATCCCGATTTGGATGGATTGACGGGCGGGTGGCGGGATGACATAATCTGTTCACCTTGTTCCGTTTTTGTCACTCGCTATCAACGTGCGAATTGGGAAGTCTTCATGCTGCACACAGAACCTAGACTCTTTGTATCTGGGGCCTTACTCTACAACTTGGCTCTAATACTGGTCCGCATCTGCTGTCGATACGAGAGCCACCAGGGACAATCTAGCAGAGATCTTGGCCACAAGGCGTTTTTTGTTCGGAGAAATCGATTTGCTTTGAGCGGGCCGTCAAGAATTGGTCACGTCTGCAGCCGGTACGGCTCGTATTGATTACTTTTCCTCGTCTTGGGGCCCAATTTAACATATACGGATGCAGCACTTGGCACATCTTCGTCTTCTCGGAAAGACTTCTGGATAATCATTTCGTTCTAGGAATCTTTCACCATGCGCTCGCAATGCTTCTCCCAAGCGATGAAAATGCACCCGATTCAAGTTCCCACTATCCTGCCGTCAGAATCGCATCTCCTCCCCGCCCTGCTGATCGGTTGACCTCCATCTGAGTCTTCATCTTGATGTATTCCGATGAATCTCACTCATTCTGTCGGCATACGATAGACTGGTAAATCTGCCTTTCCGTTGCTCGCAAATCTTACGGATCGAGTCTAGAGCTACCCTTTCCATCGGACATGACGCTCCGTACCTCCCTCTGAAGCCCAGGCGTACTCAGATGCCCTATCAGAACCCTTTTGCCCAATGAAGTGAGTAACATTCAACCTTATTCGCCTCGTACACCTCGGATTTTGTTTCAATAACCATCTCCCCAACTTACTTTTCCATACGTCACCGCAGATCATCTCTGCATCAATGAAGGGACTCTATAGCGTCAGACCTATATCCCTTACCAGCTACTAGTCTTGAGCTGGACAAATTCGAACCCGGAAAATCTTGCGCACGCTCTGATCGCGTTTTCGCTGTTATGAGGGTTTTACTCTACAAAGCGCGAGGACAAGAGTCGAGACCACGATTCAGATGAGCAATCTCGTTCCACAGCCATGGATACTCAGTGGATTAGAGGAACGCCGCGTTAAGCTCTCTTGTTTGTCTCCCTTTTATGACGTTAACACTGCCTACCGTAGCATGTGCTAGCCAACCAAATTTTTACTTTCCATCATGTTGGTATGTTTAGCATCAAATTAATATTATTATAGATGCCACACAAGGGAATAATATCCATTTCATCTCATCTCATCTCACCTCCGTCTGCACGCGGGCGTCTTACGATCCATTCATTCCAATCTTCTACTACTTTTCTACTTCACAGCGGGGACATCTCGGTCCTGACAAAGCCCTTAGCCACAGGGCTATGAACCGCGCTATCAATGACATACCATACCGTGCTCGTACCTGGTCCACTGTTTGCTCCTCTTTACATTTGCTATATATCTAACCAATACTTGTCACCGTGTCCCAAAAGAATAGGCTAGTCATGTCTGCCGGCAAACATTAGCGCAACAGCGTGGAAAGTACACCTAATATATTCACTTAATGCACTCCACACATACGCCGTCACCGGCTCATTATGTCGTGTGAAAGCGTAGGTGACTGTCACCACGGAACGCCTGACCGAGAGATATTCGACTTATCTACTACTCTTGGATTGCACTAGACCCAACATAGTACATCGTACGCCACACTGAGATAGGCTAGTTTTCAGCCTATGCTTCGATCCCTTGGTAAATGGGTCCGCAATAGAGATGGTAGCCTAGTCATCTGCAGGACGCTTGTGAAATAGACTCTTGAAAATGTGTTGGTCGCCGAAAGTGCTGATGTTTATGGTTTAGCGTCCCAGACATTCATCAACCCCAGTACAGGTGTACCTGGTAACGGTTTTGTGGCAAACCATCTTACATTACCGGTTGTCATAGACGCTCAAGGTTGAATACACCGTTTAATAAACTCTACTAGCTCGTTCACATTATTAGAAAAGCGCTTGCGCTAAACCAGAAGGAAAAAATTTTGAAAAGGAGCCCGGTCGTATGGCAGCCTAAGTTGAATTAGATTAGCTTATTCATATAGCAAAGAAAGGCGCTACAGGGAACGTACGCAAGCAAGGGTCGGAGGAGATCAATTCGATGAAACACTGTCCTTAGCGGAAGCGAGCAAGTACCCCAAAAGACAGCGTTAACAGAGACTAAATGAAGCAGGGATGCAGAGGTTTGAGCGTTGTCTGTGAACAGACGGTAATAGAGCCGTAGCCAAAGACATCATCTCTACACCTAGCAGACGAACTTACCGGAAGAGGGTATCTCCGCCACACTATTTCAAATTCGAAACGGTATCAGAATACTTATAAATCTATTAGAAGAAAATACATGAACCGGGGTAGAAACCATTATTATTAAGTAGCCCACCCCCAACGGTCATATGATACATGAATAGTCCGGTAGTGCATGGCTCTATATAGTTAGTGATTGTCTGCTCCAGCATAGCCCCATTTTACCATTCGAGTGACCCCATTATTCCAATCTTCCACTCGTTTGCCACTGACAAGACTTAATGTCGACCCATCAGTGCCTACGAATCCCACAGCAAGACTATGGATCACGATATCGATGATCGGCCCATACCATTCTCCATACGTCTTGATAGTCCCCTCTTGTTCGTGGTCGATATACCCCCAACCTAGGAAATCGACCTCTTCCCAGAATTCCTCGTCCTTTTCATCTGGTGGAAAACAACTCAGAAGGATCTTGATCCAGGGAACACCGAATACGCACCTGTGGACATGATGATATGAATTACGTCCAGACCAAGCTTCTCCCGCAGTTCTTCTTGTACCTCCTCTACGCGTCTCACAAATGCTGGAAGATTCGCGTAGCATTCTTTGATATCCTTGGTCGCCCAACAATTGCCTTTGAAATCTCCATGCCGTATATGAACAGCAATGAACTAGCGTCCGTTTATTGTTAACACAATCGCACTCAAGAGCTAATGATGGCGAACTCACCGGCGGAAGCTGATCTGGAGCAACATCAAACACTTTTGAAGCATACTCTTTTCCCAGCCTCTCCATGTGCTCGCTAAACCTCAAATGCTTCCCCACAGTCCTCCACGCAGGCGACCAGGGATGATTCCACTCAAACGTCTCTGCCCCAGACCCGACATAATACAAGGTATCAAAGCACGCTAGATGCCTATCCGGAGGTTCCCTCTCGCCCTTGGCCGACGCCTTTAGCAGAGGGAAAGTCTGATCCTGAAACGCCGGTTGCACTGGGTATATCAGAGACGCGAGGTTCCAAAAGTTGGTGTGTCCCTCGTCTAAATTGGATGAGCGGTACATCAGGTCGGGTACGCGTGTGTACGATGCGTCGAGAGCAAGAGCCCTGGCAAAGTTATAATCGGGACTAGGCTCATTCACATCGCGAGACCGTACGCTCCAGCACCCTATTTTCTCCCAGGAGGCGTCTGGATCTCCTAGTTTCTTCAGAGGCGTCTTGATATCAGACCATTCAATGACAGGCAATTGAAGAACGTCACGGAGATGTTTGAGGTTGAATACGTCGCCAAAGGCAATTACACCGGCTTCATCAGCTAAATACATTCACCATTTTAGACGCGTTAATTGTGTGGTGATGATGATGGTCACTCACTAACGTGGTGGGATGGTGAAAATGGAGGGAGAACGGGGATTCTATCTGATATGATCCCCAAGTATATCAGATTGACCTGGTGCACGCGCATGAGCCTTTCATGTGAACGCCAAGGACGCGAAATGAACACGCACCTGACACATATATAGGTTCGCTATTGTGTTGAGTTGAGAACAGTGGCAATATGAACAGTCCTGGCTACGCACTGAATCCTCCAAGACACCATGCCGTTAAGTAACTTTTATCGTCCCGCAGATTATCTGTGTATAGATGTATGCGACCCAGAACGTGCTGAAAAGTCGTGTCACTGACCTCGAAAGTTTTCGCCAGGAGTTCCTTGCACATAATAGCTTGAGTCCCATGGTTTAAGAGTCGGCGTTGCTTCTACTGCAGAACTATACGAGGTCGGCGTCGCTTCCACGATCGGTTCTGGCGCCAAGTCGTCATTTAAACAACTTGCAGGGCAGATATCGCCGCTGAGCGCTTGTTCTGGCTGCTGCTTGAAGACGACAATTTTCTTCAAGAGATGCAGCGAGGAGTAAAGAAGAGCTACTATCGAGATAGTATTCAGAATAAAGACGGCGGGACCACTGAGACGGCGGCGGGACATAAATAGCATAGCGGAGCCTCAAGGTCCTTTAGAGCGAGCTCATAGGGGATGGGCGCCGGCTCACAAGGGCGGTAGCATGCTTTTCTGATCGGATGTACACGAGGTTCATCATTCCATGATGAAGCCGGAAATTTAATTGATCCCCGTTCGGTTCGGAAACGGACAAGCGCTTCGGCAGAAATCGGCGCGCTTTAAATAGTCGGATTAGGCACAATGCTGCGGTGCCGTCGTCCGGCACCGACGAAACGTCGGCATTCAAAGTCGGTAACCCCAAATGGGGAACTTCATGCTTAATGTTGTACGGACCCGACGCATAGAAGTATATTGTCCATACTTTCGGGTCTCCATTTTAGGGGTTTGAGCTGTCATGTAGTTGGGAATGCATTTAGGCGGCGAGGTCAGTACGCTCCTAAATTGCCAGCATAATTTGCCCCAGTCAGATCGTGGCGACATAGGCGAACGGTCCGAGAGCTCAAAAGGCCCAAGTATGCGAATAAATATATTTATGAAGGTGATTTGTCCTAGAAATGCCCGTGAATATTCCACGTCAGAAATCATACATGTGTTCCGTCTCCATTCCTGATAGATTCAAACAAGCTTCACGCAGGCACGGAATGAGACCTTGTCGACAAATGATGGATAATGGACTGTGACAGTATCGGATGCCAGAACCATGAACAATCATTCATTGAAACTCGAGCATTCACAGGGCTGAAAATAGTGGCGCAACAATCCCGAGTACCGCTGCCAACTTACTAGTCCCGTTATTAAGTGCGATATGACCTGCCAGAAACATCGATAAAATGAAGTACGATGAACGGAAGCGTGGCGAGACTAACAATTGGTATGAGCGCACGTGCGTTTCATCTAGAGCGAAAGCTATCATTCGCGGGACGTGGATCAACTGAAAATCGGAGGAGCACCACCAGTCGCAGACTGCCAACAGAAAAACAAGTGTTCGCGCACCTTCTTGATCGGAATGACGGACCCGAGTGCACAGATAAAAGCATTGCTGTTTACATTTCTAAGATCAATACAACTTCCAATAAGATACCTACGATTGAAATCATGCCAACGTTTTTGGAATCCCATCAGGGTCAAGCAACGCTTCTTCTTCCCCTAATACTCTTGGCCCATCGCCAACTTTGGTGTGAATGAGCCCCTTCACGGCTCCGATATCAAAAGGCTTCGCCACCGCCTCATTGAATCCATCCACAACGGCGCCTTGCACACCCTGCGCACCAAAGATCCCAAACACATCTTTGAAAGCTTCCTTTTGCTGGGAAATACTTGACGATCATCTGCACGATTTCCTTGACATTCTCCTTTGGCGTATAAATAACCGCATTCGGACCCGCATCATACGTATACGCCGCCTTGACCTTGCTTGTCTTTAGTACCGCCACACGGTTATATTCCACGATTAACGCGATGATAGCCTTGGAGACGTCGTTCATATAGAAGATCGGCGGCTCCGTGTCGAGCGCGACAGCATGGAACTGATTTGAGTCAGCCATAGTGATCTTCGCAAAGGTGTCGAAGTCGCGGTCGAGGATGGCCTTGGAGATGTCAGCCATGCGTTGAGGGACGACGTGCTTGATGCGATGCTGCAGGAGGGGGGAGGTCTCAACGGTGCGCTGCATGCCTGAGGTCGAGGAAGTACCCTTCTTGTCATCGGATACGACACAAATGAGGGCATGGATATCGGGCCAGTGGGATTGGGGCGCAATTTGGATAGCGTAGGAGTCTTCACCGGTGGGAGAGGTGCCTTGTTCCCAGGCGACGTATCCGCCAAAGAGGGATCGGCAGGCAGAACCTGAACCTTGTCGGGCAATCAAGGAAAGGGCAGAAGCATCGCAGGGAAGGGTGTAGAGGGTCGCGATGGAGGAAACGAGGGCAGCAAAACCGGACGCTGAGGATGCCAAGCCGGCGGCAGTCGGAAAGTTGTTGAAGGACGATATATGGAGGGCGAATGTCGATAGCTAATGCGATGTTAGTCAAATAAATATATGTTTCTGCTTGCACGTACTTTGGGTGCATCCGGATTCTTGTCTTCAACGAGCTCTTTTCGAAGGCGCTTCAGTTCAGCGATGCAGGTCGCCATTCTGCCACCTTCTTTTATCACCTCTTCCTTGCCATTCAGCCATAGCGTGTCCTTCTTAAATGAGGGGTCTGCACGCGAGGTTGTCGTCGACCGAAGGTGGTCCTGGTCAAGGGTCACTGAGAGCGAAGAGTTGGTGGGTAGGATGAGTTTGGTATCTCGTTTTCCCCAGTACCTTTACATCACATGTAATCAGAAGTAAATCGAGGAGAAGTTCAAACCTACTCACTTTATACAAGCAATGTTCACGGGCGCAGAGGTCGTTGCTTGGTAGATGGCCATTGGGCAATGGGAGATCGCGAGATTGATATGATATGATACGATTTTTATATTTTATTCCTTGCAGAGAGACCAGGGTAGCGCGAGCTGAGGAAGGACATTAAATCATGAAACACAGAGACGGAGTTGATCCATATAGGACATACCTCACAGTGGACCTCCGAAGGGGATCAGCGAGAGCCAGGTCCATATTTGAGGACAAAAAGGGACCGTGATGTGACTGCATGTGACAGGTGGAATGTCTTAAAATCAAAGGGCGCACCTCTTGTTTGTGTCTCGCCATACCAGAACCAAAAAGAAAATACAGACAGTATTCCTGTGTTGTATTAGGAACGAATGATAAACACAAGCGCTGATTGGCGACATACCGAGTTTGTCGGTAGTTTGAAACCTGCAAACCACCGGTATTGATCAAAATGTTGAACCTGTCGACAACTTCTCCGAAAACGGGAGAACAATGTTGCGAGGATTCAGTATTGTAGCACTGACAGCGTTATCATGCACATCACTATGAAACAGCTGGAAGACCGCTTAAAACGGCTTGATCCATCATTTTCCTGAAGTGGGACCCAACATGGGATAGAAGTGTTCATCCAGATCTGCAAGTATTTAAAAGGATAGGGAAATGAGTATTCCTTTCACACTGCAAGTTCGTAAGGTTCATCTTCCAGGTTCCCATGCCCTCACAGGGGGAGCAGTGACCTAATGCGCGGGGAACACCGTCTAGTACCTGAAAGCTAACAGTACAAACTGTGCAACATACAAGCTGTCGTCGTCATGACAAAGTCTTTTTAAAGCATCGTAAGTGTCCAATAGATGTCGGTAATTCGCCTTGGTGTGGTTACGACCATCTTCGCGGAGACCTAAGGAGCGTAGTTTATTTCTGGAGTCATGATGAACACAAAACATACCTAATCCATAAGGAAGCTCGATGCGACCAGGTATACATCGAAGCGTGTCGTCACGGAACAAAGAACTGCAGAGGAAGGCAAGCTGAATACGCCCTAGGTATACGAAACGAGCCGTTGCGAGGAGCTTCCCCCGTCCAACCCCACATCCGTTGTGCAGATTCCTATGAAATGGAAGAGTGCTAATATATTGGCAGAACTTAACTACCATCAACACGTCCGGCTTTGCTCAAGGTCCGAGGACGTCTCAAGAAGGGGGGTTTCCGGGCGAGACGACATCGCAGAGTCTATTGACTTCGCCGACTGATCCTCTTCTCAGTGTTGAATCTGATGGTGCCAGTGTCAGCTTCGGACAACGACCATGTTTATCGCTCGCTCGTGGGAACGTTCGCGTATCAGGATTCGATGTGCTGAGAAGGTGGACGCTCACCCCCATCCATCATACGCCGGAATCGGCGGAGATCATCCCGTAGAAGCCCTTGCTAGTTTGGTTGAACGTACTCTATTGCGTATGAGAGTCTGGACCGTGATACAGAAAGAGCTCTATGAAAAAAAGAAACCCAGCTAGCCGACGTGATATTGATGTTACCGTAAGATGGGCAACAAGGGAATATAGACTCACCGTGAGATCAGGACCCAATGCAATTAAACACCAATGCTTATGGAGAGACAGCATTTTTTTCTCTTGTCAAAATCCTCGAATGCAAAAGACAGGGGCGGATCATTCACCGAGCCCTTCAAAGAAGCATCATATTTCCGTAAGATGGGCGGTAAAATGATTATCATTCGTAGAGTTGAAAGTCTTCCCCGGTAGACCCTGCATACCAATTTTTTTTTGTGCAGGATTGTCTAGTATCAGAGCTGGAACAGAGTCTGTTAGATTGTCCAGGCCAGTAAGATCTGTTCGATGAAACGAAAAAAAAAATAAAGCAATCAAGGTGGAGCCAAAACCGCCGGTCGCTTGAATACATATTTCAGACCTTGGACCGAGCCCTCGTACTTCGAAGAAGCAGCTTCTACCCCCGTACGATAGGGTGGCAAAAAAAAATATCCGGCTTCCCGTGTGAGTATGGATTTCCTCTCCCGCGAAAGATAGGAAAATCCTAAATGAGCTAAAAACTTCCGGGCCTATGCAGACTTCTGAAGATGACGCGCCTTCGTCAGCTGGGCGGCAAAAGAAGTCTATTTTCCGTATGACCTCAGCGACTCGCGAAGCAGAGTCCTCGACTCCATGGAAAAGTGATCGTTTCGGAAATTTTTAAGCAGACAAGCTGAGGCAGACGCGTTTGGACTGGCTAGGGAGATGAATAGCTCTCGGAGTTGATTTTTAGGATAAGGAGGCCAGGAGAAGGCGACTGAGAAAAAGATCATGGTTTGTATTGAAAGCATTTATGGTATTGCATTGAAAACTGAGAACCGAGTCCCACTCGGGTAGTATTAGACTGGTCAATTGAGTAGAACGATGACCGCCTCAAGTACGTGAACGACTCTTCGAATTACTCGGCCAAATGGAGTGATTAACGTGAAGTAGTAGTGCGCCTGAGTTTTCCGTCCATGAACCTCATTCAGATGGCCCTGAACCAAGGTCAAACGCTCCACCAGCAGAGGTTTCAATTCCTGGACAATAGAGTTTCAAAGACGTTTTTCATTTCAGCGCGTACTTCCAGTATCTGGTCGGAAAGCAATCCGGTAAAACGGTCCACCGTCGACAGGCCGCGGAGTAGATGAAACGCGATGAGAAATTTTGTATCTCTACGCCACGAAATGGCACGGCAGATGACCCATTAATCCTTGCGATTTTCATGTCTACGGTCAGCGGATTCTGTCAAGAACAGTAGCCAACTTCGACAGGGTGCTCCATCGTGGGATCCAAAGTGTAACCACAAGCTCATAGCAAAGACCATTGAGTTATGTTCCTCCCAAGTATTCTGTAGAAAGATCTTGTCTAGGAAGGGATTCGAATGAAAACACGAAGTTCACAGCTTTGACAGGCGCCACAAGAATCACCGCCGCGAAACCCTTGCGTTGTTTTCGCATTCACCTCTAGCATCAAGAATCCACTGGGTTGGCCAGACAGATAGTCCTCTGGGTTCGATATTTTTTATGGGCCGCCGAGAAGATGAAGATGGCAGAGTCAGAAAAAAAGATCGAAGAAGTGACCAAGTAAGTATTATCACAACGCCTCCGAGTCGGTTTTCTGACCCTGACTCATGTACCGTTACCCAAGTCTCCCCACGGGCCGAGGACAGTTGAGATATTTCCCATCAGCAAAAAAATTTAGCGTTCAAAGGAAGAAATTTAAACTTTTACTGAGATCCCAACTTCATGTATTGGGTGCGAGGGCCAGTACAGTGCTCAGTCCAGCGGAGAATCCCGAAAGCGAGTAGCCCTGCCTCCTTCGCAGTACGATCCACGAGAATTCATGATGCAGATATTCTACTGGCCAGCAACAATAAGTAGTTCTTGATGAGCATCATTTACCAGGGGCACAGGCATGTCGCAGATGGCCGCCGGTTCCCACGCGCCACTCCGGTCCGATCATCCGAAAGTGCTCCTCGACAATCTCCCCCTGCCCACATGTTCGAGGTGAGAGGACACGTAAAGAAAAACGTGTCTTCACAAGAAGGATGCATACGCTCACGGGATACTCAACGCCACCACCCACCAGTAAGTTCGGCCTCTGTTTGTGGTATCTTGAACGCGCCCCGTGGATGTTAGAACGCCGTGTTCCGATTCCTAATCTGAGTCCTGTGGGTTTGTGATAAGATGCATGTGTCGGTGTGGACGCCGAGGCTCAGGGCAATGCATGTAGATACTGCTGATGCTCTCCATTATGAAGAAGGCCCAAGCTCGGAGGCAGAAAGTTTGAGGGACACGGGGTTGTAATACTTCCGTTTGTTGAACATTGCTTGCTAGGAGGACTCGGACATACATGTATAATCATAGCCGTAGGAAGGTCAGTCGCACATAGCAACTTTGCGAGTCCGGCTCTAATGCGATATTAACTTCGGATAAGTATTAGGAGCGGTACCATCGTAAGTCTTCGTGCTGGAGTAAATGGCGCCACTGTAGACGGCGACTGTACTCTGGGGGGGTTAGTGGCGAGAGAATTCGAACACTTGGACTCGAGTCTCACTGTGCATCGCTCTAAAAGCACCGGACACATGTATGTCTCCCGCCACTGAGATAACAAAACAGGCTCTTCTCTAAGTGAGTAGAGGGTACGCGTGGTTATCCGGTGACATGGCTGAGAAAAGGCCGGTAGGAGCGGTACCCGAGTCAACGCCACATACTGATTATGAATTGGCGAGACGAGTGGGGTGACTGATGCGTTGTACCTTCATTATCTTGAAATTAAGAGGATCAACCAGTCGCGTCCGAAGTGGACACAAGCAAGGGGTAACAAAAGGAAGACCTGTCAGAAGACTCGTTACAGAGAGGAAGAAGCTCTCTCGGGAAAGTCCTTTTGTAAAAGACGCTTAAATAAGGAAATGGAACGAGTCGGTGTGGCGACCGTCGATGAAATTGATGGCATACACATGATGAAATTGAAAAGTAAAGTGAAATTTTGTGTGGCGCAGGGGGAATACCTGCGTGTTCGATAACTGGTTACCGGTTACGCGTGATGATAAGTAGGCGGCCACGGAAGTAAACGGGGAAAATCCAAAGATCGATCAAAAGTGATCGTAGTAGAGTCGGCCCGCATGGTGGAAAATTCAGGCAGGCGCCGGTCGTTTGGGGGGTTACGAACGGGAAACGCCAGAGAAGAACAAGGCCGCACAAGATCTGACAATGGGGATGACAGAAAGCGTTGATGGGTTCGAAGTATTATTTTACAATTCGAATCGGCGTAGAATCACCGGTGGCCCAAGCTGTGCTATGCCGCGTGGTGTTGCCCGTACCTGCGCCATTGACACGGTGCCAAAGATGTTCCTAGCGATGGGGGCAGAAGTACGCCGGTCGAAGCCTAGAAATTTGAGGAAAATAGGTGGAAAATGGCGGGAATAACGACGGGGAGGTGGGAGAATCGTCGGAAGCAGGGACGAAAAGCGGGCGAAAGAGTGTGGCCGTGTTTGTTTCGGATCGCTTGTACTTGACTACCACGTTCCTTACCTGTCCTTCTTTTTTCTTATTCTTTCATTCCTAACTCTAATAAGGCTTTGTGTGCATGCCTATTACACGCATCACTAGTCGTAGTCAGCTACGAAATCCGCTTTCCGACCTGCCCTCATCCAGGTTCTTGCGTATGGCAGCACCCTCGTCGTCATTCTCCCTCATGTCGTCCTTAGCTACCCGGAAAAGTCGCTTCAGAACTACATTTCTCGCCCTTTTCGTGATCTGCTTCTTGTCCACCTACATTTTTGTCTTCCAGCAGCGAGCACTACAGGCTCCACTTGGGCTGAAGCGTCCCGACAGGCCAGCAGCCGACCAGATCGCAAAGGCTCTGGAGACAATACGAACATCCGCCGATGCTGCTACTCTTCGCAAAGCCTATACCAACCAACCACAGCTGCGGCTAGACACAATGCAGGAACTGGCCGCCGTCTCCAGCTTCCTAGCCAGTCTGCCCCAGAACGTCATTCCTTCCTTCGTAGACCCTTCTTTACCCATAGATCCCCAGCTCGTCGTCGACTTCGATCCCCAAAGTCCTCGGGTAGCCGATGAGATACAGGACATGATCGATGATGTCTGGACGCGGCATCCTGTCTTCCTATATTCCAAGGTGCGTTCATTTATTTTTCGCTTCTTGCCTTCTTTGACTAAGATCCTTCTCTGCAGCTATATTCACCCGTATCGCGTGAGATAAAGGCCATCCTCGCAGACCTTTATTTGCGTCCAGCACCCATGATCATGGATGTTGATGTTCGTGAGGACAGTGCCGTGCTTGAGCCCCTCCTCGAGAGGGTCTTAGCTACGGACGATCTGCCCATCCTCCTGATCGGCGGTCACTACGTCGGTCCCGATATCCAATATCCGCTCTCTGCACGAGAGTGGTGAGCTCAAAGAAATGATCAGAGCCGCCGGCGCTGTCATTGATGGTGCCAAGAAGAAGCACAAAAAATCATAGCGGTCGTGCTATCTTTTCTTGGACATTTATGGGCACTCGTACCACATTTGTCTATTTATGAACGCTCTACGCCATTCACGGACATTGCATGCCCCTCTAATCATCTCATGGTGGCCTTTACGATACCTCAATTGCTGTGTTAGACACCATATGAAAAGTCCTCATCGATCAATATCCAATCTCTGTACTACTTACTGTCTCTCCTCGTGATACCTTAGACATATTCCCGATCTATCCATACACCTTGGCCTCTTCTGCTAGAACTGCACTCCCTTTTCTTTATCACTTCCGGTGTTATATAGGTCGTATTTCATACTGAAAGGAGTAACGTACATAATATTGTACCTCGCCGTCTATCCCATTGGCACATCACGAACAATGGACATTACCTTCTTTTCTCCGACTGGACTCGGAGCCTTACTTATTTCTATACGTCTGCCTTTGAGACTGCCGCGCGCTTGCTAGAGCGCGATATCGTCATCGTCGAACTATTCTGTACGCCACGATCAATAGGAAGGTGGAGGAATCGTCTTTCCGTATAGGTCGGTGAGCATATTCTGCTTTTCCTATGTACATCCGAGTGTATCCAATACGAGCTGTCAATCAGTACTCATCAGTTTGAGATGGATGGATGGATGAAAGGCTGATCCGCCTGAGTTCTCAGCTGAAGGAAACAAACAAGAGCCGAGGCTTCCCTTCGACGCAGAAAGCGCTGGAGAAGCGTGACGTCAAAAGAACAAATAAATAAATGTACAGGATATCTCACAAACACACGGATGCAGTGTGCATATGCCAAGGTGAAGGACGCTGTTACTGGTTCCGCCATGGTTAAAAGATTAAAGTGTACCCTCGTGGGTACAGTCGACATTAATCTCTTATGTCCGGTACGTCCTCGTAATGCGCAGAAGCCGCTAAGCTAAACTGAATGGTGTCAGTCGGTGGAACGCATTAGAACCTGCCGGTAGGTCACCTTTCCGACCAGCAAGGAATGCAACATCTGCGTTATCATTGAGGTACGCGGCTATGCAGTGGAAGAATGAGCATATCCTTATTGGTGTGCGAGCTCCACCTTTACGCAGGCGTCAAGGGTTGATTGAGGGTAAGGGATGGCGAGGAACGCGCCCCGTACTAGACCGACAGGTAGTTGATTCGCGGGTGCAAGTCTAAAAGTCAAAGGGATGAATAACAGCACATCGTCATTTCATGGCATCGCACCGGGAGCTGTGGGCTCGTGGGGAATGGGGAAATATTTGTTTGTGGGGGTGATAAAAAAAGAAACCCTGTGCGTGTGTACGTGTAAAGGGCGCGTTAGAAACACCGGCGGAGTAGCTATATCCAGCAACATGCGATGGAGTGGTTCGAGTCGAGCCTCTAGGTCCTCACGTCCATGTCAGGACTCGCACGAAAGGACCGGTAGTAGCGAGCGCTTCGATACAGTCCACGGCTTGATGGATCATTTACGACAGACATAGGCACCGTCCGGTTTTAATGATTCCCATAGGAGGCTTACTGTGACCTTCACGGTAAGGTATCAGACACGTGTTTGTTAAAAAAAAATAGATGGATTGGACCTACATGGTCAACTGAACCCAGAGGGATGGACTAAACACTGACCGGAGGCGACAAAGACGGACAGACAAAGTGACCGAGACTGTATTCCTTTAGACTATATGTGTTGAGCACCCTGTAGTTGACCGGGCCGGGTCAGATATGCACAGTTAGCACGCGAACCGGAATCGGGGAGATCATCCCAGGGATGATGGGAACCGCTCCTCTACACGAGATTTGAGCGGCGTCGGTGCCAATTTTCCTAGTAAATCTTCACGGCGATGGGGAGGGCGAGACCTGAGTAATAAACACGTTGAGAATAGGATGTCTGATTGTGTTCTGGACGTTCCGAGGTTCGGAAAAGTCCCTGCCTGTGTAAAACACGAACGGTACTTAACCCCATGAATGAAGAAGTTCGATGGTGTGATGTGCCGTGGGCTTGACATTTGAGAACAGTCCCCCTGAATAGTTGTGGCGGTGGAACTATGGCCAGGAATGAGGTTTTTGCGTCATACGAAGTAGGCTAGGTCGCTGTAGTTTTGACTGGCGCTATTGATAATCAATTTAGAGGGTGTTTAAGCAGGGTAGTGGGACTTGTGACCTTAGGGTGCAGTTACATTATTCCGAAACATGGAGTGGATCCTTGGTGGTGCCTCGGAATAGAAAGCTTGAAAAAAAAATCTAGCTTGGAGTGGGAGAGTTTGATATTAGGTGAGGGCGCGTCGAGTGTAAGGTTGCGTAAGGATATAGTGGGAGGGCTAGGTTCGAATTGAATTTTTAGTGGAACCTGTCACGGTGATTAGACTTGAATAAATTGAAAGATGGGATCCCGCCCTTAGTTAGTACATCCTTGTGCTAATACCACTTGTAGTAAAAACCTTACGAGGGGTCGCGTTGGGCCGGGTGCGCCTGTCGGACACGGAGTCGCTCTCCTCTCAATTCTTATTATTCCTTGACGTCGAAAGCCTTGCCTGCCGCAGTACTGAGTTAAGAAAAAGAAACCGACACGCTTAACCGTTCTGGACGTTGCCCAAAATAATCGGTCGTGGTCGGGATGTCGGTGATCCCGGCATCTTTCGGCAACTTCTTTGTAGTGCTTTGTCCACAAAGCTGTGCACCGCCCTTTCGATTTTAGTAACCGACATTTTTTTTCTAGGTCCCTGCGCATGTACATATTCCCATACGGAAAGCATGTGCGACGGTGCCGTGTTCCCAGGCTAGGGAGATCTGATTTCAACGCAAGGACATTGCCATGGGGTTCCGGGCATCGGACTTTCAACGGTTATCACCTCCTTGATGGTGATTCGCGCGCAGAAATTACACCTTTTTTGGTATAACCAAGACCACTAATGTAGAAGTTTCATCCTCTTCCTTGTCTGGGCCACTAGATCTTGGAAACCTGAAGAGCAAGCGCACCTGCTACAGGCCCCACGAACAATTGACGGCTCCGGATGCATTAACTATCTGTTTGGGTGATCCTTGCTCAGCGACAGCTATTACAAGCTCTCAATTGTCCACGTCTACAGGATTCTAGGTCCTTTCAATCTACAGTTATTTACCGGTCAATGAAACAGCAAAATTGGATATTTACTGTAGGTTCCAATTGGTTGGGAATTTTGACTAGGTTTGAATGTAAGAATGTGTAATACTATGCAACAATAAGATACAGTAAAAAAAAGATGCTCAAAGGTGCAGGTACAAGTCCGCTTTCACAGCATTATTGTGGCGTGGGTATTCTGGGCTATTTTGAGTCATTGAAACAGTCCGGCCCATGTACCCAAACCTCATTAGTCAGCAACTTGGAATCACTCGAGTGCTATAAGAAAGCGAGATCTCCTTTCCAGTCTCCCTCTGATATACAGCCTCGAAATCTTTGCAGATTTTTCTTGCATCTTTCTGAGGAGCACTGGGTAGTTTGGCAAGCTCATTCTTGTGTGCAATGACTGCCTTTTCCATTAGCTGGTCATGGCATTTGCAAGTAATCTGGCACTTTTTCAAGTTTGATTTAGCATGTCCAGGCATAGTAAAAAATTGAGCAAGAGGAGAAATAAAATTCGGAGGCAATGGGGCAATAATAGGCACATTGGACTGTCAGACTGTCCATCAAAGGCAATAGCTTGGCAGAACCACACTTTTATCTATGCCCTAGACTCCTCAGATAATGGGCGCCTGGTCTCAAACTTGTCATACAGGTTCTTCAGAAGGTCATTAACATTATTGAGGCCTTTGTGGGTGATTACATTCAGATGGAGGACACACATTTCTGGGTCAGATTTTGAGTTCATGAGAAAATAGATATTTTTAGAACAGAAGCCTCAATTTCTCGGAATATTATCCATGTCACATATGAAGAATTACTGTAGAACATGAAGATACAATACACATCAGCAATGTAATACAAATTAATGATGAAGGATGAAGGGAGGGAGAGCAAGAGGCTAAGTGTTTCATTGAACCATGGTGTTGCAATGACCGGTAAATAACTGTATATTTGCATTTTGATCTCCTATTTATCAAGGCGCATCAATATGATCCTCCAAAAATGATCTATTTCTGGTTGAAGTTCAATTTTATATGTGGACCCTCGAGATCATGAAGAACCCCAAATTGCATCTTTCAATATGATGATAGCAAACATTAACAGATTGCTTCGGACCGGCATCAGTTTCGGGACGAATCTCCAAAATCTCGATGGGAAGCGGGTTTTTATCGGTGCTAAGGGAATAATCCCTGTTGTCAACGAGTGTAATCGTGCACTAAACCATTTTGATGGGACCAGTATGTTCGACTAGGCTATGTTTTTTCAGTAGTCTCATCACTTACATCCTACTCGGTTCAGTAACATTCCATATGGTCATTCCCCATGATCGCCGCCGTTGCAGAGGAAGAAGACCGGTTTGTTGTGGCGATGGACGGCACGGCAAGACGCGGCTGCTGTATTCTTTGGTGCGTTGCCTCATTTCGACCGGGAGACACCGATTTTTCTTACTATATTGAAGATTATCGATCGCAGGCTTGTAATTCCACCCTGTCGGAGTACACATCTTAAGTGAAACTGATACGGCCCGAGTTACTGGATTTACGAGAGTCCAGTCTAGAATGTCTGTTCTCCAATCTCATCGCCTGACCTTGGTAAGTACTTACATGTACAGGGACTGCTTCAACATGACTATTTCGTACACTTAGCTTCTGCTACAGCTGCTTCTCATGTCGTTTACCTGTCAATCCCAATCAGGGCATCCGGGGGCCAACATATCTCCCTTAATTGTCGTGCTGTGTTTGAATAATAAAGGTACGCAAATATCTTCCCGGAGTGTGATCCAATGATAACAGTCCTTAAAACTCTATTAGTGAACTTCGTTTAAGATCAATGCTTTCGAGTCGGTGCCGTAAACGCGAACTCCATCTGTCATATGCCATTTCGCGCACGGGGATTATGCTTTTCTGATAAAACAGTGCCCCACACAGAGAACACCCCTCATTATCCGCTGCCCTCCATCCTCCCTCCTCTACCCTCTACTACGTGCAGGACATGTCTCAACGAGCCACTATTACCGGCTTGCGCCTACGCAGCCCTTCAGACGCGAGGGTCATCTTCCACGCTGTCCATCTGAAGATTCTGCCGATGGTCACCCGTCGGCTCGATAACGATGAGAGAAGCCTCATCCAGCCGGGATCCGTCTACGTCTGGGAAGAACGTGGCCCCAATGCTGAGCTCACTGGGGTGAGTATCGCCCAATATTGCCATCAGTCCAAAGCTCATTAAAGTCATAGACCGGAATAGAGAGATGGACTGACGGTTTGTAATTGAACGCCACCATGTCATCATCGCCTGACCATGCATCTAGGCATTCGATGGGGTCCGTCGCGCGTGCGCGAGGTACGTCGGTTGGTCGTGCGTGTCGGCGCTAATGACTGATTCTCTGTTTCATCCAGGGGTTCCTCTTCTATCAAGAGAAACAAGACGATCCCAATTTGTATGCGGCTAATGCCTATAGGCCGTCGAATGTGTACGCCGTGCCTCATTGCTCCTTATCTCTGCTTGTACTAAGCTCGTCATTTAGGGATCCCGCCAAGATGATCTTGACGAAACAGACATACACCGTTTACGTCGTCACGCCTGCCGGGAAACGCAAATGGCACCTCAGTAAGCCCGCGCACCATCTCCTCATCTGGCCTCATGTTTAATCCATATTCCTTTACAGTCGCGTATTTTACCGATGCCTCTCTCGATCGACTGAAAACGGTTGATGACATACCGCAGCTAGCCGGATTACCCGTTCCTCACGAGAAATACCAGACTGCGCGTGCGGCAAAGGGACGCCCGGAACACATATTTAACACGGTGCAGTCCCACGGTGCACCATATACACGTTTGGAATACGTTCCATACACTCCCAAGCATTTGCCGCCGTCTCCGTCACCATCTCCAGTTAGCTTTTCGCCCACTGTTATGCGATCCGTCTCGACATCACCAGCTGCTCGACGCCAGAGTCCAAGCGCCACTCCCCCGCTCACGAAAGATACCCCCTCTCGTCGCCACAATACCATGCAATTCTCTCCCAGCTCGCTTCCGCCCCTAGAGTACCTGCGGAACCAACCCAGGGTGCGTCGTTTTCCTGGCGACGAGATGGCTCTTGCGAAACTCGCACACGGGCAATAATCGTCCACCGTGTTAACGGAATTAAGTATTGATTTTTTACACCTGATGCCTGGATTGTATTTCTAGTCTACGCGATCTTCTTCCCTTCTGTAATTACGCTTCGTTCCCACCTATCATATTTAGTATTAACTCGATATCACTGTTGTTGTACTTACCCCACCACTTGAAGACTTATGTTTACGACCAGTCTTTACGAGCAGTACGACACGATGTCTATAACGTAGCGCAATGGGACCTTTTTGCGATTTTTTTACGACTTGGATCGAGTTTGATTTGAATCTTTGGGCTTTGCATCATCAGCTATTTCGGACGGTAACATGTCATTTGTTTGAAAATTTGTGTCGGTCTAGGTTATAACTTTGAACACCGGATATTCAAATCTCGTCGACGACTACATCGATATAGCGAAGAAACTTAATTAAGACAGCAATAGGAAAAGGTCATTATAAGGGGATATCTGCTCGTACACGGTACGGGTCACCCTTACCCCTCTGCCGCGTGGTCCATGAAGACTGCCCGTTCAGTGCATCCTCATTCAATCCTTCTTGGAATTCACCACGCCTCCCATCAGGGTACTTGGCAACTCCTGATTCCCAACATGGAACAGTAACGACACGGATCCGACGCCTAGGAGAATAATGACGATGACCGTCCCTGCGAGCAAGACGAAGGGTCTAACGTCACGTCAAATAAGCACCGGTTACCCAGAGAATGCAAAAGCAAGTCTTACCCGCTGACATCCCTCCTTTCGCATCTCTCACCCACCCAAGCCTGCGTCTTTACTTTGTTGCCCTCGCCGGTGGTTGTAACCCCACACGCACAGACAAAACATGTCCTGCCAGCTTTTGTCGCCTGAACACACAGTCCTCTTCCAGAACACGTGGATGTTTCCTCGTTGCAAGTGTCTTCGGTAGCGAAGCATGTTGAAACGGAACCTATAGGTTCTTGAGGGGGGGCGTGATCAGGGGGGAAAGGCATCTGCGACTGCAAAGGACTTGACTGTCGCTTAGAGTATGAAAGAGTAGGTGGCGGAGTATAAGTCAAGATAGCGAGCTGTACATGACCTTGATCGAGGTTTCGTTCAAGGAAGGTACGGATTATTGACGTAGCCTGTGTGAATTCTTCGCTGGCGGAACCATAGGTCTTCCGCACAGCTGCCAGCCCTGAAAGGTCGAGAGCTGAAAATTCTGAATCCTCCACTTCGTCAAGGAAGGCTTTCAGGGAGTTGATGTTTTCGAAATGGAGAAGAGAAGGGCTGGCTTCGTATACTGAGGCATACGCGTGTCTGGCTCGATGAAGATAGGTCGATATGACAGAATACAGGGATGATATTGATACAGAAGAGGGAGTTGACAACTTGAATGAAGGAGTCAGTGAAGAAGGTAAGACAGCTAAAGAAATACGGTATACGTCAGTCTATTTCGCGGTACCGCCTTGATACAGCTGAGCGCACCTTCTGCATCATATTCTTCGATGGTCAGTAGAATTGCATTCTTCGCTCCCTGGCCAACGAATGCATCATCTTCATACAACGGCGCGACTGAGTCTCTGAATGGTTTCAAACAATTCAAGTCCCAAATGATGCGACAAAACAGAGCTTGCGTCCGAGGGTGACAATGATGGCCTGAAGGTATTCCTTTGAGGGCTGAGGTACACTTGAATGCCTAGCGTCGGCTGCAGGACTGACAGCAAAAAACCAAAGGAAAGGAGACCCAGCATTCTTGGGTGTCGGGATGGAAGTGAATATTTGGCGTTGTTTTGCTGCGACTCCGAGGCTCTGTCCAAATCGGGCAGTGTGACTTGGGTCCCGTCGAGTGGAGCTTGGTCTTCTACCACCATGAACACTATATTTTCACTCGCTCAGCGCTTTATTTTCCCATTTCAATGGTATAAGCCTCTACAATTTTGCTGCTGTAGTACTAAAGTCCCTCTAGCCTGTTCATGACCATTCCTTTGCAGACAAGTGATCAGGAGTACAGGAAACCTTTACCTCGACTGCCACCAGAAATATGGCTGGAAATCTTTCAGTTCTCAACGTACACCTACCATTCAATTGCGCCAATAGATCCCTTTACTCAGAAGCGTATATCCAACAATGTCATGGGTCCCAATACGCCACTCCTGGCGCAACAAACGAAACGAAACCTAGTCCTCGTCTGTCAATCCTGGAGACAAATTGCAACACAGATTTTGTATCATCATATTGTTGTTTTGAGTCCTTCTAGAGCAACGATGATATTGCATGCCCTCGAAAAGCACTCTTATGCGCTGGAGGTGACAAACGACAAGTCCAAAGTACGAGTTCGAATATCGGAGTATGGCCGTTACGTGAGGCATTTGGAGATACACACGCACTCCAGGAGAGCAGAAAGTCCGCGATACCTCGAAACACTTTCTCGCATCTTTCAATATTGCCCCAATCTTCGCATTCTTGATGGCACATGGAACCACCCTCTTCCCGTCGAGTTCATCACTGCGGTCACCAAGCTGTATGGGGCAACGCTTCGTGAACTGTATTGGCAGGACCAGAAGGATACTAGTGTGGTTACGCCCACTCATTTGGCGTGCTTCCAAGCTCTGCGTGTTCTCGATTTGCGGGATTATTCAGGCTGTGACACCAACGTTAGCTATGCCGAAGGGCCCACCCTTCCTCTCGTTGACCACCTCATTCTTTCTACGCGAGCTACGTGCCTCACCGTTGCGACCGAATTGCAATTTCCTCGTCTTACTAAACTTACGCTCAGAACCCCAGCCACCGAGCCTGTCGACTCTGATCTTGCGATAACTACTTCCTCGATGTTCACGGCTCCCGTCTTACTGCCGTCGACCTCCCTTCTCCGTCACCGGATTCCGACCCTGATCCTGTTTCTGTGAGACAGGTCGCCCGAACGCTTGCCCACGTCAAACCTGCCTTGTTTCTCAAATCGGGTGTATGCCCCAATCTTGATACCCTCACTTTCGCGGTTACGGCTCCCATCATCACCCTCGCCGATCCTCACCCCACTCTCCGAAGGATTGGCTTACGCGACGTGCGAGTGGATGGATTGTACCCGGACAAGAACTGCAACACCAAGTCCCATCTGACATCATTCAACCGAAATATGTTTCCCAATTTAGAGACGGTGAGGACAGTGGGTTTCCTGGTGGAAGCGGAGACAGATGCTATGGTTGAAGACGTCTTCATCTGGTGGTCCGAGAGATTTGAAAGCGATGGTATTGATTTTCAAGATGGTCAAGGGGTCGTATGGGCCTACGAAGAGGAAAGTGATAGTGAATCATAGACGCGAAGCTGGTAAGTATTTGGATATGACGAATTATTCTTTTTTTTTTTTCAACTAGGAATGCTACACGTATACCATATTCTACTTACACACTTTGCATTAGGATACCACCACGAATATTACCTTTAAATTCGAATACCGGTTAAGTGGACAACGTGCTAGGCAGCTGACAATAATCAGTCAAGGGTCCCGGTCAACGATAATCAGCCCGACAAAATAAGGAACAGGCACTATCATTTGGAAGAAGCATCGTGTACGTACGATCTGCGGAAGAATACTGACAAGTAGCTAATCCCCTGGATTGAAAGCTAGCCACGCACTATTAGCTATCTCTGCCACACAGTGGCGAAACTGCCTCGTGCTGCCTCTGTACACCGACTGTCCCCCATAACTATAGGCGACGAAGAGAGATCAGGACATAATCTGTGTATGATGGTGGCGTAGTGACTGGCACCCCACCCGATCTCCGCCGGGGAAACGCGTCAATGAGATAGAAACCCCTTGGTTCATTTTTGACCTTCATTGTTAACTGCGACGGCACCCGGTCCGCAAATACGAGAACTCACCTTCTCGGGTCCATTGTGAATGAGAAAGATTCCCGTGCCTCAAAATGTTTGTTTTTGGAAAGTGGGGACGATTTCAAGGGAACCGTTCACGCCGCTTTGGGAAGACATTTCTGGGCTAGAGCCGCGGTCCTTCATCGCTTTCGATGCTAGCAGGAAATCTGGAAACAACTTGCTCATCGACATCAATTCGGGTGCGGCATCCCTGGGCGAAAGACACGTAAGGTATCTAGGATACACATCCCTACCTCATAGCTCCCGTGCTGGGCGTCCTAAAGGAGGGTGAATTGATCAGATAAATGGGCTTGAAGGAGCTCATACTCTTCAGATTTCCTTATAGGTGCAAGACATCTTCGTATCTGACCGCTTGATATGGAGATGATATATCAATAGCTTTCCCCATGTGTTTGAAAAGAACATTGCCGCGAGAGCCTCAAAGAGCATGCCTAAAACGCGTGCTGATGTTCAGCATGGAAGAAGACCGATATGTGCCTCACAAGAATAAACCGGAGAGAGAACACTTAAATCAGGATTCTGCAGTATCGGGGACTCAGTCGGGGTACCTCACATGCCCGCGAAAACGGAGGGGCGGACGCAGTACTCCCCCGAACCCCGAGCGCGCAGGAACTCCTGCCTATAAACGCCGACTACTGGAAGAACAGACATTAAGCGAGGCGTCATGCATGCAGGCAAGTGGAAATTACATCTGGGATGACTTAGTCTGAGTCACCCTACGACCTGAGGATCATTAAGGCGGCCCCACGAGCCATATCCCAGGAAAACCGCACGTCCGGTAAAAGCGTCTTCTCAGACAATCTTTGACAACTGAGGGTCGGATTATATTTAAAATAGTGTAGGGAAGACGACGGCACGTACCATGCCCAAGCCACGCCTCCTGTGATCTTAAGATTATGATCGCGAGATGATCGACGGAGAGTCAACCGAAATGATGATCTATCCTGTCACCGCAGTCTGCGCTGCCAAAAAGTTGTGCACCAGACCTCCACGGTGTACAAAGTGGTTCTTGACGAAGGAATATTCTGCCGCAGACTAATTCTCAGGTGGCTTAGATGGACGTCTGGTGACTGGGTTACCAGTCCGTGAGTGAAAACGTGGAACTCTCACTTGGAAGAGCTTTCTCATGTTATCTTGAACGTGTGGGCCTACGATCCGGACTTGAAGTCGCAGAGTACTCGGAGAACTTCTGCTGTCATTCGCTTGGCACATGCGACTTACTCGACAGCACCTAGAAGGTTCGAGTGTCAGAAACATCTTGTACCACGACCACAGGACGCGGGAGGACGTACGGCACTGGCATGAGGGACATAGGAACATGGGTGAACCGGTCTTCAAAGCGGCTACTTACCAAGGCGGACGCGCTGCGGACAGTTATGCGCTCTCGGTTTGGGAAGTGGCGGTCGCAGATTGACTGTGGAGAAGGGCGGCGCTTCAGGCACGATTTCAATACGTTGACCCTGGGCCGAATCGTAATCTATGATTCACCAGCGGCAGTCTACAACCAGTACGTTCAAAACAGTGACAGGACTCTAGAATATCCAAGGGAAACCTCAAATAAATACGAACGGCAGATAAATTACGAAGGGTTCAGGAGGCGGTTGGCCATTTCGAACCCTAGAAATGTGGCACCATTTGCAAAAGGAGACCTACAGAGAGGTTAGCAACATTTGCAGAGCTCAAACAATGCTACGAGCCTTATCAAAGTGGGTCCCAAGCCTCGGGTGAATGCCTTGATCCCTTCCGTTCGCCATACTGTGCGTACACAGTTAAGCGTTGATGAATATTTTTGACCGGTCGCAGGGCTGAAACCGTCTGTTTGCATCCGGGATTTTATCATATCTATAGGATAGATGACAGCCCAAAGCTAGGAAGCAAAAGTAAGTACCCCAAAGAGCCAGCGTTACGACACGACGCCTACCGCGTAACCTGCAGCAGCGCCATACAGAACAGCATTAGCCGGGTTAATTTGGTCGCGTTTAATGCCCTTAGTGGCGATTTCCCGCTGAACAAGTTTCTCGTACGCCAAGAAATACATGCCATATCCAGTAGCTTCACGAAGAAGAGTGACAGCTTGACCCTTATAAATTCCTTGTATTCCATGGGCAGAGTAAATCTTTTTGATCGCGTCCCAAGGCCCGAAATACAGCTTGTTTTTGTCGGGCTGTGTTTGTAGACCTGAAGAGGATATGGTAAAAAAAAAAGAGCCTTTTAGTTGGGAAGATACTAACGAATACGGATATGTTCGACGGGACCCGATACGACGCCGTTGGCCAATCCAGCAATAACACCAGATATAACGAGCTGGGATCCAGTCAAATTAGCACCACCGGCGCCGCCTATCCCTTTCAGAAGATTTTGTTCGGCATAGAATCGCTTCATATACTCGATGGCACCGAATTGGATGGAAACGCACACTCCTATCCCCAGGAGTGGCGTGAGCGTTCCCTACAACGGCATATTAGCTCGACGGCACCGGAAATTAACGTGGACTACCTTGTAAAACGCCAAAGGACCTTCATTTTTTAGAATGCCGCCTGCACAATGCATCATTCCATTGTAGGTGCCTTTGGACGCCGTTTGCATGCGCTACGAGTACCTTACATATCAGCCATTCTATTCTTTTATCCCCAGATAGTGCAACGATTGTGACTTACAACTTTCACGATGTCAAATGGCTGTCCCACCAGGACCTAGTCACGATTCGAGTCATTTACACTGTTAGCAAACTGGAGAAGTCGTACCTGCGCAATTCCACCTGCAGTACCAGCGGTGAGGTCCTTTATCGTCTTCGACATCGTGGCGGAGCGTATCCAAGGGCAGGCAAGGGTACAGCTTGAGGGTTATCGCGGTAATATCGCCATGGCTGTTGGTGTCAAAAAAACTATAGAAGCTCCGATTCAAGCATGTACAAACAAAGACGATTAGATAGCAAGTTTTCATCTCCAACCATGTGCTTACACCACCACTATGGCAGATATTGGCACTACAGAACCCCAGCTAGAGGACATAACCGACCCTTTGGATGAGGATGGAGAGTGGGATGAGGACGAGAACTACGACGATGAGGACCTCGATGGGGAGACAGAGGAAATGGCTCAACGTCTGCGAGAGCAACTCATGGCTGATATTAACAGAGTCAATGCAGCTGCTGCAGCTGCCGCAGGTCCCCCTCCTGACTTGCCTTTACCTACGCCTCTACCTGCTATTTCTCTATCTCGGAAGGAAGAGGCCATTCTCGGTACCATGAGGTCAATTCTTGCATTTCTCGACAAAGATACACTTGCACGCTCTACCCTGGAATCCACCGTGTTGTCAGGAGTACCGGGGGACAATGTCTTTCATGTACTACAGGCAACAGTCATGACCGGACGCGTTCCGAAGGAAATCGCGATGCCTCTTCATCATTCTTTGATGTCTCTTGCGCGGTCGGAGGCTTTGTTCGGAAAACTGCGCCATTCAGACGCTTCTTCTATTCAGCTTGACATAGGCAAGCGGAAGCGAGCGGAAGAGGACGAAGGATTGCAGGCTGATGCTAGGCCCCCGAAACGACCATTCGTCCAGTATGACCTGAACGCTCATGTAATCGAGGCTGTTGGTGTTGTCAGTCACGCAATAGCATCATCTGCCACGCCCTACCCTCGAACCGGCTCTCATAGCTTCCGTCCAACTCCAACTCCATCACATATTTCTCTTTTCAGTGACATCAGCTCCACGCGGAGGAAGTGGAATGAATGCTCTCCAGGAGATCGGCGGTCTGATCCAGGTGCTTGGAGTGCTCAGCGGTATCCAGATTGGTCAAAATTCACCTACTCAATCAACCACGTTCGAACTCTCAATTTCATGGCATCGGTACCGCTGTATATCCATGTCCAGCATGTCCAAAGACATTTTCTCGGCTGTACAGTCTTCGCTCGCACCAGCGTATCCATGGCGTCGAGCGTCCTTTTAGATGCGAACACTGTCCCGCTTCATTTGCTCGTAACCACGATCTAAAACGGCACGCTAAATTGCACGACAAAAAAGCCTGGAAATGCTCCGGTTGCGATAAAATCTTCTCGCGTAGGGATGCAATTAAGCGACATCAAAATGTCAGCCGAAACCATGGTACCAAAGGCGAAGCGTGTATTGGGGCCATGGTGATTGAGGTGGAAAACGACGATGATGAAGATAGCGCCCGGGAGGAGAAACGAGCCAAATTGTGGAATGGGATAACCACAAGTCACTCTTCCGGAGCTGCTGGAGAAACGGAAGAAGGAGAGATTGAACCCTCCGTGTTATCAGCGCTGCAAACGACGGTGCTAACACTGCATCCGCTCTTGCAGACCCACGTCTCTAATGCTCTTGGAGCCAATGCACTACAGACGGCGGCGCAGCCTGTCGATGCCGCAGGTAGCCAGGCAACGCTCGCGAGTGTCATTGCTCGAGCACAGCAACAAAATGGCGACTCAGTTACACCTTCTCAAAGTGCAAATCAATCACCTCCCCAACCACCCACCATGCCCTCTTCTACGGCGGCACCCGCTTCTCTGCCAGCCGTCAATAGAGATGGTGAAAATGCATCCGCTAATCACGCTCAGCCACAGTCGCTCTCTATGTTCGGTCTATCAGATGCGCAAACTCAAATGCTGGAACAAGCAATCGCTGGAGCAGCTCAAGCAGCTCAAGCTCAAGCAGAGGCAGAGGCGGCGCTAGAGGAAGAAGATGACGATGAAGACTTAGACGATGACGGAGAATACGATGAGGATAATGGCGAGGACCTAGAACTCGTTTCCATTCCCCCAGCTCCTTGATTATCGGGCCTTCTATCGTCGCCCTTGTGCAATTGTATGGTATGTACAAATTCCCTTTTCACAATATCATAAATAACGCGTTTCTGTTGATGTCCAGCAGCAAGGACAAATATCTGATGAATGTCGGATGGCGCGTCGAGCGACAGAAGTCGAGTGACTTACCATTTGGACGTACTCACTCAAAGCTTTGTTTTACGCTCCTTTTTGCGATGTGGATTTGTATAACGTCGTCTGACGTCCTCATCAATCCTGCGCCATCTTGCTTTACTCTCTTCTGTCTCTCGCTTCCAGGCCTCTGCAATAGCTTCCGCAGGAGATAGAAGTTTGGGACTTGGCGGAATGTTTCTGGAACCCTTTGGGGGCGAGGATGCGTCGGTCGTCATCTATAAAAATGTTGAATGTGATCCGGGAGACCAGTTGAAAAGAAAAGCGTACTGCAAATCGTGCGGGGTCGTAGATAAAGGAAAGCATGGCGAATACTTCCATGCACCGTTCTTATACCGCCTTCATTCCAAGGGGTGAGCCTCAATGCTTCAATCAATGCTGGGGTGGAAGGCACGAACACTTCGACGATGCAGCACCGTTCACACCTGTAGCCCCGGAGGACAAACGAGGTCCTATAATAGGAAGGTTGAAAGCAACAACTTCCAAAGTCGTGATCGGAACCTGCCATATTGGGTGAAGCCTGTATACATTCAATCAATATTCAATACGGGCAATTATGCCTAAGGAGACGACAATTTGACATATGACGGTCGATGACGGCTACGAAAGGCAAGTCGAGACTGGCACAAGGGAAATAAAGTGTGTGTAGCGGATGATATTCCAGATAAATGTTTGCCGCAATACACATACGGAACTTGGATTCCACTGGATTCCGTAGACGTGCGGCGTCTTCGTGGTGACAACCCGTTGCGTCCTCGAGGATGCGCTCTGCTATCGACGTTTAACCCCATGTAAATGGCTCTTACCAGGCACATTTATGTCGCAATGCGTTCGATGGCTTGCCTCGCGGCAGAAGAACCCTCAACCCATTGCAGTATTCTACAGAAAGCGTTAGCAGGTATCAGGGACATAGAAGGTATAATATTTATCAAAAGCTGCGCAAAGTGACTTCGTTTCGTTTCCGGGACTGCAAGAGCGTGTTGATAGCCCATCAGTGGCGAATGATCGAAGGATGCGTTCAAAGCAGAGATTTCACTACCTAAGATTCTCAACCCGGCTTTTGATCCGTAGCTTGCTTAATATATAGAGAAGGCCATTTCGCCAAAGACTCGCCTGCCATGGTATCAGTTGCCCATAACGACTCACTGAAAAGTTCCGAACTCGGTGGCTTACAAGCTGGAAAATGCTGAGGGATATAGAGTCCCAAAACTGACTACTGATCAAATCCTAGAAAAAAATTAAACACGCTTGAGTTGCGTGTCCAGAATGTAACCGGGACACGCGTGCATAGGATCTCATCAGACACCACGATAAACCGACAGGTACATCAGCGAAACAACGCCTCGAAAGGTATACAAGCGTCATAGAGAATTTTTGGGCGACAATGAACGGTGTTTCGAGATAGCGTTTAATCCGTATCACTGCTAATGTGAATACGCAGAAAAGACGGTGGTCAAAGAGGTCAAAGAATCACCACAGGATAGTACTTTAGTTGCCGAGGGGCATTCAGATGTATCGTAACTCCACGAGGTAACTTTAGCAACCGTCGACAACACTAACACGACGAAACCACGAGACACAGTAGATGAGCAGAAGTCTAGACGCTCAGAATGTATTACAAAGGTAATCATGAGAGTCTGCTGACTTTACCCGGTACCGAAATCGCAAAACATCTGAAGCCATTGAATAGAGTAGTAATCGCTGTAAAGAAACGTTTTCAGGATAATCAGAAAAAAACAGGAAGAAGGTTTCATTTCCTTGACAGTGCACGGTTGATTTTCTTGACATCATTTGGGTTGGAGAATCATAAAAAACACGCAGCTATAGCGAGGCAGGAAGGGTTAATTAAATTTGTTACTGAAACAAAAGGACCAGTTTACCCTTTAACCTCGACATCGTATCTGTAACCGAGGCGACTGGAAAGAGATTGATTGACCCTTCCTCCATGAAGCCCGAGTGAAAAGCGTATACACCCGAGGAGCTCTCGCTGCGCGCTGCAAGTAGCAAATATAACCGTCTTCATTGAAAACTTGTTTCTCGGTGCTCATGCTCACTTTAATGAAGATAAGCTCCTCGATCCACGGCCCCATCGATTTTACGGGCGCCCCGCTGGCTAACGAGAAAGAAATCTGTAGACGGCAAGCCGAGCGCAATTACACTCGCATCCGATGGCATGCCGACGCCTTATCGCGCTTGCTACTAAGATCTGAGACCGTTTGAAGCGAAGGGCACACACGAAACAACGATGCAGCCCCAGAATTTGGCTAATTTACAGACGTTGGGGTACAGGAAGGTCCCTTGTGTGATTCTAGGCCTGAGACTATGTGCGTGGCGGGTCTCTGGTCGTTGCTAACGTTTAACGACTTGGGTTAGTCCCACTGAAGAAAATCGGATCAGTTCGCAAAAATAGTCAGATGAGCGATGCTTCACTGTGTACTCAAAAAACAAACCCGTTTGACGGATATTTAGAAACCAGGTTCATGATGGAGTCTAGGAGAGCAGCACCATCCATAGCAGAACCGGGATCTGTCGAATACTACCGGTAACCGGCTGTCTATAGATAGAACTACCTTGACATAATGCAGCCATGTCCACATCATCCATTCACTTTGTGCCATGATAAATAAAATACGACGAAATTACCCCGCGCAACGGACACGAATGAATTAAAAGAACTTTAGGTGATTTTTCCAGAGCTGTCCGGTCTCATTAGCAACATCAGCATGGTATCAATAGTGGGTCAGTTACGCGAACGCGTATGTCAGATGAGCGCATCTTGGCCACCTGATCATTGTCACTGGAAAGTATTCAGCGTGCCATCCGGCACAGACGGCGAGAAGGGTACTTCACCTCATGTTGCACCGTAACGATAGTTCTGCTATTTCGATGCGTTTAAAGATATCAGGGAAGTGCGTTATAGTACGCTTGTCCGACGTGGGAGAGACCCATTCAATTGAATCGGACATTTGCTTTTACGGTGTACAGTCAGCAGAGTAAGGGAACTCGAAGCGAGGACTTTCTTGGTCCTTGGGCCCGCGGACCTTTTGTGGCTGTCACCGTGTTGCTTTGTATCAGCTGGTACGGAATTCGCCTATTGTCCCCAGTTCCACCTAGTGTGGGAATTCCTCACGTAGAGAATGGAAGAAGTAATTGGTCCAATGGGATGAGATGGGGTGCCACCCGAAAGCATAAGAACAACTTGAAGATAACTTCAATAGACGGAAATAGAATCAATTCTTGCAGCAGGCAGATTCAGACGTCTGAAATTCAATGTTCAAGTGAGACTGTGATCCAGGAAGAATAAAACGTGAAAAAATACGGTTGAGGCTGGCTGGAAGAACGGTGGAAGTTGGAAAATATGGCATCGGCTCCGACGGTCCGGGATCTGACCCTGCGGTGGCAGTGCAATCAAACCTTGAACTCAAGCCACACTCAGGAGCAATTGTTACTGCTTCTCAAGCGATAAAGCTAGTCTCGATATGATTACTTGGATGTCAAATATCATTGCAGCGGACTTCATTCTTTATCGTGGCAGAATCTTACTGCAAGTTGAATGCACTTGCTTGGTTCATCTAGCTTTAGCCAGTTTTCCGGTCTTCTGAGAACTTTAGTAATCTCGCGGAATTTGAACTGGGCGCTCTGTGGAGGTGGCTTTGATGGCTATGAGAAGGTTCTAACTCTTTTCTGACGTATCTTTCGTGAGCTTACCTGGACAACTTATCGTATTTAAGGCCAAAGAACGCTAGCTTTTCGTGTTATAAATGCCTCATATTGATTCTCACGGCATGTCGCTCTCGCTTGACCCTCCTAACACCGATACGACCAAATTTAAGGTCGCCGCGGTCCAGGCTGAGCCGTACGATGTTTGCCGGGGGAATGATAGAGTCTGACATGGAATTTGTTACCCAGTGCTTGGTGCGACCTCCAGGGTGGCGTCGATAAAACTATACGGATCATACGTGAAGCCTCATCTGAGGGAGCAAAAATCATCGGTTTTCCGGAGCTCTTCATTCCAGGTAGGCCGAACTGCGAGGCGTATCTCAGAGAGACTCATAAGGAATTTACAGGTTATCCATGGACGTTATTAGCTAACAATTTCATTACCGCCCAGCCTGTCATCAAGGACTATCACGCTAACGCACTTTCGATTCATTCTCCGGAAATGAATCGCATTCAAGAAGCCGTAAATGAAGCTGACGTGACCGTTGTTTTGGGGTTCGCAGAACATGCTGGTGGATCGCTCTATATTGCTCAAGTCACCATCACGCCCGACGGTAAGATCGCAAATCATCGACGCAAACTCAAGGTACGGAGATCCGATGCCTTTTCATCGAAAGGTGCTATTTCTGAACCACCTGTATAGGCCACTCATTACGAGAAAACCATTTTTGGTGACGGAAATGGTAAGCATATGTACGGTTTCCCGATCATGCAGTGCTCAGCCAATTGCTCCCAGACCAGTCCGTCTACAATGTCGTTCAAACTCCATACGGTAGACTGGCTTCTTTGAACTGCTGGGAGCATATCCAAGTATGTCATTTTGTTTGTTGTATTCCCCCGGTCTAATTATTTGTTAAGCCATGGTTCAAGACCCATATGTATACACAATATCCACAGCTTTTCGTCGCATCGTGGCCGGCCGCATTTCCTCCTCATACTGGCGGATCTCCGTACAGCTACAGTAGCGAGGCCTGCACTCGCATGAGTCAATTCATAGCCATAGAAGGCGGATGCTTCGGGATCGTTGCTTCTACTGTCATTAGTGAAAAAGGTGCTGAGAGAATGAAGTTGTCTGGATTTCCTTGGTTCAAAATTCCCGGCGGTGGCTTTTCTGTAGTACGCCCGAGTCTATTATTTGCAACTAATAACCGTCTAACTATGATATCTGCAGATATACGGTCCGGATGGCTCGGCGCTGACTGAGCCTGTCGATTCGGATGCAGAAGTCATCGTCTACGCTGACATTTCTCTAGATAAAATTGCAGAAAATAAAGTTGTTGCGGACGTCATGGGAAATTCAGTGAGCCGTCTGTGTTTGTTACGAAACATAGCCTCAAGTTGCCTTTAGTTCGCGATTTGACCTGTTATCCACCACGGTGCATGGCAGGAAACAGGTACCTGTCACCTATGTCGACGGAGAAGGCTTCTCAAAGAAGGATTGAGTATGTTGGCGTCTCTTGAATCAGCCGTTTTGCCCACGGGTGCAGATGGACTTTAAACGTAAAATCTCCTGATCTTTATTCCTGTCTGTAAAAAGTACGACGCGTTTGGCGAAGTTAAGCGGTGGCGAACGGAAGACAAAATGATGGCATATGTAAAATCGATGGCAGTGGCAAAGCCTGGTGCCCCCGTTGGCATCTTGAAAGGAGTTTGAGAAGCTTCGCACCTAAGCGCTTGGATTATACGCGGCAAAGAAACACATAGTAGTGTTCAGGACCAGACTCTGCCGCCATGAGAAGGTCTTGTCGACAAATCGAAAGAACCCCTGGTCGGAACTCAAGGAAGCACATAGAAGAAGTTCTACTGGGAGAACCCTTGAGTAATGCTGAACCGCGAAGCTCAAGGTAGCGGAATGCCGCACAGGGTTTTACATCCGCGGCGGAAAACGTTTCAGTACGTATGATACATCTGGCACTTGGCGCAGCCCATACCAAATCGAGTACTAATATGTATAATATATCTCAGGATATCTCTCTTGGAATAACTTGATACTTAGTGCGGAGTTAGGGGATACCCGGCTAGACATGTAGGAAAAGATAACATACCAGTACAGAATCTAGGAACTTGAGCGGAGCAGAAGGTAAGTACGTATTTAGAATCTGAAATGATTGTCTGTAAGGAACATGATAGTAGTTTTGTCGGAGACAGCGGATCCAAACTCGGAAAATTGCAAGGGGTTAAACAAATGTTCAAACGATCCGCGGGTCCGGATAGGCGGTCAGGCGATTCGGCGATTCGTTCGTTCGACTTCGACGTTCATTGCCACATTAGGCAGCGGCAGTGTATACTGTCACGCGTCACAAGTAACGTAACGATTTGCCACTGCGTCGTCGTCGACGCTGACGATGCCAACGTCAAATCTCGAATATTAGCTCTACATCTGAGGCTCTAAGTATTCGTTTAACAGCAATTTATACCTCCGATACCTGTCGAGATGACGATAACGCAGCGAAAGCCCATCCGACCCGACGACATTATAAGTGCGTATTGTGTAGCATCTACCTCTTTGTTGTCGCTCTGAATGACTATGGGCGACAGTTAATGAACCAGGAGACCAATATTCGTGCGATTCCTGTGGATGCGACCTCACACATAGTGTGCGCATCAAGTGCGCGGACCCTCTCTGCGAACCCGGCGACGGCGTCGATATTTGCCCACCTTGTTTTTGTGCAGGGAGAGAATTTCGGCAGCACAAGCGGGGACCATGCATACCGCGTCATCGTAGGTCGCTTCTCAGTGATGAAGATTTTTGCCGAGTACTGAATTCGACATCATTAGGAAATAAATTCATATCCTATATTTTCTGAGGATTGGGGTGCTGATGAGTTCGTTGTGTTTATCTCTCTTAATATCTCTATTCTAATAAATTTGGCTAGGGAACTGTTGTTGCTGAAGGGCATAGCCACGCAAGGCTTCGGGAATTGGAAAAAGATAGCCGAGCATATAGGCACACGGTCAAAGGAAGAGGTCGAGAAACATTACAATGAAGTCTACATCGACTCCCAGACCTGGCCGATACCTGTGAGTGCAGCAACACAACCTACGTCCCGCTCCTCTTACTTTTCATTTTGCAGAAAATGGATTTACAGTTCGATGTCGATCCGGTAGAATTCCAAGCACGCAAACGACGGCGAATACAAGCATTAAACGACACGCCACCGCCTCCTCTTAAGCACGGTCCTGTATCGTTACCCGGTATCCATGAAATCCAAGGTTTCTTTCCTGGACGTTTGGAATTTGAACATGAAATAGACAATGAGGCTGAGGACTTGGTGAAAGATTTAGAGTTTGGAGTTTGTCTGGAGTGGGGCGGCGACCAGATCATCGAAGACGAGGAAGATCTGGATGTTCGTGCAAGGGCAAAGTGGGAAGAGGAGCGTCGGAATCCCCCACCTCTTGCAGAGAAAGGGCGAATACCAGGCAAAGGGCCGATGATAAACGGCATAAATGGATACCATCCGCCATCTGAGAATGGGAGTGTAACGAGGGACAGTCTTCCGCCAAAATCCGACGATGCTCTTGCAAACGGCACGAGCTCTGGTGATGGAGACGAGGAAGTGGAAGAAGTCACGCAGCCACCGCCGATAGAAACGAAGGAATCCCTTGCTTTTAAGCTTTCGCTGCTCGAGATGTATAGCCAGCGTGTGGATAAGAGACTGGAGGGTAAGGAAGTTATGTTTGATCGCGGGCTACTGGATTACAAAAAGGCACGTCGTTCGTTCTTATGCTTGGTCTGTGCTTCATTATCATCATATAGATGCAAGCATCAGACAAGAAACGCTCACGAGAGGACAGAGATATCGTCCATCGTCTACGACCCTTCGCAAAATTACAAACGGCCGCTGACTATGAGGTGTTTGCTGCTGATGTTCTATGTGAGCGTGATTTAATTTTCAGTTCATTATATATTCTTACAATACTCTTAGATGAAGCTCTTCTTCGTCAGAGAATACAGGAATTGCAACAGTACCGACGGTTAGGCCTGGTGACTGCGGCTGATATCGACAAATATAAGTCTGATCTTCAGAAACGAGTGAGTAATACCAGGGCATCTTTATCGATAGCTCCGTCTCACGATGCATTCACAGACCCTCATCAAAGCCAATCATCGCGACTACCCAAGTGACAAACACCAATATCGGCCGGGGGGACGCCAGTCATCTGGCCCCGATCCTCGCCGTGCCAGTCTTGTGTCGTTTGACTCCGAAGGACGAAAGAGTAACGAAAGGGAGGCTACACCGCGTCTTCCCGGATCATCTGCTGGTCCCGTTGTCCGTCGGATGCGTGAGTTTCTAACCCGTTTCCGTAACTTGTAAACTAACGGGGTAATCTATTGCAGCTGCTCCTCTCAATCTTGCAAATAGCCCGTCGTTGCATCTCCTCTCGACCGCGGAACAGGTTCTATGCACCCAGCTCCGTATCCTTCCCAAGCCATACCTTGTCGTGAAAGAGACCCTTGTACGAGAATATGCCCGGCGAGGTGGTAAGCTTCGTCGGCGGGAAGCTCGTGAGCTCGTTAAGATCGATGTGAACAAGACCAGTCGAGTATGGGACTTTCTTGTGCAGCAGGGATTTCTCAACATTGCTTCTGATGTTTCCTCGAACCATGCTTCGTCATCACAAGACGCTAGGTAATTGTTCCGCTCCATTCTATGATTCTGCTGTGTTCTCACAGCCTTACAGCACCGCTAGTGGATCGCAGGTCAACGGATCACCTGTTAAAGATCCACGACCGCTGCCTAGTCAGCAAAATGGATCTGCCTTGGTACCATCGACGTCAAGTTCATGACATGTTGTCCAGCTTTCTATATCTTTATTAGGAACCATCTGTATTATATTGTATCATTCCCAGCGACTGTCATAAGAAAATACCATAAGCATATAATCCGAAAAAGCCCAAGACGATTATGACCAATGGTTTCATGAGATACTGGCTGGGGTTTCGCAGGAAACCTTCAACAGCGTTGGTAGTAGAGATCATCCTGGAAAATATAATTAGCCGGTGAAGCGGACATGAAGTATGATACACCCACCGAGCGAACCTCTTGTTGAACGGGTGGAAGACACCTTTGTCTAAATCCTCTCGGGGAACCATGTAAAGCGGGCCATCATCACGTATCAACCATGTGCGTCCGCTGGTCTCCTTCTCTGGATTGGTGGCGGCATGGAATATTGAACCAGCGACACGAGCGGTGGGTGACAAGGAAAGACCCTTTGTGGATGCTTCTGCAGACGACGGGAGCGTGTCATTGATTGGCATACCCAAGGCAGGACTTATAACGGCTGTGCGGATATCTTTGTGTTGGAGATCAAGATATATGGACCGCATAGTGCCCAAAACCCCACACCCTGACACGCTATATAGAGGGGCTTGAGGTGAACCGTGCCATGACGCTGCGTAGACAATATGTAAGTGCGAGATAAGCGATTTGATACAGAACTACTTACCGAAAGATCCAGACACTACCAAGGCCTTCAAGTCGTTAGGCTGACGTTTCCGAGCGAGATAGTATTGTGCCAGGTGTACAGCTAAATAAAAACGGAAGCGATAAGAACATTTACTTTCAGACGTCAAAAAAGCGTTTACGGTAGAGGACGCCGACCAAGTTTACATCGACGGTGGTCAGATCTGGCTTCACTGGCTTCCCGTTACTGTCGAAGGACAATTGCTTGAATTGACCGACTTCGGTGACTCCAGTGTTGGCAACCTTCGCACCTGCCGATGAGCTTCAGTCGTGAGAATGAACCAGCTAGACACATACAACGATGTCGACGTCGCCGTAAGTCTTAACAGCCAAATCGAAAAGGGCCACGACATCGTCCCAAGTAGTAGTGCTACATCGAGTATCAATTGCGGTTCTGTTTGCTGATCATGTCAACGAGCATTTTATGCGTAGCACGGATGCTCGTACCCTCCGGCAGCTACAATTTCATGGACGATTTCCTGTGCCCCCCACGCGTCTTGATCCCCAATAACAACCTTGGCTCTATACCGCGAGGCAAGTAAGTATTCCCATCTTTCAAAAAGCCAAGCTGAGGAAATACTCACCCGTAAAGCGCAAAGCGAATGGCAGTCTCTCTGCCGATACCTTTCGAGTCCCCAGTTATGAGAACCACCTTGTCTTTGACGCGTTCTGTATACCGGAAAAGGTCGTCGTCGGTTACAGCGACAAGGTCGATATCGTTGTTCAGCATGGTGCGTGTGAGAAGAAGTACATAGCGCTGTCTGCCAAATGATGGGCGGCAAAGGGATCAAGTCGGAACTCGGTCCGCTGGAAGGCGGAGGTGGCGCTTGCACGTGTTTACCTCCCACCCATCCAGACAAACATCGCCAACGCGAAATGCTGTCCGCGCAGCACGACCATGGACGCGACCCCAGCAGATCTTTTTGAGTCCTACCACCAGGATTTTGACCACCTTATCCAGTCCGTACGAGGGAAACTCGAGGTTGAAGTCAAGGAGCAGCAAGGGGGTTAGTGGCCATTGTGGATTCTTTACATTGTACGACTCTAATAGGCGCACAGAGCAACGTAAAGCAACACTTCGCAAGGTCGAGATAGACTTGGATGAAGCAGATGATATAGTACGTTTTCTTGATTTCTATCGAAACAGCTCATTAATACAGAACAGATATCTCAACTTGAAGTTGAAATTCAAGGCATCCCCCTTTCAATACGATCTCAATATAGCGCCCGGCTTAAGCAGGCCAAGAGTGACTTGAACCGGTACAAAAAGCTTTCCAAGGACTTGCATTCACAGGCATCTCGCACAGACTTGCTAGGCAACAACCGTTTCAAGACTACCGCCACCTCGGACGATCCATATGGTGAGGGTAACGACCGGACCAGGCTTCTGGCTGGCTCAGAAGCACTGAACGATGGCAGCCGAAGAATCATGGATTCTACTCGGATTGCCCTGGAGACGGAGACGCAAGGCGCAGATACTTTGAGGAATCTGCGAGTCCAGAGGGAACAGATTGAGAATGCGCGGGAAACGGTCAGTCTACCCTTGGTTGTTCTTTAAGGCACGGTCTGTCTCATCTGCTTGCAGCTTCAAACCGCAGATATATCTATTGATCGTTCGTCTGGTACAATCAAAGGAATGATACGACAGTATGTCATGCTGCTGTTTTTGCTACCCTATTGGCTCAACGCCATCTTTCAGAATGTATAAGCAACGAGTTGTCCTTGGCGTTCTTATCGCAGTCCTTGTCATTGTTGTCCTGGTCATCCTTTACTTCAAACTAATACGTTGATTTCTCGCCTTGTGTCCCACCCACATTCGGACGATTACATTTATCTATTCATCTAGCATTTTTCTTTCACATCCCATCTTGTCATTAATTATATTGGATTATATGAGCTGTTCAATACATTGCATTTCTGGTGTACACCAATATGTTATATTTTAAACCCTCCAGCCAATGCCATCACATTGTCAGGATCAACGGAAGCCTTGATCTGCTTCAACCTTGCCACATTGTTTCCGTACAGGCTCTCCACAGGGGTATCAAAAATGGCGTAATTGGGATAGACGGCAGCACCGACAATACCAGACTGTCCCTGGCCAACAGCAACATTGTATAGATGTGCTGCACTTTGTCGGATGGCATCATGGAAAACATCGTCCGATATTTCGAAACTCCAAGCATAATACAAATTCAGCGGGAGAAGTCCAGTTGAGCGGGAAGGAGGATATGCAGATTCAGTTTGGGTGTCACTGACTGAGAAGATGTTGGGAAGGAACGGTTCAACGTCGTAGGAGATGAATAGCCCGGTATCTATGCTCAGTTTCGCACCCCAAAACTAAGAGAAAGTTAGTACATAGTCCGCCTGCAGTAGAGAAAGAAATATGCCTCCGTCTCATTCACAATGGCGTTGATTAGGGTATCGGAGTATCCCATGAGAGAAACAGTGTTAAAAACTCCTCTGTGATCCCCCGTTGTGAGAATTCTGAACCTAGCATGTTCCAAAAGAAGAAAAAAAATACCTTAAATTTTGTGTTGCATTAGAAGGTGAGGCAAGAACGAGGGACATAAAGTCTCTTGTTTTGACGTCCTCGGTGAAGTGAGGTATCGCAAGGAAGTCATCAAAAATGCCATCAGGAGGGGTAGGTCCATCATAAAAAAGCAGTTGAGAGACACCGGGCTGTGAAGGCGATTATTGGCGACAGCCACAGACGCCAGAACAGCCGAGCTTACCTCCCCAAGCAGGAAATTGTAGGTAGTGATTATCCCAGCTTTCGGATCCGTGACGTCATTGGAGAATTTCACTGTGGCGGCATTCACTTCATCGAGATGATGTTTTGTGTAGGTTATTAGTCCACCCTGAACATTATCAGACAAATACACGGCTATTTCTCTTCGGTTGACGTACCCATACTTGGCCCTGAGGGAAAGTCCTCAGAGTGAATCTTGTCACGATGCCCTGCGGAAGAATTAGAACCTCATAAGAAATGAATAGAATGAGCCAGGATTGCAAACTCACAAAATTATTGAGTCCGCCCTGAATTAATGAATAACAGCGGTTAGGTCAAATCACTCTGATGTCCCAAATCCCACACACACACCTTGAGAGCGAAAAAGAGATCAGGATCAGAATTTGCCGTCACGGTAGCCACCTCGCCAGTAGGCTTCACGAGTTCATACGCCACAACAGTATCAATGGTTAAACCGTACTGATTGGTCAACCACGAGAAGCCTGTACCATACGGTCAGCCCCAGGCCACTGTCAATAACATGACACCTACCTCCACCGAGAATAAACCCCGCTACACCTACCCCAGTGACTCTCCCACCGACAACGTTTACGCCGTGCGGTGCAAGAGAAGCATAGACGTCGTCCCATACCAAGCCAGAGCCAATAGTTGCAGTTTCTGATGTGGGATCATAGGTGACCTCTGAGAATCGAGACATTGCTATGTGTACTCCTGTCGTGGAAGAGAATCCTGGGTTAGACGCATGACCCCCGCCTTTGACCTGGTAATGGTCCATTAGGAAAATAACGAAAGGCCATAGGATGCACTGCGACTCACTGCGAACGGCGTATGATTAGACGAGAGTATTCCAAGCTACTGGGGTATTAGTTTCGATGAAAAAGAGGCAAATTGAACACGGACAATAATGCCGACGTCTTCTGCAGTACCAGGCTCAACGGTGCACGCAGGATATTGTGTGCTGGATAAGGCCCAGTGGTGGATATCCTTCAGATAAGTTGGCTCTGGGTGGATGTAAGAACAAGCGTAGACGCGACAAAGAACAACTTGCCCCCCAGATAAAAGACATCGCTAGCAGACGAAATTGCTTTGGAAATAGCTTTACAGACTGGGTCACCTAGTAGCCTCTCCTCTGGTTGAGAAACCACAGTCGTCAGGAGAGTACACCAGAACAGTACTGTCCAAATCATTGTTCAGAGAGAAGTTCCGAGATGTCCCCTCTTGTTGAAACAGAACCATTTTATAGGAGCAGGAAATGCCGAGCGCCTCATTCCGGTAGCTATGTCTGAAATCCGTGAGTCAAAGAACTAAAAACTCAGATGAGAAAAGATGACATAGCCAACCGAAAAGCGAACAGCGATCACGCCTTGACATATCTGCGATGATGGGAGATGTTAATAATTGGTTCGTATATGGTTTTACCTCAGTTTCGACTCCGGCAGCCAATTATCGCGGAGATGATGAAATAAATATCACCACGACATGAGAGATAAATGCCTTAATGATGGATAGAGGAGTGACGGATGGCGTCATAAGTGTCTTTTTCGGAACATCTTATACATAATTCCAGGGTTGCCATGCGCATAATGAATGCAGAACCACAGTTGAGGCATCCCACGATGGCGTCGTGTGGGCCTTGGAACAGTATTTTCCAGATGGCCTTCATCCCGAACTTTGACATTATGAATGTGACCTGATAAAATTAAGAATCCTGTTGAAAAAGGACCCGAGAAAGCATACCCGACGGTCACGACGGCGCGGGCGTCATATTCCGGTAGTCGAGTTCGGCGTATCAGATAATTTCCATGCTTAACCGCATTTTATGCCTGTAGGAATAAAGCACACACGTGATATTCATAGACTTCTACAGGTGCACAAACTGTCGAATGTTGTTCTGTTGATGCCAAACAATGCCACCCAGGAGCGTCAGCGTCAGAGGCGTCTTGAGAAGACGGATGACGTCTTTCGTCAGCCGAGAGTAATAGGCCAAACCTGACAGACCCCTGATCAAACAAGTAACACAACATCAGTCCCATGGGCCGTCGCCATATGGAGAGAGAAGACTATACCCACTTCTGCATGCTGTTGACCCGTTCATCGAGAACCTTGTACACGCCAAGCTTGAAGTCTTCTTTCGATACTTGGTATATAGGGCCATCGTCCAGTAACAACCAAGCGGAACCGTTGGAATCGGGGTCGGGGTCAGTTGCGGAGTAGAAGATGGCGCCCACAATTCGAGCGACCGGGGTGAGAGGAATACCGGCCAAGAGTAGTTTCACTGGCAGAGAAATAATGGGTGTGTCTGAAATTAGCATCAGTCGAGATCGCTGAGAGAAATGGAATGAATAACATCACCGGCGAAGAATGGGCTGATGACTGCGATGCGAATGCCTCGTTCAGCAAAATCGGGGTATAAAGAGCGCATGGTGCCGAGTACTGCGTGCTTGGAGGCACTGTACATTGTGCCTCTTCGAATGGCCTTCCATGAAGCTTTCAGGAAATCTTTCAGGTGACAGCTCGTACGCAATACCTCAATGACGCATACCTATTCGAGCCAAGCAGTACGAGAGATTTCAGATCTCCCTCAGTTCGACCTTGAGCGAGATAATGTTGAGCGAGATGCGCGGCTAAGAAACCCGTAGTAAGACGCCAGTGCCCTAGTAGACCAAAAGGACTCACTATATAAAGTGCCAATCAAGTTGATGTCAAGGGTAGCCAAGTTTGGCTTGAGAGGCCTGCCATTCGTATCGAATTTCACCACTCCAAACCTGCCTATTTCTGTTACTCCCGCGCAAGCTACCTAGGGAAGTGTATCAGGGCCAATGAAGAAGTAAAAACAGTCAAAAGCTGATTTTGTGCGGAAACACAAAAAGTCCAATGGAAAGCAATCCAGTACAGTACGCCCAAAATGATCCCCGGCGGGAGACAGTCTCTTCAGAACTCTTTATCAAGATGGGAAGTTTCCTTGCTTTGGAAACGCTTCCGCGACAGCCAAAATTTTGCTTCTTCTCGGTTAAACAGATTCGAACAAGCAGGGTCGTCACTTTTTCGCGACACTGAACTTGAAATCAGAGTTCTAGACATCATCTCGCGCCGGGGAGAAGAATTATTCATCGCCGCCGAATGCATCGTCACAGTAGGTGAGGGTGTCCGGCAGAGAATAGACGCAACGAATGTTTGTCTCGTGAGATTATTTCTCGATCCCCAAACGTCGCGTCATGAAAAGATTCGCACAAGAAAAACTATTCAGATTCAGCTCCGCGAGTCATATGCCGGCCCGGAGTAGCTTGCCTTTGTGCACGAATAAAGCCGGCTTTGATAGAGGGAACGGAGGATCGAAAACTCACCACAACATCAATAGCCCCGTATGCCTTCATGGCTAACTCAAACAATGCGACGACGTCGTCCCAAACAGAAACATCACACGATGCACATACCGCTAAACTGTTGCCGCCTTCGTTAGGGCCCAACCTTGGACACCGAGTGCTAGTGCTCACCCCCCAGCACCAACGATTTCGTCCACCGTTGCCTGCGCACCACCTATATTCTTGTCCCCGATGACAACCTTGGCCCTTAAGAAAGGCCTTCAGTATTCGGGATGCGATATATACACTCTGATACTCACCCCTGTGCAGCGAACTGGAGGGTGGTCGCCTTTCCGATACCACTGGCGCCACCAGTAATCAAGAGGACCTTGCCTTTAACACGCGCCGAATGCGATAGGAGATTTTCATCGGCAATTTTTGTGATACCTGAATCTGACATGGTGGTCGTGAACAATGTTCGAGCGGTCGATGCAAGGCTCGTGTTTTATCCAAGCACGGGACCGGCTGAAAGCGAACCGGTGAGAACGGTGTCCATGGCTAGCGATCCTACACGTCTATCGCAAAACAGGACAGCGTGATAAGTGCTAGGTAATTAGTTCGATGCTGGTGGTCACCAGTCAACACAAATTTTGTAGATAAACCGAACAAGCCTGTCGCCGGATTAGGCCGAAATCCCATAAAACCTTTCTTCCGACCATCGCTTGCTGTTGGCTGGTATGCATCAGAAGATTCTCAACCTTCACCGTCTTTGCTACGGAATACTCAATACTAGGTTGAAAGATTAAGCAGGGACACTGGTGTTCAAGCTAGGTGGATGCATCAATGTCCTGTCGGCCTGTCTACTCTCAGTAATTCATTTCCAGAATGAAAGTTGGGTTCCTAGACTTAGTCCTTATTCGGGGATCCATAAGTGCTCAAGTAAACTGAATTCATAACCACTGGAACGCGTCAGGCCGGCAAACCAATAGGAACTCTGGATGGTACCCTTTGCAGCCTTAGACTACCGGTCTTCATCAGTACTCCAAATGGCTTTAAAGGCGGTCTACAGAGCGCGTTTCACTAAAATTTCCCTTCCGTCCTATCTTTGGAGCAGTTTATTCGGATGAGAATACCGGAGCAAGTTAAGAACCGGTGAAACTCACACAGTATGTTCACGCTGACTCCTGATAAGGTCGTTACGACGTTTATATCTGATGCAGTAGCAGTAGAACCAGTGTTTCTGAAGTTGGCTTTCGGGTCCGGAACCACGACCTTTACGATCTTGACGCGAATAGTTGACGGATGATTTGACTACCCTGACGTGCTTGATTTAAATAAACTAATAGATGGCGCGGACGATTTCATTATTGCTAATCAACCTAAGCCACGCTCCAGCCTCTTGATTAATGAAGATACGTCGCGCTAGAGCAACTCTGACCTTTCCAGCAAGAGTGACTGCTCTATTAGTCGTTTCCGACTCGTTTCGTGCTTCAAGAACACTAGTTACAAACAACATCATCCATCAGGCTCACACAAAACATAACTAATGACTTACCAAGAGGCATGGCCGAGCTCCTTGGGTTAACACTCTGACTTGACATATGTATGCTTCTTTCTTCACAGCAAATTCTGAACCATTGCTATTCATACGACAGGGTATACCGTACACTGAGGACAACTGGAAGATGATTCTTCTTGATTCTACCAGTAACAGGGTTCCGGGCAGCTTCTGGTTTCTTCCGAGACTACTCTTTGCCACTTTCCATCCGTTGCCTTGCAATACTCGAATATCTTTGAGAAAGCTGTTTGCTTGAAAGCACAACATGTGTAATGATTGCACCAAGCAACGTATGATGTCCCGCACGGTCTGTGCACCACATGCTGACCGTTCGTCCTTTACATGGTCTTCAATGGGATGGAAGTTACAAAATCTGGAAACACACGAATGGGTCTACACTTCTGATTCAGAAGAATGTTTCAGTAATCCTTCAGTGGTCAACTCAAGCGCCCGAGACGATAATTTCCCGAAGATCTAACACGCCGGTGGCCTCGCCGCCAACTTGTCCTTTCTTAAGAGATTGGCAATCTTCGCACCATCTTCACGCCGCTGTTTCAACGTGACTGGGGGAACAGTCGACGAATATCCCATCTCTGCGCAATATTAGACGAAGGCGGCAAGATGGGAATAACCAAATGACGAACTGAGTGTCGGGTATTGCAAGGGAACTGAATCCAGTCTTTCAACAACCCAAGACAAATCCAACGGGAACGGTTGTCCAATCCACGCAGTGCGATGTTCATGGTCCCTAATTGGAGTGTGGAGTCATACCCTCGCAAATAACTGGGCACACACTCTCGCTCTAAAAATAATTGAATAAGTCAGGACACGAAAAAAGTAAAAATGGTGCAAGAGGTGCACGTACCTCATCCATTGTCAAGGGGTGGATAAGAACACTACAGACGGGACATTAATTTGATACCTATGCTGCCATATCTTGATACATCCAACTCACCTGAGCTTTCCATGATTCTTCACAATGAAAGAAAATACGGAGGCAAAGCTCTCTACGGGCACCCATATTTCATAGGAACCTTGCAGAATCCTTGAGGATGACGCTAAATACCAACACGAGATGTTACTCACCGACCGGACGAGGCCCATTGGCATCTGTGTTCACCTGGAACAGAGGAACAGCCACGAATGCCCCGTCCCGGCACAAACGCAGAACGGCATCACGCAGTTCCAGTGCAAAATGGTGCTCCGCTGCATTGGTTTGGTGAAAATAAATGTCTACGGTGTATTTTCAGCTCACAATGCCGATCCGTACGATGGAAATGGTATTTTCTGCAGACTGAGATCAGCGATCTGAAGAGATACAGTGAACTTTCCCTCTCACTTGATTTCATTCGCCGTCACCGTTGCGACATCCATTTCGGGAATGGACAGAATAAACTCCCATTCTCTAGATCTGTCGGCTCGTATCAGCGCTTCGAAAGAGCTTAGTAAACTTTCCTCCTACTTGATTTCTGTTTCTAAGCGAGGACAGCACCATCGCGCAGATCAGGAAATTACTTGCGGGTAGATGAGTAGGTTGTTACGAGCCCTTTTAAGGCACACGGCAGGCTAGTTTAGACGACGAAAAAGTTGTGTCTTCTGGGAGAGCTGGTTCTCAAGCATTCAGGACGTTCTCCAAAGGTGTCAGTTGAAGGTCCGACGTCCAAGAGAACTAGTTCTCAGAAGTAATTATTCAGGGCGTACGTCTACGACAAAATTGTTAGTCAAAACACCTAGTATCAACGATGATGTTTATCTTGCTTCTTACAATAGTTTCAATGGTCACCAACAGATCTCTGACCCAGTCCAGCTCTTTTTATTCCCTTTACTCCTCGTCTTAACATTCCGTGGCCGAAGCACCACTTCGACATCTTGCGCGTCCTTCAACCCAGACACCCACATCTTGATGTACTCGATGAGGATCATAATCCCCGCCAACCTCCCGATTTTGGTTCTTCCTCTTCCTTGGCCCTCGCATTATCCGAGATGAGCTAGAACCGATGCACGAGCGAGTAGCTTATCGGAGGAAACTCAGATGCCTTACTCGCCATTGGAATCACTCGCGGCCTGCTTTTCGTTTTAGACATTTCCTCTTCCCTTACCCCTTGCCCTAGCCTTTCATAGTTAAACATCGCCTCGGCATTTTGCCTCGGCATTTTTCACGCCCTTCAACTCAGACACTGACGTCTTGATGTACTCTCCACACGGATCATAGTCCCATGCCTGCTCCACCGGACCTGTTCCCAAGGGACATTACCGATGCTAGGGATATATCCCCACCACGAAACTCATACGAAGGGAAAAAACAAGTCTTGTACTAGCGCATGCACAATCGTATGCAATCCTTCCAGAGTAGCTCGAAGGGATATGCAGCCGTGCCTCTATACTTCCCTTGAACTGAATGAGATTCGTCCGCGGGGCTGCACGCTGGTGGAAAGCTGTGGAAAGACGTCCTTTGTGGAGTTACCTCCACAAAGTATCAATGAGCGACGACAAGGAGGTAGGGATCTCGAATAGCGCAGCAGCGGGACATGGGGCAGAAGCAGCAGTGAGCTGGGGAAAAGGTTCAGTGAATGTAATCAGAGGTTATGCAGACTTGCGGAAGTGAATATGTCCGGGAGATGAGATGGCTCCATCGACAGTTCACCACTGATTTTGCGGTTAGCGCTGACGATATGTCTACGGAGAGAGAAGACTTACTCGTGTATCAACATCTCTCCCCTGTCCCAGACTTTGAAGCCGATTCTGGCAGCCTTTGCGACGCGTCTTACGACACTCTCCCGCTGCATTTTTCGCTCGTCCAATCCTTCATCATCAAGACCGCTCCAACTTGAACCACACCGCCAGTAGTGAATGAGCCTTAGGATACGGCGCGACCGTTCGCCATATTTGAGGAGACTGGATACTCTGACCTAGGGGGATAAGCCGTAGACAGGGAGGGTGTGCGTAAATATTGGGGACGAGTTCGCGAGACGGTGGAAGATGGGAGTGTTGGGAGCGCAAAGCTGCTGCTGCTTTGCAATCCGAGCAAGCCTACAAATATATGTATGAGAATGAAGCTTCACGTGGATGATTCCAGGACCCACCTGCCAAGGCCCAACTTCGCATGTCATATTTTGGCCAGTAAGAAAGAGCATAATACGAGTGGTCAAGACATGTCCCTGCGCATCATCGACCGTTCCTTTCCAAGGCAGCGCGTATCGACTTCAAGTTTGAAGTGATAAAGCTCTTGGCAAAGCACAGTTAAAGTCATCCTGGCTGACTTGGAATGCTGCGAAGTAGATTGTTGCCACCAGATTCTGCAGACATGTTATAGAATATCCTAATGAAATCGATTTCACACCGAGTGCCGTCTTGGTCGATGAGCACGCGGATCGAACTTAGCAGGCTCCTGGATCGAATTTTGCCACGCGGAGCTGACTAACAGCACAGCCACAGACAGGACAACGCGACTTGAGCACCTCGACACGTTTTCTAGGGAAAGCTTGGTTCCCTTTGGTTCACATTACTTGCTCATTCTGCTAAAATGTCTCTTCTTGTTACCATATTTGCTCTCGTATTCGTTGCAGAGCTTATCTCCTGGATAGGCCAATCCGTCCTTCTTGATTTCGTATGTGGTCGACTTCGAGTATGCGACACTCACGTCTGATTCTTTTTTAGTTCTACTCTCTCTACTTGAGAGTATTCTACTCCTCCCATGCTGAGCGGCAGCGAAAACTCAAGGCAGAGATCCTAGCTACAAAGGCTGAGCTGTTGAAGACGAGCGCCCAAGACCAGTTCGCCAAGTGGGCGAAGCTGAGGAGAAGTGTGGATAAAGGGCTGGCTGATTTGGAGAAGCTCAGTGAGTGTAGGAATGCTGTGGCTTCGAGTTTAGCTGATGAATATCTCTGTTAGATGGAGAACTGTCTTCCATAAAATCATCCTTTTCCATGAAATTTACGACCGTTATTTGGATGTCGACGACCGGTTCTCAATTCGTTGTGGGGTGGTGGTATCGTAAAGCTGCTGTATTCTATTTACCAGAAGGGTGGTTCGGACCAGTTGGGTGGTGGCTGTCGTTTCCATTTGCACCAAAAGGTATGTGTCTGGCATCTCTGCTTATAGGATTACGGCTCACGTAAAACTCAGGCTCTGTAAGTGTAGGAATGTGGCAAATGGCTTGCAGAAGGGTTGTCAAAGTTGGAGAAAGGGTCGTGAAGGACCTTTGTGGTGTGTTTCTATGCTTGCTATCGTTATCTGAATTGTTGCTGATTGGGCATGCAGTGCCGACTGAGATTAAGGCTGGAGTGGAAGAAAGCAAAGCCGAGTGATTCTATAGATATACATTTGCGCTGCTCCGCCGCTAAATTGATGTCGCTGATACGCTCTATCGAATATCCGGCCGGACCAGGTGAATCAATGCAAACAAGACATGCTCTGAGTGGACGTCAACGATGCCATGCAGGCCGAACGAACGACTAGCGCCACTTCTCACGATATCTGATTCTATTGGCTGCCAGAACCTAAAGGATCCACGACTCGTACTTGGATTTCAGTTTTTTAGTCGGCGGCGTGCCAACGTTGAGCAACACTGGCCGCGGATTAGCCCGCGGCTTTTAGCGGTCTATTTTCCACGTGGCCGGCGGATCTGGCGGACCGCCGTATGAGTGCCCGCCCATCCCGCCCAATATGCTCGCGTCGGATCTTGAGCTGAAGTCGAACCTCCGGCAAGGATTCGGTAGCTTGAATTTGATGACATATCTTTTCTCCCACTGTCCAGCCTGCTGTTTCGGACGCGGAACACTGCACTCCGCAACGAGGGCGTCAACGCAAAATTGAAGACAGTATATAGGAATATAATTACGTTGGATGGTAGCAGACATGGGTGGCCGACCATCAGGAAACTGATGTCTTCCGCACTGGTAGTATGCAGTGTTTTCGGAGATAGAGGTAAGCGAACAGTTCGCAGCGTTCGCTCGCGGCGAGATACCAGTTGCTTATATCTCCAAATACGTAGACGGAAAGTCGACGGAATGATTTGATCCGGCGTTACAAAACGCCCCGGGAAACCGACGGGTTAGGCATACCTGGGCTAACGTGCGTCGGGATACGATTTCCCTCGTTCCGTCGATACCTTAGCATGCAATATCTTTGTCCCGACAGAAGACTCCTTGCGGAACAGCGAGGGTGATAGAGAGAAACCTTGGCCTTCGCATGTCGAGCCTTGGGAAAAACCAAGAGAGTAGTTTATGTGAGTACACAGACTTCAATAAATTAGTGAGATACGAATCGCAGAACTTGTGATGCAGCAGAGGACCATCAGAATCACTGATTAACGGAACGGGCATGTGAAATAACCGGTGTGACAAATGACGTCGTTCCGGCGGGGATCCGTTTCAACCACACACTTCATTAAAAAGCGAGTCGAGGTGAGCCATCCTTCTTTCACTTCAACTACCACCAATACTCAAAAATGGTCGCAGGTGTTCAGATTCACTCAAAGGCCGCCGAAAAGGCCCAGTCCGTTATTCTCACCGAGGAGGCTCTCCAGTTCCTCGCTGCTCTTCACCGTACCTTCGAGTCGACCAGGCAGTCCCTTCTCGTCGCTCGCCAGGATGCCCAGCGCAAGTATGATGCTGGCGTTTCTCTCGATTTCCATCCAGAGACTGCGCATATACGCGAGGAGCCTTCATGGCACTGCGTGCCCCCGGCACCAGGTCTCGAAGACAGAAGGGTAGAAATCACCGGCCCAACTGACCGCAAGATGGTCATCAACGCGCTTAACAGCGGTGCCAAGACGTTCATGGCGGATTTCGAAGGTGAGCTGACCTCTATGCTTGCTTATCGCGTCGTCATGCTGACTTGTCTCGGAAGACTCGAGCTCCCCGACCTTCGCGAATATGGTCAACGGTCAACTCAACTTGCGTGATGCCGTCAGAAGGCAGATTGATTTCGAGTCCAATGGAAAGGCGTACAAGCTTGGCGAGAAGATAGCAACTCTCATTGTCCGGTATGTGTTACCCCTATCTTGTGCTAACTGAGACTGACCAGTAGCTAGTCCGCGAGGATGGCACTTGGACGAGCCCCGTGTGACCGTTGACAATGCTCCCGTCTCCGGCTCTATTTTCGATTTCGCTCTCTACTTCTTCCACAATGCCAAAGAGCTCGTCAAGCGCGGCTCTGGTCCTTACTTCTACCTTCCCAAAATGGAGCACTACCTCGAGGCAAGGCTCTGGAACGACGTTTTCCTCTTCTCCCAATCCTACATTGGCATCCCACACAACACCGTACGCGCCACCGTTCTCATCGAAACCATCCCCGCCGCGTTCCAAATGGAGGAGATTCTGTTCGAATTGAGGAACCACTCTTCTGGACTTAACTGTGGAAGGTACGAGGCTTCCTTTTACCTATATATCGACGCGGTTCTGACCCGTGAGATAGATGGGATTATATTTTCAGCTTCATCAAGAAGCGCCGTGCTGACCGCAAGGCCATCCTTCCCGATCGAAAGGACGTGACGATGACCGTGGGCTTCATGGATGCATACGTCCGCCTATTGATCCAGACTTGCCATAAGTACGTCAAACATTCTACCTAGGCCTTTCTTCCGACTGAATTTACTTTGAACAGGCGAAAGGTTGCTGCTATGGGTGGAATGTCTGCTCAAATCCCCATCAAAGACGACCCCAAGGCCAACGAAATTGCTATGGAGAAGGTCCGGGCTGATAAGTTGCGCGAAGGTTACCGCTGGACATGACGGAACATGGATCGCCCACCCTCTGATCAACAAGATTGCCATGGAAGTCTTCAACAAGCACATGCTTGGTCCCTAACCAGGTGAGAATTCGGTAGCTTGTATTGTCATGCAGCAATATTCTAATTCCTGCTTGATAGTATCACGTTCGCCGCGAGGAAGTTCCGTGTTGCCTGCCGCCGACCTTCTTCAACACCAACGTTCCCGGAGAGATTCACTACCGAAGGTGTTCGTTCCAACATTACTACCTTCGTTGGCCTACACCGCCGCCTGGATCGGCGGTAACGGCTTGTATCCCCTTCAACTACCTCATGGAGGACGCTGCAACCGCCGAGATCACTCGTGTTCAACTGTGGCAATGGGTAAAGTACCAATCCCGGTTGGACACCGGTGAGCTGATCACCAAGGAGTTGATTGATGCCTGGGTGGATGAGCTTGCTCCTGGGATCAAGAAGTTGGCTCCTGGAGTGAGGATGGCGACGTTGTCATTGCCAAGGATTATTTGAAGCACCAAGTCCGATCTGAATGGCCAAGCGAGTTCTTGACGAGCGACTTGATGCCATATCTTGCTACGAGGGACGGTGTTGAGGCCAAGTTTGTGAAGGCGGCGCTGTAAGCAACGGGACTCTGTTTTTTCTTGATTTCATTTCTACGTGCAATTGTCGAAGGTTTTTTTTTATCATAGCAATCAGGTTTTCTTCTTCTCTCAATTAGTTGTATCATCCATGGTTACTTGTTCGATGAATCGATATGTACCATTAGCTTGAATCGAAGCGTTTTTCATAGAGTTGTAGCGGTGTGGACATGCTTGCAAGGGTCCTGAGATTGTAAAAAGCGATTCCAACGTCGATGACACTGCTTTCCAGACGTCTACATGGAAGCCGGCCGCGAAGTCCGTTTTTATTGTCATAATGCGAATCCCACAACGAACTGTTTAGATAGTTGGTCGTATGTATTGTATAATCACGTCTCGGCAAGCCAACAACTGCACAACGACAAAAAATTTACTTTTAAAGGCCACGACGTTACGTTTCACTTACGCTCCTTCCTATGCAACTGAGGCAGCTGTCAAACAGCCGATACACTGTTAGATTCACGACAAGTTACATGTCGGACTTGAAACCGATGGGAATTAAGGACAATTAAGGAGAGTAACACCGATGCGCGGTAACGAATTATACGGGATATGATGATGAAGGGTCTATATGGTGGAGTATGGTACACTGCTTGCTTCGAGGATATAGTGAGTCTTCCTGGCTTCGCTTCTAACTTGGACACCCTCGACGCTGGAGGATTCGAGTTTGCTGAATGGCCAGGCGGATGTGGATGTCTATCAAGAGGGCGTGGTTTTAGTTGAGATGGATGGACGAGGGAGAGGGATGGGGGACGTACGGTCACTGTCATCAAGACAGTCGCGAGGATAGCAAGGGTGTTGAATAGCATTGTCTAAGTACTGAGAAACAATGATCAGTATATATGAAGCAAACGGAAGGAATGCGAACGTCCGCACCTGATATGGGGGATGTCGAGACGATGAAGATCCGACCCAGCCTGCCTTGCTCGCTTTTTATCCTCCACTCCCAAGGAACCAATTTCCAAAAACAAAAAAACCGCTTCCGAGTCCGCCTCTGGAAGGATTCATTCATTCATTCGTAGCTCAAATTGGCAGGTGGTAACAACTAAATGGCGGGCGGACTAGACATGAGAGATATTACCGTTCTGAATGCGTCTTGAACGGAGCGATCTTTGCATTGTAGGACCGAGATATGGCGTCTGTTAACCTCGTGGATTTGAAAGAAACGTATGAGGCAGGCAGGCACGAGAACTTGTACATTTCTATTGACAAGCATCACTTAAAATTCTTTTACACGAGATGCATGAGTAAAAATTTACCTCTTGCGGAGAGGGCCATCTTGAGATGTTTTGCGGTGGGATGCCTGGAATACGTATTTGCAAGTGGTTGTCATTCTCCTAAGGGTAGGGGGGAGTAAAACCGTAGAATGTTCTCTAGGTGAAACGTGCAACAACCCGCAGCCTCGCGGGGAACATGTGCCTGTTGACTTTCTTCTTCTTTCTTGTCTGGGCACAAAAAATGAAAACAGGAAGAGAAAAGCTGCGGATTGTTAATTAGACGTGTTTTTTTTTCTGACTTGAACATATGCAGAACACATACCAACCTTTACGGCAGTTGGTGCGACGACCAAATTGAAATCTCGGCAGATAGATGGACGGTGTTGGAAGAGAATGATAGGCAAGGTACATGCCTGATCCGGGAAGGAGGCGACGGTGGAACGTCGGAGGACTATGATTAAGGTAGTTATTGGGTACCAAGTCCCCTTGTACGCGGTAAGGAACCGGTCCGTCGCACCGGCGCTCATTCCCCAGATCCCCCTCTTTCAGTTTTCATTTCACCAAAATCTCTAATGGCATTGAACATGGAGCAACCCGTCATCATCATAGCGATGGTCGGTCCAATTTTCTTTTTTGTTCGGAAAAGCGATTCTAAATAAATGTACCCTTCCTCCCAGGGCGTGTCAGGAACGGGGAAATCAACACTGGGTTCCGCGCTTGCTGAATCACTGGGTCTCCCATTCATCGATGGAGACGATCTCCACCCTCCATCGAATATAGCCAAGATGTCGTCAGGACAGCCATTGACTGACGCAGACCGAGAACCATGGCTGGCGTTGATCCGCAAGACGGGCACGGAGAAGGTGCCAGTGGTGATGGCCTGTTCTGCGTTGAAGAAGGCACTACCGAGATATTCTGCGGGGGCAGAATGGGACCGAGGAGGCACCAAGGACGTATTTTGTGTATATCAAGGGGTCCCGCGAGGTTTTGTTGGACCGAATGCAGAAGCGCCAGGGACATTTTTTCAAGGTGGACATGTTGGATAGTCAGTTTGAGGCAGTTGGAGAGTCCAGGAGGGTGAGGAAGGGGTGGTTACGGTTCCAGTTGGAAGAGTCGACGGAGGTACAGGTGGCAATGGCGAAGGAGGAGTTGTTGAGGATGGTAGAGTAGATAATTAGAATAATACAAAGGTGGTCGGCAATTCCCGAAGGGGACGCGTATGCAGGACGCGTCTACCAAGCTTAGTATCTCACCCTCACCACTCGTAAGCCATGGTATGTCTCTTCCTTGCTCAGTCTTTGAATTGTCTTTAATGTTGATTAGGCCAGACGTTACGATAGTAAGTCGCAAGGTCCTCGATGATGCAAGCCTCTCTTAACATAGAACAGGTCGAACAACCATTTTCTCACCGGAAGGTCTGTATCGTTACTACTCCCCCATTACATTGTTTATCGATTTCATATGCAGGTCGGTTATACCAGAGTGAGCTCCAGCAGATCATTCACTCGATATTGCGCACTGACACGGATTACCAGTCGAATATGCCATGGAAGCCATCTCTCGAGCAGGAACCGTCCTCGGTGTCCTCGCCAAAGACGGAGTCGTCCTCGCAGCAGAAAAGAAGGTGACAGGAAAGCTGCTCGATCTGTCTGGTGTCAAGGAAGGTGGCTACGGTGGAAGTGGAGAGAAGATATACCTCCTCAACTCGTGCGTTCACAATCATTTTATCCACCATTGCCACCCTCTCAGTATCGTGCAGAAACATAATCGGTGGTGTCGCTGGGATCACATCCGATGCCAACTCTCTCGTCAACTACGCACGGTCAGCAGCCCAGAGGCATCTGTTGACGTATAACGAAGATATTCCTGTCGAGTTGCTGGCGCAGAGGATGTGTGATATGAAGCAGGGATACACGCAGTATGGAGGTCAGTTCGTTTCATCCAACTCGAGACCTTTACTCTAACGAGCTGTGTAGGTCTCCGGCCTTTCGGCGTTTCCCTGCTCTATGCAGGCTACGACCCGCACTACCAATTCCAGCTATACCACTCCGACCCATCTGGTAACTACTCTGGCTGGAAAGCAACTTGCATCGGAGCGAACAACGGGACTGCCCAGAGTCTGTTGAAGCAGGAATACAAAGACGATATGGAGGTGAAGGATGCGATTAGTTTGGTGCTGAGAACGATGAGCAAGACGATGGATAGCACGACGCTAGGAAGCGAGAAGCGTTCGTTGGCTCTTGTTCTTATCGAGAAGGCTGTCGTTGCTGATGTGTCTGTTAGTGGAGTTTGCAGTCTTGACGCTAGACCCTACGACGAAGGAGCCCAAGGCGAAGATATACAGGCCGGCTGAGATTGATGCGCTGCTAGAGAGCGAAGGGCTAGCGAAGAAGGACGAGGACGCTACCATGAGATCCGTTTGAAAAGTGTATTTGCTAATAACATTTCCTGATTCTACCAAGATCGCCGCATACACTGGAATCCCCAATCTGTCGACGGAACGATGAGGGAATATTATAATCAATCTATTCAGCATGGTGAACTTTCCACGGCACTAATTTTCGTGGTCATTCCCATTGACTGCTAGGCCCTCTGATCATACTCTTCCCAAGTCAGCCAGAAAAGACTAGTTCATTGCCGTAAACTTTCACTATCCCTTTCTGAGATTTGATTCCGCGGGGCACGCCGCGGACATCTGTTTTGTTGCAATGACCATCTGAACGACAGAGCGTCAGCAGTAGACAGCTCGTTGGCCACGGTCAAAGACACAACGACAGATCTATCGCACCTCTGGCGACGCGCTTAAGGTTGTCATGCTCGCTGTGATTCTGTTTCGATGCTATACAAAGGATATACAAGATCATATCATAATTTGTGACGTTTGACTAGAGCAGTTCAGTGACATGCCATTCCTTTATCTTCGCCTAATGATCCAAGGTTCAATTCCCCTCCGAAAACATAGTGGCCAATAACTGCTCCTATGACGACGGCAAAGATAAGGTACCCCTGGAAATGAATGAATGTCAAGAAAGAGAGACGGCAAGAGAGAGAAGGAAACGGACATTGTATGTCATGAAGATGAGCATCAGGAAGAAGGAAAGGAAGACTGTTACACCATATAATGTTGCCCTGAGTGCACGGTGAATCGGTGGGACAGGGACACTGAACAAAAGTAAGACCCAGACCCGCTCGAACGATGAAACACGCACCCAGTCGATGGCTTGGCCAAGACTCTGCCCGACAACAACAAAGAGTCCTCCGCAGCATCGCTCGCCCTACTCGAGCTCCTACTCCTTCGAGACCGCTTTCCCTTACTCAACGACGTAGCAATCCGAGCATCGACCGTCTTCTGTAGTGCCCGGAGGTATTCGTAGAAGATTCCTAGAGCGACGATAGCGAGACACGAAAGGACGAATTGAGTGGTGGTCTTTATGTGCCAGCTCCGGAAGACGACACAGGTGTGTTCGATTTGTGTGTTCCTAGAGTCGGAGGTAAGTGGGAGGAGATTAACATTAGACTTTCGACGAACGAACCAGAGCATGTTCATGGAACAACGTGGCTGGGTCATCCCTCCGCCGGGGTCTCCGTGGTCCATCGTCTTGGTTCTTGTTTGGGTGGAGGGTGTCGGAGGTGGTGGTTGATTGTAGCCCTGTCTGTTACCGCAGTCGTTCCGGGTGTCGCAAGTGTGTGAGGAACCGCACCTGGTCATGTGATACCGCCATCAATGCGTAGCGGAGTTTGCCGAGTGTGGTTGCTTCACTCCGTCATGGCTAATATTTGTAAATCCTAGGTCATTCAAAGGACGATGAATGCACACGAATATGAAGTCAACAAAACGCCTCTCTATCGCCGCGTTTCATGCACGGCACGTCAAGCCGTGAGCGCATTTACTACGTGAATTTTCCTGTGTCAATCCACTGCTCCGTCTGATCTCTGACCTGTGCCGATATTCATCCTACCATGGGCTCGTGTCGATTGCGAGGACAAGGTCTTACTCAGCGGGTCGGAAAATTAAAGGCCACTCTCGAATCAAGTTCTTTGGCTCAAGTCAATGGAAACTTTGTCTTTACTGTTTTCGACCTATGACGCATCTCTAATCAGTTCTATTTCCGGCCTCGAGAATCCCACAATAGCTGCGGTTCCATAGATATCCTGGATGGACGCGAAAATTATCGGACTTCCTTTAGCCTCAATGTAACTATTCAGGTACACTTCACGCACTCCTCCGGGGTCATCTGCCTTTGATGATCCACTAAAGTCTTCTATTTCTGCCTTCAACGCTGCCTTGTTACATCCTCGTTGACTGCCCGGATAATTCACTAGGCTCATTTGACTCTACACGCAATCCGACTGTTATCCGAACCGCCCGACAATGTTCCCCCCACGCCGACATGCCTCTACGTTCAGGTGCTCTCAAACGTTGGACAAAAATAACTGGAGGACTCTACATGGTATAAAACAGATGCCAGCAAGGCTCAAGGCTAGTCAGAGCTGAAGATGTTCGCCTCCATTGTCTCCCTCGCCGTTGCCTTGACGCAAATCACCCAGGTATACATACAAATTTATTCCCGTTGCCATGCCTTCTGAAAGCTCACATCAGGTTGCTGCCCATGGTGGTGTCCTAAGCTACAAGATTGCCAATTCTTATTACAATGGGTATATACGCTTATTTATCGGTGTAATTTCAATAATTCTCACACCCCCTTTATAGTTTCGTACCATACAACACCCCAGTTGGCCAGAGCTCTATCCAGGTAAATCTCATGGTAAATCATCGTCTCTGATTAGACCTCATACCTCTTTCTAGCGCGAATGGGACAGCTACAACCCTATTACCAACCCGGTTGACCCATCCCTTTCGTGCAACATCAATGGCGCAACTCTGACGTTGCAAAAATCTGCCACGGTGCCCGGTATGCTAGTCGTTGATATTTTATACATCTCTCTCATCTCTGCTCACCAGCTGGCTCCTCCGTCACTGCATACTGGAACCAATGGCCTCACACCATCGGCGTTAGTGTTTTGTACTCTGTAATTTCATAACGGCTAATTCTCTCAACAGCCGGTCATGGTCTACATGGCCAAGTGCCCCTCAACCTGTAGTTCTGCCACTACTTCCACTCTTGAATGGGTGAGCGTTCTGACAACATTCATTGTTTTCCAGAGTAACTAACTCCTTCCAGTTCAAAATAGACCAGGCTGGCCTGATCTCAGGTACCCTGTCTACGGGCCTCTGGGGTATGGGAGAACTCGTCCAAAACAACAATTCCTGGTACTGATAACCGCTTATTTAATGCCAACGATCCCACTAATGAGAGGCTGTAGGACAACAACCATTCCGGGATCCTTGGCGCCCGGCGAGTACTTCATCAGGCACGAGGTAGGGAACCCATCGCATGATCTAAAATCCGCGAACAGGTGCTGATTTTCCACCAAGTTGTTGGCAATCCACACCCCCGACCAGCCCCAGTTCTATCCCGAATGCGCACAACTCATCCTCACTGGCGGTGGCAGCGCATCTCCACCAGCAAACTACCTAGTCAAATTCCCAGGCGCTTATTCTGCGTACGTATCCTTAAATGGTCTTGACTGAGCCAATCGCTATATTTCTTTCTTAGATCCGACCCCAGCGTCACTATTGACATCTACACCAACGCTAACCAAGCTGTGTCTAACTACACCATCCCGGGACCTGCTGTCTGGCACGGATGAAGAAACTCGACAAGTGCGACAGGTCGAGAAAAGATGTATTTGTTCCAATGTCTACGACTTTTACTCTTAATGAAATGACCCTGCTTTCCTTTCTGATGCGCACCGTTTATATTTGCTGGTTCATAAGAATGACCTTCAAACCCTCCCTTTTCATCGCATACTTCAATGCTTCCGCCACCTTGGACAAGGGAAACACTGCCGTGATCATAGGCTTCAAGTCGATCTTCCCGCTTGCCAACAAGTCGACAGCAGTTTGAAAACAACCCGCCGTGTACCGCACAGTCCCTATGACGTCGAGCTCCTTAGCCACTATCGTGAACGTAGGGAACGAATTGACGGGCTGCCCAATTCCAGCTTGGACGTCTATAAAATCACACTGTAAGTAAGTTTGGTCAGAGAGAGGCGACTCACAAGTCCCCCCTGGGCGCAGGAACGCCATCCCTGCATGCATGTATGCCTCTGCAGAAGTAGCCTCTACCGCGATATCGACACCGCAAGATTCGACCCCCGCCTCGTTCATGGTCGTCGTCTTGAAAGCCTCCGCCCAGTCAGTGACGTCCTGTCCCTCGTCAAGAGGGGGCGACACTGCAGCATAGTCTGCCCATGATTTTCTGGCGAAGTCAACGCGCTCCTGGGACCTCCCGAATGCGAGGATCTTCGATACGCCATATGCGCGAGCGACGGCCATCACTAGAGAACCGAGGGGACCGCATCCGCTGTAAAATATGGGTTGGTTAGGTAGGTAATACCATATAGTGAAAGACTGGGCGAACAAAATAGCAATGGTCTGTCCGGCGGCAAACTTGGCTCGTTTCGCAAGCTGTGTCGCTGTGAGTTGGGGGGCTATTGGTTATTAATGCTGCTAACCTGTACTGCTACGGCCAGTGGTTGGATACAGCCAGCTTCCTCCCATGAAAGACTATCTGGAAACTTGACGACAAAGTCTGCATCGCAGACGTAGTACTGCGACAATACTGTGAGGAGAACTTCAGTTTATCGCGTGAATCTGGAACGGGGAGACAGTCGCTTACGCCCTGGTACGTCTCCAAACCCTGCTTGCCTAGGCGTTTTACACAGATTCGTTCTTCCTGTCTTACAGTTGTGGCACCTTGACCCAGTAGTGAGTCTTAGAATATATTTCCACACACACACGCGCGCGAGACGTACTTCTTGCAAAAGAAGAACGGCTCAATAGCTACCCGATCGCCGACAGCGACATTCATCACTGCCTCTCCTACTCGTGCGACGACCCCAGCGGCTTCGTGGCCCATCACCAATGGTTTTGTCAACGCCTTTTGAGGTAGGCCGAAATTTTTGTAGATGGTGATCTATGGGAGGGGAGGACACGTTCATTGAAGTGGAAGAGTGCTCAAACGAAACTTACGTCTGTCCCGCAAATACCTGAGGCCTCCACCCTCACCAGGACATCCTCTCGCCCTAAAGGAGGAACCGGGACGTCCGTGAACTCGATCATTTCGGGTCCTACGAGGACGCATGCTTTGTTCGAAAAATGTTGGGCCATAGGACTTGGACTTGAGAGAGAGACAGGTAAGTACTCGATATACATCGCGAGGGGACTTAAATATTGCGACTTCATCTCGGAAGGATCTTGAAATGGAAATTTTAAACACTGTTAAAGATCTGGGTATTCGAGCTAATATGTATCCATACTGAGGGTGCCAACAAGCGCTAGGCGTAGTTAGGTAACGAGCCTGGTGTCAGCAAGTGCTAGGCATAACTGACAGGGTTTCAGACAAGCGCTAGGCATAGTCGGGAAGCAAGGAGGTTGGCAAGCACTAGGTGTAACCGATCAGAAATGCTTAGTTCCTAATGCAATGGAAGGGACAATATTTATATCCTACCAAGAAGGACTCGAGTCAGTATTATTCTCCAAAGTTCCGTAGTATTCCAGCATCAGCAAGAAGAATAGAGAGAGTAAGAGACGGTACCAGTATGCCCAAAGCATGGGAGTCTTTGGGAGACGTACTGGACATACATCGTAAGGGACTTAAATATTGCGACTTCATCTCGGAAGGATCTTGAGATAGAATTCCAAACACGCGCTTGTGCTCCGTGTCAATGTTCGAACAAACGTTTCCTTATGATGGGCTAAAAGGCGAGCGGTCGCGCACTTTGGAGACGGCACAAATGAAGGATACTACGTATATCGATCTCGTATACTTAGAGGGCAGACAGTATGGAAGCCTGAGGTTAACCGCCGGTCCTCAAGATGCAAAGTTTATTTTAGTTGCCAATACGGCTATCCCTGGACTCTTGATCCGCTGCCGCCAGCGTCCCGCAGTTAAACAAGTAAAGATAAGTTCCAGGACTTGTACATGTATGCGATAAAGCTTACGTCTACTACAACTACAACAGTACCTATCGCGGCCACCTAGCGTCGCCGTAAAGTAGGTACTGTACAATACAAATACAACCACCATTCAAAAACGGAGAAAAAAAAATATCGAATAAAAAAAAACAAAGCTTTTAAGACATCCTGAATAACTGATACTGTAAGCGTGAACCAGTGTAACAACAGCCCAATAACATGAGAGAGAAAAAAGGGAACGGAAAATAAAGAGATCAGATCAGATCAACTGATTCAACTCGAACATTCCGAATCTAATCTTTCGAGTAGCTTTTCAGCCAACATCGCCTCTTCAACAATAGCACCACCACCACCTCCACTCGTACCGCCACCGCCGTCTCGTCGCGAACGCAATCGTGGCGGGGATCTCTTCGGAGGTAACGTTAGAGATCCCCATGCACTCAGTCGCGTCTCCGCAACACCCTCTTCGCTGACATTCACGGCGGACTGCCGCTGAGTATCGTATGAGTATACTGCCCCCGGCGAAGGCGGAGCAAAAGGGTCGTTAAGATTACACATGTCCAACGGTGGCGAACGCGGCGGAGACTGCGCCTGCGGAGGATACAAGTAACCCGGCGAACGGGGTCTTCGCGGAATTGTAGGGATGGTGATATGGAGCGAGGGGAATTTCCGTCGTCGCCTTTGCGGATCTGAGCACGGCTGGGACGTGAAATTGGATTGGGGTCGGATGGGTATGCTCGAGCGATGCGAGTGGAAGCTGCTCCTGATTCCATCTAAGATATTGGAATAGGCTCGCTGGGGTAACGGTGAAGGTGAAGGGTCCCCATGAGCGATACTACGCTCTAACCGAGGCGAACGTACGCGGGATGCAATCCGTGAAATCGTTGTGCTGCGCTTTAAGCCGGGAGAGCAGAACGATGACGACGTGCTCGGTGGGCGAGGATGCTGTTCCCGGGGAGCTGCAGGGGGCCACGACATGGGCGCGATAGGGCATTTAACGGGGGATCTGAGGTGAGCTTTATAGCATTGTTAATGGCGCCTTATCGGTCTATTACGTGAAACTCACCTAGCCAAGCAACCATTATGCACCCCACCCACAACACGGTGAAGATGCATTTTAGGGACCGAAATACAACGGAGACGTTCCATACACCAAGGTTTATCTCGTTCAGGATCGCTGAAACGGTTCCGGCGCGTCCCTGATCGTCCGAAGGATTTTGTACGAGCACTATGACGCATATATCAAATGCAAACGTTAACAATGCTGATACCTGAGCAACCAGGAGGAGTAGGGATACGGCGCGTTGATAACCCTGTGCGTCAGTACTGCGCGGTGCTCGGGTCGTGGTTGTTCGGTCACGAGTAAGTCGCTCCAGGACGTGGATGTGGATGGGGAGAATGGTGTCATTGGTGTGCTTTTGACGTGGAATACTCGGATGCGAACGTATAGGTTCGGGAATTTGGAGTACACCTGGATCGCGAGCCAAATCGAGAGAAAATCGCTTGAAGCTTGAAGGCGACGGCGGCGGAGTGTCAGGTGTGGAGAAATATGCCGATGGTGGTACTGCTGGAATTCGAAGAGGCTGCGGCGCAGGTGGCCTCAGAACGACAGGATGCGAAAGAGCAGCGAGACAGATATAAGTGAGAAGCGGAAGAGAAAGCGTTGCGAAAAGAAGATAGAGAAACGGCGAGAGCAGAAGCGGGATCTTCGGTTGTATGAAAGGCGAAATAAACGAAACCAGTGTCGCTGGAAGAAAATGAAGTCAGCGATTTCTGCGATAAAATAAACAAAGATAGCGCCTACCACATAGAATTACAAGGGCTAGAATAGCATTGTACATACAAAGCTGACGTCGCGGGATCGTCTCTGGCTTCACCGATGCGGATATTAGGTAAATGAGGCATATCGCGACTAAATGGTCGTGTCAAAGACGCGTAACATGGCACGAAGACATAAAAGACGCACGTTCCAGCCTCAGCAGCGTCAGAAATACGGTCTCAGTGCTCTCCATCGCGTTGCCCGACTGCTCTGTTAGTGCTGCAAGACCAAATCCACCGACGAAAAGCGAGAGCAAGGCGATGGTGAAGACAGGGATAAACGAGCACAGAGGAAGAGAAGCAGTGCGAAGACGAAAGGCAATAATAAAGGCGACGGAGAGAAGCGGGACGAGGAATAATAGAGAAGGCGGTATCGCATAGAGATGAAGAAAACGAGGCATGGTGGTGGATCAGAGCAAGTAGCGGGCGAAGAGCAAGGCAGTCATCCAGTAAGCCTCAAGCCTTTATTGGGTTCTCATTGGTTCCCCATAATGACCGCCACTTCGCCCGGGTTCGCCGATCCTTCGTCAGATCTTCGATTCCGTCCCATCCACTACTCCGCCTCCTAGTCCTCCTCCTACTGTCCTTTTTCGACAGGGTACATTACTCGTCGCGTCAAGTTCAGTTAGCCTTCAGCATAGTCACATAATCGCGTCGCTTCAATCAGATTCAGTGATGAGAGCTAACGAAAGCCCTCGGAAGAAGCCGAGGCTCTAGCTAAACATGCACAACGTTTTGGACTTCTTCGACAAGTTCGAATTCTCTTCCAGGTCCTGGCACCTGGACTGTTTCATCCTTTGCGCGAAGCCTCTCTCTGTCACCGGTCGTCGCCTGGTCGGTTGTATGTGCGCCGGCTAGCCCAAGATGAAGAGGTCATGCTTGCTGCGGAGGCCAGCCAGCAGCAAACTCTCTATCGCCATAGCGTTTTCACAGTCTCTCAAATCGCCCTTCCTTTCTCTTGGCCCAGTCTAAAGTATCAAAGTCCATTTTCCTCGGTAGGTTACAAAGGAACGGCTGCTGTCAACGAATTTGCTTCTATGCCTGCTTCATCCGCGGGGATGATTATACCTGGGTCGACAAGTTGAGCCTTTTGCTTTGCAGCGGTCAATTTCTCCGCCAAGAAATCAAGTCACCGTATCGTTCTCATTTGACTCGAGGACTCTCGGTGATCGTCGCCCCGGTGAATATCTATCATCCTTCATGATCTGCTTCTCCTGGACCCATAGGTAGGACCCCCGGTATCTCTGCTGCTGGGGCCTGGATTGGAAGTCGGTGAAAATGTGGATCTTGTCTCGACGGCTATACCCGAGTTTACCCACTTTCCTCTCGAAAGGTACTAAAAACATTCTAGGTCACCGAACTTTTGCGGGCTCCCTTCTGGTCTAAGAACTTAGGTCCTTATCATCAAATCGCGTTTCTCGGAAAGCCTCTACCCTAGATTTTCCTTCTTTTGGACGCTTGCCAAGGGAGGTTTTAGATGCTCTTTTTCTCGAGTATTTGAACGAAAGGCCTGGTCTCCTGAAGCTCCGACAGAAGTAAGTACAGACGGAAATTCTGGTCAAAATTGTCCTTAAACGTATGAACTGCTGCGGAGCCCCAAAATTTGCTCGTATGAACTTCTCTAACACAATTTCATCGTTTCCATTTGTTCCAGAGCTTTGGTGATTCTTTCTTTCTTACCGCAGTAAACAAGGTTATCTGCGCGCTCTTACACCATGAACTGGAATCCTTAAAACTGTTCACCTTCAGTACTCTAGTAGCCCACCTCGTTCGCCGAACATGCCAAATCGAGACTCCCTTGAACTAGAGCGCCAAAATACACAAAATTTCCGCCTGATCTTAGCACGAACCTCTGGCCCTGTATTATCGTCGAAAATGAGGCATTACAGGCCCTGAATTTTGAGTTTTTCTCTCTCGAAAACCAGGGGTCCTGATTTGACTCTAGATCGATCGCACGCGAATGATACGCTTCTTTCCCCATTCGCCCTCGATAGCACGCTAGTCGTAGCCTTGGAGAAAGGGACCAGGCTCGGCGATCTACGTTCCGTCCCTTGCGTGTTCCTCCTTCTGGTGCTCCTCCAAGACTACTTATCCATCTGTTTTTATTCGCCGGGTGTAAAGTGTGGGCAATAATTTATAGATAGTGGGTCTATGGCTTGTTCCCGCGGGATTATAGATTAACTGGGACTGTAACTTGGATATACGCCGCGTTTTTGAGTGGAAGATAGAAGAGAACCCTATCGGGTATCGAGCCCTCGGCCCTTCTTTGCGAAGCAAGTCCATGGACGAAGAAGAAGCTGGCGGTGCTTGCCGACGGTGTTGCTGAGAGAACTGGGTGATTATCGACGGTGATAAGATAGTGAAGATATCGGGGAGATTTTTGTTCAATGAAATTCGACACTTTTGATGGTTTGACGATTTGCAGTAAAGCCTCATCTTGTCGTGGAATGAATGGCTCATGCTTCCGTTCGGTCATTGGAAGTTCATAACGAGAGGTAGCTCAATCGTAGATCGGTATTTATCCATTATTTTCAAACAACTTTACATATACCATTCTCCAATGTTTAGATATTCGTGCAAGGTCTCAGAAGCGACCATACTACTTACCACCCTGGAATCGAGAATCGAGTCATGAGACTGATCCGGGATGTCGTTGTTCCGCATCCACGAAGAACTCCTACCTACCTGCGGTGGTAGTCAATTGGAGCATAGGCGCGCCAATCCACCAAGATGCTGAGGCCCCACGTCGCACAGATCCCATGTGAGGGGGTTAGAAGTCGTGAGCGAATCCTCTCCACCGGGACGATATAATGGGCGGTTCATACTTAATCCGATGACTGGGACGAGTGGAGCTTTAGCATGGTCCTGGGGAGTAACGAAGCCTGTATAAATGAACTTTTGGAAGGACACGAGGCTCTCTGACTTAAACACATGTTGCGCCGAAGACCTCATCCAGGCGGATAAACAAGAGGCGGAGTCTTCGCGTCGCAACGGATCTCAAGGGACGTGAAGGTGTAGAAGTCACCGGCGTAGATCGTCGAAGAAGGACGCTAGTCCAGTGATACTGAGAGCGAGTGACTTGGATTGCTGGTGGAAGATCGCCTCGAACTTGGAGTCGTTCATTACCGTTCTCCAAGGTGCGAAGGTAATGAGAGCGAGACCACGACCGCGACCGCAAGACACTGGGATTGTAGGGCCCCCGGGAGAAGGGATGGATTGCAAAAGATGAGGAAAGGCTTCAGTTAATAAGAATGAGAACGTGTCAATCACAGCTGACTGGTCTGCGAAGGTTATGCTTGGTCTTTCGCAGCTGATGATTATGAATCCGACGCTCGAAGATATACATGGAGGTTGGGTCACCAGGCAGGAGCATCGAGTTCTCAAGCCAGTTCTTTTTTTGGTCGTTGGATAGCTGAGTAAGTCTCGAAAGCACGCAACCCTGCCGTGAGTACTAGTCATCGATACAACTCTGAACACAGACGAGTCATCGGATGGAGTACAACCATATGGCAAGCACAGGTTTTCAGTGAGACTGTTGTTGTTTCACAGTACGGTACCCACATTCCTGAGACCTGACAGCTTGAAATGGAGAAGAAAATGTCTATCAGAAAGCAAATATCAGTCGACTATTTTGCTGATGAAGAAAGTGTTTGTCCAGGATGGAAAATCAGAAGGTTGTTGCGCCAAGTAGTTCTTCAAGAAAGGGACGACAAAATAGACGTGCAGGGAATATCGTAGCGCGTTGATTGTTGAAAAATAGGCCTTGTACTTTGAAAGCTGAATTATTTTAGAGGTAGGTATACATACGAAGCAGAGAACAAATTAAGATCCCTCATGACGGTGGCGTTGGACCCTATCCTGAACGTGAAATCTCAATTGAAATTGCACGATTCAATTCAAATACGAAGGCATTCTCGAGGAGCTGAAAATCTACCCACAGTCATAACGTTTCTGATATCGACTGGGGATGGAAAAACAAAAGGTTATCGTATACTTACAAGCTTCAAGGAGCTCCGAATTGGCCGTCAATATGACAGGAGTGTGAATAAAGCGATGAAAGGGGATAGGGGTTGTTGACACATATTTGGACAAGGCGAGGTAGAAGACACTGGTGCCACGTCAGCTCAGGGTTTCTTTACGACCTCCACGTAGCCGTCCTGCGATCGTTTGCAGTATCCCACCCCGAGTGTCTGTCACTCCTCAAATACCAACCGCCATCTCGTTCCCTTCCACGTACACAATACTCAATATGTCCGTTAATCCTTCTGCCCTCTCATCACAATCATCCCCTGCTCCGGAAGCGGGCCCTTCAAGAAAGCGCCCACGCTCCGAGATTTCCTCAGAAGAGCGCAAAGAGGCTAGGGCGCATCGTAATCGTATTGCTGCCCAGAACTCTCGCGATCGCCGAAAGGCCCAGTTTTCTTACCTCGAGCGCCGGGTCGCTGAACTCGAGGAGGAGAACCGCCAGCTCCGTGTGGGCATGGCACCCGGCCACTCGTTAGCCGATGAACAACGAGCAGCTGACAAAGCACGGGAACGAGAGAACGAGGAACTGAGAGAGCGTATTAAGACGCTGGAGAAGGGATGGGATGCCGTCGTAAAAGCGCTCGCCGCTAATGGTAAGTTTTTGCTCATGGTCGTCGTTAACATTGCTAAACGTTTTTCCAGGTGTGCCGACGGGTCTCCCACTACCCTCATCAGAGCCGGCTCCTGCACCACAACAGCCAGCTCCGACACCTACTCAAACGAATCCGCCTCCGCAGACGGAGCCTACATTAACCCAAATAACACCACTCTCCCCCGCTCCCTCCTCACATTCCTCTTTGGATTTTGACAGCCCCATGTTCTCCGCTTCCTCTCCCTCATCTGACGTGTCTGACATCGAGCCCACTCGCCACCTAGCACGGGTGGCGACCACCAGCGGACCAGTTAGCTCTGGTACCATGGTGTCCCTGCAGCGGGTGGACTTGATATCTTCACGTTCAACTCTCCCTTCCCCCCATCTCAGACACACGAAGAGCAGCCTCCCGTCGACGATGCTACTATGGAAAACCTCTTCCGCGAAATCCTCGCTGGTTCCCCGGAGACGGCACTTCTACCTCTTGAGGCAGAGGCGCCACTGCCAGCTCCCTCGCCGGAAGTAGCGTCGCTCTCGAGGTTCGATGAGATGGCCAAGGGAAGTCTGTTGTTGAGTGGAGTGGAGGCGGAGGTGGATCTGAACGTCAACTGGGGTTATGAGGACCTCGATGTCCAGAGACTACTAGAGTTGTTGCCTAGTGAACAACCGGTCGAGTATCCGGGCTGGGAGTCGTTTAATTCTGCGACTGTCGGAGTGTTCTAAAACGTATAATCGGCCGATTTCTTTTCTCTTGCTGGGCATGAACTCTGTTTCTCTGTATATCATTCGGATTTCTTTTCGTCTTCATTTCATCTTATATTATGGTCTTCTCTTCTTGATTACTTTACACCATCTCCCGGATCTCATATCCCGCACTCTCACTTACCATACATCATCCTTTGGACGACTTTTAGCTACTACTTTTCCCTCGTTTGCTTTTCTTGTTCCCCCGGTCATCTCGATGCCGCTCCCGTTGGTCCCATGCGAGCTGTTATTCTCCCCTCTGGGTTGATGAATTCTGCTTGCTAGGATCTATGGTGAGCGCTTGGGTTTGCTGGTTCAGGAATAGGAAGCGGGTGAGGCTCCTTAGTGTAGGTTTTCATATCGTCTTTAGTATGGCGTCAATGGATTGGTGTTTGTGCTAAGTACTTATTGGCGTAAGTTATCGAAACAGTGTAAACTTCGGGCCCGCAAAAGGGCTGTTTTCCTCTGCTCAATACTGTACTGACGCTTGCTGGCCGTATCGGTGAATTGGTCGTAATCAACGTCGCCGGATACTGAAGGGCCCATGTATGGCGTTACTTAAAAATCTATAGCAGCCTTATCTTCGCTCTCTTGGTAGAAAGTATTCAGAACTTCTTTGCAACCTTCTGTATCACCAAACTGAAAAAACCTACGGCATTCAATACGAAAATCATCCGGTTGGAACGGTCTCTTCTATGCCTCGTGAACATACGGCATCCACTGAAGTTCCCGACTTCACCTACGTGAGCCAGGGCCAAATTTTTCTCTGTTCGATGAAGAAGGTCGCGGATTGCAAAAAGAAACTTCTACTTACTTGCAACTAGACTATCTTTATCGATGGTACTTTGCGTGCCTGAGACCTTCCCTCTTGCTGGGATGATGAATTGTTGAAACTTGACGTTCCGCTTACTGAATTGGATTCCTTAGAAGGACTCAGGGTACTACCCGTACAGGTAGGGAGTCTCCGGTGACCCTCCCTGTTTGCCAAGCTGAGAATTCCAAGCCATTCTCAGCCTAGCCGCTATATGTTATCGATGAACCACATCTCATAAGTATGACAGTCGTTGTCAAGTCGCGCTCTCTCTTTCTGCGACACCAGTAACAAATTATCCCGGTGGTATCGGCGAACGACGTACTGTATTCTCGTTGAACATGTTACTTGAGCCCCAGATGGCTTGGTCTCGGTGCAAAAGAGCGGCTGGTACTCCTTGATCGTTTGGTTAGCGCCAGCTAAATAAGTATCCTATGGAGTCAGAACGGGTGCTTCGTAATCAGGTCCAAGTTTTCCTATCGCGAGTAAGTAAGTACGAAGTCGGAAGTCCGGTTGCTCTTGAGGTCATAACTACTTACTTCATAACGCGTTTTGAGCTGTAAGAATACTCGTCAGCGTTTTGCATATCTCCGCACCCAAGCGCTATCAGTTGGAGCATAAACAACGGAACAATTGAACAGAGCCTCAGCATGTATCATTGTCATCATCGCCTCAAAGATTTTGGCCTTCTCACTCGAAGCCGCAGTAGACCGGTCGACGTTCTTGTCCTTCAAGTTGAAACAGATTGGAAGGACGGGCACCGTCCATGTTGATACCAGGTCGCGTCTCAGCTTTCAGGTCCATTCGAACTGGGATCTCTTCTTTCAAGAAGAAATCAAAACAGGATGGAATCAAGAAAAACACACAGCAAAGTAGTAGCACTTAAGTGCTTGTACCGAGTCCTCTGGCCACTGCGAAACCCGCCAGTTGTAACGACCCTCACCGCCCTACAAATACTATTTTCCACATTTTGATGGGGCGCAGTGCAGTGAGGACGTGCAGTGTTTAGGATCATGCGGCCGGATCACTTGCTCCATCTTCTGTGGCAAGAACCTATGATCGGGACATATTCAAGAAGAAAGAACCAGGCCAAAAAGTTCGCATGTCATATCAGTGCCTTTTCCCGTACTCGATCGAGGGGCAGTCACCTCGATTCTCCCGCGGAACCTCTTTTTTTCTGGCTGGAAAAAGTTGAAGATTGCTTCAAGTTTTTGGTATGCTATGTGGCCGTCTTCTTTAAACAGGTGAATCGTGGGGTGGGTAAGTTTCCATGCATTCTAATCAGCCTTCTCTGTGATCATCACGGGTGTTATTAACTATGTTTTGGCTGATCCGCTATCCATGGACGAACGGGGAAGCTCGATTTCGCAATTCGAAAGGAAAGTTCTGTATGCCACAAAGCGTGCAACAAACATAATCATCAGAAAGGGAAGGAAAGGAAGGAAGGAAGGAAGGAAAGACCACGACAATCGATCTCGCTCACATACATACATATGGTTCCTGTTCTGAGAATAATTTTGATTCGGTGATAAGCAACGAGGTACTTGGACAAAAAAATTACACGAAGATATACAATCACATATATGTATGGTCATTAGTATTCGAATATGCACAAGCTGAAAGAGAGACATGAAGCGAGATAGAACCCGTCTATCCATGCTAAATAATGGGCTGCCGTCGGTAACGGCCTTTGACTAGGTTCCGCAGCTGCAAAATCGATAGCGCTATACGCGGGAGGTGGTAGCTCCGCCATCGAGATCCCTCGACCCGGAGGCCTGCGAGCTCATCAGCAACCACCCCCCAAGCTTCATCATGCGAGTCCTTTATTTGCGGATGCGTCGATATCGGAGTAGGAGGTAAGGATCGCAGGGACTGCCCCTGGGACTGGGAATCGTGTCGCCCAGGGGGTATGGGTAATCGCCGAAGGCGATTTGAGCCTGGGAGGAAGGATGTAGGATGCGGAAGCGACGCAGTTCGCCTGGTGGTGTGGATTGCGGTCGACGTGCTGACTGCTGTGGCGGGGCTGGGAGTCTGCGGAGATTGTTGGTAGATACGCGACGGGTGAGGCTGCTTGAAAACTCAGCGGGCAAGGGCGGAACGGGAGGTGCATCGGGGTCATGGTAAAACGAAGGATCCAGGTATGTGTGAGATGGGGCTGACGCATTTCGTAGTGGATAGCACACGGATTCAGCCGAAGGACTATGCCCGCGTGAGGCTGAAGGAACTTCGATTGCGCTCGTCATTAGGTCGTCCTCCTCGTCTTCGTCCTCGTCCTCATCCTCTGCCTCCTCGTCTGATTCAGACACACTTGAATCAGGTGTGAGTGGACTTAATGTAGGGTAAATAGGATCGCCATAGACTATTTTTGCCATTTGCCCCACAGAGGCCGATGATGCTGGAGATAATGGCAGATGGTCCACGGAAGAAATAATACTAGCCGAGCGCCTAGAAAAAAGCTGGTCACGGCTCATTATTTTTCGCCAATGCAGCCCAGTGGTGGAGATTGAAAGGAGAGTGGGACAACGGGTGTTGCTGGACCCTTCACCGCGCGCATGTTTCTCCCATTCCTGGGCGTCAGTTACGAGAAGCAACGCCGTCAGGACCAAGTAGTCCAGAAGCAGCAGGGAAACACCGTGATGCATAATGGTCGGGCGGGCGTCATATTTGTCATGAAGGGTCTCAAATATTTTGAGCCGTGGCGGAACCGAACCCACTGCGGGATCCAATGTCGCTATCGGCCCTTCTACGGATGGGCTTATACACTATAAAAATTGTGGACGTCAAAGGTTGATAAATATAAACTGTGGCCAAGGGGACATACCCAATAACAGCCTCCGACGGCCTTCCATTTGAGTGTCCGTGGGTATCCTGGAATATTGAACTTGCGCGGGGATGAGCTAAGACAAAATAAGTCTTGGTCAGAGCCGAGCAAGTAGGCGACGTACCGTAGTATGGAGCTCTGCCTCAGAACGTGTTCCCCGTACTCCCAGTCACCACCCTTGACCTGGACTTGCACACCGTCCCAGTTGCGTCCCCTTCCCTTGGCCTTCATAAGAGGCCATCTGATACTACTCGTCTCAACGGGCCCTGCCCAGGGATCCTCGCGATAGATAACTGTCGTTGTTCCCTGTGTCTTGATAGCATATAGCGGCAAGCTCTCGTGATCATCCTGTATAACAGAGTCGAGAAACGAAGGCGAAGAAAGTTTGAGAGTGAGCAGACAATTCTTCTGGTGCGAGCGCATAGTACTGGGAGCCGTCAGTGTTGTGGGAGAAGAGAAAGATGGCTAGCTAGGTTGAGGTCGGAACTCGAGAGTAGCACAATAGAGTGCTGGCTGTAAGGAAGAGGACAACCGATACAGCGCGGCTCTGGTGGACGTTGTAGGTGCTGTGAAGGGAGGAAGAGGAAGGTTGGCGTAACGGTGCCGTGAAGAGTCCGTGGATATGGGAAGACAAAAGGAGCAAGTGGACCATGGTGCCTTCTATACCATGAGCTCTCTGATGGGCATGCTGAGGTAATGGCATCACGGCATCACTTCCTGGGTGATGCAGATATCTCTCGGTGCTCGGCCGGCCACAATCCCTCCGTTCTATTTATTTCATCCAATCAACCGAACGGTTTACCTTGAGAAAAGTGAGTAAGATGTTGGGGGGGATCGCGGGCTAGCTCCCACAGGAAGAACCACAGCAGGAAAAAAAGGTAAACACTGGCACGCACTAATAATGCACCCGATACAGCGATCGTCTATCAGTGCTGTACCGAGTCTATAGAACAATTAATATCAGCGCTCTTGCTGCCAAAGAGCATGCGCTGCACGACAGCATTCTTCCGTCATTCAAGCGCTTGTCCGGACGATCCTTTGTCTGCCCGGGACGCATGTTACATACTCACCGTGACAAGAATGGATATCCTTATTGACCGTGGGAGTTTTTACCCCAAATTACCCCATTTTAGCCCGCCAAGGCCAAACAAACACCAACACACTTTTTACACTTTTACCACCACGTACGTTGGACAAAATGTCAAGCAGCGCAACCGACCCTACTACTGTAACGTGAGTGTAGCTATCATTGATTCTGTCAGACTTTAACGCGTTCTGGACCATTACAGTGGCACCACCGAGGCCACCGCAGGGACTGACGCGCCTGTCTCTCCCGCAGTGGACAAAGGCAAGGGCAAGGCGCCAGCCAAAGATGACGCGATGAACGAGGACGAGGAAGAGGAGGAGGATGACGATGATGACGATGACGATGCCGAGGAAGAAGAAGAGGAAGAGGAGGAAGTACGCGTCGCGTCACGTCCCCTGTGTTTACCCGTAACTGACGCGTCTCTAGGATGATGACATGGAGGAGATCGACCCTGCTGCCATTCTCCCTACGTCCCGTCGCACTCGTGGTGCTCGAGTCGACTACACCTCCGCTGAGGCCCTTTCCAAAGCCGGGTTGACCGAAAAAGATTTGGACGATGACGAGGATGACAAAATGAAGGACTAGGGTCGCAGTCGATTGAATTTGTCAAAAATGTACCTGTTGCTTGTACATTCGTCCACTGTTCCATGGTCCAGCTGCACTGTTGTTGTTATTAGTAACACGTTATTCACAATGTTTTCCCCCGAGTAAAGCATTGTCTCCTCAACAATACTGTTTTCTTTGTGTAATGTTTAGGCCTCACGTTCGCCACCCGCAGGCCGCCTTGATGTATATCACGCCTCGAGGTAACATTGACTTTGTAAATCCCTGAACTCAACCCGGCGTCGAGGGTTCAACACTACGCCTGATGCCTGCCTACGGATGTTCTTCAAACAGGATCTGTCCCTCGGTGATAAGAATCCCAGGGCCGCTCCGATTTTCTTCCAGATGGAGGAGGAGCGTTCCGCCATTCCCACTACTCGCCTCCCGAAAAAAGTAGCATCATCAGGTACATTTAATCACTCCAGGGACCATCTTTCGGATTCTGATCCTCTGTCTGTGGAGGTTCGGCTCGACGGAAAGAGAATGAAAGGGCAAGTCATCACGCCGCGTCATCAGTCAAGGGTGCAGTGACGAGTTGTTACTACTTTTTGAGTCAGTAACATCTCGTACTTTTGCCGAGTCACCCATTGTCACTATGACAGCGCGCCCGGTCCAACACTAAGCGCCCAGTCTATCGTAAGTAAGTTTGGCAGATGTGCTTTCCCATCGTGGGTCCTTCATATAATCATTTTCTCACCGGTGTACAGTCTATTCGACGGGTATTAGGGTTCCAATAATATCCCGATGGTCGTTCATCAGCATCATATAACCTAGAAGATCTTTGGTGATTCATGAGACCGTCTGTCGAGTTTCAGTCTCGTAACGAATTCCCCGAGGACGAGGCAACCATATGGTGGTGTATAAGGAAGGCGCGCTCTGATCTCAGTTGGTACCTGGCTCCCTGTACATACGAAGCGGCGTACGATGCACGTCAGGCTTCGTCAGCGATGAATTTACGGCTGTCCCCGTTCTGGTGGTCTAGCCCAGGTGTACTGGGTGAGTGGGCACGGCTATCGTTCCGTTGCTACATGGCAACTGATTGCGTAGTCAAGAGCCTCGAGCACGCAGATTCGGAAGGTGATTACCTGTTTGGGACATGGTGATCACCAAGGGTATTGTTTCGCGGATGATTATCACGTCGCTCGCCATGAAGTCTCTCAGAACAACTTCGGAAGGAAGAGATGGGGTTGCAATAATCACGGGCGCGTCAGATGGATGGATGGAATATGGAAGCCGGTGGCGGACAACAACCATCCATATGTTTGTATGGCAGATATTTCTCTGTACCGCATCAGAGGTGGTACAGTGGTGATACGTCGAGTACTTGAAACCAGAGTTGAAGTGTGCATATGCACCGACTTGGATATCAGCTTCTTATCTCCCTTTCCGTAAGATATACGCTCATTCACACATTTTGGACGACGAAAGCAAAGCGCGAGCTCAATAACATTCAAAGGAGACTGCATCTAGATATTGAGCTTGGTCCTCCTCCAGTGACGCCGCTTAGCATTGTACTATCGCAAAAAAAAATCAGCACCGCAATAACAGACAAAACAGAAATGCAAACCCACCTGGATTTTAGTATCAGTTTTCAGCCGGAACCACTGAGGGATTGGGCGGTTCTGACGTCCGGCCTTTGCCAGGATTCTTTTTGTGCGGAACGTCTTTTGGGAAGGCTACACCAGAAACAAGGATTACTAGCGTTCGAGCACATTCACAAGGCACTCACCATCGTTGGATGTCGTGGGGTCAATGTTTGTTGTCGTGGGAAAATCCTGGGATAGCCTGTATAGCTGATGTAATCATTATCCCACGGATCCCTTTACGTCATTGTGTGCTGGAAATCCAATTTGACCACGACAACCATGCAGCTTGGTTGGTTAACTTGTTTCTTGTTCTTCTCGTTTGTGCTGGCTGTTGAGCCACCGAAGGAGTTGGAGATTCGTACGACGTATACTCCTGAGGAATGTATTGTGAAGGCTGCGAAGGGGGATTCTATTAGAGTCCACTATGTGCGTGATACTGATTCCTACAAGTTGAGTGGAGGACTGAAGTGTTCTGTAGACTGGAACTTTGCACGCGAATGGGAACAAATTCGATTCGAGGTTCGTGCTCTGATCGACTTGAAGGATAATGGTTCTTACAAACTCGAGCGTGTAGTCATGACCGCGGTGAACCGCTTCCTCTTACCCGTGAGACCTTGTCTCGTTGAAGGAACGCCACGTATCTGATGCAGCGGTCTTCTTTCCCAGTTGGTGTAGGCCAAGTCATCTCAGGATGGGACGAAGGTCTCCAGGGTATGTGCCTCAACGAAAAGAGGACACTCATCATTCCCTCGCACAAGGCATACGGTAAGTTTCCTGTGCTTTGTCACGGCAAAGTCCCAGGTTTATGTTCTTCTTAGGCTCTCGAGGATTCGGAAACATTATCCCAGCCAACTCTGCGTTGGTGTTCGACGTCGAGTTGGTTGGCTTGGATTCCAAAGGTCGTGATGAGCTCTAGCATTGAGGGTGTTCTTTCATAGTAGCTATAGATACGAATCAGTACGGTTATCGGTTTCTGAATATCGCGGTATAACCTTTCCACAGCGTAAATTTATTGGTTTGTATTCATGCAGTGCATGATTTCAAAACTGAAGGGCTGGGAAGATGGGATATTGTAATGGATTGCGAGCACTCCTACCTCCACGATAGGTTATGACTATATGTGCTTCAAGCTCATATTTTTGGAGCGGCGCTTTTGTGGTTAAGCGTGTCCAGGGGCTAACCCAATTTGGACATTGCGTCATGCCTGCACGTGACGCACGTGGACTAAATCGATTTCCTGAGAGACAAAGTAACCAATAGCGCCTTTTCTCTCATTTCTATCACTTAGATCTCAACAATGCATGCCATACAGGTATTTCTGTTCCTTTTCCACATGATATTCCCGTCTCATCGGGCATTTAGCAACAATTATTCGCTGTCCGAGAATATCTCAGTCCAGTGAGTGGCCTAATGTCTTGCTTGGCCCAGACCTGATAGGGCTATCCAGGTATTGAAAGAGAGTAAATTCAAGGAGCACGGTCGTATCACGCCTGGTCAGCCCTGATATCCCTATCCCTTTCGTCGACACAAAGGCTTATCGGAGTCATACAGAGGAGTTTGTGGCGGCAGGAGACTTCCTGGCGTACAAGTTTCCAGTTTGGACATGGTCAGTGCGATCCAAGCGACTAGGCGAGCACAACTGAATCAGTGTCTTCAGGGAGAAAGGCGACGCCTCCAAGACTCGCGAATATCTCCCAGCCGAAAAGCAATACCTCGTAACACGAGGCGTGCCCTGCCTCCGACGAGCGACTTCACTAGCATACACCGACGCCGATGAAGATGCGGAACGACTACTATCCTTTGGCGACTCTTTCGCCTCGGCTGATGAGAAGGACGAATGGGTAGAGACTCACGCGGGGAGGAAGCCCAACACGGACTCTGCTGCCAACCCAGGGGAGATCGACGATATCCCAGATCTAGAAGGCCCCGTCGCGGGGATGTCGCTGGACTCGTCAGCACCGGGCGAGATACCTGATCTGGATGATATCCCAGATATGGAGGAGGAAGGGCTGGAGGAGGGCGACGAGGCTACCGCTGCCGCCCCCGCTGTAACAAAGGCATGCGTTACCAATGCTAGGTGTGTGTTATCGAACCCGACTTCTGCCAAGTTTTCTCTGACAGCATGAAAAGCGAAGTCGAAGTAGCCAACGGCAACCTTCTGCAGGTCCGGACTTACGATGTGATGATCACCTACGACAAGTATTACCAAACACCCCGAATCTGGCTGCTTGGCTACGATGAGAACAGAACGCCCCTGACACCACCTCAGATATTCCAAGATGTTTCTGCTGATCACGCTCTCAAGACAGTGACCATCGAAGCTTTCCCACATTCCGCGACGTTGCAGGCTGCGTCGGTGCACCCATGCAAGCATGCTAGCGTGATGAAGAAGGTCATCGAGCGTATGAATAGCAGCGTCGTCGCGGAGCAGCTGGCCCAACAGAAGCTGGCGCCAAAGGAAAAGAAGAAGTGGTTCGGTAGGAAGTCGAGTGGTGGTAAAGATGACAAGGTACTCAGTGGTGACGAAGAAGAGGTAGAAGGGATGCGGGTAGACTTCTATCTGGTGGTATTTTTGAAGTTCATCGCTTCGATTGTCCCGACGATTGAGGTAGATTCTACCACGTCGTTCTGAGTGGTTTGTACATATAGATTGATACCCGATGATTTGGGAGTATGCTCGTTATTCAGTGTCAGAAGTTTATGTCAATGTATCATATATTTACTTGTATAATTCGTACTGAACTTGGTATTCGATTAAGACTGACAAAGCGATAACAAACAAGTCCTGCAGGCTGGCCACTGTAAATATAACGTCGTGTACACTAAATTTCATGAAGAAAAACAGATTTATTAACAAATATGTAGAGTATGAGTACATTAAGAGAACTATGTATCATCGATGGAACTCGCCCGCAGTCCAACCCAGTCAGGCTAGTAGCCCGACGTGTTGACTGACCGATTCACAAGGTAAACGAGCATCAGTCGTCCTTCTGTATTCTGAGAGACTCCAGGCGACACATGACAGATGGTCAACGCGACTAGCCATGTTTATGTGCAGTAGCACAGATGTCAAGCGGCTGCTTTGATGAAGTGATTTAGAAATCGAAGCAAAAGAACGTGCACATGACAGCGGGGTAGGACGATTTGAGGTAGAGCCGACACCTAGGTAACGCACGATATCATCTAAAGTGACTGTTCTCCTGCTGGAAAATCCCTCAAACAGAAGGCCAGCGCTTACACCGCGCCTCCCTTGCCACGCAGCAGTTTGACATGACTGCTATTGACCTAATTCGATGCGTTCTTGAGACCCGAACGGGACGAATCCTGAAGGAGGTGACCTATAATGCCATTTAAAAGAGATAAAATAGTCAAAAGGAGATACATACAGGATGGGTTTCGACGGAGTCAGACTAGATAAAATCCTACAACTTTTTTGATCCAGTATGTTCATGGTGGCGCGATGACATGCCAATTTGCCAAGCGTTCGGGCACAGTATCATCTACCCATGTGATAAACTCATACATTTCCTCAAGGAACGTCCATAAACCTCCATAAAAATGAGTCCTTTTCGCTCAATGGAAGGAAGAGCAATTCTCACCGAATGGTCTTCGCACTGTCGTTCCGAACCGGCGATTGATGCCTCCCACATCGCCCTTCGTCTCCGTAAGGACACCATGACCAGAAAACCGCCGGACGCAATTCAGATACGTCGAACGCAATATCAAATCCTTGAACGGGGTCGCTCTGACGCATTTGGACAACGTTCTGGGTGCCATAGGACGAGTGATAGCCTCCAGAAACATTTCCCAGTTACTGTCAGCAATTCTGCCATAGATATAATCAGGTGCCGGGTTGTAAGCAGCGATTTCCCAGTCCACGGGTAAGACACTGAGCTGCGTGGTTGCTTGGTCAAGTGCTAAGGATATTCGAGTCCGAACGATTTGTTCTTGAGATAATATTAAAAGGGTCCACCATCTGTCTCGGACGCGATACGTGATTTCGAGGAAGATTTGAGTGATATTTGGAAAGCACTTGCGAAATCCGATGAAATTGGGGAGATTGGATAAGATTGTGTATGGCTCCTGTGCGGCTTCCTGATTTGTTTCAACTAGGTCGACATGACAGGTAATCGTACGAGTGGAATTGGGGAGATGACTTCGGTAGATCAGAGAGTCGTTGTTGCGTATAATAGAACTGAGATAGAACAGATATCCATTTGTTGGAACGAAAATGTCCCGGGAAGCGATGTACGCGAAGACATCCTTCCAGAGGCGGTTGATGAGGGGACATGTTTTCATGAATACAATTCTATCCTCCGAGGGGTGTTCGGAGTACCAGAATTCTGAGATAACGGCGTGAACGAGCTCAGGGGGGAGCTGGTCGAGCATAAAAAAAGAAAGGAAGGAAGGTAGTTGATTTTATTAGTCGTCGTACTCCCTAGCCAGTCGACGTTCAAGCTTCGTATTGCAAATTCCTTATAAGGCTGTTTGGTTGTTTGGTGCCGTTTGACATCGGTTCATCTCGCCTTTTCCATTTTGGTGACTTCAAGCTAGCGGAGGAATAAGCCGTAGCAGTGCCGAGAAAGCGATAACTTTCGGCAGAACTTATTCTTCTGCGCCGCCTGAAGCCTGCCTCTGCAACGAGACTCGCCACGTTCATTGCCCAATTGGAGCGAAATATCTCCGTCGCAATATAGAAAGATACTCTCTGCTCCTTCCCTGAACAAAATGCTTCGCGCACCCTCCTCGCGGGAGCTCGTTCTTGGCTTTCGTCGCTCCTTACATACATCACAAGGAAATGTAGGTGGGATGACTTCTGCACTTCATTCTTGAATCTCTGTTCTCATACGAAAGGATTTTAGATCTTCCCCCGTTCCTACCAACAACAGCGCCAATGCACTGGCTCTCTGAAAATGAACTTAGGCAATACATCCCTCCTCTGATGCGCGTAGGTTGGTGCCTAAGATGGTCTACCAAGCTCAAATCCTGTGAACTCTCTTCGGAGTTTCCCATTGCCGGATACAAGACCGCTATGCGATTCATGAATGACATCTACAATTGCCGGTGAAGAGAATGTGAGAAAATTGGGATGATGTGTTACTGTTCTAACCCCAATCTTCTGACCAGCATCATCCTGAGCGGATCGGTTTTGCTAGCAAACGTCTTAGCATCTCCGTTCAGACGCACAGCGCGCTTTCACCGCCGATTTTTCTCCCGGGGAAAGCTGAGAGTGAGGGTGTACCGTATAAGTATCCTGGAATTACGCTTCGTGATGTGCGTTTCGCGATGCTCGTTCAAAAACACTATGCGGAGAACTATCAGCCAAAGCCTCGGAAACCGCGCGATGTTCCCGAAGCTCCGGAAGTATTGACTGATGGATCACTTTTGAGGGGTATCTTGGAGCGTGCGGGTATTCCTTACGCTACGGACTAAGCAAAGGCTCAGTACTCAAGTCGCCGCTTGGGACGTCTCTACCTATGGAGGGGTATTTCCTGTACTCTCTTATTGTAGAACCCAAGGAAATCAGATGATAATAATAATGCATTGTCCGTGTCAATAGCAATATAAAAATGTTCGAATTCTAATCCACATCTGTTGTGCGTGGATCGACGCCACGTTTACCGCGTAGATTCATAACACCACCAACTACCGAGCTCATCATGTGGCCATAGAAATACGCCGCGCGGGACAAGACGATTTGTTCTATCAATCCACGAAAGTCTGTAATCATCAATGCCCATGATATCTCTGGATTGATCATCCGTCTATCTGAAATGGTAAGGAGGTCGTCCATGAAAACGGCTCCCTGGTTTCGAAACTCTTGGAGAATGGTAGCGTTGCGCTCATCTGTCGCGACATAGAACCTATGTGAATTTTGCTGAGTCGTAGTATATACAAGTCAAAATCGAATGAACCAACCAGTCATCCGAAAGTGGTGGTCCCCGACTGTACATCTCATAGTTCGGACCAGGCGTATCTGGCATATCATAGGTCTGCAAAACTTCCTGCCGTTCATGTAGCGACTCTATCAGTCGTCTTCCGTTCACCAGATGTTGCTTCACTCGGTCGATATGTCTTTCTGGAGTATTCTCCATAACGAAGTTGTACCTGACAACTACAGGAATGGGAATGTTAATTGTATAATAGAGGTTACAAAGGACAAAGAGGTCTTACAGTCACCACGACGCATATGCGCTGCCATCCATAGTCGCCCTCCTACTAGATCGTACATGCGTTGAACCATCAGGTCAGCAAGCGAGATCACAGCATCGATCTGTCGTATATCATGGAGGACAAGATGGAGGTACTCGTTCAATGCAAGGCGAGTTGTGAAGCGCATGCCGCCCTGAAGATTGTGATCAGATACGAAAACTCATAGCTTCAGCATATTTGTGAGGAACTTACTGGTTTCCGGTGATGGTGCAATGGGCCAGAAAGTAGTAGTACTTCTTCCTTCCGCCCAGAAAAATCATCCTGGAATCCACGGATAGCGGAACGGCGCGCGAATTGCTTCATTGGTTCTGTAACAGCTTTGCTCAACTCCAGTCCCTTTCTTGACATACCGTCAACATTGCCTTAGCATACGTCAAGCGAAACGAGACGCTCACACAGGCTTGAATGTATGGAGGACTTCCCATCCGTGTTCGATCATGACCCTCTCCAACTCGTGATCGTCCCAAATATTCACCATTTCTTGAGTTCGATCCCAGTCCAAGGCGACATTCTGAGGCAAATCATCCTCCAAGGTCGCATGTGCCCCACCAGCCTCATCCTCTCGCTTTCGGGCCTTGATTTCCTCTGGTATTTTGTCGACCCTCATTATTTCCTGATCATACCACTCATTCTGGATAACATATAATTCAGGTGTCTTTCCCGTAAAAACGTTCTTGACATCGCTGGCATGGTATCGATCTCTTTGCCACTCTCCATTGGAGGCTTCAGTCGCAGGGTCGATGCCATGTAGGCGAAGGTAGTCGGACACGGTGATGACCGGGTGATTCTCGCGGAGGTGAGTGATATTGATCATGAGATTTATAGGGAACACCCAACCCATTTGCTCCTCGATGGGGAGCTCGCGCCACTCGTTGCTTCCTAACGCATCCCTTGAAGAGGCGTGCTGTGAGCGTTGATTATCAGACATGCAGGAAATGATGCACACCCTCTATTAACCATGGGAAAGTAATCGCCACAAACTTTGCTGCGGCATCAGGCCATCAGCAAAGGAAAGTTCAGGATGGAAACTCTCAAACTTACACGTCATACTCGCAGCCTCGCGCGTAGATGAATGAAGGCAAAATAAGGGTTCGGCGGAGAAGTTTAGCTTGAAGCAACGCTGCCTCTATGATATAACGTATCTGACCTTGATAAGCAAAGAAAAATATTAAGCGCAAGGATCCTACTACTTACATTATTCCATCCGAGGTTCAGGCTATAGTCCCTCGCTAAGAAGCCTTCCGTCGACGAAACAAGTTCCCTCAATGCTTCCAAGCTCAAATGCTCGGTATCAGGCAACAGAGAGGGAGAAATGGGAGTAAGTTCAGAAACAGTTTGACTCTTGGACTCTAGTTGTGGTTCGTTGTGGGTGGAACATCCGGTACGGTGATGGTCACCCAGAAGTTGCAGCCTTGCAGTTTTCGGCGTTTCTCCGCCGTTCTTCACGTAGCAGAACGCATTATAATAGAAGATACCGGCAAAAGAAAACACTAAAATGAAGACGCTCACGGTTCCGCAAAGACGTGAAAGCAAGGAAAGTCGTAAGGATCGTCTGTGGGCTACCGCTGGCCCAGGAAGGAGAGTCATGGAAGATTTAACGAATGGAATAATGTAGGCTTGCCAACATGGAGCTCGGCATACCATTATATATAGCCTGCCGATATCAAATCCATGAGTGAAACAATCATCGAGTGGATTCCGTGTTAACGTTGATGGAGCTGCTTTGGTAAGGGTAATTGATTTTGGCACCATAGAAGCCGATCAAAGGAGCAGTGTATTCCAGGCGAAGGTTCGGGAGAGCGGCGTAGGCAAGAGACACGGTGACTTGTAATAAAAGCTATTCATGGTTCGACGCGATGTGCATGAACACTGCATTTTAGATTTTCAAACACATGATATTGACAACGTGTGTGCTGTATACTGGAGAGGGCTTTACTAGGTCACCAATATCGTCAGTCGCGGTGTCTCACCTGAAAGCATTAACCTTGGTCTGTGATCCGCGCCATGGGCAGGAACCGCCAGCCTGCATTTTGCCCTTAAGGCGATCACCGGTCTGCGAATAAGGTGACAATGAATGTATACAAGGTGTTGATTTGCAGCCACTTCGTTCCCAACAACAAATGTCAGTAAAAGGGAGAGGCAAGATTCCTTTGGTGCTGCGGATGTCAGCGTACTCCGCCGCACTGGCTGCAAGCCGACATTGCAATATAATCATCAAGGAGATTTTTGAGTACCGGCCACCGTCAGCGAGGTTCGCGTCGAAAGGCGGAGTTAACGCGAAGGAGATTCAAGGGTTTCATGCTCTAGTCAATAGGTCTTACAACCTACGGTGTTACATTTATACGGTACTTTGGTACGTTTGGTTGAGTCTTTTCCAATGGATTAGTTGAATAATCCATATTTTCAGCTAAGGACCTGTCAAGCGTATTAGCTGATAGCAGTAGATTAGTTGAATAATTTTATGGAGGTGTCTATGCCAGGCCCCAAGAACGACGTAGAACTTGAGCCATTCTTTGGATTCCTAGCGCCATATCATCTTTCTAGGTGGTAGGTGAGAAAATGATGAAATTTAAAATTACCGTACTTACCGTGGTCATCGAAAACGCTATCCGGAAGAAGATAACGCCCTGTTCTCTACCGGAGGTTGCGATCGATGTCTTTCCCTTTCCTTGCCACGGGCTGGAATGAATTGAGCATCGGCATGTTAGATGAAATGCTAATTCTCACGTATAATACGATCCTGGCGTGAGCAAAACCTGTTCAAAGCTATAAGCGATATACATTTACAGAGTGACGTTCACCAACCTTTTCGTCAGCCAGCTCCTTCCATATTTTCCTTTCAAAAGCTGCCTCGGGATCCTCGTCGCCGGCTTCAGCCTTAACGGCCAAGAAGTCCTTGTTCTCTTTCAGATACAACTTACACCACAAGAACATTCCGGCACGCGGAGGGACGAAACTGAACAACCTAACACTCGTACCCTTGCCGTAGACCATTAGACCTTCGTCACTCGTCCCCGCCTTGATATCGAATGCCTCGCCCAGAGCATCGCATATCCAATTCCTACGCACTGCGTACTCACGCTTTAACCCCGATAGCCACTTCAAGTACCCGCTGATGCCCCAAGACCGCAGCAGTTCTGATAGAATTGCCTGGCTCCATCCCGAGGGTGTCTGAGTGACCACCTCTGTCGCGCGAAGTAAGCGTTCTGTGAAAACAGGATTACATGTGAACCACCCGACGCGGTTTCCAGGTGCAAGTGTTTTACTAAAAGTGTCGAGGCGAATCACACGTCCTTCCGTGTCAAAGCTGAGGAACGTGCGTTCCAGCGAGCTAAGGAACAACGATTCATCGTAAGAAGGAGCAACCGCGTGGCCATTTTGTTTTCCGTTTCCGAAAATGTATTCATCGAACTGGAGAAAATAATAAGGGTCGTCTTCCACAATTATGATGTCTGTTTCGCTTTTGAATACAAACAGAAAATAAAGGTGAAAACTCAGCCGGCGTACCATATTTCACACAGATAGCATAAATTTCTTGTTTGCGACGGGCAGACATGGTACAGCCGGTAGGATTTTGCCCCGTAGGAACAGTACTACAAAGATTCTCAAATATGCCAAGATTTGTCCGACAAGCACTTACTAAAGAACATGAGGGCGTTTGACGCCTGGATGATCCGAGTCCCAGCTGCGAAGTGCGTCCTCTAATGCATCTGAGCGCATGCCTTCGGCATCCATCTCAACTACAAACATCGATGCCATTAGTGCATGAAGGAAAAGACGAAGATATTCGTACTTGGAACGCCGCTGCATCCCATCGGTATCCACAGCGCCTGCGCAGTGGGATAAGTCTGCTTCTCTACGAGTATGAAGTCCCCCATCTCACTAAATCAGACCATTAGAAGGAGCGCCAAAGTACAGGACAGAAGCATTACCAGAGTAGGTTGACCACTTTACTCCAAGCATCCGTACTACCTTCATTCAATAACACCTCAAAGTTTTTGTAAGCAGGACGAAACACGGTACGCGTAAACTCGTGCGTGAAATTGAGCAGCCACGGAAGTCCAGTACAGGGGGCTAATGGAATCTTTCAATTCGGAATTCGCGCCCAGGGATCATAATATACGTACAATACTGCAGGCTAGTCGCTAGATTCACCACTTGACCGTCATTCTTATCGTCTTTGTGGATGGACAGATGTATCAGTTCCCGCGAAGCATTGGAGTGCAAATCGACGTTGGAGGAATACACGTTGGCCTCTAAATCGACGAAAGGGAATAGAGAAGGGTGAGGAAGACCTCCCGCTAAGCTAACCATTCCATCAACAGCCATATACTTCATGATGTCTATATTGTCACGTTAGATAGCGAAGAACGCGTGAATGGCCATGACGAACGCACCCTTCAGGGGACTGGGACTTCGGGAGAGGGACAGAGTGTTCAAATGGTGCCGCAGATCAATAGCCTCCATTGTGTATACCAAAGGGTCAGTGAAACAACGGGGTTCTGCTTTGCTAGAGAGACTTTATGGTCGAAGGAGAGGTGAGTCAGAAGAAAAATCAAGATCGGAAAAAGATAGTTATGAAATTGTGTCATTCGGAAATCCGGGGTCCGAGCCGCGTGCTCGCTTTGGATAATTGTTACGCTTCCATCTGGAGTCAGTGTTGCGACGCCGCGGCGGTGACTTCCAAGCCCAGTACTTATGTGAATGCCGATCAGATGACATTCCTGTGGGTGCCTGTAGTGTCGTCAATGACGCAGCCCTCGTTTGCAAAGAGAAAAACACGTACCGCTGGCTCCACAAAAGATTCTATCAGAAACATGCCAGCATAGACGCCCAAGGCCCAGAGTGTTATTGTCCTATCTTAACAGCAGTGGGCCCTGATTGCTGAGTGAGCTAGTTGAAAGAAAAAAAAAAAACTCCCAGAGCTAAAGATCAGTCGATAGTTTTGCGAAATTCTGATCCGTGAGCGACTTTGTATTGAAAGGCTCCACTGTTCCGAAGCAAAAGGTGGAGCCCCAGAGTCCAGGCAACTGAAGGACCGAGCGGGTCTCCACTTGGACGTGTTTCGACAAGGAGCAAGGAGGTCCCCGACTTTCGGCGCCTATTTGAACAGGACGATGAACTAATCAGAAGATACATGGCGAGACCGGAATTCTCCAGATAGATGTCAATGCCAGAGACTTGTTATAGTGCCCATGACCAGCGACATGGACATATCACTGTATCGTCAGTTTCATGAAGCACGCTCATTGCTCTGGGCGCCATACAGAATCAATTTTACAGCCTCTCCTAGGGACAGACATGAACTTCTTTAGTCGACTAAGAACAGTCTTTGAAGACGCGTACCTCATATCCAGCGCCGACATGCGATGATCAGTGAACATCAATGATCAAACGCTTTTGCTTTTGCTTTTTGCTATGACAAGCTTTGAAGTATGTTGAGTCAACTGCGCTTGTCTTACAGCCGAATGCAAAAAAAAGAGGGCTTGAGTCTGCGGGCTTTGAGAAAAACATATAGGCGGACTGTGAGATGGTCAATGCTGAATCTAGGCCTACGGCACTCGTGTTCAATCGATAACTCAAGGGCATTGTTTGCCAGCAGGCAATATTGAGAGTAACAGAGGTCCTTGATATTGTGAAAAAATGGGAAATTATCATTGTTCTGGATGTTCAATATATCTGTCATGCTCAAAGTTAGCGAAGGGTCTTAATAACCTGAAACTGATATATGTACCTCTTTACATCGGAAGCATCTCCATTCTCAGCAAGCCTTCTGTACGCTTCGCTTAAAGTAGTATTTACGTCGTGAATCTTCCGTGTGATGGGCTTGGGAGGTCCTGGAACTGTGTTTTCGCTGCAAAGACGAGGCCGTTGAGTATACAAGCTAACACCACAAAAATAGTCAAAGGATTTACTTTCGGGCCATTTTCCTGTCAATATAATGAACGGAAAAACCTTGCGTGGGCTCCTTGCGCAGATGCGGACAATCGACTCTCCAATGAGGTTCTCCGCACTCTGAACACGGGTGTCTGGGTGGTATTTTATGTCTTTGAGGACAACTGTCGATCTTATGATCAGGGTTATAACACGCCGAGCAAGTCGCGGAAAAACGAAGGTTCCCCTGTCCTCCATGCCAATGATAATGAATGGCTTTCCTCAGAAGACCAGACTTGATGTATGCTGTATGCTGTCGCACTTGTGTGTACCGTTCATCAAGATCTGCAGTTGTGACGCCAATTCTGGAGAGATAATGTCGTTGAACACGGTATGCGAACCGCATATCTTTAACCGTAAAGCACCGGCCAGTGAGTTCGTCGGAAGGGTGACGAGTTACTTGCGTAGAACACAGCTCTATTTCAAGCATATTGTCTGTGCAACTTAATGTTTTAGGCTGATGCTGGACAGGGATCAGTACATCAAGAAAAACACATAGCACCGTACACACACATGTTCATCCTTCGCGACACCACCCACCAGACCAACAAAAGAGATCATCGTTGCATAGTCCGAAAACTTGTACGCCATGTGCAGAGCCCAGCCAAATTCGGTATGCCTCGACAGGGAGCGAATGGTCCATCCAAAGCGCACTAGGTTCGGCATAAACTCTTCCAGCTCTTTCTGCGTCGGTACCATTTTGACCCTTTCCTCAGCAGGCTCCGGAGGTAAGGTTCCTAAGGAATGAGCTAGAGAACCATATAAGACCTGGGACTTCCTATAGACATCGGCACGCATACCTGTGATGGGCCTTATCGGCTTGATGTAAGTCTCTGTAGCCCATGGCCGTAGCGGGTCGTCGTCATTTTGGTCTAGTAATTGAGGTGCAGGACCATTCAAGTATCGACAGAGTATTTGTTTCTGTAGTCGATAGGGACAGGAAGCTCTACAAGGGCGGTCCTTTAGTCCTGCTGTCGCAGCAAGAAATCGAGCACGCAGCATGAAGGAAATATGTGTCGCGTCGAAAAGAAGAAAAACGTGGGAACCTTTGGGTATTTGATTTGAAATCATCAGAATTTAGCGCTGAAGTGAAATATTCATTTATTTGATATCACGTTCGACGTATCTGAATTGTGTACGGAGGTTTTCTGGCTATAATGTCCTTACCTTACAGAGACGAAGGGCGATGTGCGGGGCATTAATCACCGGTTCGGAAAGGCACTCATTTTTATCGAGGTTTATGGGAATTTCTTGCGGACGTTACGAGTCCGAAGAATGAGGTACTCGTTCTTTACTCCTGCTTCCTCTTTGATTTTTCGTCTGCCATTTAAGCTGTCGCTTTTGATCCTAACATGTGTAAATAGTCTCTTTCAAGCTTCGTCATTTTGTCGTCGTCTTCTCTGTCTCTGTGTTTATTAATGCAGATTTTCTTCTAAAATATTATATGTGCTATATAAGATATTTATAAGTGGTTATACAGTGTTCCCCAATGCTGCACGAGAGTTTGTTTTCAGAGTCCCTCGTAATAAATATATGCAAATAATGATTTTTCGGGTAATTCGGGCGACGAGTCCGAAGAATTGTCCGAAGTTTAAAAAGACTGTCGATTTCCCTTGATTGCCGATCTTCTCTAATCTGGCGTGGACGCAGCAGGGTACTCATAATGTCCTGTAGTGTTGTCGATTGATTGTTTTAGGTTTCTGATATTATTGACTGGGAATAAACGGGGAAAAATATCCTTTCTTTATTCGAGGCGTGTGGCCGTTCAATCGCGTACACTGTAGCAAGTTATAAGTCTGACATCGTTGAGAAACGGTATTTTAGTTTTTGGATTCTTAATGAGCACGATGAATGACTGTCTTCATTTGTGTGAGTTCGAACTTCGCGTGCGTTTGTCGTGTTAATCCTACTCACACATTCAGACAAAACTGTTGTTGTCGTCTACGATTGTGATATTGAGATCGATGGACGTATTCGGCGGTGTGGCTGGTCCTGGACTTGACATCGAGGATGCTGGACACTTAATTATAATCGTATTGAGGACGTGGAGATGAGGGACATACGTGTATCAGCTCTCGATGTATATGCTATTTTCCCTCTGTTTATGACTTATTCATTGATAATAGAATCTTTAGCTACTCACCTCTTTGCTTGAAGATTCGCTGTAATTTCCCTTTTATGACTTTCCATCCCTTTCTGTACGGGTGATAATGCCAGGCAAGAACGGATAGCAGGTCGCAGCGTCAGCGTTTTAGATGTTTTCCGTTTGTTTTTCTACACGCACTTTAATCTTTGTAGGGTAAGGAATTGGCGTGTGCTTGGTGGCATCTAAGTATTATTCTGTAAAATAAGTCTTTTTGATACGTATGTAAGTGTTGATATACTTGCCTTGAAAATGGGTCCCTTGATCTGAAGTTGTGTTGCTTGTGAAGGTTGCGAAAAAGGTGGGAGGACCATGAGTATTGGTTGCTGATCAAGTTGGCGCGTGCGCGTAACTTTAAATCCGTAGTTAACCTATTTCTTCTAGTTCGATCCTCATCTACGAATACCATGGTGCTATTACTTGCGTGCTCTGAAAGAGCGGGTAATCGATCATGATCTTCCCTCTTTCTCCACTACGCGACCTCGCCAATCAATCATTACTGTCTTCGTAGGCTGCCTTCTCCGCTGTTGCATGGCGGTGTCGATCTAATGTGCTTTTTAGGCCTTGTGACGAGTTACCGGTGAAGAAGCTTTGTAAGGAATGTCACAATGCGAGGAATGGAATGGGGGAACATCGTTTGCGAATAAGTCTTGAGGGCTCCGGAGGGATTATTGATGAGCGGGGTCCTCGAATGTTGACCGGAAACAACGCGTCGTCTTTCTGCTGGCAAGACATCAACGCAATGAAGGAGGAGCACGAGCATGCAGGGTACCGACAGCGGCTATATCTGCGAGCATAGTCCAAGAGCAACTACAAAGTATATTTGAGATTGCGCCTTCCCGAGATCTGTTCATCACTCTCGAAGCATTAGGCGGCGACGACCAAATCGAGATACGCAAAATTCGTTTGACGTTCTGTCCCAAATCGTCGGGTATATTGGTACAGCGGCACGGTGGTCGTGGTCCTAGAAGTCTACGCGACCGAGAACGAGACCCTTGTAATTTTCAATCTCTTTGACTCCCGTTCGTTGCTCCTCCGCCCACGCGACACTCCATTCCTGCAACTTGCCCTCTTCACGGTCTCCAAGTCATCCTTATTTTGAACGCGCGCTCTCCAGGTGATCGAAGAAGACATAGCACGTCAGCCTACCCGGCAGGCGTTCGGACTGTTCATTGAAAATAATGAAGTGTAGTCGACGGGGACGGACGGAGAAGAATTAACGAAGGTAAGCTTTTCCAATACAATGCCGTTGGTCTGCTAACCAACCCTTAGTCATCTACTGAAGTACAATACCTGTAGTGCCGCGGAAAGGTAAGCTATATGTTTTGATTTCCAAGTTCTCACTAACATGATCTTTACAGGTTGCTCAACGCTGGATCTGCACCTACATCGACGAGATCAACAGCAGACGATACACCCGGTTGCGGAACTCTTACCCGTTAGTCCTAGCTGGTAAATCTTCCACACTCAATGTTTGACCTTACGCTGACTTTATTCTACTTCAGGAATTGCCTCTGGGGGGGTCAACAGGCTCGCATTCGATGCCAATGTGGGAACGGCGAGGAATAGGCATCGTACTGGGCTATACAGCCGGCGTTTGACGAGGTAAGAGTGCTGCAAGGCAGCACTATTCAGATACTGATGTCTCGTCATCAGATTTATGAATACTTACCTACAAGTGATTCAAGTTAACAGCTCACCGATCATACTAAGGAGTGGTTAGTAGATTTCGTGTGTTTACGGTCGATTCAGAACTCATCTGGTAAGTCTAGCCGTAAATTTTTATTCATTAAAGCTGACGAGTTTACGAACTTCCTGTAGCTAACAATGTCCTCATTTAAGATCCATCAGTGATGTTATGACTTTAACATAGAACGGGGCATTTGACACTTCCAGGTAAGTGTTGTGTATGACACATAAGGTTTGGATAACGTGCAGTGCACGTCGTGGAAAATTTGGTACCATCTAGAGTCGACACTAGCACTGGGCTGTGGGCTGTGTCGCTTAGCTCAATGATTATCGACTTGAATGCGCTGTTTTGAGGGCCATCCTCGCATAGATTACTGGTACGTGGTAAATGTAAAGGTTACGATACCTTACGAGGTCCTTTAACCGAAGAGCTACACACGCCAACAGGGTGTATTGCGAGAGAGAGAGTCAAAGATACAAGCAGTAAGGTAAACGTAGATGATGAAAGTAAGTGATTCAGATGTGAAAGTCTGAACTCGGAAGGATAACGGGCGCTGCTAAAGACGTAGGTAAATAATAGTACATAGATAAAGTCCAGATCCCTTACACCCTCCCCCTTGAGATTGGGCATAGGGAAGCAATCTCGACGAAAGAGTCAAATTACAATAAGATCCTGTTATTGTCCTGTGAATCGAGCTCGTCGGCTTCGCCATCAACGTTCGAGTTCGAGCCTGAAGTAATGGTCATCGCGATAGAGGCCTTGGTTGATGGGGAAGCGGTAGGAGCAGTCGACAAGTGCGTGATGGATGGGCCTGCATGAGAAGCATCGCCATCTCCAGCCATAGGTACGTCTGCATCTCCGGTCACGGGCAAAGAAGTTTCAGCTCTATAATCAACGCGATCAGTGTGCTGATGGCATCTATTAGACTTGCTCGTGGCCTCCCGAATGATTGGGTAATTGAGGAAATGTCTGCGACGTGCTTCGAGGATCGGAATTAAGTCCCATTCAATGGGAGCCGTCCAATAGATCTGAGGAGCGGAATTGTCCTGGAACACGGAGATATCACGGGGGAGATCAAAATGATGGATACGCCATGCGAAGTCGTCCAGGGCCTTGTAGGCACGAGTACGGAGGGTACCCTTAAAGCGCCGAGTAGCTGCAAGAAGTAGCTCTCGGCCATAAGGCTGGATATAACAGATGTGGGAGTACTTGACTCCGCATTTAGCAAGGTGAGTAACGATGCCAAACTGAGAGGCTCGACTGATGAGGGAAAGAGGAAATGGAACCAACTTTTCTGAGTCTGCAATGGTAAGATGTCGATCACGGCAAATGTCTGAATATACAATGGGATGGACCAGCACGCTAGCGAGAGCGATGGCAAAGCCATGCCGATTAACTCGGGTTGCGTTACTCGGAATGATTGATTGGAATAACAGATACCCAGCCAGGGTACGGATATTGACAGATCCGGTAGTCGTGACAGATATACCAGGGTAATGACGTTCCGTGCCATGAAGGAAGATGAAGCTTGCCCACAATTGAGGGTCAAGACAAGTATCCTCGGGTGCAGTAACCTTCACAGGAGGAGGAGGGAGCAGAGGTAAGTCCCTGCCATTATTCCCATCCTGTGTTTGGGGCTTTAAGTCAGGAATTTGTCCTAGCCAGCGAGGACGGCGATGATTCCACTGAGTTAGAAGGGTACGTTCACCATCAGTGATGAGAGGATAAGGGGCTGGGCGTCCATTTCGCTCGCAAACGAGGTTAACGGACTGCTTTCGTCGGATAGCAGTGATCACGTTTGAAATTCGATCAACAATGACCCAGTTATTAGGAGTGTGGGCCACGTCAATCATTGATGTGGCGTCAACAGCTGTGATAGGAACCGTGCAGGATGGATCATATCCTTGAAGTGACGCGTAATAAGTCTCGTGAAAGGAAAGATCTGCTCTCGGAGGAGAAGGTCGACGAGTTCCTCGTGTATGAGGAACTGCAGGATATGGACGATGGTCGTGCATACCTCGAGACGTGCGGGAATGACGGTCCCAAGTGGCAGCATGTTCTGTGGTCGGAGTGAGGGACTGGAGAGCACTTAGAGATTCCATCCTGGTCTTAAGTAACTCGTTATCATGGCGAAGCTTTACGAGTTCCTGTTGAATATCATGATCTGCAGTATGATTAGGTGCATTCATGAGTGAATCCGAGGGTCCAGAGTCGAGAGTGAACGACTCAAGAGCCGCAGTAATATCATCTGAGTTAGAGAGATTAGTTTTGTTAGTCGGTAAACTGGTATGTTTAGCACGTTGGGGCGCACCGTTAACCATTTCTCCATGATGGTTACAGTGTTTACTGAGTTCGGAGATCGTTTCTGGAGCTTCCTGAACTCGAGTGCACGATGTGGGGTTGGTTAATATGTTACCAAACATCGGAACTGGATTGGAATCTATAATTCCTTCCATCGCAGTAGAAGACGATTTCGGAGCATGGGGCATTGCTGTAGCACCCATATTCGACGTCGTAAAGAATGGGTTATCCTGAGTAAACGGGAAAGGCGCCATAGGAAAGAATGATGGGGCCATAGTTGAATTCGGATAGCCAGTAAAAAACGGCATTCCAGTAGGCATAATTTGGGAGAAATTGCCTGCAAACGAAGGATAGGATGATTTTTGAGGAGTAAAGGGTACCTGTCCCTCCCCCTGAGAAGGATTGGCATCGAGGTTGAAAAAACTCGAAGCAGAAGCAGCCATAGAGTTGTATCAGAGTGCTGATAGTTGAAGTGGGTTGAGAAATCGGAGTAGATAGTAATGATACTCTAGCCTGGTGGGTTGTAAGGAATTTATACCCTCCAGAAAGCAGCGGGCATGGACTAGACTTGGATGCGACATCGGTGTGGTGGCGTCGAGTCGGCGTTCGTAAAAAGTAGAGCCGGTACAGCCACTGTACCCTGTTGATCAGGGTAATTTGATAACCACGTTGTTACTCAGCCATTTTGGTAACACGGGTATCATTTCTTGTCTGTCGTCGTTTCCTAGGCCTAGGACCCTTGTTAGACAATTTTGGCAAGTTCTTTGGGTCTGAAATACCAGCAACAGCCAGGTATTTATCGAGTGCTTTAAGTGCTTTGCGCTTAGAGTATGGCTCTACGGTTAAATCACCAAGAGCCCATCGTACATGGAAGAAAAGTGAGTTATTCTTCCATTCATGTCCTTCAATACATTCAACGAATTCCTCAGCATCATCAGGAGCACCGAAGTCGTAAGGTTCGGGCTTCTTTCTGTCTGGGAATAAAACTGCATCGCTTTCAATGTAGGACCTTAACAAGCTAACATGAAAGCGTGGGTGAATACGACGTTTCACGAGTTCTTCAGGGAGGTCTAACTCATAGGTGGACGATGTGTGGTCTGCCATGAGTACAGTATATGGGCCAATGAATTTAGGTAATAGTTTCGTTGCCCTAGCTTTGGGAAGATTCAAATTCTTCGTTGATAGGTATACCTTCGATCCTTCCTTGATATCAGGTTCAGGAGATCGATATTTATTAGCCTCGTGAGTCTGGAATACTCGAGAGGCAATAAGGGCATCATGAGCATCATACAGGTTCTGCATGGCTTGGATAGCGAACGCACGGATCCCGGGTGGGACAAGTTTATCATATCGAACCTCTCGCATCATTGAAGGCATATATCCTCCAACAAGTTCGAAAGGTGCGAACCCTGTAGACGCATTCGTGCTCGAGTTAAGAGCAAATTCAACGATAGGTACCTTGATCAACCAGTCACGCTGATCAGGACGAATGGAGGCACGAAAAATCTGGCCAATAGAGTGATTAGCTCGCTCTGTAGCTCCGTCTGTTTGCGGATGAAAAGAGGTAGACATAAGAAGCTTTGCACCAAGTAAGCGGTGAAGCTCTTTCCACCATACTGACGTGAATTTGGGGTCACGGTCAGAGACAATCGATTCCGGAAGGCCATGCAGTCGTACAATCTCACGGAAATATATTGAAGACAAATCCGTGGCCGTATTGGAGGTGTGGATTGGGATTAAGTGAACCTGAGATGTCAATCGGCAGATAACTACCCAAAGGTAATTATATCCTTTAACCTCAGGAAACGGACCAATAAAATCCATTCCGATAGATTGCCATGGTCTGGTTGGTATTGGCAATGAATGGAGTTTCCCTGAGGGAGCTCTATAGTTCCCCTTCGACTTATTACAAGTCTCACAGGTACGGCAAAAGACTTCACACATCCCGTAGAGTTTTGGCCACCAATACCAATGACGAATGCAATCCGCCGTTCGTTGGGGACCAAAGTAGCCAACAACCTCATGAGCTTGTTCAATAACAGCTCCACGAAGTGAACGCAATCCCTTAGGTGACTTAGGGAGGCATAACAATTTTTCTCCGGGCTTATACGAGTTTTCCGTCCAGATTAATCCTTCCTCAATGAAAAATCGAGGGTGGTCACTAGGAGCCTTAAGGACCTTCGAGAATATAGGATCCGTGGCATATGAAGACTTAATATCCGACACAAAGGTTGGATCCGAGTCCATAGTGGTTTGTAAGTTTTTACCCTTGTCTCGAGAGTCGAAAACAGTAGGGTTAACTTTTGGTAATTGAACAAGTTCGGGTTCCTCTGGTTCCCGAGCGTTCTCCATTTCTTCAGCTTCAAGTTCTCGAGTTTCACGCTTCTCTTTGAGACGTGCAGACTCTCGACGTGTTTCCATAGCACTGAGGCGAATAATCATCTCTTCAGCTTCTTCTTTGCGACCTAAAGGTAGGTCTTCACCGAGTTTATCAATACGAATATCAGCATTGACAAATTCAGTTAGGTGGTGCTGATCTTCAGGAGTATCAGACTCGTAATAGCGTGATAGGGCATCAGCAACTTTGTTAGATACACCCTTCACGTAGGTAATATCAAAATCAAAACGTGAGAGATATTCCATCCACCGCATTTGACGATTTGATAGACGTCGTTGAGTCTTAAAGAACTCAAGAGCTTTATGGTCTGTGACAACATGAATGCGATAACCAATAAGCTTGTCTTCCCACTTCAACAGGGCTTCAAGCATTGCAAGAGTTTCGGTCTCAAAAACACGGTAATTGCGTTGACTATCCGTGAACTTCTTAGACATAAATCCGGCAGGGCGACAAGTCTGCCAGGTAGGACCTTGTCCATACATCGCACCTACACCAGAAATCGAGGCATCACAGATAACTCAGATGGGTTCCGTAATGGCTACATTAATAGGACGAAGGATTGGTACTTTGCAGCACAAATCCTTGATAGATTGAAAGCAGACAGAGTGAAGCGGACGCCAGTAAAATGGCTGTCCGTTCTTAGTCATTTCGGATAGAGGGGCTGTATACGCAGTCACATCCGGTAAGAAATATGCGAGATAATTCACAAGTCCAAGAAACTTCTCAATATCATTATAGTTTCGAGGTTGTCTCCAGTTTCGGATTCGTTCCAGCTTATCTGAATCTGCATGGAGTCCTTTATCATCAACAAGATGTCCAAGACAATCCATCTTCTCAGCATAAAGTTGAACCTTTTCCGCTTTCATGAAGAGTTTGTTTTCTCGAAGCTTATTGAATACAAGCTTCAGATGTTGTTCATGTTCCTCGACGCTATCACTGTAAATGAATAAGTCGTCGAGGTACACATGCATGAAGACTCCAATATAGTCTTGGAAGATCGAAGTCATGAGCTGTTGAAATGTGGAAGGAGCATTACAGTCTCCTTGCTGCATTACATTGCTCTTGAAGGTTCCGAAGATGGTTGCAAAGGCTGTCTTCCAAACATCGGAGGGGACAACTCGAACCTGCTCATAGGCATTTGAAAGATCAATCTTGGATCGGAGCTTAGCCCGAGCCACGTCAAATCTAATGGTATCCTGGTCTGGAAACGGGGTAACATCCCTTTCCGTATTCTCATTGCGTTTCCGACAATCTACAGTGGTTCGGATGACCGAGCCATCTTTTTTCGGAACACATAGCATCGGAGCAGCTTGAGTAGAGACACATGGTTCCCACCAGCGAGCTCTCTTGTACTGGGCAATCTTTTCCGCCAGTTTACCCTTCATAGAGTCAGGGCAACGAGGTAAGTAATAGTTATATTTCGCCTTATCATTGATCAATGGGATTTCATGATTTACGGCTCGTAATGGAGGTAATTCCTCTGGAATACCTCCCATAATGTCACGACACGATTCCATCCATCTAGCACGAAGCTGAGGGATATCAGCGACCGAAGGAGAGGTTATATCCTTCGTCTTATCCTTGTAACGCTCAGAAGTTGCACGAATTGCTTCTTCAATCGAGATCTTTGGATTTGAATCTTCAATCTCTTTGCTTTGCGATTCGGGAAACCGTTCTCGCGTAAATTCCTGTACAAGTTCATTGACTTCAATTAATTTTTGCCTATCCTTTGGATTCGAGGCATCCAAGGTAAGAGCTTCAGTAACAATTTTTGAAAGGTCTTCCGTCGACACAAAGTCTTCCGGAGTAAGTAAGACAGGTAATTGACGGTTCAATGGAGCTGCTAGTCTTCCACTGTCGTCCTCTTCCTTGATATCCTCTATGGTTGGCGCATAGCGTGACCATGGAGGTTCTGGTACGTCAGAACGAGCTTTATTTATGCTCTGGCCATATAGTCATTTTGACTTAGACTGTACAGTTTTAATTCTCTTGGTTGAACCCTTCAAACCTTGGGTAGTTGAAACTGGTTCTTTGGATTTATTCGGGCGAGGTTTGATTTCTACTTCCTCATCCGGGTCGAATTAGACTTTGTTTGATACACGTTTCGCATATCTACGAGTCATTTCCTTGGTTTCCTCCCCCTCTGAAAGAGTAGGGACTGGAATACGCTGAATACGAATTGTATCGTACTCAAAATCAAGTGATATGCCATGCTTCCGCATGAAAACAGTGCCTAGGACTGCATCATAGCGGTCAACGTTCACAATATCAAAGTAGTAGTTATCACCCGAGATGGATGCACGAGCATTCCCAAATTTATAGGATGCATTACAACCATGGCTAATCTGCGAGCGATTTCCTTTAGTTCCAAGTTGAAGTGTGATGGGCTTTGTCAACTGGAATATGTTTAATTTTGCGAGACGAGCAAAATCTGGACTGATAGCATCGGCGGTACTCCCAGAATCGAAGAGAGTAAATGCTTCACGTCCATTGATAGTGACTAAAGCAGCAAGGCAACGATTTTCAGCAGCCGTACGCTTTGGACGAGATGCAGTCTGAGGTGCATGGATTTTTGTGGGCTCAAGTGTTGGTCGATATCCTTTGATCTTTCCATCACTTGTCTGCTCTGTTTGAATTGCCCGAAGGTATTCAGGGAAATCCAGGACATACTCGTCATGAGATTCCATTCCATCGCTATCAGAGTCCGAGATTGAGGAGGAGTCTTCGCTAGATGCATCATGATCCATGGTATGGTCATTCAAATGCTCAGAGAAGTGAGATATACCCGATGAATCCGAGTAATCATGTTAGCCACTAACTCGATCGACTTAGATCGTACTAAGATCGCTACTCGCACTTCGGTAGACGATACTCAGCAAGTCAAAGGCGACGGAGTCGAGGGGACAGATAGTCACGAAACGGGGAGCTTTGAGTTAGGTAGATTAAACCTTAGCCGAAGCTGGGGTTTAGACCAGCTGAGGCTCTACTTAAATACACGCTGAGTAGACTAAAAATAGTACTGTGAGAATGTCCGATCAGAATCGCAGCATAGAGTAAGCACGAATGCGTAAGAAAAGAAAAAGAAAAGAATAAACCGTAACATTA